GGTACCACTTTAGCTAATGGGGCCTCCCACTGCTGCTGCGCAGCTGCCACGCGATTTCTGTTTTTATCCTGAGGTAAAGTTCTTAACCTGAGGTACTACTTGCGGGTTAGCGGAGACTGTAACCTGAAGCGTTTGTAACCCGAGGTACCATTGTACATAGGCACGAAACGCAAGACAGGAAGGTGAGGTAAACATTTAAGGCAGGAGTTCCAAAACAGTGGCCTGTGAGCCACCATTGGTCTGCAAACTTCATTCAGGAGTCTACGACTTACTGATTTTTAATTATAGATCATTTGTTTAGAGCATGGTGCTGATAATGCCAAGGTTGCAGGTTTAATACCTGTAAAGGACAGGTGCATATTCCTGCATTGAAGGGGGTTGGACGAGATGATCCTCAGGGTCCCTTCCAACTCTATGATTTTATGAATTGTATTTTGATTGCTTCTTTAATTTCTAATACTGTAACTTATTATAGTAATGTTGTTTGATAATGTCCTTGGGACTGTTTTGATGTGTAATCGCTTTTAATTCTACCTTTACCTTACTACGACTAAAGACTTCTAAATTATGTATATGGAAAATGTGCATCATAATAGCAACCGGAATATTTGAATGCCAGAAATAGCTAGCAATTTATAAACTCCAAGCTGTAGGACACAGAAGGATTTGATGCACCTGTGTTATTAACTCTGCTTTCACTATGGTTCGTGCCAATCCTGTGTAATTACAGTAAAGGCTTTATTCCTGCTGAGGGCATTATCACTGTGGAGGAATAATCACAATTATTTACAGGGTTGCATTTTTGCCAAATAACAGCATTCAAAGATCTTATGCCTCAAAGAGTAAAACTCTGGCTGTGTGACTCTTTCAGGTCAATGAGAAGATATCCCTTGCTGTACCAAACATCCATCCATCCATCCATCCATCTGTAAACCAAATTATGCCGTTCAGACAATACTCAAGTTTCCATCCCAGCATGGGGTGCCTATCATCCTGAGGGAATTCTGGGATGAGGTTATTATTTTATTGTAACAACAGTGTTTTCTCTGGAATGCAGAATGCCATTTGGAGCCAGAGACATAAGATTTTTGGTAAGGTTATTCCAGAGCACAATTCTGAATGAGTCAAGATAAAAAAAGCACAAAAAGCTATTTAAAGGCTTTCCCATTGTACCACAGGTTTATTTCTTGTTGTATAGAGATGGTCATTGCTTAATTTTCAGGGACGTAACAAATTAAGAATTGAGACTGTGAAGCTCTTGTTTCTCCCTAATGGGTTATTGTCTGCCTCTGGCTCCCATCTCCTCTGCCTTTCATTTCCACCCCTTTAAAATATTCTAGTTGACGGATTTGCTGAGGTCAAAAGACACAGGATAAAAATGAAATAATTTTGTAGTAAATTGGATTCTGTCCTGAGTACTGACAAAAGAACTTTGTTCTCCCAAACATACAGTATGGTTTTGAGATGTTTTGAATTTCGTAAAGAACCAATTATATTTTGTTTCTCTTTTTCTTTACCAGTCTGTGTGGTTTACTTTATAGGTTTTGTGTTTGATGAATACTGTAAGCTTTTCTTCTTTTTCCTAATTGTAATTGTTTTATCCCCATCTCTAAATGTTGCGTGATGCTCTTCCATTGTTTATCTTTTTTTGTTATCGAGTCCTGTATATTTTTTTATAGGGACACGGGTAGCGCTGTGATCTAAACCACTGAGCCTGGGGCTTGCCAATCAGAAGGTCGGCGGTTCGAAACCCGCCCCAGCGGGAAGGTAAATGGCATTTCCCTGCGCTGCTCTGGTTCACCAGAAGCGGCTTAGTCATGCTGGCTACATGGCCTGGAAAAACTGCGGACAAACGTTGGCTCCCTCAGCCAGTAAAGTGAGAGGAGTGCCGCAACCCCCGAGTTGTTTGCGACTGGAATTAACTGTCAGGGGTCCTTTACGTTTTACCCGTATATTTGCCACTTTATACTTCTTGTAAAACGGCATGTATTTTAGGTTTCATGTCACTGAAAAGTACAAGGTGGCATCTAAAGTTTATATGTAGCTCTCCATGAATGAGCTGCAAACCTTATCACCAAATGGCCCACAGTGGTAGTGAATCAGACCTTGCATGGATTCTTTGTGTGTAGACTCAGCCTCTAGGCAGCTCTTTAGCATTTCAAACTAAATATTGCTAGTAGTTCTGCATTCCTCAACAATCTTGACAAGCGAAAGATTAAGCAACTGGTTTTAAAAAATCTAACTGTAGAGAGAAACATTGATAGATGCTTGAGGGGCCAAAACCTGGAAGGATACTCTTTCAATTGAACTCTGTATTGCTTATGAAATTGCTAAACTGGTGACTTAATCCCACCCCTTTGGGATGCATCAACTTGTTTACTTCTGAGCACTCAACAGAGAGACAGAAATGGCAGATTTCTCCTCTCATTTGGGACTCTTAATCCCCTTAATTTGTTTGCCTAAATTTTAGATGGCCAAGGAGCTGCGATAAACATAAGGATCTCCTAATCTCCTGGCCCAGTATTTACCTACAAAGATAAGAGGAAAGACCCTATAAACATCAAACCTGAACAGTGACTGAAAGCGGCATGTGCTTTAAAAAATATTCAGAAAATCTTTCTGGTATTTTGTTGGATAGAAGTTAGCTTTGCTCAGGAAGGAACCATGAAGAAGCTGCGGAATTTTAATAGGTTAGAGGTTTAGAAAAAATCCCAGTTTTACCTAATTTAATGCCTTCCACAGTAAAGTTGTATCTCCCTCCCAAAAAAATGGACTTCAAATCTAAGTGTTTATTGTAGCATGCCATTCTGGCATTTGTGAAATGTTTTCAAATACTGTGGTACATTTTTTTCATATATGGGATACGGGGTAAAAGATCTAAATTAAGCAGCACAAAATAGTATTGCAATTAGTCTTGGGAGTGTATATATCATGAAGCGTTTCTGTTTGGTAATGACAGAGGAATCTAGAGACTGGTGGATATTACATTTCCTGGGCAGATAATCAATTTTTCTCTTGCATCGCAGTTTGAAATTGTGATTTGCATGTAAAACGATTTACTTGGCAGATTGCTGACTAACCACAAGTTTTATAAATGTTTTTAATTCTGATAATCCTTCACTTTAAGACTGCTGCATCTTACATGAAACACAGAATCCAAGTATTGCAATGCCTTGCCCCTACTTTCAGTCCACTCATGCCATTTTGAATTGTGCTCAAAATCTGCCTTACAGGCAATATTCTGCTGTTCTAATTTTGCTAAATTTTCCTCATGAGTGCAACAAGAGGATTTAAAAGGAGTAAGGATATTGATAAGCACTCATTTCATAATGGGGAAGCTGTCCTTGATAGAAAATGGACATTCAGATAAGATGACGGATGGATCTGTACTGTGGAGTTCAAAATCAATGCAATTTAAAATAAAATAAAATACATTCACCTCATCACTATTATAAGGAGTGTCCTTCATGTTTACCTTTGTATGTATAGTTAACACAGCTGAGTCTACCTTTCTCTGGCTTTTTTGGTGTTATCTAATTTGCTTTAGATTTTTACGATTATCTGTACTAGTTTTAGAAAATAATTAGTAAATGTATTACTGGTGGACTGTAGAAACATGAGAGGCTCCAAGCTGCCTGATTAATGCAAGCATTTACAAATGCTCAATTATTTTACATGTTTAAAGTGCCCCACAGATATCGTGATAACAATCCAAGTAGGAGAGTAAGAGGCACCCCATATGGGCTAAGACTGAGAGAGGCTGGTTTGCCCAAGGGGATGTGCTGAGATTTGATTAAGGGATTTTCAGTGTACAACTAAAAATAAATAGACTCACACCTTCAACACTGGACAACTTTCTAGGCTTCTCTTGCATTTAAGGCTGTAATTCTGTATCTAGCCGTGAATCTCACTGGACTCAGTCAGCCTTACTTCTGAGAAAATATGCATAGGAATTGCACTGTAAGTGAACATATAGGGAGTACTGTTGATAGCAGGACACTTCCACTAGGTTTGATAAGATGCATCTAGAAGTTATACATATGTATGTTTACAGGGTATCATTCCCTGAATGCAAAAAAGGTGAATTCTAGTATATTTGAGGAGAACAGTAAACCCAAGCATCTATGGAAAATGAACAATTTTGTGCCAACCAAAAACAGATGACCAGTAAGCTCCAGCCCCCAATGGCAAGAACCACCAAGAAACCTGCTGTACCTGTAACTGGGTGTGGAGTGCGGCTGAATGGAACACAGCTGTGCGCAGCCTAAGGGAGGACCACTCACCTTGGTGCTTGCCCATAAAGATGCAAGCCCTGCCATGAGACAGGAAAGCAGCTGTAGGTGAAGAGGACAGAAGGAGTTCCTCTTCCCATCTTTTGGAACTCCCCCCCCCCCCCGCCCCGGTCCACACACCATGTTATTGTTGCTGTTGCATGTGTAAGCTGCCCCGTGATATTCGGATGATGGGCGGTATAGAAATTTAATAAGACATTTTAGAATGATTAACGATAAAAAAAACAACACCTACATACAAATTGTGCTTCTAGGTATTTCTCCCCCCCCACTCTCATTTATTTTTTTAAAAAAGTTCTTTACATAGCTTTTCCATTTCTCCTTGATTTATACATTTTCAAGTAATGATGCTCATACATTAATAGGCTGCATGGATCAGAAACTGTATTTGTGAAAATGGGTGCCATGTGTGCAGCCCTTGTGGTGGGCTGAGAAAGTAAACAGTTCCCATTACCAAACTATTATATGCAAACACAGCACCAGTCAAATGCACTCAATACACTTTTGCGGTACTGATAAGTTCTTTGGGACTTACCAAACTGAACCAAGGCTCCCTGTACCTCAAACAGGTGGTCTAATTGTTGCTGAGGGGACATGAGAATGTCTGCAATTGGAAAATCCACCGCCATGTACATATTTCTCTGGATTGGGCCCATTTAATACATTTTTCAAATGTTTGTTATTTATTTTTTAACTTTTTTTTTATTTACATACAAAAGAGAAATATAATAACAGAACAAAAAAATTGGAATTATAATAAAACACTCAAACAGTTTTAGTTCTTGGTTTAATATAGCTTTTCTATTATTAACTATCTTTGTTGTAAAATAATTACCAAATATTTCAAACATATTACTTTGACTCTGTTCTTTTTATATAAATTTAAAAGATCGCAACCCTTATTGCAGAGATTACATTTCCAAAGGCACATTCGACAGTTCACTTAAATATATTCTGGGATTAACTCTGAACCATAGAATCATAAAGTTGTAGTGCTAGAAGGTACACCAAGAGTCATCTAGTCCAACCCTCTGCAATGAGGAATTTCAACTGGAATGTTCCATGTTAGCGAAAGATGATCTGTTGCTCTGTGTGCATCTCCTCAGTACAATTCAAACCTGACTCTGACAAAAGCTGAAAGAATCTTGCACTCCTTTGAGAAATTTATCAGATGTATTCGAGTATTCGAGGAAGAGGAAGTAATAAAGCATCTTGAAGTGAGGCAAATTAAAATCTAGAAATATCGGAAAAGTAGGTTCTCTATACCCTAGCAGTGCTAGCTGTAGGAAGCTTGATTTGTTTCAGGTAGTAGAAAATATAACTCCTACAACTGAAACCAACTGTTAACGTTCACAACTTACTAAAGTACCAGCAACAGTGGGCAGCTTTTAACTCTGAATATAATTTAAATCTAAAAATAAAACAATCTAAATTTAAAATAAAATCACTATACATAAGTTATCTGTGCCCCATGGACCCCAAAGTTCTTAGTATCAAAGCTTCAATTTTTTTTGGTTAATATTCATATTTTATTGAAAATATTTAAACAGGATAAAGTGAAGAAATAAAAAAGGAAACAAAAACTGCATATGAAGTTCAAAAAGTGAAAAGATGAAAATGTGATGGGATGTTAAAAGCCCTTTAATTGCAATATATCACATACAGAATTAAACTGCATTAGCTCAAACACACATTATGCTTGTGATTAAGTCACTATCAGAAGAGAATATCTTCTTGTGCATCAGAATAATCATGAAAAAGCAGGAGCATGACAAACAAATCAATTACAGTAAAACAACAGTTCAAGATGTTCACTGTGAGGTTAAATCATATTTCCCCCCTTCATCTTACATAATTTTCTGCCTTCTGGAATATGACTTTCAATTTGAGATTTTCTGCTAATGCATATGCTAGTAAAACACAAAAACAAAATCAGTTCCAGACCTATCTTAATTAAGGACCTCAGCCAGTTTATTTTGATTCAGCTTACTCTAGTTTAACGGAAAGTAAGTTAAAGGAAAGCTATCAATTTTACTTCCTCTTCTGTAGCAACAAAACTATATTTTCATTTTATGTCATTTATCTGACAAAGTCTAGGTGCCTTGAAAGAGTTTAAATGTCTTAATAAAACAAACCCACATAAAACTGGACTAGACCTTCAAACTATACTTCTAGTCAACTCTGTTAACAAATGAAAATTATAGAGAGATAAACAGAAAACACACACAAATAGGATGTCCCAAAGTGAAAAACAGCTTAAGTGATGAGTGGCATTTTTTAAGCACCTGCATAGTTGCTTATTGATTTAGCATAAGTTTAGCATAAGGTGAACAACCTGCAGTGATCCTCAGGTTCATGTGCTCCCCCATGATCTCCAGGATGATCATGAGATCAAAAGCTTCTATTTCCAATTTCAATCAGATAGTGTAGCAGGTTGTCCAAACCATAAATCTGCTTAATGTAAACAACTGTTTGCTTAAGCCAGCCAGCTTCATAAACTATGGTTTTAAAACAAGTTGCGGTTAATCTAAGCCAGAAGCAAAAGCTTCTGAATTCCTGCTCATGGCCACTGCAGAAGAGGAGGGGAATATGTGATCCTGAGGCTCACTGTGGTTCATTCTCATCACATTAAGCTATGGTACGCCATGATGTCGGAACCAGGCCAACATGAACCTGTTTGTTCAGTTTTATGTCAAGGAGAAGCTAAAATAGGAGGGTGGGGAATAACAGCTCAGCAACACACATTTTATTGATTTTGTTTCAGTGTAATGTTCTAAGGCTGACAGAGTATTTGTACAAGTGTACTGCCATTTTTTTACTACTTTACTCATAGCTATCAGTGTGGTAGGTAGATACAATTCGGGAAATCCCCCCCCCCCCTTTGCTCTAGGGCTTTTCGCTGGACAATCATTCTGACATGTTTAAAATCGGTATGCCATCAAAGAGGTAAAAGAAATAATCAATAAACTACACTTACACAAACATTCCAAGCTGGAGTCCTTACTTTTCTAAGATTTGACAAGTGACTGCCAGCCTTTGAAAATGTTTAGACCACAACAACTGCAAGGTCAATGTTGAAAGCTACTTGATCAGAAAGAAAGTGGTTGAAAAATATAACTGGTTTTGCAATGTGGGGGAATGGTATGAAGGCTGAAATCCTATATTTACTTACCTTGGAATATCTCCGTTGAACTTACTTCTGAAAAGACCTGTATAGCATAGTACCCTGGTGTCTGGTTTAGGAATAGCCAATGTAGTGCCTTCCAGCTGCTGTTGGACTTCCAACTCCCATCAGCCCCAGCCAACATTGATGAAGGTCAGAAATGATTTGAGTTGTAATCAAATCCAGAAGGAATCACTTTAGTGACTACTTAAAGTGGCCTACTTAAACTGGTTTTTCAAAAGTGTTAGCGATGCAGCCACCTTGCTGCAACTGAACAAGTCCGGAATGCTTATGTAAAGGTCACCTGGAAACCACATGTATCCCATCTTGAGTTCTATGATGGAAGCAAGGCTAGATATAAATGTATTAACTTAATATTAATAACTACTAAATTATACTCTGAATCCATTCTATACTACTAATTTAAAATTATTTTCCACACTCTAAACTAAGGCTCCAATCAAATGCAGTAAAATAAATATAAGTAAACTTAAGAAGATAATGCAACATTTGGCCTTTTTGTAGAAAGCAAATGGCAAATTATCACCTACCCTTAATGGCTTTTATACAAAAGCAATAAATTCACCTTTACTTATAAAAAAGAGGCAAACTAACATTGATTCCAGAAGAAAGTTATTTTTAGATTCTACTAATAACTTTTTTTTATTTTTTAAAAAAGGTTTGAATAAGAAGATTTGGATTCTATGAGCATGTTCTCACAATCATATACAAGGACATCTGGCTGTTAACCTATATTAGCCTCTCGGTTTGAAAAAGTTTATAAAACAGCAGGCATTTAAAAAGCTCCAGTGCAGCTTGTTAGTCCCTAAACATAGATGTATATAAAATAGATACTGAGAGATTAAACACAAAATTCAAGTCTAGATTTTAAATACTGCAGTGCACATATGTTGCATTTCAATAATCCTAATTCTACTGATAGCCAACAAAAACTTTGTTGCAGATACACAGAATTGCTTAAATCAATATTTTTAGTATCCTGTCCACTGGGAATGGACAGAGCCCATTAATTTCCTGAGCTAAGAGAACAGTTTGACTTAGTGGAGAGTTCTTTGAAAAACAGAAATCTTTTTTAAACCTAGTGATTGAAAACGTGTGATCTGGTTCCTGGATTTTAGCCAACAAAGAATTAAAAAGAGCATTGTAAAAAGGCAGAAAAAATTACATTATTAAAAAAATGAATTACTAATCACTTGCCCTTGTCTTGTCACTCTGGAATAGAGCATTTTTCTCTCTGTATTAAAAAAGCTTTCAAAAAGCAAAGAAAATTCTGTATCTATTATTTTTTTGTCACATGCATGAACTTACTTAAGAGTTCCGAAACCTGGCCTGAATGATAGGCCAGGAAGGCTGCTGAACTATTCAATTTTTAGACAGTGCTGGAAGGAATACTGTTATTTTTGGTATTAGAGTGACCCTTTAACTCTCTGCTATGCTGGCAAGTGATTGTGAAGAGGAAAAAAAGCCATACCACACCATATGGTTTCTCCTTCAACCACAAACATTAGACAATTCTTCAGCAACATCTTAAGATAGTTTTAGAGCAGGAAAAGTCTCAGACCAGTATTCTAGCAATTTAACTTCCGAGTGTTAGTGAAGCTGTGAAGTAGTTCAGAAGAATGGTCATTACAATTAACATGCTGCTCCAAGTATATTAAATATGATTTTTCATAGCTTTTGCACAGGAAGATATGCCACTTCGGTGCACATCATTGTGCATATGTGTATCCAGATCTGTCTCTTCAAACATATATAAGATGCTTATTTTGAAAAGCCTTTTACAATTGTGTTTATTCGGGTTTAACATTTTTGCTTTTCTTTATGTAAGGCTGGTGGCAACCAAATGCAAAGATTATTGATTTACTTCCACTGAGCTTTGTGTTAAATCCATCATAGACTCCAGCAACTAGTAATTTTGGTGAACAATGATTTTAATGGCCTCTTGGAAGAACTTGAGTATTATTAACAAATCAATGATAATGATGCCCCAAGACTTTCAAAGTAACATATAAATCTAAGTGATGCTATCAAAAACTGAAATGCCTTTTGTAAAGCATAATGGTGCTAAGGAAACATGTCCATAGCTTTGAATAAAGTCTGGCATAGATACAAAGTGTGGTCAATGTCCATTTGGTTTTAACACAGCACTGCCAAAAATCTGAACAAGAAATCTTAATATTAGGAAATAATAAAATAATTAGCCTAAAATAATTAAATACTGAAGTTTTCACCATTATATGTGAATAGACATGGCAGTTAGCGAAAGAATACAGAATGCCACTGCTAAGTAGATAGGTAATAAAAAACAAACATGGACCTCTCATAAATTGTTATCCAGAAAACATAAGGCATAAGTTAGTTTTATATAACTGAGCTTATTTGCATAAAAAATAAGCCTAGCTCACTTTAGGATCATTTCAGAATACACCAGTTCCTTAAATACAAAATATTATGGGGAAAACATAGTGTTTTTAATCGAGAAAAATATATATCCACATTTCAACCATTTATTCCAGGAGAAAAATACACTTAGGCTTTTGTTTAGCTCCAAATGAATCTGACTATACTTAATAGCAAATTTCTTATATGATATTACAGTATTGGGTTCCTTGTTAAGATTATCCACTATTCACACAATGACCCAAACCCACTTCTGCATTTATTGCTTATGCTGCAAGAAATAAAGGACTAGAATTTTATTACACTTTGCATGATTCAGCACAATGCATTTCTACTTCATCTGATCACACTTATCAGAGTTATTTTCCACAAGCTTTCAAGGTGAACTTGGCACCAAACTACATGTCTAAATTTGTTACACTCTGCTGGAAGACCAGAAGTGAAAAGGTGGGGGAAGGGGAAAATCGCAAATCAACAAACAATTTATTCCTGTTTTAAAAGTAGGCAGTAGTAAATAAAACATAAATAAGTGCTTTTTTGTTTGCTTTGGCTTAGTTAAAATGCATATATAAGCTCAATCTGAGATGTTCTACCTTGGCTTGAATTAGCTATGTGGAAAGTCTGGTTGAATGAGACTCCTTTCATCATGCAGGCACTGCTGTCCTTGCTACAGTAATAGAGGCACGCTTTGATTGACAGTACAACTTCAGATGATAGGCAGTTCATGGGTATTCGCAATGGGATTATAGGCTGTTTACAAATGTCCTCAATTTCTCCGTATGTGTCCTGTTCATGAAGCAGCCATTCACTGCCTAGAAAAAAAGGTATCCCGTCACTATGTTACAAGTTTTATCTTAATTTGAATGATGTATTTTCTTCTTTTGTGAAACCTCAATCATAAAATAATATTTTGGTAAGCAAAATATGTGGGCTGGGATTCAAAGAATCAAGAACAGAAGGGGAAAACGCACCAGTGCTATTCTTTTGCACACTTTTTGCAATGGAATATGAGAACATATAAGTGTTACAGTATAAAAAACAGTGAATATGGAAAAGATGGGCTGTGGTGTATAAACCCTAGTGGTCCATAAATAAGTCTTTATAATGAGCGTGTACAAAGTCTTACACAAGAGTTTAAGCAAATCTAGAAACTTCCCCAGATCTAGGGTCACCTTCCTCACCCAGTGCTCTTCTGTTTTGTCAAAAATGTGTTTTTTTTAGAGTGGGAGAAACTTTCCGCTAGCAGAAGGGCACCAGTCCTAAACTGGCAATTTATCTGAAACATTAGAAGATAACATTATGGCCCATAACAATTCTGATGATGAAACTACAGCAATTTCATCTTGAATGAAAGCAAATAGGTCTGACCAGAATCTGGTTTCATCCAATAGGTATGGGATCTTTTTACGTTAAATCTACAAAACAGAAAAGCTACATAGTGATTTACCTTTTTGACATAGCCTACTGATTTCAAAATAAATGTACTGTGACAGCTTGGCTAAAAGAGCATTAAAAAACTCAACAGATATTTACACTAAAAAGCAACTGAGGCCCCTTACCTTCTGATGTGAGAAACCATGAACTGGGTGCTTCTTCTGTCAGTTTGGTATTTGGAGGAAGGCTGAGTTTCAGTGCAAATTGAAGTGCCTGGCCAGGGCTCACAGTCAGTGAAGGTAGCTGAAGATTTGGAGCAGATTTAGGCAGCTTTGGTAATTTTGTCTTATCAGTCTTTTGCACAGATGGACCATCCTGAATGTCTCCGGTGTTGGCATTCTGGAGAGGTAGCTATCAAAGAAACAGAAAGGAAGGTTCATTTATTTTGAAGTATAATGTCATATTCTAAGACTTGGAAAAGTCACAGCCAACAGTTTGATATTGTTACTGTATAGAAAATATAATAATAACAACCACTGTGAAATCTACCAAACTTCCTTAGGCCTGATCCCTTATTTCAGAGAACCAAGGCCAAGAACAGGCACCACACTCCATTACAATGCCTGGGGAAACTTCTGATAGGCAGTGAGAATGCATAAATTGAGGTGGATTCCCAACACTATAAAGCAGCCTTTCTCAGTCTTGGGCTCCCAGATGTTGTTGGACTACAATTCCCATCATCCCTGGCTAGCAGGACCAGTGGAAAGGAGGATGGGAGCTGTAGTCCAACAACATCTGGAGGCCACCAAGATGGCTACCCATTCAAATACTGTTTTTTCTTTATCTTAAGATGACATGAACAATGTTTTAAACAAAAGCTGCTTGTTACAAATTACTATAAAGGAGATTTTACAGAATCTGGCACAATTTATACTTTTCCAGTGTATTTGTCAGCTTTCATGTCAAACAAACGAGTAAATAAATATTACTTCTCTTGGCAGTTTTGACTTGTTTAGATGCAAATGCTTTATAGTCTAAACAGATACTTAGCTCCATTAGTTCAAGAAAATTCACTTGAATTTGTTAAGGAATTTGTTAAGGAAGCATCAGTAGCAGCTGATGAGTGTCATATGGATAAAAAAAATCCTTTGAATAGTTTTACCATACAAAATTTTATTTATAAAAATATTCATAAACTACTCACTCATATATCATGACAGTGTACAACAATATATAGAGGTATATAAAACAAAACCCAAATTATCATAAAACTTGGAAAAAATACTTATATGTAAGTAAGGCAGAGTCAGAACCTGAAGGTGGCTGTAATATTGGCTAGAGTTCTTTACGTGAAGTACACTGAACAGTCTTATTTATCTCCCATGTTAAAAGCTGGGTTAATTTATTTAAACCAAAGCAATTTGAAACAAGTTTGTCATTGATGCTTCTTCATATGTTTCCTAAACAATGATGGAAATCTGATAACTTTACCAGAGGTTAAGGGTTGGAAACCTGATCCCCATCCTAGAAACTATGTGACAAATTCATGCCTATCAGTAATCTTGTAGGACCAGAGTTGTTGTATGGTGTTAATATCCCAGCCCTATGCAAAAGCTGGTATGTGCAAGGCCATCGAGAAATTAATGAAAGTTAAAGGTGGTAATTAAGTTTTACTCAGAGTAGACCCACTGAAAGTAATGGACCAAACATAGCATGTTCATTCATTTTAATGAGTCTACTCTTAGTAAGCCTTAACTATCACCCTATGATGACTAATTCTGCCTTGGACAAGTCTTATATTGCTGTTTCTGGGTATTTGTTGTCGTGTCCAGACTTTGGTTCCAGACAGGTTGTACTTCCTACGAAGGAACAAGTGTGCTGCTTTGGAGTTCTGCCAGACCCAGTCTTTTCTTTTTTCTTTGAAGTGACAAGGAGAGCTGGCAATGGTGAAGACTTTATCCTTAAGTTCCCAGACTTCACTGGGAAAGTGAAGTTCTAGTACTAGAGCAAGACCATTATGAGCTGGACATGAATGTCAGTGAGAAACTGGCCTAGTTAGTAATGGGGATGGGAAGGAGCAATTCCTGAGTTCAGTATCATGAGAACTGGTGTAATTCCTATGTTTTTAGAAGAAAGCACCTGATCTGCAGGAGTCTGTTAACTTACTGTGCCAAGCACAGAGGGCCTATTTATTTGATAAATAGTTTGAAGCACTTTGCACATGTTTTATAAGTGTTTTATCTCATTTATTTTCACAAGCAGGACCTATTATTTTCATTTTACTGGGGGAGGAGGGCACAGACATCAAGTAGAGAGAATACATGGTGCTTAAGGCTGCTCTTTAAGATGAGACTTGAATCAGGTCTCCTATATCCAAGTTGAACAGTGCAATGAAAGCTGAAGTTTCTGTATCTCTGCTTACTCTAATTGCACTAGTATCCTTTCCAACCTCTTAAAACAGATGGAACATTTATTTTAAGCCTAACAGGATATCCTTAACACAAAAGCTGTTCAGTTTGCCAGATCATTATAAAACACTATGAGAATGCATTTACTGCTATGCTTCATGCTATCTGGGCAGTAGCATTAGGATATCTGATGAAAGATGACCCAACTATAATAACTTATCCAAAGTTGAAAATCCCAGATAAAGTTCTATAAAGGTGGCTTACCAGTGAAACAATTTTGGTTTCTAAATCTAGCACTTTTATCTGATGATTGTTTGTGTCTGCAACATAGAGCAAACGACCTCCGTCTTCAACACACAGGCCTCCGGGTTCATTGAAAGTTGAGGAAGTGAAGCTGGAACCGATGACATTGCTTGCTTCTCCTGTACCTGCCAATGTAGCACAATTCTTCATCTTGGGATCTACAAATTTAATCTAGAGAAAAACAAAGCACGAGGAACCTTGTAAATAATAAAACAGAATTGTGTACTTATTTTTACTATACTACTGATGATAAAATTCTGAAAAAAGTAAAGTAGGGAACAGTGTCACAATTAGAGAAAATGCTGCCTGCTAAGTGTCCTGCTATCACAGAGGGGGAGCTAGTATTTCCAGTACAGTGGTACCTCAGGTTAAGTACTTAATTCGTTCTGGAGGTCCGTTCTTAACCTGAAGCACCACTTTAGCTAATGGGGCCTCCTGCTGCTGCCACACCGCAGGAGCACGATTTCTGTTCTCATCCTGAAGCAAAGTTCTTAACCTGAGGTACTATTTCTGGGTTAGCGGAGACTGTAACCTGAAACGTATGTAACCCGAGGTACCACTGTATCAAGAAGTGTGGTTTGTTTCACTCCCAACATACTATGATCTGTAGACAAGGTTTATTCTTGACTTACTGACTGTGGCTTGTTGGGACCAAAACAAACAACGACCCCTGGTTCAGACATAATGCTAACTCATTCATTGTTGTTTCCTCTCAATATGAACAGGGAGGACCAAAACAACCAAGTCAGGCATGTTCATGGTATACCAGCAACTAACATCTACAATGAAGTGTAAACTGGGCCACTGAACAAACTTCTTGCTTGCTACGGCATTATAGGCCAGTAATAAGATATTCAAGTGTTATTTATTAGCAGTATGAGGGATTTGACATACTCATAAAGTCACTTTCTTAAGTGTTTATGAAAAAGATACTATTAATAAGTGACTCCCAAAATTTCTGCAGGAAAAGAAGTGCCAAAATGCAAGCCCTTTTCATGTTTCTTGAAGATGTGCCATTTTTTGTCAAAGCATTTTTTGTCAAAGTGCATATGACCGTGCCAGCTATCTCTGACATGTTTTACAGGGCTCTCTGCAGCCATCATTACCATAGATCTGAATCACCACATCAGTAATATCTACAAGTGACCCATGTTTACAATGACTCCACAGCTTTTTATGAACATGACTAAGTACACAGCTGAAAGAGCTTGGGTTTGCATCATCAGGAAAACCTAGGGAAGAGGGAATGCAATTTTTCAGTCATCTGTGCAAATGTCCAGAACTTTCTCAGTAAACATTAGAAAGGAAATTAGCCAGCCACCTTCTACCACTCTGTCTACAGCTTTATTGCTTTTAGGTGTCATAAATCTGATTCCCGACGTTGGACTTGTCTTGGGGGTCCATATAAGCAAATAGGAATACAGCCTTAGCACCTTTATTGCCTCTCCATATAATCAAAAGCATCTTCCACAAAAAAGCAGAAGTTGACAAAAAATCAACTGTTATAACATACATAAATGAATTATAATTTCTTTTTTAACTCTAAATAACAGTTTTACTGAATATCTAAAACTTAACTTTGTAGTAAAGTTGGTGAAATGAAACTCAAGCAGTAAATAATGCATCATGCAGGCTCACCTTATGATTATAGGAATCTGCAACATAAAGGAGATTTCTTTTCTTGTCCCAGGTTACTCCTAAGGGATGCTGTAGCTTTGCATTTATTCCAGCTCCATCAATATCACCAAAGGCAAATAAATTCTTTTTTCAAAAGCATATATATATATACAGAGAAAGAATTATACAATTATTAAATTGGTTCAATTATTATTATTATTTAGCGCAAATAAACTAAGATTCTTGCTGAACATGATGGATCTTCAAACTATCAATTAAAAGCACAATAAAAGCATCAGCAGTTAAAGTTATGAAGTTAACATTTTGGAATGACAGGGAAGGAGCACTACCACAGTGATCAAGTTTATATTAACAATTGCTATAATAACTTTTATAAGACATGAAGAGTCATACAAAATAAGCTTACACACCACATCCATATTGGGCATCTTGTTAAATCAAACTTGAGTAGGAATAGGAACAAACAGCAAGAACTTACCATTGGGTCTCTTTCTCCTCCTACAAGGTGTTTCACAGCTCCATCTTTCAGAGAAATGGTGCGCAGAGTGCTGCTTTCACTGTCTGCTACAAAAAGGTAGTTCCAAGGCTCTTCAGCAGCAACAGTCAGACCAGAAGGCTGGGCAAAGCCTGCTTTATGGGGATATGCATTATTTCGGTTCTCTTCATTTCCACTCCCAGCAAACCGAAGGCAGGTTCCTTTTTTCAAGTCACTAAAGGGGAGAAATGGGCATTTCCATGAGTCCTGCCTTGTTATTTGAACACGCAGCCTGTCCCCCCCGCCCCATACGGTAAGTTTTTTACTTACTGTAAAAAACTTGGATACTTAGAATAAAGGGGAAAATCTTCCTTTTTTGCTTTTTACTCATTTTGAGGTAATCAGTTTTCTTTCCTGCTTCAAATGCTTCATTGGGAAAACAAGCAGGCCTTGTCCCCTTTCCCCTCTGTTTAAGCTTTTCTGAGTATACTAAGCAAAAACTACTGACCAACAAATACACTTGCTTCGCTGGAAGAAAGAGCATTTATGAACCAAGTGCTGATTGATCAGAACTGTTTGGATAATGAAGTAAAAGATGGAGAAATGTAAATACAGAAAAGTACAGCAAGACATGATGCCTAATATTTATTGCATTTATATCCCACCTTCTTCTGTAGGAGCTCACGGTTCTCCTCCTCTTCATTTAATCCCTACAATCCTGTTGTTAGACTGAGATGCAGTGACTGGTTCAAGGTCACCCACTGATCTTCATGGTCAAGTGAGGATTTGAACCTTCGTCTCTCAGGTCTTATTCTGACACTCGAACCGCACCTAGTAAGTCTACACATTCCACCCACCAATTATTGGCCTGGTGTTTCTAAACATGTTTAACATTCTAGCTTACCTTCCTTTTGGTAGTTTTCCACATTCTAACATGAGTGCCCAGATTTGATGTGTTCCTGCCATGGCAATCCACAGAACATCATCTTCATGAGTTGATGAAACTATAAAAAAGGATTAACAGTGGATGAGCCCTTGTTGGAAGATCTTCTCACATTTTTCATTAAAAAACAACAACCACCCAGCCCAATACTTTTCAAATATTCAGCCATTCAGTAAGATAACATAATCATATGTTGGTATTATTGAATGTACAGGGGGAAATGGAATAAATATAAGAATTGAAGGGGAAATGGTCAAAAAAAAGGTATAAGTTTTGTTCATAAGAGGCTCGTGCTTTTCAGAGGCAAGTCGATAAAAAGAAAACTGCCAAAACAAAAACGAGTACACAATGGTATTTAACACTGTGGAAGATGTGGAAAATATATAATGAAAATTAATTTGTAAATCTGTGTGGCATATGGTAAACACTCAGAATTCAGAAATCTTTGCAAACTCTTTGCCACACAATTATTATTATTTATTAAATTTATACCTCACCCTTCCTCCCAAAGGAGCCCAGGGCTGCAAACACACAAGCAACAAAACAATTCCAATATATAAAAACAATTCCAATACAGAAACTATCTGGAAATGAGCTCTCCTTAAACTCTTGTTGAAGGAGGAAGGTCTTCAGCAGGCACTGAAAAGACAACTGGGATGGTGCCTAATATTCAATGGGAAGGAATTTCAAAATAGGTGTCATGACACTGTATTGGGCAGAATGGGCCTCCTGATAAGATGATATCTGCAGTGACTGATTGGGCATCTAAGATATGAGACAATATTTCACTACAGAAACCTAAATGTTTATGTCACACAGGTTCAAAAGCACAAATACAGAAAGTTCTAGTCAGAAATTGCATCATCTGTCAAAGCTTGATAAAATGTGTCATTCAATAGCAGAACTAAGAAGAAAACCACTCTTCTTAGAAGCACAATTTCCTTTTCCCCTGTGGGGTGAGTACAGGAAAAGGAAGGGAGAGAAAGTCATTATAATTTCCTCTGGAAACCTAGGTCAAAACCTCCACAGTCTTTCTTGGCCAGTAAAAGCAATAACATGAGCCAATGGGACGAGATACGGAAAGAGAAAGGTACTTTGTACTAACTTAATTCTGTTATGCATAACTTCAAAGTCTTTAAATACAAAAAGTTCTTCTTTGAGTATTACACCTCCAGCACCTATCTGCATTGGACAATGAAGTTCAATATACCCAAAATATTAATCTTTGCTGGATCAATCTCAACTAAAAAAAAATCCAATAGATTCTAAAGCCATTTCCCATTGTTTAGGCTATATGATACATTCTAATCTTCTATTGCACACCTCTATTAAGATCCTGAACTTCTATCTTACAAAGATCCAATAAGCATTTATAAAGAGCAGTTATGGGTTCAGGATCCTTCCTTTCCTGAACAACACAGGATTTCCCCCTGAAAGGTTATGAACACATTTATTTATAATAATGCTTCATTTGAAAGCAGAGTGCATTCTGGTGGACACTTTTAGGAACTAACATTTGGGCTTGATAACTGAAATACTGCTGCATAGTGCTGCAATCCTATGCACCCTGGCTTGAAAATACAGTCCACTAAAAATCAGCACAGCTTTTTTTTCCAAATAAACATGCATAAAGATTGAGATGTCAGTGTATTTTATTTCCCCCCCAAATTTTATTGATGTAAACTTTCTCTTCAAAAGGTCAGTTAGTGCTGTGGTGTCACATGCAAAAGTACAGTAGACACATTTTATGTAAAGTAAGCATGCTTAAAATTCTATAAACATAAAAGAAAACAATTCAGTGGTTTTACTCTTTGATCACATATGGAATGCTAACTAAGATACGCTTTCCTCTTCTTCAACTCTCAGCTAATCAGGCAAAACCAGGGGTGTGCCAACAGAGAAAGATCCATAGCATTGCCGGTTTTGATTCAAACTGGCAATGCAAAGGAACGTATTTCCTTTGTGGGCACAGCGCAAGCTGTGCTTGCAGACGAACAACCTTTGTATTGCCAGCTAGAATTCAAGCTGGAGATGCAAAAGAATATTTGTGCTTAAAGCAAGCCCTGCTTTTGGGGTAGGTAAGAGACATGGTTGCTAAGGAAAAACTGGGAGCCTTAAAAGTGCACTCCCAGCTGTTCCTTGGCAAGCAAGGCTTGCTGTAACTGCCTATCAGCAAGTCTGCTTGGGCAGGGAATGATTGTGCTTTGGAGTTTCCGATCAGGAATTTCGTACCACAGCCGAACCTCACCCCAAGTGGAGTTTCCTCTAAGCACTGATCAACTGACTGATCCTGACAGCAAGTCTCACTTGCTCCCAACCAATTCTTTCCAACCACGCCACTTCCTGTACAACACCTGACATCACAGGTGATGTCAGGAATGGGGCAGGTAGGCATCGTTTGGGGAAAGCGGTCTTACAGACCAAACTGGAATCCGCGCTGGGCCTAATCTGATCTATGGGCCAGAGGTTTTCTATCCTTGGGCTAAACTGAATGCTCTAAATTTTTAATACAACTAGGCTACCTCAAATTATATTTTATCTTGAATGAGATTTATGGTAACGATATTATCTGCAGAAGATATTCACCTACTTGATTTCCCTGTACAGCAGGGATGGTCAATTTTCTATGAAAACGGATGCCACATTATTCCAAACAGCTGTCAGGTCTATAAAAAAGTTGGCAGTTGGAATCTGATAGGTATGCAACACGTGCACTCAGTCATAACACTGTACTGGACACAAATATGTCATTAAAAACTGCTTGAGGGGCTGTATCTAAGCCACAGACTGCCAGCTGACAATCCCTGCTCTAGAGGAAAAACAAACAAAAGAGAGGAAGACAAACTTTCCAGTTTGCCAGTTTATAGGCATGATCTAACATCTGTTCCAATTACCAATCAAAATGTCACAGGATCTTGATAAATACAATTATGAGGCTCTATAAACTAAAGGTGCCTATTTTGCACAATGGGAGATATTTGCGATCTTTACAGAGATTAAAAAAGCAAAGTTGCCCCCTTTTTTGTAAGCACTACACTCAATACAACACAAAGCTGCCCAGTATTTTATTATTTTGTAGCACAACGTAGGATTGCAGTACGTGCTATTCTTCTACCAGTTGCTTTAAAATAAAATAAAAATACTGTCATGCAGTCAACATGGGCTGTCCTTCCAACTCCTGTAGGTTGTTATCGGTGAACAATATATTACCATACACGCAGGTCCCACTTTCTGAACACTTGCTATGCGAAAGTTCACTAATCCAAGCCTCATTATATGCATGGCTGATTCAGATATCTGAACAGCCAGAGTCTGAACACATTTTGTGATTATTTTGTGCTTTGCTTGTTGGTGGCAGCCATTTTTGGCCAGAAACCATGCAGGGAGGGAGTGGGGAGATTGGACAAATCAGGGAACAGAAGAGCTGGACAAATCAGTTATTCTTTTGTCTCTACAGTGGACCCTCTGGATATGAATTTAATTTGTTCTGGGGGTCCAAGCGCACACCAATAGATCTGCATCCAGAGGCGCCGCTTCTGCGCACACACGCGGTGCGATAGAGCGCTTCTGCGCATGCGAAGTACTTCCGGGTTTGCCACTTTTGCAACCTGAAGTTTATGTTACTCGAGAGTAACGTAACCCGAGGGTCTACTGTATTTTGCTGGTTGGCAGCAGTCATTTCAGGAAGAAGCCATGGAGGGACAGGGGAGAGTGATTGGACAAATCAGAGTTTAGAAATGTTTCCATTGTTTACACCTTCCTACAGCTCTACAAATACAAATCACGGGTATTTCTTTTCACTTATAAAAATTCTGCCCCCTCCCTGTAATTTTGGGATTTTTTGCTGTATAGAAATTTATATCTATTGCAATATAGCACTGAGGTACAGAAAATTGTAACATAAACCTGGCCTAGGAAGTGTTAAGATAATTAAAATCATTGTTCAGGTTTCTAGGCAGATTGTTAAATATGCATATCAAGATAAACAATCATTGTATTTTAGATTTTATGGAAGCATTTTAAATACAAAGTAGTCTCTTTCCATAGAAAATGGCTATGTAGTAATAAAAAATTAGTCAGATCTTCCTCTAAGAAAATTACTTTTGCAAGAGATCCTAGAAAGAGTACATTTCCTACTGTATTTCCTGAGAGATTTTGGAGCAAAAAAGAGTCTTTCGTGACTCAAAACATGCATTCCATCACAAGAAGTGACGCAAACAACATTTTAAAAAATCAAACAGAAAACTGAAACTTGTACGGCTTTTGTCACTGAGCAAAGAAAGAAAAAGAAACTGTATTTAATATGTGTTATATTAAAGAAAGGAAGGAAGGAAAAACAATTACCATATATAGCTGTACCTCCTCAGATATTTTATAAAACACTCATTGTATTCCACAGTTCTGAACAGAGTTATGTTGAGATTCTCACTGCTTTTATAATCACATGCAGGATACGGCAAGGACTAAGGCCTTACTATATCACAACAGCCATTAATAGTCCAAAATCCGGGAAATAATTGGCTTTGCTCAATGTCTACAAAACAAGAACCAAAATACAGAAGTATTTTATATAGTCTCTCTTAGTTTAAACAATAAGCTTATTACAAAATAGTTTCATCTGGCCCATGAGCAAGGAATGTTATTTTTTAATCTAAAGTGGACATACTGCAGATTTTTTTTAATACAACAGATGAGCCTTATTGAAAAATCCCAGAGGAAACCAAAATATTATACTTAAACATGTCTCTCACTGTGCTAGTAGAATCCCCAGTTACACTTTACAATCCTTCTATGGATTTACCTAAAGCACTTTTACTATGAAACAGCTACCCTAATAAAAATAATAAAGTAATTCCTTCACTTTTATGCAGTTAAACTCCACATTCCTGCTAAGGAGTAGTTTCAAAGCAACAGCTTATCCTTATTAGGGAATATACATTCTCATTGCCAGCGCTGTTTGCAGTATCAAAGCGTTTTATTTTTGCTTTGCGATTACAGCTCCACTGTAAAGATGAATCAACAATAAAATGCAGATAGTGATGGATTAATAGTCCTCATAACTGCATTCCTTTTACCTTTCCTGTAAAAAAAGAGTCATTTTCATTCTATCTAAGAATTCCAGGACAACAATTTCTCTATAAATGGATTGACTCAGGTAGGCAATATATACGCCCAGCTTTCTCCACTATCAATAGTGTGCAGCAGCCCATCCTATTTACCATCCTAGTTACTTGGGGGGCAATTTCCCTAGTAGTCCCAACACAACAGGCCAGGGAAACAAAGGACTGACCTGCCTAGTAAACCTATGCCAGGGGCTGTATCACTTTAAACATGATGGAATGCTGCACCATACAAAACATCCCTTGACACAAAAACTAAATCTGGGGAAATGCTTATGGCTTGCAGTCTCTCTGGCACATTTCATCTGTGTAGAGATCTTTATTTTTTGAACACATATAGTAACATTCCATTAAGTGAGCCCTAACTATAATCTGAAGTTGCAAATCTGACACAGGTTGCCACCTCAAAGAGAATCGGGCTTGTTTCTCATTCTCCCATCTCTCTTGGACAACAGATATGGATCACAAACAAGGGAAACTGCAAACTGATAGCATCTAAATAATAATAATAGCTGTCACTAACATCTCACGTTTCCTCTAGGGAACTCAAGATGCCATGTGAGGTTGTATTAGCCTCACAACACAGAGGTAGGTAGTTTAGACTGAGACACGGTAACTTTCCCAAGGCCACTCCCTGACTTCATAGTTGAGCAGAGATTTGAAGCTGGATTTTTAAAATCCAAAGTTAGTACCAGTGACACCACACATTGACTTTCACACAGGGCTATTGGAAGAGCCAGGTATGTTTCTCTATATTCATTCTCTCCTAGAGAAAGGAACTTTCATTAAAATCTTTCAAGCGTTCAGTTTGCATCCCAAGCTATTCCTCTGTACACAGTGGGTAAACATACTTTCAACAAGTAAAAACATGACCAGAAACAGCAGCTATTTCTACTTAATTTGTTTTAAGGCTCTAGATTGAATAGCTCTAATGTTAACAAAGTTTATCAACATCCTTCCACTGTTCTCTTTCCACCGCATTACAGCCTAAAATTAGGGCCTGGTTACAGTGTGCCAAAGAGCCTTTGCTTCCCTGCATGAAATAAAATCTAGTGTATTCAGCACTGCTGGGGGGTCGGTTGCTTATTTTTATCAATACTGTCGCTTGATTGCTCAAATTGTTCAGTTTTATTTGGTTATAAAGTGCTTTAGGTGAGTTTATGTTAACAAAACGGTGATTAATATATTTGCATTACCTGATTTCTCATTTTGGAAACAAATTCTTTATCAATACAGTGGCACTAATTCAATGAATAAGATCAGCATACATATTAAAGCAAGTTGGATTTAAATTCACCTCCAGGGAAAGTCTTGAAGGATTCTACTCAACTTGATTTTATAGAAATTTCACAGAAGTGTAATCAACCTTTTTTTACAGAAATGAGGCAGTAATGCTTATTTACATACCGATATGGCACACAATTGCACCATAGCACAATACAGTAACGCTGCAATAAATTACTCTCCTTAAACCTGAAGTATGATGATACATGGCACTGTCAAGTGATGTACTCATTGTTGACCTTGGCAATGTAGAAACAATTAAAGTCTGCTGAACTTTACATAGATTTGTTGTACAGTTAATTGTAGTGGCACACAGAAAAGTTTTATAACTATTGCAGGCATGGGTTCAATTGCCCTTTTACAAGTGAAATGAACCTGAAGTATCGCCATTAAAATGCTGCCTGGTTCAAAGGATCAGCCTCAATTTTCTCCCACGTCCCTGAAGTACTACTTAATGATGAGACAGGTAGGGAACTGAAACCAGGTTTGGCTATGTAGCAACTGTATGTTTCTAAATAAAATATTTTTTATTAATAATTGTCTTTTAAAATATTCACATTTCTGTCTGCAGGATACAAGTGCAGGGTGAAAATTATCTTACAGCAAAGTTCAGTTATTTACTTGCAAGCAGAGCGCATACAAATTATGATATTGCAATGAACCAGCCCTTTCTTAACTTTTCTGACAATATGAAGACAAACAAAACCAACACAAATATCTGTGATGAATTTAAATCATACTTCTACCTATGACAGGGACGGGGAGCCTTTTCCCACCTGAGGCTCAGTTTCTCTTGTGGGTAACCTTCTGCATAAGTGATAGGAGGTGCAAGACGCAAAAATAGGTTTTTGTGACTCTTAACCTTGTACACTAGGTTACAGTCCAGTTACACAAAAGATCAGTGTTCCCCCTACCACCACCACACATCTCCATCGAAGCAAGCAAGAGACCCTATCACAGTTCAAGGACATCACAGTTCAATATTACAGATAAGCAAAAGAACTCAAGGAGGCAAAATGCAACTCTCAGATATGCACAACAGGAAGAAAAATCATAATGATAAAAAGTCTTTCCAAAATAGCAAACTGTATACAGTATAGGGAAAAGAGATCAAATGGAGTACAGGTTACCACCACCACCATTTAAGCAGAACTCTTTTGTGTAGTTAAAGAGAGGTCAGGTATGCTTGACAATCCCTGGTCTAATACAGCTCTTTGCATAGAGTGTGCAACAGGCTCACTATCTCTCAATTTCAGCTCAATCTGTTACCTCTCTCCTGCCACATACACTTCTAATACATAAATTATCAATGCCACTTAACAAAGCCATTAACAACTTGGAACCAATTTGCCTATGAGATCACCTTACCCCACATGTGCCAATTCTACCGTTTTGATCGACATAATTTGTTCTACTACAGGTACACCACACCCATTCCACATCTGCATGAACTTGGTCATTTAGTATGACAGCACCTACATTTCTGAACTCCCTATCTATTGATATCAAGCAGGAGCTTTCACCTTACACTTTTTGGTGCATGTTAAAAACATGTTTTGTCCAGACAAGCCTTCCCAGATGCTTAGGAAGTTGAGGTAATTTTAACATGTTTTAGTATTTTAACTTTTGTATGTTTTGAAGTACAGTTGTAATTTTTTTAATTGATTTTATTGTTTTATCTTCTTGTAAACCACTCTGAGGTGTGTGTGTTTTACACAATCATGCAGTGCATATATTTTATAAAATAAATATTCACTTACATAGTTCATATTCCCTGTTACCCTGCAAGTTTCAATATAGTTTACTTAAGACTATGTGTGCTGACTGATGCTTTTATAAATAGATGTAACTGTGTACCAAAATGCATATATTTTGGAATCTATATGCTGGGTCATAGCTGCCTTCTTTCTGAAAGGCACAGAGCTATCAAGAACATTTCACACTTCAGTCAAAAGTGCATTTAGCACTGCTTGCTTTCAGTGGCACTGAATAAAAATAGAAAAGGATGGTACACAAAGCTGAAATGTACATGACCATTAATAAAGTGCTAAGACTCCAAAACTATGTATATAAAATTCTGTTCAAGAACTCTAAAGCAGTAAAATATGCTACTTTAACAAAGCATGATAAAAAAGGGGACATACCCGTATTTTTCGCCCTATAGGACGCACCGGCCCATAGGACGCACCTAATTTTTTTTGGGGGGGGGGGAATAAAGGAAAATAAATTTATTTCCCCCCCCAGGCGCGGGGCTGGGACGTGGGAAGCCCGAGCTTCCCCCGACCCCAGCCCCCAGAACATGCAGCTCTCCGCAAGCCGTGGGAGCCCAGCGCCGGGCTCCCACGGCTGAAGCTAAGCCTGGGCGCGTTGCGCCTCCCCGCTGTCCCCGAGCTTGCGGGGCTGGCGGCAGGGAGAAGCAGGCTTCTCCCCGCTGCAGCCTCCAAAGAACGTCGGGAGACAGCGGGATGGCGCGCTGCACCTCCCCGCTGTCCCCCCAGCTTGCGGGGCTGCTGGTGGGGCTCTCCTGAAGCCTGGAGAGCGAGAGGGGTCGGTGCGCACCGACCCCTCTCGCTCTCCAGGCTTCAGCGAACGCCTGCATTCGCCCCATAGGACGCACACACATTTCCCCTTCATTTTTGGAGGGGAAAAAGTGTGTCATATAGGGCGAAAAATATGGTAATTGAAAGTTTGAACAAAATGTTCAATGTTCAAACATCACACTCAACTTAGTTAAACATGATGCGAACAAGCCGCAGCAAACCTCAAGCTAATGCCCACACAACTTGCTTTGTTCCTCCTGTGCACCTGGGAGGAATTTGGACCTCTCTTTCCTCCTTGCTTGCTTTTATGCTTGACTATCTGGGCTGTTGGCATTAGTGTACAAAAAAGAAAAATCCCTTACAAAATAGACAGCTGGCATACTTAACTGAATTTCACTTGTTATCTCCTTGGGTTAGTAGTCTCAAACAGATGGGGGGGGGGGAAAGAGCAAATCTTGGGCATAGCCACTGTTATAAAGTAAAAATTCCTTATCTTTAGAAGTATTTCTTGTCTCACAAAATAGACTGTATGCACTCACTGCATGTGCAAGAGAGTGAGAATGGCCCAGTACAGGGGAATACTTCCTGTTGTTATTAGACAGCAACAGCAGCTTTGCGAGAAATCAATATTGTGTGATTTCCACAATCAGGACCAGCAAGCCCTCCCATGGTATGTCTGAGGTATAGACAAAAGACTACGGTACTTGATCAAATGCTTCTATAAAGATACTGTGTTGAAAGTGTGCTGCTCCACAAATGGACAACTTACAGGATCTGTACCAGCCACAAAGGGAGTCAAGCAAGGGTGTATTCTAGCCCTGGAACTGTTCAACCTATATATAAATGATATTGTCCAGTGTCTAACATCTCCTGTGTAGCATGCCCCTAAATTGGCTACAACACCCATTTCAATTCTATTATATGCAGATGATGCGGTTTTTCTATCCCATACAAAAGTAGGCCTAAAAAGACTGATGATGGCATTTTCAGGATATTGCCAGAGAGTACAGCTGGCCGTGAATTACAAGAAAACCAAAGTCACGGTTTTCTCAAGAAACTATAGAACTCATAGATGGCGCACGGACAACTAGCTAATTGAACAGGTCAAAGTTTTCAAATATCTTGGCCTCATTTTCCAGTCTATGGGGTCATGGGGCACACCAGAAATGTGCAAAAGAAAAAGCGTCCCAAAGCATCCCAAAATTCTGACATGCTTTTTCTACACAAAAGGTGGTAAACATATACCATCAGTCCTGGAAGTGTTCCAAACAAAACCCCTAGCACAGTTGTTATATGGGGCTCAGATTTGGACAGGCACTCAGCTTGGATCTATGGAAGCTGCCCAATCAAAGATCTTAAGGCAAATTTTCTCTGTACTACCCTGTGTCCCAAACACATCATTGCGCCTAGAGGCTAATCTTCCCTCGGTAGAATTACGAATTTGGCGTAGGGCACTTAACTATTGGCTTGACCAAAACTTAACCCCCCCCCCCGGTCTAATAGCCCTAGTGCTGCAAGATTGTCACAAGAGCTCCTGGACTAAAATTGTCTACCAAAAACTTCACTTTGGTGGTTTATCACCACAACAGCTACTCACTTTCGGTTTTAGTAAAGCAAACAGTCTAATTTGTCAGTGCCTAAATCATACTGAGTATCAGAACAACTTGGCCACAATAAGGAAATTTTGCCCACGGTATGACAATTTTCCACCTACCCGTTTCGACTCTCTGGCACCCTATCTGCATAACCTAGCAATTCTAAAATATAGACGGGCTTTTACTCTTGCAAGATTGAATGTATTGCCCTCAGCTGTACTTGAGGGACGATTCCAACAGACTCCACACGAAAAACGCTTATGTCCCTGTGGAGATGGCAGTACCAAATCAGTGGTGCATGCCCTTCTGGCTTGCAGTCTTTATAAAGACTTGAGGAATGAGGTTATCACCCCTCTTTTATTGTCCATTCCGGGTTGCCCAGCCACTGCCACAGTGTCCTTTCTCTTGGCAGATCAAGATGATCAGGTGACAGCAAAGGCTGCAAGGTTTTTAGCTGGGGCAACTAGAATAAGATCCACCATTGATTCAAAACCCTAAAATGTATTTTATACAATTGACTTTTTATTTCTATTCTTTGTATATCGTGGTGTTGTTTTATTGCTATGGCCGATGGCTGACGCAAATAAAGATTCATTCATTCATTCATTCATTCTGAGCTTGCCTGGAGTCAGGTGTGTGTCTCTCTGTGTGAAGCAGCAATGACTGTACTCTCTCTAAACTAGTATTATGTCAAATAACCACAGCAGCCACACTGTGTTACGACATCACATGACAGACATTTTGTTATTGGTACTCACAGTACTTTGTCAAAATTCAAAATGTGTCTGCTGGCCCCCAAAAGTTGGCAACTGCTGAAATACAATCATATGTAACCAAACACTGAGAGAAAGGGGGCAAATTTGTTGTTTCTAAATAGCAAACTTCTGAAGTCTGCTTGTTTTTGACAGCTTGTGAGATTAATGTTACAACTTCATTAAAATACCTGATGTTCCAAAGACTACATCCCATGGTGAACTAATAGGCTGTTCCTCCCCTTTGGCTCCTCCTTCCTTATCTGTGCCTTGTAATCCAACTCCTGCAACAGTGCTCACCATCTCTAACTGGAGGTCAATCTAGAATGAAATCAGAATAATTTTATTTGCTTTTTATGTTATTTATCAAGTCTGGAAAAAATATGCTACTCTCTATTGTCTTAATGTGTCTTTATCATATTTTATTGCATTATAAATATTATAAAAAGCCTGGAGACTTTTTAAAAATAGATTGATGTACAAGTCTAGTAAATCAAATCAATTGCCTTCCATGTTCTTCAGATTTGAAATACAGTATGATGGGTAGGCAGGGGAAGCTGACTAACTGAATTTGTCTTTTATAGTTCTTCACATGGACCTATCTTTAATTCTTAAACGACTTCCCTTTGAAATATTACTGAAATGTTACTGGTCTTAAGAAAAAGGTAAAGGATAAAGTAATGTATTCCCCAAAAAATACTAATGGTGTTTATTAGTAAGAGAAATATTACGATGTCACTGAAAAGAACTTCTCCAGGTTATTCAACATTCACAGGCCTAATCTACACTGTAAAATTAGAATTGATTGACACATGTACAAACAGTACATGATAATCTGGACAGAAATCAAAAGGTACGGTAAATACTGAAATCCTAATTTTACATAATTTAAGTTGTAAGCGGCCTGAATAGCAAGGTAACAGTTGTTGTTGTTGTTGTTGTTGTTGTTTTTATTATTATTATTAGAGATTTAGGCCACAAACTTTGACTTGGACATCTTATGTACTCTTGCTCATAGCACACTCCAACTCAAAATGATGTGGGCCAAATTATAATGTGCAGATTCATTTGTGAGGTGTATATATGGTCTCATGTGAGGGGTCTGGCATTCAAGTGAGCTGAATAAGATAACCAGTTTCATCCCAGCCCTATAATTCCATTGCTCTGCTGAGTAATGATAGTCTCTTGCTTATATTCCTAGATATTTCCTAGAGGGAAAGGAGACAAAACACATGGTTTTGTAGAGCCAAAATGCAATTACTTAAAAATGGAACTGAGAAATCATGGCACACAGCATTATTGCATTCCATTCTCTTTAGGAAAGCATAAAACTGTTGTACCTAATAACTTGCCTTAAAAGCATATGCGAAAAGGAAAAGAAGTCTGTTCCAAATACTTTGGAAACATGTTTATAAATATTATACAAGATTCTACTTTCAGATACATTGCATAGTTACTTTCACATCCATTTTACCAATGTATCTCATAAGAGAATTTGGCCATTCTCCTATATTTTTTTTCTAGTTAGGAAAGTTTACCTTCCTAATCAGATGGTTTTCTGTATCTGCTACATAAATAATATTGTTCTTTATAGCCACTCCCTGTGGAGAACTGAATAATGCTTCTGAAAATGTCCCATCTTTTCTTCCACTGTTGGGTCCTGAAAAGAAAAGAAAACAAAAAAGAAATCAGCAGAATTAGAATTTGCATCAAAAGATTAACCATATGTAAGTGTAAAAGCCCTGAACTCTTAGAGAGCCCTGCATTGTTTAATTATTTAAGATGTTTGCCATTTATCTTCTTCAAGGAAAATGTATATTATTTTAAAAGAATATTCATATTTAAAATGTACTTGTGGAAATGGTCTTGAAATATGATTTATACATTTTCCAAATAATATTTTGTAGGCAATACAATAAAAACAAACCAGCTGCAATTACAAGGATTTTCTTTACAGCAAAGCCTCAGGTTTCAACTTCTGCAAGGCATTACACAGCTGTAAAAACAGAATTAAAAGCATTTACAGTACCTAGTCGGAAGCCCAGAGCAAGTAACAATTCATTTGTGGCAGACAACTTGCTACACTCTGCATGGAAAACAGTTTTTAATAACACTTTTTACTAGTACTAGGAAGGGTACCAGCGGCACAGAATTCAAGATCTGCCATGACAGCATAAAAGCTAATATGAAAGGCTTTCCTACATTTAAGTTCTCACCTCCAACAATGTGCAGAATTTGACCATTTTTCCTGACAACCACAATCCTGTGATGTCCAGTATCTGCTATTACCAATCTGTCCCCAGAGTTGTCCACTGTAATTTTGCCGGGAAAGAGCAAAGGCGAAGGTGGCAAATAGTCTCTATAGAGCTGTGCTCTAATTTTATTACCATTGATTTGTCCTTGTTCTCTATAATACTTTAGGGCTATGGATGTAAATAGAAATAATTTGTCCTTGTGTCCTTCACCAACCAGAGTGAACAGCATATTCCCACGAGGTCCAACAATGATCAAGGTTGGCCAGCAGGATACTTCTAGCTCATGCCAAAGAGTTGCATCAGCATCATTTACCACGGGATGAGTGATGTTGTATCTAAGGACAGCACTTTTGATGTTATCCAGAACCTTTTCATTTGGAAATTTTGCCGAATGGACACCAACCACAAGGAGACCATCTGAAAGCACAGATAAAACACAGACACATATTAAATGCTACTTAAAGGCAATAAAAAAAGATTTAAATAAAGTGCAGATAAGGCTGGATCAAAAGCAAGCTCCCTAAATGGTTATATGGAACTCTAGACTAGAGCATTTTGTAGTTATTTGGCATATGGGGGAGGGGGGACAGTTCAGAAGCTCAAGTTTTAATCCTCACAGTAGGACTGAGTTCCACTGAACATTATGGAATTTAGTTTAGAGGAGATATGCACAACATTTCATTGTTAGTATTAGGAGAAAGAATTTGCTTTGTACATCTATGACCACAAGGAAGGACATATCAAAGATGCCAACTGAATGAGAGAAAGGGCCATTAAATAAATGAAACCATCAGCTATGGGAGAAGGGGTAAAGAAGGGAATCAAGAATAGGTTTGCAGGAATTGGGGAATCAAAAAAGCATTTGTAACACAATAGCTGAAACTTCCACACAGAAATGGGCACAACCACAACGTATGCGGGCCTTGAAACCTAGTACTGGCTTAGTAAGGGATTTAAAATTAGGAACAAAAATTAAGTGTGCTATACTTGCATCCTGCTCCTTATAAAAAACATACAGTGGTGCCCCGCAAGACGAATGCCTCGCAAGACGGAAAACTCGCTAGACGGAAGAGTTTTCCGTTTTGGAGGTGCCTCGCAAAACGAATCTGCTATGGGCTTGCTTCGCAAGACGAAAATGTCTTGCGAGTTCCTGGGTGTTTTTTTCCCTTTTCCCCCTCTTTTTCTAAGTCGCTAAGCCGCTTATCTGCTTATCCGATAAGCTGATAAGCTGCTAAAAGCCGCTAAAAGCGCTAATAGCGCTAATCCGCTAATCCCATCAATGGGCTTGCTTCGCAAGACGAAAAAACCGCTAGACGAAGAGACTCCCAGAACGGATTCTTTTCGTCTTGCGAGGCACCACTGTACTGGCTACATTCTCATCTCAAACTGCAATCACAAAAGAGCTTGCAGCAGCCTCCCTTTCTCTGGTCTTTTTAACTCCATTGGCGACAGCTCCTGGTTCGCTGGTTCACACAATATGCTAAGACAAACCTTTGCTCAGCACATGGAGCAAAAGAGACAGAAAAAGGGCTTTGTGTCATACTTGCATGAAGATGAAAGCCCATAGGCTTGGATGTGGAGGATGTTTATCTGCAATTACAGAGGGCCTATTATAATGTTTAGTGCTACTGCAATCCAGGCCTGATGGTCAGTCATTTGCCAACAGTTCACATCAATCTTAGAGAACATTCAGCCTTCAATGACCAGAGCAAGCATCAAAACAACATTGTAAAGTTTTTCGTAGTTCGATTGCAGGTATGTTACTGCCTCCTCACAATGCCAACATTCCTGGAATTGAGTTTTCCAGAGAGTCAAGCTTGTAGTTCTAAAATTCAGTTATCATTATCTGGTTTCATTACTTTTTAAATTTATTTATAAATGTAAATATATCACTGAAACCTTGCCAAGCAAACCTAGCATAGAAACAAGCCCAAATTAACATTCTGCATTAAATGTTTCACATATGAATAAATGTTGCATATAATTAACCAGTAATCCGTGAAGCTACTCATCTCTCTAGGAACAGGAACTAATGTGCTACTCCACACCAACCTCAATCTACATTTCACCGAAGTAGTTTTTTTTAGCTATGGTTTTATGTTTTGCTAAAATATAGATGCTGACTTCAAAAACAAAAGCTGTTAGCTGCTTTGGAGACCGTACAAGGAAAGGCAGGGTATAAATATTTTAAATAAATAATGTTGATAAAAACCTATGTTCTCAAGCATTTAAGATAAAATATGAAAAAAGCAATAAACTACACCAGAAAAGTTACTACTCTTTCTGCTTTTATAATGTTTTTATATCTATTGACACTTATCAAAAGATATACAAAAGTTCATACCCAATACAAAGTATATTTTTATAATTACCAAAGCAAAAAGAAGAGAAAGAAAAAAGATGAAAAAAACTTCCGATTCTCTGTCAGTCAGCTAAATATAGTAACTTGTTCAAAGTACAGTGGTACCTCGGGTTACATACACTTCAGGTTACAGACTCCGCTAACCCAGAAATATTACCTTGGGTTAAGAACTTTGCTTCAGGATGAGAACAAAAATTATGCTCCGGCAGTGCAGCGGTAGCAGGAGGCTGCATTAGCTAAAGTGGTGCTTCAGGTTAAGAACGGTTTCAGGTTAAGAACGGACCTCCGGAACGAATTAAGTACTTAACCCGAGGTACCACTGTATTCACTCAGTAAAATCTAACTATTCTATTTTCTATAAGCCAATACACATCTTCCAAGAACCATTTGTGTGTCAGCTGTACACCAGTATCTAACGCTCATTATTTTATCATGTCTCAATGCCCCATGAACTGCTTTCGTAAGGAACTAAACTGACAGTGTGGAATTATGATACGCTGATACTTTCGTGAAATTTCCCATTTTTAAAATACATGCCAATATAAACTCATTACAGGGTGAATAAAAACCAGTAACAAAATATTCCATCTGTCTCCTGCAGAACCAAGCAGACTGCAAGAGTAGGGAAGCCTCCTAATCATTAGGCTGCTGGAGAAGGAATGAAGCTCTTAATACCTCCTCTGCTAAACTAGTAATTTTTGTGGGTTTATTTGCAAGGCTGTGCTTGGCACAATAATTAATTTCAGAATGCTAGGACTCAAAGTGTAAGGGAATGCCTAATCCCAGGAATGGGATTTGGTTCTTGTTAATCAGTGTTGAGGGAAAGGCTTTTAGCACATTTTTATAGAAATCACATGTCTACTGGGCTGAGCCCTGACATTAAACACAGGTTCTAATTCATTACATGTAGAAATTTGGGCTGCAATACTAATCCCACTTATCTGGGAGTATGCCCCAATGAATGTAGTAGGACTTATATGTGAATAGACATGGTTAGGATTGAATTGTTATTAAAAATGAATACTGTCCAATCAACTGTGGCATCATCAGTCTTAAATTACTCTAACAGCTTAAACATGATAGTAACCTTGAACTCATTTCATTATTGAAAAATGGTATGAAAAAATTGGCACTGTTAAACGTTAATGAGCAAAATATATCACTAGGTAAAGAGACTCCTGACCGTTAGGTCCAGTCGCGGATGACTCTGGGGTTGCGGCGCTCATCTCTCTTTACTGGCTGAGGGAGCCGGCGTACAGCTCGGATCCGGGTCATGTGGCCAGCATGACTAAGCTGCTTCTGGCAAAACCAGAGCAGCGCACGGATATGTCGTTTATCTTCCCGCCAGAGCAGTACCTATTTGTCTACTTGCACTTTGTGCTTTCGAAATGCTAGGTTGGCAGGAGGAGGGACTGAGCAACGATAGCTCACCCCGCCGCAGGGATTTGAACCACCAACCTTCTGATCGGCAAGCCCTAGGCTCTGTGGTTTAACCCACAGTGCCACCTGCGTCCCTAATATACCACTAGTAATGTCTTATCAGTGAATAGTGGTGCAAATTTAAGGAGAAAAAAAACACTTCCACCCAGCCCTCCATCTGCAAGCAAATGATATCAATGTTTCAAAGATTTAACCAATCTGCCCTTCCCTTCCCAAAAGAAAAATAATTATTTCAACATTCTAATGACAGCTAATTTATAAAAAAATAGTTATATCACCCTTCCAGCTCCTTAAAACAGAAAATCTCACAAGAATTTCCCCTACCCTTCTGTTATGTAGTGTTGACAGAACATTACCATAAATAAGATTCTAGCAGTCTGCTCTGTTAACAGACAGAACCCTGTGGAAGGTGATAGCTATCTAATTTCAAGGCCTCTTCCCACACATAAGATAAACAATTCCAACTCTTCAAACTGCACTGCATTTAATTACATACCAAGTGGAACAGATAACTTTAATTTCTTATTGATATTGAATTCAACTGCACCCCTTTTGCTTTCAATAGGGTCTGAAATAGGATAGCAAAACATTTCCATCTTGGATGTAGTCCAGTACTCTTTCATCCAAGCTTGGAATCAATGTTTAAATTCTGAGCTAGGGATTTAGTAAGAATAAGTGCATGATATAATCCTTACAAAACCTGGCAGCTTGTTGTCAGGCTCTGAAGACATGCTCATGACTTCAGGACAAGTTCTGCAATGGAGAGTCAAAATACCATTGCTCTGTCTCTGGAATAAAAAATGGAACTGAAAATGAGATACAGATTTAGTGTGCAAACTAGAGTTCCCAGATCTCTACTATTCCTTCCTGTTCTACTACCTAGACCTGGTGATATGGCAGATGAATACAACTTGGCCTGCACTCACAAGCAAGATGTATCTTAATTATTGTTTTGTCTCCTGATTATAAAGTATACAAAAGCTATAGTCCTATGCACACTGAAGTCCTTAGTGCTGAGTATGCATGCATAGGATCAGTTTTTTAAAAAAGGAATAGACAACATATCCACGAAGGCTTTAACAGAAAAGGAAAGGATACCAAACTACAAAATCTCTACAGATCAGATATATAACTGTAGCAGTATGTAGTGCCACTTCAAACATGAATAGAAAGGCTACTGTTTGAGCACAACATTCACTCTGTACCATGGAGAAAATATTCATACAAGAAAACATGCAGTAAACATTGTGCAAAGAGCTTGTTCAATGGTAGTTTCTGAGTAGTGTGCTTGCCAAATGCTTTCACAACCTTCTCTTCACACAATACAGTAGTCAAAGCAGAAATGCACACCAGCACCTTGATCCTAGCACTTCAAACTTGTGTTTCATTTATTTAATTCCACATCAAACATCAGTCTCAGTAATGTAGGGAAAAAGTAATTCAGATTTGAGAACACTTACATCTATGCTCTAGTTGAGATTCCTGCACTGCGGAGGGTTGGTCTAGATGACTATTGGGGTCCTTTCCAAATATATCAAATGTAAAATTCTACTTTGTGAGGATGCAGTTGGATTCAATCTGCACTGAAAAGATTACACAATAGCAGCAAACTGGCCTTCTACCAAAGTATTTCTGTCAAGAAGCACTTCCTCATACAGCAATCCAACAGGCCATTTCTAAACTGTTGATGTGAAATGAATGTGCATTAGGGCTTAAAATAACCTTGTGAATGCCACACTGGATGCAGAAATAGCACTAGCAATGATAAGAGCAAGAACATATCTGATAAACATGCTAACTGGCAACAATTCATGTTCTAAAATACACCTACAAAATTCCAGATGTACACGTTAATTAAAAAAATGTGATGACCTTGACAATGTCATATAACAACTCATTGGGTTTACGATCTCCTATCATGTAAATATAATAATGGACTTTTGTTTTAAAACAGCTACTTACAAGAGAATATCTGTAGCACAATAATATAAAATATGTACATCAGAACAGCAAGAGTTTATGCTAGAATTCTAAAATTAAGATATGTATTCCAGCAAAAAAATTGATAAATTTTAATTTTGCAAACTAGAAATTTGTACTTATAGTTTGCTTAAGTAAGACACTAAGGTTCATGCAACATGCTATTATATACTACGCAGTAACAATTTCACACTTAAAATATATTGGGTTCTATTTAACATAGCATAAGGGACGCGGGTGGCGCTGTGGGTAAAACCTCAAAGCCTAGGGCTTGCTGATCGCATGGTCGGCGGTTCGAATCCCCACGGCGGGGTGAGCTCCCATCTTTCGGTCCCAGCTCCTGCCCACCTAGCAGTTCGAAAGCACCCTTAAGTGCAAGTAGATAAATAGGTACCGCTTTATAGCGGGAAGGTAAACAGCGTTTCCGTGTGCTGCGCTGGTGCTGGCTCGCCAGAGCAGCTTCGTCACGCTGGCCACGTGACCCGGAAGTGTCTCCGGACAGCGCTGGCCCCCGGCCTCTTAAGTGAGATGGGCGCACAACCCTAGAGTCGGACACGACTGGCCCGTACGGGCAGGGGTACCTTTACCTTTTATTTAACATAGCACCGAGGGGATAATTCTGTCAGTATGAGAATGTTTTCTTCTCCAAATCAACAATAGGATTTGTTGACTAGAAATGTAGCAAGCTACTGGGTCTTTATGTCCAAAATGGAGAGCTCTGGTTTAATAACTAGGATGAAACCATGAAGGAAGATTCTAGCCCATTTTCCTGGTTTGTTAAGCAATATATATCAAGTTTGCACATAACAGGAAACTTTCACTTAATTCAATCCAGGATATTCATGCTGAAGTCAGGACACAATGGGAGAGGGGCAAGGGAGGAGAGCTTGGCCACAACACTTATTCCTGGCCCCACAAACTATGTTTTATGAAGAAAGGCATGATAACATTAACTAGGTCATTCTCAGTAAAGTGCACTTGGGATTCCAGTAAATTGTACCCAAGAACGTACATTAATGTGTGTACCTAGAATCCTTACTATGGAACATTGTCTAAGAGGCTCTATATGTCAACCATCAGAACCTGAATGCAAAATTGCAAATTGTAGACGGAATCAAGATTTCTATCATTCCACAATCTCAGCCAGTTGGCTGCAAATCAAGCAGTGCTGTGACAAACCCTTTGACAACCAGATCAGGGTTACAGAACAGGTGGCACCCCAGATGCTGTTAAGATTCCAACACCATCATTCCCAGCCCAGCAGGGTACATCAAGCAAGCTCAAAGGTTCTACTTCCCTGCAGTGGACTATGCTTCCCCACCTATGTGCAGTGCCAGAATATGCTTACTTATTGGGGTAAAACCAGTCAAAGCATAGGTTGATGATCACTAAATGGAAGATCATCAAGTAAAAAGGAACAATGTACAGTGGTACCTTGGGATGTGAACAGGATCCATTCTGGAGCCCCGTTCGCATCTTGAAGTAAACGTAATACACAACTGTGCGTCTGCGTGGGTCGCGTTTCGCCGTTTCCGCGCACGACGTCATTTTGACCATCTGCGCATGCACGAGCGGCGAAACCCAGAAGTAATGCGCTCTGTTACTTCCAGGTCACCGCGGAGTGCAACCCGAAAATACTTATCCTGAAGCATATTTATGCTGAGGTATGACTGTAGTCTCTTTAAATTATTTACAGTGCAGTCTTATGTATGTGAGTGCCAGTGATTTGAGTAGGGTTTAGGTTGCAATCCAACCCCACCATAGCTGTCAACGTTTTCCTTTTTTTAAGGGAAATTCCCTTATTCCGAATAGGATTCCTCGCAAGAAAAGGGAAAAGTTGACAGCTATGAACCCCACCCCCCACTCCCTGACAGTGGGGCTTTGCAGAGGAACAGAGAAACCATGGCATCTGCAGCCTGGTCATTCACAACAGCTAATGCAGAAGGAAGCAAGTATGATTGGGCTTGATTCCTTAGCCAGCTCTGGTTTGGTCCCAATGCTGATGCAAGTGAGACTGTTTTGAGATCCAGTGGATCTGAGACTGGCTCACCCTGCCTCTGGAATGACCTATTTATGTTTTATGCTGGTCCTCACCAGCGGGCCAACTGCCTGCCCATTTGGCAGGTGGTAGGAGGAGATTGGCACCTACAGAGTGCCATAAGTTTGTTTGTTTTTAATTGCTCTGCTATTCCCTAATAAGCACGCATACGATTGCATCCAAAATTAAAACAGGAAGGAACAGAGCCAAAGGTTCTGGACTCCAGGGTATATGTGATCAGATCAGCTTTTTCATTACAAAATTTTAAAAATGTTTCTTCTATAATTATAAATATACAGCAGGGCATTACTTGGAACAGGATAGCAGAATACATGAAAATACATTCATTAAAAGAAAGTGTTTAAATTATTTTCTGACAATGCCTATGAGAGCTACTGAATTTATTCAGATCAAATGCTATAAAAGATTTACAGGGTCATCCAGAAAAAAAATAAGACTTGTTGATACCTTTCACAGAGTACTTCTGCTCTAACTCATGGAGATCAGGCAGTATGTGAATACAATTGATGCAACAGTAAGTGAAGAAATCTAACACCACCACTTTGCCACAAAGGTCTTTGTACAGAGACAGTGATTCTTCTGTATTCAGCCATTGTAAATCTGAAATCAGAGGGCAAATAACTCCATTACTTTCAAGAAGCAAAAGTGCAAGGAACTATGCAAATTCAAAAATAGCAGATGACTACTGCTACATTCAAATTAAAAAGAAAACTTTTCATACATACATCTACTTAATATTTCATAATCTGTATTTTTTCAGGACTCCCAAGATAACCAACCTAACATAAAACTGGAAAACTACCCTATTTCACATTCAGGCATGCTAACTTTCAAAAACAAACAGCCACACGTCCAAAAGTATTTTTCATTTTGTTAAAGAATCTTTTTGACAACAAAATAATATTATTCAATTTTGATGTTGACATATATGATATATAACCATACACTAACTTGAAGTGGAGCTAATTCTTAAGCATCCACTTTCATAACTGGCAATTTTAACTCATAAGGAAAAGTAGTTGGCAGTTACTATTCTTTGCAAGGTGAAATAATAGTAGTTGGTTGTATTTTTTTACCCATCTTTCTTGTGGAATAATTCTCAATATATATACAATTAAGCACGGTTAGTTGGCATTATTACCTTCTGTCGAAATAACAGGTAATCTGAAGTAGTTTGAACCAACAAATTAGTGGGATATAATACTAGTGTCGAAGTCTGAAACAATGAGAACTTGCATCTGTTACTTATCCAACCACCACATTGTAGTGCCCGCCTAGCCTCACTTCAATGAGTTCCACTGGTGGTAGCTTTCACCTGTCATGTGGGTGGATGCACTGGGGTGATCCTCACTGGTGGTGCTAACCCACCAGCAGAGGCAGGCAGGACTGTGTGCAGGGACACTTCAACCAAACCAGTGACTGAGTTTGGGCTTTCAAATTTTAGTGGTCCTTTGCGACACCAAAATCTCTTCCTCCCCCCCCCATCATCATTGTTGCAGCGTACCCTCTTGGCTCAGTCTCCAGTGTGGGTGAATTGGCTTCACTCCCCTAAATCCACCTTTGCCCAAACCCCCTCCAACACAGATGTGAGGGTTGGGATTGCACTGCCTCTTCTGAATAGACACATATTGCATTTCAACTGTGTATGGGGCAGAACTCTGCATGCAGCAAGGTAGTCATTGCTTTTTTATAGAATCATAGAATTGGAAGGGACCCTGAGGATCATCTAGTCCAACCCCCTACAATGCAGCTGTCCCATACAGGGATCGAACCTGCAACCAATGTCTTATCAGCACCATGCTCTAACCAACTGAGCAATCTGGTCTCAGGCATCGGGCAGCCAAATATCCAATGATTTGGCGTAAGTACAAGTTAACAAATAACTTTGGAGTAAACATGAATGGAGTTGCAGCCTTGTTTCCCAAGATAGTGAACAAATACAACAACATAATTACTGCCCCTGGATCTAAGCATCAGCTACTGAGATTACAGTTCCCACTTGTACCTTATGTATTTGCTGAAAGGGTGGAGGAAAAGGGAGTTGTCAACACTGATACTATTATTTTTAATCTGGAATGTGTTGCTTAACATTGCTTGCGACCAAAGAAAGAGTTTAAAGTGAATGTGATGGGGGCCAGGACCATCCGTTTAATTCTGGATTATTTTTTAAAGATGTAAGAGAGACCCAGAATAATTTTGCAGGTGCAACTGTTTTTCACTTCTGCATGCAACTCTCTTTTCTATGTAGCTATTACCAATGCAGGTGCCTGTGTCCCCTTTCATTTCTGAAGAGAGGAGAAAAACTGGTGTATATACAGGGGGTTGGCGGCGGGGAGAAGAATGCAAAAGAGTTCTCTTAAGTTTCAAGACTGCAAAAACCCATTGCATTAAAAAAAAATCCATTGCAAACGTCGTTTGCAACATCTAGTTTCCAGCACCCAGAAAGAAAGAGACGATGAGCGGAAAGGGACGACAGGAGGAACACCAATTCGCGCTGCGAGAGCTTGAGGATGCGCGGAAAGGCGGCGTCTCAGCGCTGGGCTTTTGGCGGAGGTCCTTCTCGTCCAATCCTCAAAGCTCACCTGCTCCGAACTCGGGGACTTTCAAATCCCGCTCCCAGGTGTCCACCTTCCGCAGGTGCTGATATACCAGGTTCTCCTTCTCCTGAGCCGTCGTCGCTTCCTCCAGCGCGCAGTCCAGCTGGCTCTGCGCGGGTAGAAGGCCGGCCAAGCCCCCGCCGGCCGCCATCTTGCCTCTCCCTCCCGGAGAGAAAGAACTCTGAGAGGAGGACGCTGCCTGTTTACTGCTCTTCGCTTTCGCTTTCAGCACTTTCGAGAGACTGCTGTCTGGTCAGTGGAGCAAATCGCCCTCACACGTCCTACCGTGGCGGGGGAAATAGGGACGTGGTAACAAAAAAATAAATCGGTTTTTCGGACTAAGTGGTTTTTGTTTTCCCCTTTTGTATTTCCAAAAAAGCATCCCAAATCGCATATTCGACAAGAAATACACGATCATCATAATTCCAAGTCAGTCGATTCGGAAGAAAGAAAAAAAAATGGACCACACTTGGTAAAAGGAACATTTTTTTTATTTTTATTTTTTTTAAAAAAGGTTGAAGAAAATAAGAGGGTGGTGTTGTCAATTTCTTTAAAAGCAAGCAGAATGCCGGGGGTGGACATTGGCGAAAGCGCAGGGCGGTAAACGGCGTAACTTTCCAGAAGCAAAAATAGGCGGCGCGAGAGAGGCGGCAAAAGCTGACCAGGAAGGAAAGAATGGGAGGCTTGTCTTTGGCGCTGCCGTCAAACGTGTGAGTGAGGACGGAGGTGGGGGGCTGTTTGGTCGGTGTGAGAAGGCGAGGGACGGCAGTATCCTGCACTGTTTTCTGGTGCGCCAGGTACTGAGCTGAGTCAGAATCGGGCCCCTTGAGCAGATTCATGGCTTACTAGGGACTCCAAAAGCCAAGGGCGGCGCTTGCCACTGCTGCTGCTTTCCTTCTGACTGAGTAGATGTCTGGGGGGTTCTTCCCCCTCCCCTTTACGTTTAAAACAGGGGCACGTATGCAGTCGGGTTAATTTGCACAAGACTGTCCTGGGAAACAGAGTTGTGCTGAGTACACCCTCAAAGCACATTTCCCCCGCCTCAAAGAATTTTGGGTGTGGGTGCTGTAATTCACCTCTCGCCCAGTAATAATTTCCAGCAGCCCTCAGCAAACTACAATGCCCATAATTCTTTTAGGCGTGTTAATGTGCACGCACTTTGATATGCTGACACCATGAGGTTCTTTTTGTTGGGCCAGCGCTTGAAGACAAACAGAATAAAACAACAGCAACAACCCTTGACTGGGGAAAGGAAGAAGAAAAACCCTATCTTCTGTTTAGGCTACTGTCTTCTTCAAGTCAGCCTTCAAAGCTGGTGCCCTGTCAAATTTTCAGTTGTGATGGACAGATACAGAATGAGATGGAATAAGTGCAGCGTTCTCTTTTCCCTCTTTGGTGGTGGTGTATTGTGGTTAAAACAAGCCGCTGCCTGCAAAATGCTGTAACTAGAAGCTCACAATGAGGTTCAGGGGATGGGTTAGGGTGGTGCTGTGGTCTAAACCACAGAGCCTAGGGCTTGCCCATCAGAAGGTTGGCGGTTCGAATCACCGCGACAGGGTGGGCTCCCGTTGCTCAGTCCCAGCTCCTGCCAACCTAGCAGTTCGAAAGCACGGCAAAGTGCAAGTAGATAAATAGGTACAGCTCCGGCGGGAAGGTAAACGGTGTTTCCATGCACTGCTCTGGTTCGCCAGAAGCGGCTTAGTCATGCTGGCCCGGAAGCTGCCTGCCGACAAATGCCGGCTCCCTCGGCCACTAAAGCAAGATGAGCACCGCAACCCCAGAGTCGTCCGCAACTGGACTTAACGGTCGGGGTCCCTTTACCTTTACTTGTTTTCCAAAGGGATAGAAAGGAATAAATGTACATTTTTTTTGAAAATTAGTTTAATTGTTCTGTTTAACACAATGAGATTTGCAAACATGCAGCTGAAAATGTGGGGTTGTTCTGAAATTTACATGCTGATCCTAAACGTGTTCATTTCGATGCAAGATTTGTTGTTCTCAACAGGATATGTATGCAGATAGTATGCTTCAAACTGCAGATAGATTGAAGTGTTGTACCTATTTTTTACTGAACAGGTTTTGAGTTTCTTGACAGTTAGCTGGGTTAAGGTTGCCACAGCAATTTTTATTCACAACTCAAAACGTATACTCAATAGCCAGAATAATCAGTCACAGCAGTAATAATTCTTAGTTTTGCAGTGCTAATTTAACACCTATAAAATCCCTGGTATCAATTAAGATGGAATGAAATTGCCTGATAAATTCTAATCCAGCAATTTTGTGCTAAAGTTAACTCTAATTTTCAGTTATTGAACTTTAAATAGCCAAAAGACAGTTGGTTTTGCTGATTTAGACATAACATGGCCATTTCTCAGGATATGTCATACTGTGAGGGACTAGACATAATTTTGCCTCTTCTTATTGTTCTTTATTTCAGAATCATAGAGGGAAACAAAGAAGTCAACTGTACTGTTCCAGAGTACTCTAAGCAAACGTCCCATAAACTGAGATTATGACTTACCTCACAGATAGAAGAGAAAGACTTTCTACTATTCTTAAGTGCACTTTAGTTTCATGTTTAAATGTAATTTATTGAACTAAACCAAACTTGAGCTTTTTAAAATTGTGTTTGGTTATCTTTGTCATATACAACAAGGAGATAAAATCCAGTGTAGTGGAAGAAAACAATACATATATTTTAAAATGCTACAATATTATTAAATCTGAAGAAGATATTTTGTATGTTGTTGAGCTGTCATGTCTGACGTTAGCCTGTTGGAGGAAGACATTTGGGAGTACAAATCTATTCGGAAGCTAAAGTCAGACCAGAATTCAGAAGCTATCTGTACAAATGTACATAAAGCAAACGGTGGAAAGTCACAAAGACATGGCAATAGGAAAACATCAGAAGAAAAACAGACTTCGAAGATGACAAAGCAGGGACCAAGGCAAAGAAGTAGCCAAACACCTTTAAAACCAGATCTACATGTCGGTGTTCCCAATAATGACCCTGCCACACAGTCACATGAAGGCATTTCATTGACACCATCAAAGCGAAAGAAAAACTGCAAGAAGCAAACCCCTTCAAAAGATCGTCCAATTTATGAAGGACATTGCCCAAGTTGCCAGATGCCATTTTCTTTGTTGTTGATCCAAACACCTCATTGGCATGTGACAGAATGTTTAGATGGCTCAAGAACTGCTGAAAAAGGTACAGCCATGGTTGGGGAGAAGGTGTCTTTCAAATATATTTGCTACTGTGTTTGTGTGTGTGCTTTTGCCTTTAACAGGAGTCCAAAATTTGGAAACTTCGCAGGTGAAGCCTTTTCTATCACTTACCTCCATGTGAGGGAAACATTTACTTAAATTTCTGCAGCAGGCTGTAGGATGACATGTAAAAATAATAGTAGCCCTTTTTCAAAGTTGAAACAAACTTCCAAAAACTTACGTCAGGTTGAAAATTGAAATAACTGGGAAAGTTAGCATTATTTCATAATGTAAAAATGTTTATCTGATTTCAGAGAACAAAATCTTGCAGTTCTGAATTACAGGTTCTGGGCCAGTGGCAAGATATAGTCTTAAATACGTAATGCAAACAGAATTCAAAATGCTAGGTTTTTTTGTTTTTCTGATAACATTCTACATCAACAAAACATGAACAAAAATGATACAACAAGAAAAATTTTCCTTTCAAAGATTTCAAAGAATCAACAAAAAACCAGAAAACATTTCTTGACTTCCTATCCTCTCTTTCCATGGTTCCTTTTAACCCCTCTTTTCCTTGTGTTTTCTAAGTTCATCCCATCTTTCGCAACCATTTTATATACTTTATTTATTTCTTACCCTGCTGAAAATATTACCATCCTGCTAAGTAAATTGTTTGCTTATAATACTTTTCCATATATTCTATAAATAGTATCCAGTCCTCTTTATATTTTTCATCATTTTGGTTTCTTATTCTAGTGGTCATCCTTGCTAACGCCAGATATTCTAACAGTTTAATATGCCAGTCTTCTTTTGCTGGCACTTTTATCTGTTTTCCATTTTTGTGCTAATAATACATGGCCGACCATTGTAGCATATTAAAACAACTTTATTTCTTTATTGTAAACTGCTGATGTTATTAACCCCAGCAATAGTGCTTCTGGGTTTTTAGCAAAAGATTTTAAAAACATTTTTAAAAGTTCAATATAAATCATTTCCCAATAATTTTTAATTATGCTACACAACCACCACATGTTGTTTTACACTTCCAAAAGTTGCCCTTTATTGATTTTTACATTTTTGCTAATTGGTCGTTGTTTTCAATACCACCTTCATAAAGTTCTCTCTTAACATATAGCATGCCGTAAATCTTACATTTGCTTTCCACAGTTGTTCCCATAGTATAAAATAAATATTGGGTCCAGCTTAAATGTTGTCTAACTTAAATGTTGCCTGAAATGCTAGGTTTTACATATACAATTTTACAAAGCTAAAGTGCCAGCCTGTGCCTTGTGTTATCTTTTGAGGTCCTTATCTTAAGGGCATTAATGTTACTTGTTTCTGCCTAAGGAAGCAGATCACAACGTTACATGTTGTTATTTTGTTTTCAGATAGTTGAAAAGTTTTCAGTCAAGACATTGCATGCTGTTCTAATAACAGTTATTTGGATGTGAGACAATTCATTTCCAAGGAACCTTATTTCTGTGTAAGAAGGGAAGAATGTATTGCCTTTAATTCAGAATAGGGAGGACTTTCTTGTACATCTTCATGCATGCTGAAACGTCCTCTTTGAAATTAAAGGCTCTCTTCTTTCAAGTGGTGCTGTCATATGACATCAGGCATTACAGTGAACTAACATCTATCATACATGTACTAAATTTGAGACTATAACGCTAATGTACAGAAGGTTGACAATTGTCATATTTTTTGTGTTTTTTAAGTAAACCTTTTGGGAACCATGTTGTTCTGTAAGTATACAGTTGTACTCAAAACACATTTTGTTTTCTTCCATTCCCAACATGTTTTTGTTTCTTTTCTTAGAGTGCCCTGATGGTCTTCTGTGTACTTCAACTATTCCTTCTCATTACAAACGGTATAGCCACACCCTTCTTGCTGCAAGCAGAGCAGGGGAATATGTTGCTGAATTTTCCTCATCTAACACAGAAAATGATTTATTTAGTCTTGGTACTGCTTCATCCATCAACTGCAGTGCCTTCAGCGATGGGGTGTTGCAGGATCTGAAAGACTTCCAGAGTGTGGGAAAACCTCCAAGACAGTGCTTTCTGTTGCCAAAAGCTACAAACGTTACAGAAAATGTTAAAGAATCTGAACACAGTACACAGCATACAGATGAAGTAAAGCTGGCTGAGTGCTGTGGTTCTCTTTATCAAGAAACTGAAAGTGGTGAAGATCTGGACAGTGGCTCTTACCAACGAAGTACGGTAATCTCAGAAGCAGACCTAAGTGACTGTGATATTTCCTACTCTCCACTTAACACAGATGGGGAAGACACTATAGAGACAGATGACGAGGAGAACATAGAGGTAGAACGTTTTAGAAAAAGGCTATTTGATTTTGGGAGCCTAGAAGACAAAAGTGGAAGGATTGGAAGTTTTAATAAGCCACTAACTGCTTCACAACTAAGTGACCAGGAACACAACATAGAGCATAATTTTACAGTAAGCAGTGAATCCTACAAAACATTAAATGCATTCCAAAGTGTGGATGGTGTTTGTAAGACTCTCTCTCAAAGTAGCATGCTTAGCAAAGTTTGCAGTTCAGCAAGTATATTGGATCAGTTGAAACATCCCACAGAAGCACCCATTCCCCCTGTTGAATATAAAAAAACTCTGGAGAAACCCGAGGAGCTAAAATTGAGTGCTTCAGCTTTTGATGCAGGTGAATGTGGGTGGGGCAACTCTGATTACTCTAATTGGGCCTCTACAGAGTCTGCTAAGGGCACATTGCTTTCAGAATTTAGAGAAGAAGGTACTAAGTCTCCTCTACCTGGCCTAAGAGATACTGTGGAAGAACCCAGTAGTAGCTTAGTTACTGAAGGTAAAAGTGTTACTGGCATATGTAGAAGCAGGTTGGCTCATAACAATTCATATTCAGTATCAGAAAAAGTGGGAAGGCTTTGTAATAACATAGCTATGCCTGTTTTCCCAAGTACAGTCTCTAAAACACTGCCATATGTTTCTGCTGCTAATGCTGAAGTCAAAACCACTCCTGCCAAGGAACTAAAACAAATGGATATTGGTGTTTTCTTTGGGTTGCAACCGAAAGCCAAAATGGAGAGTAACCAAAAGAAAAATCTCTGTGAAAGTACACAGACTTTGAGTCCACCGGCTGCTGCAGGAAAGCGGCCCGGATCTCGAAAGAGGAAAGCTGAAGGATCAGTGGGAGAGTCTGATACAATCAGAGAAAGTTCAAGCAAAAATGTCATCTCTGCAGATCCAACATCTGGTGGACAGAAAAGGTGGACAAAGAGGTTTAGGGAGGCCTGTCCTGCTGAAGAGGGAACAAGAAAAAAACAGTGTCCCTTCTATAAGAAGATACCAGGTAGCAGGCTCTATTTTGTTTTAGAACTGTAATTCTCCTTAAGTATAAAACATCTTTTCATCTTTTGTGCTATGTGAAATTCCTCTTTGAAGCACTTCTTCATCTCTTTTTAAAGACCGCAGTTCTGCTCTTAAGATGGGAGGAAGCCTTTAACAATCACCAAAATATAAGTAAAAGAGCGAGCATTGCTATGAGTTCCCATTAAAAACCTTATTTTGTGGAGAAGTGTGAAACTATAGAATAGTAATAGTAATAAGAGTTACTTTATATTCTTGAAGAATAGGACTAAATACTCTTAATTTTTTAGAAAGAGTATTTAGGAAAATAAGTGCCATTAAAATTTAATTATGTTTCTAAATCTGAAGCTCATCAAATTCTGTAACATTGTCTCATATATTATTTAAAGCTTTCTATGAAATTGAGCATTTCATATGAAATTTCTTTCTCTTCTACTACACATTTGATAAATTGTTCGTGGAGCCTCATCCTGTGCATATTTCTTTGGAAATAAGCCTTACTGATTTCATGGGGCTTACTCCCAAGTAATTATGCATAGAATTGCAGCCTCAAAGCTCTTACAAGCATGTATAGTTTTACTCAGAAGTAAGTCCCATGGTATTCCCAGATAAGTGTGCACAGGATTGCAGCCATAGTATGTTGAATCATACCAACCCACAAAAGAATGTAGCAACTCACGTTTTCAAGATTGCTTATTTGAAATGCTTCACTGGCTGCATTTCATGTTGACCAATGTTACATTTCCTGGGTATTACACCCAGAACTGGAAACTATTCTATGCATCCCTTGAGTTCTCTTAGTCCTTGCTCTTTCAGGTTGCAGTCTCCTGAATTTCCAACCAATATTTCTGATGTTCACCACCTCTGTGGCTCTTGAGCCCTATGCACAGGCAATCTAGGATTCTGTGCTAAAATAATTAACTAGGTTAAATTATTCTAACTGTGTGTATTTGCGTATTTAATTGTTTAAAAGTTTTCATTTGGAAGTTTGTGGTGTTTTGCGATGACTGGCCAAGAAAGAGAGGGACTTTGATCAAAAGTGTAAAAAATTAATAAATACACAAGATGTGTTGAGAGACCTGGTACAGATTATATTTGCTCTGGCAGTTAACCTCTTTGTCTTGTGTCACTTAAACCCTTCCCTTTATTTTCATTCACTTTTTAAATTGCTAGTGGTAGTTGTTGACCTTGGCAATTCCAGTGTACATTAGCTGATTGGCTGTTCTTGTATTAATTTGTTACAGGTACAGGTTTTGTAGTAGATGCATTCCAGTATGGAGAAATTGAAGGATGCAAGGCTTATTTTCTTACACACTTCCATTCTGATCATTATGGTGGCCTAACTAAAAAGTTTACATTCCCAATATATTGCAATAAGGTAGGTTTGGGCTCAAGGGTGATGTGCACAATAAGAGTTATGCAGTCTATGCAAATGTTACTGATACACAGCTGGTACATTTAATTTTACAGTTGACTTGAATAAATCTGTCATTTACTTCTGGGATTTATCTTTTTGGGGTTAGCACAAATGGTGGTCAGGAGCTGCTAGAATAGCTAACCTGACCTTCACTTAGTTTTTTAAAGTCATCCTTACCACTACTGTCCTTTTTGCAGAACTGTAAGTTGTAATATTGAAGAGAACAGAGCACATGCCAAAATCACAATGTTCAAGAGTCTCTAGCACAGAGGAGACAATAATCAATACCAGTGCTCCAAGCCTGTAAGATACATGTTTGGAAAGAGCTTATCTGTTATTTATTATTGAAAAGGGGGCAGGGTTGAACTATGGGTTGAATCTCTTTCTCCATTCTGAATTATAAAACTGGTGATAGATGACCTATATCAATAAGTTTGTCTCCACCAATACCCTTGCCTCAGGTCACTGATGTGTATCATGCTCTGTTTCTTTAAAGTTACATACTAGACATTTTACAATTCTAGCTTGCACACACATCAATTTTCCTATTCTGTAATATATAAAGGAGAAAATAGGGAAAGAGACAGACAGACAGACAGAAACAGAGAAAGAAAGAAAAGAACAAGAACAAAAAACCCATGGGGTAGTGGGGTGAGCAGTTTAACCGGAATAGAATCATAGAATCATAGAGTTGGAAGAGACCACAAGGGCCATCGAGTCCAACCCCCTGCCAAGCAGGAAACACCATCAGAGCACTCCTGACATATGGTTGTCAAGCCTCTGCTTAAAGACCTCCAAAGAAGGAGACTCCACCACACTCCTTGGCAGCAAATTCCACTGTCGAACAGCTCTTACTGTCAGGAAGTTCTTCCTAATGTTTAGGTGGAATCTTCTTTTCTAAAGAAATATTCTGCCAGATATTCTGACATTTACTTTTCTATATTTTCATGTAAATATTTGTTCGTAAATGGTGATATTTTGGAAATCAGTCACAGTTACTGTAGCAAGCCTTGTTATTCAGTGGGCTTCAGAAGCTTTGAGCTTGAGAGCCAGTGTGGTGTAGTGGTTAAGAGTGGTAGACTCGTAATCTGGGGAACCGGGTTCGCATCTCCACTCCTCCACATGCAGCTGCTGGGTGACCTTGGGCTAGTCACACTTCTTTGAAGTCTCTCAGCCCCACTCACCTCACAGAGTGTTTGTTGTGGGGGAGGAAGGGAAAGGAGAATGTTAGCCGCTTTGAGACTCCTTCGGGTAGTGATAAAGCGGGATATCAAATCCAAACTCTTCTTCTTCTTCTTCTTCTCTTCCTCTGTGTCATCTAAAGTAGTAGATGGTTCATTTGGGTGGGTGTTTTTTTTTTTGCATCAGCTACAAACGAAATATTGATTAATTGATTAAACAGAAACATAGTAATGTTAAACACTTTCTGTTGTTCAGATAACTGGAAATCTGGTGAAGAGCAAACTTCGAGTGGAAGAACAGTATATCCATGTCCTGCCAATGAATAGTGAATGCATAATAAATGGCATCAAAGTGGTGTTGCTCGATGCTAATCAGTAGGTATCTTTGACAGAAGCAAGGTCAATACCAAAGGAGTTAAAATGATGGACTTAAGTAGAGACCTGCTTTCAAAAACTGTAGTTCATGTTCAAAACTATGTGGATCCCAAATAAAAAATGGAATGTCTTTCTCTTCTTCCCCCTTCTCTGGCAGTTGTCCTGGTGCTGCAATGATCCTATTCCAATTTCCGAATGGGACTAATATGTTACACACGGGAGACTTCAGGGCAGATCCTTCTATGGAGCGCTGCCCTTTTCTTGTTGGTCAGAAAGTTCACACTGTCTACTTAGATACAACGTAAGTTGCATTTCAGTGATATGCTCTTATCCTTGCTATGTAAAAAAACCAAAAACCCAAAAACACCACAACCTGCTTAGCCTAGACTACCTTGAGCCAGTTTGGACGATTACACACTGGTTTATTAAACTGGGATATGAACAACTGTTACTTACATAGTTCTTTGCCTCTTCTATTCACTCTGGAAAGCGTAGCAGTTGGAAGCACCATAGCAGACATCATTGTTGGGAATCCACCTTTGAACCTGGATTTTGAGAGGATAGTTCCCTAGAAAAAAGTATAGAACCTTTAGCCAAAACCTACAGACTTGACTTTGGTCAGTGAAAAGTAACTTTTACAGTCTTGGAAAAGCCCAGTATGACTTCTCCCATATACATTGTGATGTAGAGGAACTCATAACAATGTAGTTTATGGTGAGAGCTTTAAAAGGAGACATTTTATCTCCTGCATCAGGTGCAGGTGCTTCTGCCACTATTAAGAGTCTCCTTGGCAATTGGCACCTAGCCTGAAAGAAGGACACCATTTGCACAAGCTTCCAAGTCTCCTTTTTTGGGTCAGGAACTTTCTCTCTCACAGATGCACCCTTCCCACTGCTCTCTCCCCTTCTCCCAGCAGTGCAGTATAACCACTCTACTGTGCAGTATATGCTGGCGAGCTGGGGACCAGGTTCTAACAACTCAGGCAAATCGTAGAATGTTAGAGATTATCTTCTCCAACCCCATATAACTTGATGTGGGTTTTACAAGATAGGATCCAACTAAAGCATCCCTAATAGGTGAATACCTCTAGCAAAGAAGAACCCACTATATTCCGAGGCATTCTATTCCACTGTTAAATGGCCCTTACAGTGTGGAAGATCTTTCTACTATTTAGCTGAAATCTAATGTACTAAGTTGTCCTTTGCACTGATGGTTGAATTATATATCCCAGGAACTGCTGTCTGTCTCAGCACACCATTGTAACTTCCAATATGCTGCTTCTGCAAAGTTAGTCATTGTTATATCTCTGTAGAGCTTGATCTTTCATTGCTATATCTGGTGTAGGCCAACTGACAAAGCAATGTGATTTTTTAAATATGTCTTCTCTTTGCTTTTCTTAGATACTGTAGTCCTGAATATACTTTTCCTTCCCAGCAAGAAGTGATTCAATTTGCTGTCAATGCGGCCTTTGAGACAGTGACTTTAAACCCACGGACTTTGGTTGTTTGTGGCACATATTCTGTTGGAAAAGAAAAGGTCTTTCTAGGTATGTGAGTGAACATTCCACAAGAATTGCAAAGATTCTTTTTAAGAGTTAATATTTTCTTAGGGAAGAACATTCAATGGAATCTATTCTGAAACTTCTACTAATAACATGGTTGTGTTTTTTTTAAGCATTACAGCATTTCTGTAAAAGTACTTAAATTTGGAGCACAATAGGCTTCTTGGCATGGTGCACAGAGAAGAAATAGTCTATGACATGAACCGTTTGCTGATGGCTGCCCCTTTTAATAATGCTGCAATTTTAAAACACTCTAGCTGTATTAATAGTCCTGTAAATGCAATGCATTTTTTAAACTTTTAACCTCAGCTTCTTGGTATGTGCATTAACTTTTCAAATGCAATGTAATTTATTTCCATGCCAAATTGGAAACAGTTGAAGCGTGTATGTCAACGCTTCCTGACATCCACCCACCACCCACTTGTAACTAAGCAAATCTTTCAACCGCTTCAAACCTTTCATGGCCTATGCTTAAATCACTACCCTTCTAAATTCTACAGACCTATTAGCTGAATGTTTTTAATCAGACAGCAGATACTGCTTTTGATGGTTCTTTTTGAAAGGAATTAGTGGGTGTCCCTGGGTTACTCACAAGGGGGGCCACCACGAAAGGGTTGTTCTTCTCCTTTAAAACAACACGTACAGGCTGCCAGCTTCTAAATGAAATATTCATTCATTTCCTTGAATAAGAACCTTTTATCACTGTAGCTATTACTTCTCCTAGGTAAACCACAATAGTACATTCATATAAAGACTCAAGCATGTAAAAATCAGACTTGGTCAATGTTTATAAAAAATGCACTTCTTTAAAGCAGGATGGCAGACAGTGAGAGAAGCTGGTAGGCATGTTTTTCTAACTTAGGCCAATTCCCTAAGTTATTGTAAACACTATTGGATGACCTGGTGTCTTCCAGCTTTTAATCTGCCACAAGCCAAAAGCAGAAGTGACTCGGTTTAAAAAAACACTTGGACATGCCCCTGTGATGGTAACTGAGCATTAAACTGATTTTTTTAAACACTGAAGTTTTATTTTCCTTGCCCACTTCTGTTTCCATCATGTCATAATCCTTCCTCCCCTTTCTGTAGCTATAGCTGAAGTTCTAGGTTCAAGAGTGAGCATGTCCCAAGACAAATACAAAACACTGCAGTGCCTGGAATCAGCAACAATCAATTCCCTTATCACCCTGGACTGGAATAACACTTTGCTTCACCTTCTACCCATGATGCAAATTAATTTTAAGGTAAGTATTAAAACTGTCACTTGTACTCATCTGGCTAAGCTTAAATTGGTGGGGAGAGACAGAAGTCGATCATCTTGTTCCTAACATCATATTTAAAATTAAGGAACAAACCACTTCTCGGTACCTCTCAATCTAAGAGTTTATTTTCAGGGCCAGAACTGAACAGTGCCAGTCCTTTCACACATATACGCAATCCTGGTTTTCTCCCAAGTTTTCTTCATTTTAGCAGCCTATTTTTTTTGATGGGGTGTGTGTGAAATTGTTAAACATTTGAGAGTCCAGCTGTTCAGCATCACAAACACCTGTGCAGTTGCTTTAAAGTTATTTCTAGTGGCTGTGCTTTTATTTCATTACTAAAGAGTATACATATTTCATTTTCCATTTTGTTCTTTATATAGACATTTCTGACTTAATAGCTTATATTCAAATTGTGTTTGGTTTGATTTGGTCTGTGTCACTGCTAGTCTTTGCCTTCTATTTTATGTATTTGTAGAATCTAATTTCCCTTCACTTTCTTTCCTGCATTTATTTGTTGAAGTTTCTTTTCCTGCTTCTGATGTCATACAATTTTCTGAATACTAATCTTTCCAGGTATTTTCAAATGGATGCTCTTTGTACAATGACTGAACATACATGAAACAGATCTTGACATAAAAAGCATTGATTATCTTTTAAATCCACACTAAGTTTATTATGCTTTCCGTGGACGAAAACAAAGTCTATGCTAAAAAAATTCATCATTTTCACTTTTAATGTTTGACTAGCATAAAGTCTCCATTGAGAATTCTTAGTCTATGTCAGATATATTTATTTTTTACCAATCTGACCAGTGGAAATTTCAAATTTTGTTGCTACATATTATGTAATTTAAATGAATGTTTTTGAAGCTTCTTAAAACATTTTTTTCTACTAATTGGCATTCGCTGTTGACAGAATGGACTCTGAAAGTGTATAAAATGCCACAGCTTCCATTCTTATCTAATTTGATTACACTGGTCAACAACAAATTTGTTGTCTGCGTTTTTTCAGTTGATTTAGAATGAATCTGATGCGCTGAATCCAAAAATCACATTGGTTTTGCTCAATCAGGTCAAGTTTTTGAGCTATGGCCACATGTCGTTTTTTTACATTTTTGTTCACATGTACGCTTGTGTGGAGCATTTTAGGAGAAGTTGGTGGGGGTAAAATGCCATGTCAAATAATTGTTTTGATTGGAAATGATTATTTTAATGACAAGAAGTATTCAGGTCCGATAGTTCTGGGTGATTATGTCGAAAAGGGATCAGTTTGAAGTCATAAAACCTTGAAATCTTCCATAAATTGGTGCGGCAAAGCATAAAGTTGCTTACCATGCTTATTTTGGTATTAAACTTGGTGACCAGGATAAAGCTTGGGCGCCACACATGGTGTGCAAGGCATGCACCGAGACTCTACGTGGGTGGACCAATGGCAAGAGGAGTCTGAACTTTGAAATTCCCATGGTTTGGAGGGAGCCAACAAACCATGTCACTGACTGCTACTTCTGCGCTGTTGATGTGACTGGGATCAACAGAAAGAACCGGAGCAGCCTCAAGTATCCTGATCTTCAATCAGCACGTCGTCCTGTAGCTCATTGTGATGAAATTCCAGTGCCTATCTTCGGAGAACTTCCTGACATTAGTGACGAAGATGCCTCCAGTGTTGAAGAAGAAGAAGTGGTTCTTGAAGATGATGCTCCACATCCATTTTCCCAAAAGGAGTTGAATGATCTAGTTCGCAACCTCAGCTTGTCAAAGGACTCTGCCGAACTGTTGGCATCCAGATTGAAGGAAAAAAACCTCCTCTCTGACAGTGCTCGCATCAGCTTCTTCCACAACAGGCATCAAGAGTACCTCCGTTTTTTCTCGGAAGACAAGGACTTGGTGTACTGTGCAGATATTGCGCAGCTTCTGCTCAAGCTTGGAGTGCCACAGTACGAACCCAAAGATTGGAGACTGTTCATTGACAGCAGCAAGCGATCACTGAAATGTGTTCTGCTACACAACAGCAACCAGTTTGCCTCTATACCCCTGGCTCACTCGAGTACACTGAAGGAGAACTATGAAGCGGTGAAGTATGTGCTGGAGAAAATTGGTTATGATCAGCATAAATGGTTTATTTGTGTTGACCTGAAGATGGTGAACTTTTTGTTGGGACAACAGTCTGGCTTCACCATGTACCCATGTTTTCTGTGCAGGTGGGATAGTAGAGACCGTGCTCAGCATTACACGAAGAAGGACTGGCCTGTGTGGGAGGAATTGGTGCCTTGCAAAGAAAGGAACGTCATCAACGACCCTCTGGTGGACAGAGACAGAATACTCTTCCCACTGCTGCACATCAAGCTCGGCTTAATCAAGCAGTTCACCAAGGCTCTGGACAAGGATGGTGACTGCTTCACTTACTTATGCCAGGCTTTTCCAGGATTGACCATGGAGAAGTTGAAAGCTGGCATCCTTGACGGTCCTCAGATCCATCAGCTCATCAGAGATCCAGAGTTCGGAAACTCAATGAACGAAGTGGAACTGGAAGCGTGGAAGGCATTTGTTCTGGTAGTGAAGAACTTTCTTGGCAACAATAAGGCCAGAAACTACGCAGAACTTGTCAACAACATGCTGACTGCTTTCAGAAACCTGGGCTGCAACATGAGCGTCAAGATGCACTACCTATTTTCACATATGGACCGGTTTCCTGAGAACCTGGGTTCAATGAGTGACGAGCAGGGGAGAGATTCCATCAGGACATGAAAGAGATGGAGACCAGGTATCAGGGTCGCTGGGATGCAGTCATGATGGCTGACTACTGTTGGACTCTGAAGAGAGACCTCCCTGCCACTGAGCATTCCAGGAGTTCCAAGAAACAGAAGTTCAAGCCCTGAAGTTTGAAAAATGGTGAAGCAACATGCAATTTACGTGTACTTACCTTTATCAATGCCCACCATTCAGTTTACAGTAATCAATGTTTCTATCAGGTAATCAATATATGTTGGTGGAAAAACATTATTTTCTCTTAAAAACATATTTAGGGTGATATGTGTTGACAAAAATCAGCTGATAATGCCACAAAAATGTAATAGATTTTGTCACAAGATCTGATTTTTTTTCAAATCAACATAGCACAAAAACTTGACCTGATGGAGAGAAACAGATGCCATTTCCTGATTCAGCAGTGCAAAAATACCCTAAAGCAGTTGTAGAAATCTAGACAACATTCGAAAAGTAAAAAATTGTTGCCCAGTGTTATTTGACAAGACTCTGAGAACTCTTGCCATCATTTAGTCTGTTTTGCTTTGATCAGAATACTTATCAAAAAAATTTGCAATGAATGTTTTAAATCCTTAATAACCAACTGTTCTTTTCTATCAACAGAATTTGAAGAATCACCTGAACAAATTCTCTGATAATTTTGATCAAATTTTGGCTTTTAAACCCACTGGGTGGACTTATTCAGATGGGTGTGGCTCTTTGAGTGATATTAAACCTCAGACCAAAGGAAATATCACTATATATGGTAACATAATTTCAAATGTTTTAATATGTTTATTTCTTTTCTGATAGCCTTTTCACATACTGTATTATTTCTTCTTGTGGGTAATGGATGTACCTTAACAGAAATGAAATGATTTATCAATGAACATCCTACTTCATTGTTAACTATCGTTGGTCCTGCTCCTATGGACTTGTAGACAGCAACTGTGGATACAGCTTGTTGTTACCAACTTTGGGAAAGCTGTGACCCTCCAGGTATTGCTGGACTACAACTCCCATCAACCTTGACCATTGGACATTGGAAATGTTTATTGGCGCTGAACATCTGGAAGCCCTGGACTGGTGCCTGGACTTGGTGATGGACTGCATGAGGGCCAATAAACTGAGCCTGAATGCTGGCAAGATGAAGGCCCTGTGGGTGGGTGATTCTTGAGTCCAGATAATTGGTCTGTCTGTTCTGGATGGGGCAGTATTCTCTCTGAAAGAGCAGGTTTATAGTCTGGGGTTGCTCCTGGGTCCATCTTTGTCACTAGAGACCCAGGTGACCTCAGTGGCTAGGAGTACCTTCTACCAGCTTTGGCTGGTAATATACCTACAAACATTTCAAGACCAGGATAGTCATGTGCTGGTAACCTCCAGACAAGATTGCTGCGGTGTGCTTTCTGTGGGAATGCTCTTGAGGTTGGTTCAGAAGCTGCAGCTGATGCAAAATGTAGCAGCTCAACTGCTCATTGAGGGAGGATTTCACCAGCAGACTGTCTCTATGTTGAAAGAATTGCACTGGCTACCAATTACTTACTGGGCTAAGTTCAAGGTGCTGCTTTTGGTCTACAAACCCTGATATACAGCTTGGGATCAGGATACTTGAAAGGTTGTATCATCCCTTATACACCCAATCAAACACTGCACTCTGCAGGTAAAGTTCTCCTGCATATACTATCTTATCAGAAGATATTTTCTGCAGAGTGTAGACTTCGGGCCTTTCATGACATCTACCTTTTGGAATTCCCTCCCATTGAATCTTAAGACAGGCACCATCTCTGTTGACTTTTTGGCAGCTACTGAAGACCTCCCTCTTTCAACAAGCCTTTTAAGTTGAGATCTTTCTCAGTATGCATCTGTACTGGAATTGTTTTTAAGATGTTTAAAAAATGTTTTTATAGTTTCATAACTTGTTTGCCACCCTGGGCTCCTTTGGGACGAAGGGCGGGATATAAACTGAATTATTAAATAAACAAATGATATTTTATACAAGTCCATTGTGCTAAACACATTGGCTAAATTCATTCTGTGTTGTCTCATTTGCAGGAATACCTTACAGTGAGCACAGCAGTTTCCTTGAAATGAAACGCTTCATCCAGTGGTTGAAACCTCAGAAAATTATCCCTACTGTAAATGTGGGAAACTGGAAATCCAGAAATGAAATGGAGAAGCATTTCAGAGCCTGGAAGATGGAGGCTGCAGGATGGAACTAGGAAGAAGAGTGGAATTTGCAGCTGTATGCCTTACATTCCCTTTCTGTTTTTTCTGTCCTTTTCTTTGGCTCTGACCTTTGCAGAAGCAATAATACAGTGATTCCTTCATTTGCTAATTATAAAGATACCGTTTGTTATCTGTAGCTGTAACTGGTAGAAACTTTGTCAAAGGAGGTATGCCCTGAAAAGCACTTTAAAGAAATGCAAAATGTTAAGCACCTCTCTTACAAATCCAGGCTCCTTAGATGGCATAAACAAATCCCTCCTGATAGGTAAGAAAGTGGTGGCTACTGATAAATCCCTGTCATACTGAAGTATCTATTTGGGTCCCAGGGGGACAAACAAGTATGCAAATATTTTACTGGGGGATTTCATGCTACTTGCTTTGTGGTCTCACCACATGTTAAGTGACAGGCATCCAAATTGAAGGTTTTTGTTTCTAAGACAGTTGGCAGCCTTGCCAGTCTTAAATTGTTTAAGCTTGGGGGGGGGCGCTTTCCTGAAATTTTCATGACCAAGAGTCTTCTGAACAACCATTTTTATATGATGAATTTGGTGGACTAACATCTAGGTCATCTCCCCCCCCCCCCAGACAGTCAAAAATATATTATATGGATCCAAGTTGTCCTGCAAGATGGTAGTATGAATCTGCATAGCAATTAGCATCTCAGAGCTAGGAGTCTTAACACTAATTTTGTAACTTATTTGCAGAGTTTAAATCATTATTGCACGCTCCGCACAGGTACAGAGTAGAACAATTAATGTCAAGGAAAATGTATGAATGAGAATATTTTACACATTTTTATAAAAGAAATACATTTTTAATAAACGACCTAAATATATTTATGCTTTATTTATATTTTGCATGGAGGTTTTGAAATAACTAATATGATGCATTGAAGTTCCCATGGTGCTAGAGCAACTTCTGTCTCATACTTTCCATTGAAGAGATGCTTCAGTTCTGTTTATATCCTGATCTTTGATCTTACAGTTTTATCTGCCTTAAGAACATGAGGAGAGCCTTGTGGGATTGAATCAAGGGTTCCTCAATCCAGGAGCAGGGAGCCAGAAGTTTCTAGATTACAGCTCCCATCATCCCTGACCATTGGCCATGCAGACTGGAGCCAACAGATGTTGGAACCCAACAACATCTGGAAGGCCCGCGATTCCCCATTCCTGTTATAGCCCATTTAGTTATCATGACTAATAGCAGGTTACCTAATCCCCTTTTAAACCAGTAGCCATCACCATATTTTGTTACACCACATTCCATAAATTATTTATAAATTGTGTGAGTAAGCATTTGCATTTTGATCTTTACATTTTCCCTTTTATCTTCTGCACCATTGCGCAAGTAGAAGTCCTTACACAGGGCTTCCTTAGGTGACTCCTGCCCTCTGTTGGCTACCTCCAGTTCTCAGGTGTGGAGGCCAGTTTAATGACATGATTGGATTTTTTGTTTTGTTTTAAGCATTTCCACATTTGGGAACTTTAATTAAGTGTATGCTACCATCACCTGGTAACTTATTTAATTTTTAAACGTGTCACTTAAGCTATAAAACTTTTGTCACCTCTGTGATTGCTGACATCCTTGTACTTGAGGGATGGCTGGTATAGCTATGCAAAGAATTCATTTTGAAATGGGGACAGTCAGCGTTAATGACAAACACATTTAACTGCACTAGCATGTAGTTAGAGAACAAAATTCAGCAGGAGGGAGACTAATTACATTTGTTCGCATCTTATTCAGTATTGCAAGAGGAGAAAGCCTTCTCCATCTTGCTGAGTTTTGAAAGGATTGTGCTGCCGAGAATGAACAAGCCACAAAAGCAGCTGTCTAGACAATGGGAAATCTTGGAAAACTCTTGTTGTGATTGGCCGGAGTCAGCATGACTACGTCATTTTTTAGCCAATTAATTTGGTCTTGATTAAAGCCTGATTCCAAAAGTGGTTATCTACTCACCAAGTCAGGAGGGAGTGGTTTCTACCTAGATTTCCCCTTTGTCAGTAAAGTGTTCTGGTTTGAGCGTGATGTTCCAAACATGCCTGTGCACGAGTCTTGTGCCTGTTCCCATCCCTGTACTTGTATCCTTGCCATGGTTTTGTGTTCATTGACTACAGCTTTTCAGCACATCATCAACATTTCATGCTCAGCAGCATCCCACTTCTTTATAACTTGGCCACATTCTGGTGGAAAAAATTACTAGTATGATCTTAAACTCAGAATGACATTATTTATCTTCATTCAACTGGAACTGACAAAGTAAAATGATTAATAATGGAAATGGGTACATAGATTACAGAACTGGAGTTGCAAAAAGCTATGGAAAACCACTTAGTAATAAGAGATTCTACTTTTTTCTACATCTGTCTGGTTGGTGCCTTCGGTGGTTTCTTGATCAAGGGAAGGAGCTGGGTTGGGGGTTGTGAAGCAAAATTCCCAATTGAAATTAATAAAAATTATAGAGGAAGGGAGAGAATATAAAGTCTGAAAGTAAATATACAAAGTTAAATACCAAATATCTTTTTGTAAAAGATAAACTAATCCAAATAAAAACATAAACCAAAAGGAGAAAAAAAGAAAGAAAACTTCCAATTCTTCATCTTTCAGCTATATATAGAAAATTATTCAAAACATCCACTCCAAAATAACACCTAACAATTCTACTTTCTATAAACCAATATTTTCTTCAATCCTCAAACCCAGATATCATAAGCTCATTTTCTTTTTCATGTAAAAAGTCTATAAGGGGTTTCTAATCTTTAGTAAATATCAATATTTTCTGATTACCAATGGAAATTATATTCATAAGTAAATGTCTCACACACAAATGTGACTACACAACTATATAGGATTCATGTAAAAATAAATAATCAACATTTTATTTTATTGTTGGAAATTGCAGAAGTCCCAAATTAAATGGGAATTACAAAATAGGAATGTTGCTATGTCTCCTGTCCAATAAAATCAATATGGCAGCTATGCTAAGCACCTATATCAAGGGAAAACAAGATGGCACCCTCCAGATGTTTTGGAAAAGACAGGGCGCCATTTGCCTTTCGCTTGGCCTGAAATATAGAAACAACATGTGATTGCTATTTTTGGATCAATTAATATGGAGTAGACGAGTGATTTCGTGACCCACTAAAAAGGTAAACCAACACTCCATTTTGTCCAATATATTCTTTGGAACCTGCAAACAACCACTTCCATCTGACATCAGAACATTACAGACGGATTAAAAAAATTATGTGGAATATGTGCTACTCCCTGGTATATTTACTGTTCATCTGCTTTTTGTCTGAAACTTGAAGCAGAAATATACTTTTTCTTTAGGCCCAGAAAGAGCTGCCAAAAGGTTAATTGGCAGAAGGACATGGTCCTTTATGTAACTTAAGTAAACATCCTGCATTTCCAAGAGACAAATTTTTGGCTGACAGGTAACTTCAGCAACAGACTCAATGGGCTGTCTAAACTGCAGTGAATCCAGAGTATCTCTTTCAAACTCACATGCTATTAATCTCCAATATGACTATAAATATGCATTATAAATGTCTAGATTCTAGAGTGGATAAAGTTGAGATTCAAATGCTATCTTTCACCTTAATGATTTTAAGGCTGTATGAATTTTGGGTGATCCTATTCCTTGGCAACAGCAGTGACTTTTATTAATATTTTTTTGAATTCTAAGAACTTCCAAATATCCTGATCAAGCCAATCCTTATCCACCCAGTTCTGATGTGAAAAAATAAACACACATACAGTACAAGATGAGAACAGAAGGTGCTTTCAAACTCTCAACTTAGTTCCCTCCCCCCGCTCCCAAGTTACGTATGTTCTTTGTTATTAAGAAAATTACTTTACATAACATAACATTACATCATTACAACATAAACAAGATAAAAGTAAATTTTTACATTGATTAATATTAAATGTACTGAAGGTTGATTAACATGTTAAGAAGTGAGGTGTTAATCATGGAAGGCTAATCGTACCTTGAAGGGACGCGGGTGGCGCTGTGGGTAAAACCTCAGAGCCTAGGGCTTGCCGATCGCATGGTCGGCGGTTCGAATCCCCGCGGCGGGGTGAGCTCCCGTCTTTCGGTCCCAGCTCCTGCCCACCTAGCAGTTCGAAAGCACCCTTAAGTGCAAGCAGATAAATAGGTACCGCTTTATAGCGGGAAGGTAAACGGCGTTTCCGTGTGCTGCGCTGGTGCTGGCTCGCCAGAGCAGCTTCGTCACGCTGGCCACGTGACCCGGAAAGTGTCTCCGGACAGCGCTGGCCCCCGGCCTCTTAAGTGAGATGGGCGCACAACCCTAGAGTCGGACACGACTGGTCCGTATGGGCAGGGGTACCTTTACCTTTACCTTTAATCATACCTTGCCCATTCCTGGCCAGAAAACCAACACAAATTTGGTCCTAGAGTCAGGATTCAAATTTGTTCAGTAGAAACCCAGTGAGGCAGAGAGTGAAGCACAAGCAGTGATTGTTTAAAAAATCTGTTTATTGGTGTACTATGCTTCAATTAAGACATATAGAAGATAATGACGTTTTAAAATCTAACGGAAAACGAAGCGACTTATAGCAATGTAACATAGTTGAATATAACAGCAATTGCACTGGTTTACTAAAGTCATAAACTAATAATTGCTTTGACAAAGCAATCAGAGTGTGTAACATGGTTAATATAGTTTCCTCATAACTTCCTCCAGCAGATCAAATTTTTAAACAGAAGTTATACATTTCTTACCATTTTAGCATTTTGGAAGAAAGTACAGTTAACCAATCTAGGTTCTAGCCACAGAAAAGTTGACTTTGTTGTAAAAATGGCAGGGGGTGATTTTGAGAGCAGAATAGCTTTTGGAATAGATCTGGAAGATGCTTTAATGTCTGAAACATTTCAGTGAGTTGCACTGAAAAAAACCACTGCATGCTCCTCTAATGGCAATGGGACAGTTGAAGTGACCTGAAATGCCTTTTCTGCTTCTCATGTCTTTGGTCCTTTAACCATCATTATACAATGCCATCTTCTTATCGAATCTCTCTGATGAGTACCTTGGCACCAGCCGAACTTTTCCACTCTGTCAGATCTGCATGAGCTGTGGTATCATAGAGCTGATAGAAACTGGCACAAACAAAAACCTAAAATAAACCCTTATGTAAAACAGAATTAAATGTGGGGAAATATCTCCCTACTATACTGCAGGGCTTAGAGAGGTTTTGCAAAGCGGCAGAGTCCTTTGCGTCCCAGACATTAAAACGTATACCACTCAAAGGCTCATTTTTCAATTTCTACTTCCCAGAAATGACAGAAAAAGGGAGTAGGATCAAAGATAATGTCACAATTATCACCGCTGTGAGCTACTTTCCAACAGTGGTAGTAATTTCTTTTCATAAGTTAGCAACAGCAATGCCTTTTGCGAATTAGAAAATAGGTCCTTGAGGAACCCAGCAGTCCTGTGTGGTCACTTCTACATAACCAAACAGGGGTCAAAAGAGGACACAGATTTGCATAATAGTTGCATGTGCTTATGTACCCTGCATAAACACTTTATGCATCCTTAAACAAATAAATGTGTAAAGATGACAACTTAGAAATAATGACAATAATTTAAATAGAAATGCAATACATCTCACCCTGGTGAAGAAGATTAAATGGTTACATATGTGTCTGCCCAGACTACTGTCCAGGTGATACCTCTTGATGGACAGCTTCAAGGTCTCTGCTCTCCCTTCTCATGGTTCTTTATCTTTAAACTGGACTTTGGAGAGCATAGCCCTTCAAAGATAGGATGCCTTTAAATAGAGGGTTGTCTTCTGACTGCCTTCTGTAAAGTAGGACACATGACCAACCAAGTGGTCCACCATACAGAAATAGCAAGCCCTTCATTCACTTCAACCTATGATTTGTTTATTTGTTCAAGGTGTGAATATGAGGTTCAAGTGAGAGTGCAGAGACAGGATGGCAAGATCAATGAGAACTGGCAAGCAAAAAGAGTTTTCAAGGGTTTCAGAGTTGACACAAAGTGATTCCTATTTCCCTGATCTCTTTCCATTGTTTCCCTGGTCAATTTTGCCCAATGGAGCTTAAATTTCATAGCTTCCTCCTCCCACCAGGCCAGCTTCAAACTTGGGTACTAATCAGGACATGAGAAATGTAGATGAGACAGATGGGAATAGGACAGTTTCTGAAAATGTCAAATTGTGCTACTGCAGGCAGGGATCTGCTTGTTTTCATTTGGTGCAGTTATTAGTATAGTTTGGATGCTTTTAATGGACTAACCCCTTGGAAAGCCATCTAAGTCAATGGCCACATCACAACACAGCATTATACAAAAATATTATTTTATCTGCCTTTTCCTGTTATCCATCAATTTACTGGTAACTTGATGATCCCAAGTTCTGGTACTAGGGGCAGAGGAGGAACATCTGTCTATCCACTGTTCTCTCACCATGCATACTTTTATAAACTTCTAATTTTAATCAGAAGTTGTAGAAGGAGTCTTAAAGAGGTCTGCAGTCTCTGTTTTTATCCTTCCTTTCCTTATTGTTTTCCGCTTTATTCTCTAATTTCATTTCCCCCAATAATGTATTATTTCTGCCTTTAATGTGACAAATAGCCCTGCATCCCCGACCCCTATTTGCAGCTGTCTCTGTAAGGAACATGTGCAATATCGGTACAGTTTGTTGCCTTAAATAAATTATGATTAATTATGTGATCTCTCTCTCTCTCTCTCTCTCTCTCTCTCTCTCTCTCTCTCTCTCTCACACACACACACACACACACACACACACTTTCTCTCTCAGAACAAGTTTGTGAAAGGGATATGAATAAACAGTGTCCTGATTTACATCACAAACACATCCAAAAGCTGAGCCCAGCCCAATGCACAGCTGCTTTCCACTCTATTTCTGCCTTTGCCATTCTACTGATTTAACCCTTCTCATAGATGCCAGTTCTGGGTGACAGCTGTAGGTTCTCAGAAGCAGCCCAGTGCATTAAAAAAAACCTTCTACATCCGGTGAATGCATGAACAGACTTTATCACATAACTAAGGGGCTGAAACGAATAAAAACCCTCAGAATAATAATTATTACAGTGGTGGAGTGTAACATTTGGCGTAGAGCCAGCCCAGAAGGTACGTGGGAGAGTTGGTTCAGGAAGCAGCTGAGAAACTTTTGAGGAGAAGAAGACAAAGCTTAATGCACATTCGTAATTAAAAGCTGCAGCTCCCTCACAATAACCAATAAGGACTGGAAAGGGTTGAAGGGTGCCGCACGTAAATAAAAATGATGTTTAATCAATTAGGTAGATTTGAAGATGTAGAGTTTACCAAGCAGCAGAACAGAACTATTGGTGACATTTGCATTCCAGATTAGCAGCTGTTGGCTGCATCTTATTTTCCACCATGTTGCATACCACTGATATCACAAGCCAGAGTCTTGAGTTCCCACAACTTTCATCTAAGGGAATAAGACAATTTTATAAAGAACAAAGCTATCAAGGTGTACTAGTTATGATGGCTATATGCTACCTCTAGGATCAGATGCAGTATGCTGGGAAATAAAAGCAGAAGAGGGTCACAATTGGTCACATGTCCTGCTTTTGGATTGGTTGGCCACAGCAGAAGCAGGAGCTAAAAACTTCAGTCCTACTGGCTAAATGTGGCTTCTTGGGTGTCTTTTTCTGCCTTTGGGACTATCTCTAAGCTGTGTCTTCTCAGGTTACACCCCTTTTCCCAGGCCACATCCCTTACCATACCCTGTGCCGACCTTGAGTGTTTTTGTCTGTCTAGATAGTGCCCTTGAACTGTGATAGTGTATCTTGCTTACCTGGATGGAGAATTCAGAGGTGTTGGGACCAAAATGTCCACAGAGGTAATGAAAAGTGGAAGGTTGGTTGTAGCAGAATAAAGATGGTGGCATTTGGAATACAGATTGAAGGAAGAAACAGCTTCCCTAAGTATATGTGCTCTCCTAAGAAAGTCAATGCCGAAAGTGGCGAAGAGAGAGGTTGTTTGGAAAGCCTGCTCATCCCAGCAGTAAAGTGAGAAAATGGTCAGAAGCTGCATTGAGGTCTTGTGCCCCATTGTATCAAGGCAGCATTCTGGCAACCCTAAAGAAGTTCCGCTTAGGAAATAGTCAATTACCAAGTCAAGCAATGTGTGTGCTATAAGGAAAAGGCAGCTATGAGTAGGGCTGTCATATGTCCGGAAATAAAAGCTCAACAATTTTGGGGTGTCTTGGTTTTTACTTTTTAAAATATGGCAACCCTAACTCTGAAAAACAGGAATATAGGAAGCTGGCTTATATTGAGTCAAACTATTGGGTCAATCTAACTCAACAGTGTCTACACTGACTGGAAACATTACTGCAGAATTCCAGTCCCACCTAGAGATACCAAGGATTGAACCTGGGACCATCTGCTTGCCATACAGATGCTTAAGCATTGATCTATTGCCTTTTCCCAACAGATCAATCTGTTCTGATGGATATCTTCATAGGGCACAGATGGGATCTATTTTGTTATAGTTCAGAGAATCTGGAGAATATGAACTCTTGGCAGCAGCCCTTAAAAGAAAAGAAAAATCAATAAATTTGATATTCAAGGAACACCTGAAATGCCAGAAGCATTTCTAGGAACTGCTCCATACGTTCCAAGTTGCCTGTGAGACTCATCTGATTAAAGCTGAGTCTTTAATAAGACAAAAATCTGAAAAGGTTGTGGGAGATGATCTCATTTAAAATGCACTGCTATGGGTGGAAACCTGTTACATGTTACAGCGTTATCACCTTGAAAGGTATGAAAACAATAGTTGCCCCATATACTAGGGGAAATAAAGCTCCTTATTGTTCCCCAAGAAAACTAACAGTAATATCAATAAAAGAGCCAAATTTGACAAGTGCTTAAAACCTATGACATTGACTATCGTTTGACTATATGCTGTGCTATGAATATCCCTCAACTTTATTTTTTTGGGGGGATAATGAATACAGTGGTACCTCGGGTTACATACGCTTCAGGTTACAGATGCTTCAGGTTACAGACTCCGCTAACCCAGAAATAGTGCTTCAGGTTAAGAACTTTGCTTCAGGATAAGAACAGAAATCGTACTCTGGCGGCGCGGCAGCAGCAGGAAGCCCCATTAGCTAAAGTGGTGCTTCAGGTTAAGAACAGTTTCAGGTTAAGTACGGACCTCTGGAACGAATTAAGTACTTAACCCGAGGTAATCTGATCTGTGAGAGAAATGGAGATACGAGCGCAAAAAGTGATTCAACCACTCTGCAGCCAGAACAGTAGTCACCACAAGGTTCTGAAGAAACATCACAACTCAGGAGACGGATTGGCCTAGGATCAAGGTGGGTGGGTGGGTTGTCACAGTAGCAATGACCTGTCCTCCTTTGTGACATCTCTTGCTGTAGGCTTAAAAGTCCCCCAGTACAGGTGCAGTGGAGGGCACTGTCCCATTGCCAGTACTGAAGGGAAATTTAGCTACCAATCTACAGTAGTTGGTTACAAAGGAGTATAGAAAGCTGCCTTAAACTGAGTCAGTCCATTGAGTATTGTCTACACTGGCTGGCAGCAGTTCCTTATGCTTTTAGGCAGGAATCTTTCTCAGCCCTACTTTGAGATGCCAGTGATTGAACTTGGGACCTTCTGCCTGCAAAGCAGATACTCTGCCATTGACCTACGACCCCTCCCCAATATTTTTGTGCATTCAGTGCTGGGGGAGGAGCCATCTTGTCCTTTGCCTCATGAAGCAAAATGTCTTGAGCCGACCATGAGTAGCTAAGTGACTAGCCACAAAAGAACTGAAGGGTAATGTCACCTTCTGGTGACATTTCTCTGTAGAAACTGCATGCACATACATTCTTATTGTTTTCCCTGCACCAGAAGCTACCGGTAACTGATTCAGCATAACATCATCTGTTACTGTCATCATTTTATCCAAACCAGAAATATATAATTTGGCATATTTCTGTAGAATAGAACATATGGTTCTCCTGTCTACATCTTATACATCAGAAGCAAGATACAATACAGTGGTGCCTCAGGTTAAGAACTTAATTCGTTCTGGAGGACCGTTCTTAACCTGAAACTGTTCTTAACCTGAGGTACCACTTTAGCTAATGGGGCCTCCCGCTGTCGCCACACAATTTCTGTTCTCATCCTGAAGCAAAGTTCTTAACCCGAGGTACTATTTCTGGGTTAGCGGAGTCTGTAACCTGAAGCGTCTGTAACCTGAAGTGTCTGTAACCCGAGGAACCACTGTATAATATTTAGAAATCCTGGTTGTTCAAGGGAACAGAACCTGTGCTTCTATGTAAAGCTGAATGCTTATTTAAATAGGTTAACCTTGATTTAATGGTTACTCAAAGGGCTGGTTCACACATAACACTAAATAATGCACAAGCTATAATGAGCTTGAGCAAAGCCCCTCCCCTCTCATGCTGCCAAGTGGATGGAAGAACTGTACTTAATTTCCACAAATCTTCTTTGATCCTCAATATCCCACCTCTTCTCCAGAATGGGACTCAAGGCTATTTACAAAAACTTAAATAACATGGATAAAATACAAAAACCTAAAAACATACAAAAGGTGATCACTTAAAAGAACTATAATAGAATGAAAACAATATAAAAGATATATATTAATATACATATAGTAAAAACCGCAAAACACAGAACTATTTAAAGCCCTTGTCTTAAAAACAGTCAGTTCCTGAAAGTCTAAATCAACAGTCTAAATCAACAGTCTTCACCTGCTGGTGGAAGAAAAAGCAAGGAAGGACGCATTCTAGCCTCTCTAGGAAGGGAATTCCAAAGACTGGGAGAAGCCACTGGGATGGACTTCTCTCACATCTCCATCAACGTGCCTGCAAGGGTGGCAGAACGGAGAGAAGGGTCTTCCCCAAAGATCTCTGAGCCCAGGCAGGTTTGTATGGGATAATACATTCTTTAAATAGCCCAGGCCTAAGCCATATAAGGGGGACGTGGGTGGCGCTGTGGTCTAAACCACTGAGCCTAGGGCTTGCCGATCAAAAGGTCGGCAGTTCGAATCCCCGCAACGGGGTGAGCTCCTGTTGCTCAGTCCCTGCTCCTGCCCACCTAGCAGTTCAAAAGCACGTCAAAGTGCAGGTAGATAAATAGATACCGCTCCGGCGGGAAGGTAAATGGCATTTCTGTGTGCTGCTCTGGTGTCGCCAGAAGCAGCTTAGTCATGCTGGCCACATGACCTGGAAAAACTGTCTGTGGACAAACGTCGGCTCCCTCAGCCAGTAAAGCGAGATGAGTGCCGCAACCCCAGAATTGTTTGCGACTGGACATAACTGTCAGGGGTCCTCTACCTTTACCTTTTAAAGCCATATAAGATGTTATGTTTCATAGACAACACTTGATGATATGTATGAACCAGATACTGTGGTTTAAAAGAAACTTTAGTTAGTTAAACAAGCCAACTTATAATGTGTAGTTTGACGTTGGCTTGCTTTGAAACTGACTAGAGTTTGTTTGAAACCATGTTAACTGGTTCATATGATGTGTGGAAAGTGAAATTAAATGGAAGCAAGGTCCTTTTCCTGGCCAGAATGGGGGAATCGCACAACCAGAGATTTTGTTTGGGCTTACTTTAGTTTGTGCATGTAGTGTTAAAACCATGGTTTAGCATTGCACATGAATTAGCACAATATGTTTTTGGATATTAATAATCTCTACAAGAATATAAACCTCTGCTGAAGGAAAAGGTGAAGTTGATGTGCAATCATGGATTTCTTAACTATGAGCATAACTAACTCAATAAATCAGAAAATCATTTGGTCCATAAATTGGCAAAAAAATAATAAACAACAAAACATTTACCGTAAGACTGTATGACAAATAGATTAAGAAATAAAGATAAGTCTAAAAGAAGACTGGACATTATATATAGGTTATATGGAAAAAATATTACAACATGAAAATAATCATAACAGACTGATAAAAAACACTCAGCAGTAGATGTTACAACATGAGAGAATGTAAGGTAATGAAAATAACCTAGTAGAATAAGAAAACACAGTTAAAATGATAGCAAATAGGAAACCATGGAAAGAGTGGAAGAGGAGTAACAGTTAAGATACATAAGAGTTAAATAAGTTATGTTGTTATTATTATTATTCACTTACATATGTCTTATATTTATGCTATTCCTTTCTTATTATCTTATGTTGGACTGTAACGCAGTATGTGGTGAAGATATGATATAATAGAAAAGCAATGAAAAAAGAAAGACAAATGTCTGATACCACAGTGGGATGGCAGCATCTTTGTTTTTGGAGCAGCGCAGAAACTCTGAAAGGGTTTTAAATACATGTATGGATATTCACAGCAGTGAAATACCATTTCTTCTGAATACCACTGCATTTCAAAATTTGCAGAGGAATAGTCCTGTCCCAGTCTGGTGCGGTTCACTGAGTGCTACGTGAGGAGAGACCACCACCATGCTACTTTTTTTATGAGACAAAGTTCTGGTGTCTTCACGGTGGGTTTTTTTTTGGGGGGGGGCACTGTTTTCAAGTCTTCATTTGTGTTTGACCTAAGATCTTGGCCAATGAAGATTCTGCAACAAGTAACAAATAAAAATATTTTTATTACATGTGGATCCTGCCTTTTCACAAAGAAAGTCAGAGGAATTGAAGTTCTTGATCTTGATTTACAAAATGTCTGGATTGGATTTTGGAATCAGCTGATTCCAGAACCACTGTTCTGAGAATGGCTGCTTGACCTGGCTGTCCGTGCATAAAGTTATCTGATATCCTGTTTTATAGGCTGTAGGCCCTTGTACATGTTGTATGCCCAACCTATGCTACTGTGCCCAGTTTGAGCTGGATTTTGGCATCATAGACTATATTGGCATCATAGACTGGATTTTTGGCATCATAGACTATATTTATTTACCCACCATTCATATGTTTCATTTTGAATGTAATAACATTTCCAATAGATCATATAGCAATACTTTTTTTAATTGCCACCAGCTGCTGCTGGTTCAGTTGTTAAAGTATGAATGCAAACCATTGATATCTCATTGCAAAAATCTCTGCACTATCATTATGAGGCAAATGTAGGCTGGGAACTCTAGATTTGCTTCATAGCATATATTTCCAATTGAGGGGATGGGGGATCCTGTGTTTTCGCTCTAGTGCTGATAATGGGCATGATAGAAAAGTATAAATCATGCTAGTTCTGGAATAAGTAACATCTAGTTCTAGAAGGAAATGGGATAACAAGCCAGTGAAATCAGAACACTTGGATTAAAACTCCATTTATCATGGTAAACTAAGCCTGCTTACTACAATGTAAATGAGTTGTTGATGACTTTTGCATAGAAGAGTAGGCAGGTTTGTCACACACTTACATTTTTCTCCATTAGGAACATTTGCATCCTTGAGCATGTAAAATTTTTGAATCTGGAAGCCGACATACAGTCAGTTTCACCTTTTGGAAAAAAAAAACGGAGAGAAAAGCACTTACCACGTTACTATTTATAGTTTACAAGCCTGCACCATTGTGTTAATAGAATAGTGATTAGCAACTTTGTATATACAATTCATAAACTTATCCTTTCCCCATATACCTTTGCAGGTTTAAAATTATTTAATCTTAGTGGTGAATTGCAGTACCGCACAGCTTTGTGAAGTTGGGTGTCCACAGAATCCTGATGCAGGCCATGAGAAATTCAAGGTTTTACAATGAGTGGTTCTCCACAAATGGTTTTGACAGCCAGACACAGAGAAGCGTGTAGAGCCTGCAACTGCCAGCACCAATACAATATGGAAGATCTCTGGGTAAAGTGATTTCAAGGCAGTGGCAAATAAACTTTGAGGTAGTGTGGTATAGTGGCTAGGGAGGTGGGACTAATTCCTGGGATATCAAATACACAGAAATGTGTGTGTGTGTGTGTGTGTGTGTGTGTGTGTGTGTGTGTAATAGGCAAAATGGTTATCTAGGAGTAGGTGATTGGTTAAGAATTGCACAATCTAGCTACTTCCTAATATTGCAATGTATGCCAAACAGGGAGAGATTACAGATTAACATTTACCAGAGTATGAATTCACAGTGTTAAGCCAATTGTTTTTGAGCCAATATAGCCAACTAACCCATGATCACCTATGATCACCTAACCTGAACCACATTAAATGATTACTAGTGATGCAGTGTCTCTTTAATCCTAATACATACAATAGAAATGAGAAGTCTGGAATTGCCTTAAAACCAACAGGAGTCTCAACAGGAGATGAATACCAATACCATTGCCTCCCCATTTTCCTTTTCAACACATAACCAGTCTTCTTTTCTCCCAAGATCAGTATGAAGAATTTTCACCCAGTGCTATTTTTTTTATTAGCCCCACCTTCCCTAAATTCCCTGACCCTGTTTTCAGTTTTCCATCACTTCCACTTACCTTTCTGTTCTCCACTACACTTCTGCTTCTTCCATTGCTTTCTCCAGCTTTCCACATATTAGATAATTTCCCCTTTGTCTTCTCTGCCTCCTTGGCCCCTTGGTTCAGTTGCTCACATTTCATTTTGCTTGTCTGCTCAGCCCTTCTTCATTGTGTACATTTTTCTTCCCAACAATAGATCAGCCCATGCTGTCCCTGGGCACTCTGCAAGACTTGTGCTCTAGTCCAAATTAAACTTCCCACACAGCTTGTATTTTTTGCTGGCACTGCATTTAACCGACTGTCCCTCTAAACAGGTAGCCCAGCTCATGAATACTCTACTATGAAACCTATTATTGTTGGGGGGGGTGTGGGGGTGCGCCTATTTTTATCAATGGCTTTTAATGAAACTTGATGTGATTAAGATGCTTGAGTTTTATTACACTTCAGGGGTGCCAACTTGAATAAAATATTGGGCGGGCCCAGGTAAGCCTCACCCCACATAATCGATCACATGACACGGTGCATGCACACCATTTGAATGGCAATGCCTATCAACTTGGGGTGGGGCCTTGGCCCCCTCAAATATTTTCTGGGGGGAGCGAAGCCCCCACAGCCCCTAGGAGTTGGCTCCTATGTTACACTGTCTTCCATTATGTTCCAGAGCAAAATCATTAGAAACATATTCCTTGGATAAGGTCCGTGCTCAGATTAAAGTGGGTTGCTGAGGGTAGGAAATCCACTACCACTTTTTACCCTGGTGTGAAACTACTGGCTGCACACAATAGACCAACATATGGGTAGCCACATGGGAGATTGTATGCAGCAGAGGCAGCAGCAGCAATAATAATAATCATCATCATAATGTTAACCATGCTTTTGTCTGAACAAATGTGCTTGGATAAGCCCCACAGCTAATTGCCACAAACTAATTCACTGCTTGGTGGTCCTAACTAGTTAAATTGTTGGCTCTTACCTCCTTTCTTGTGGATCTAGTTATGAACAAAGACATTTCATCTATGCTCTTTGCATGCAGGTCGTTCACAGCCAATATATAATCCCCTTGATGAAATATGCATCCCAAGCGATGCAGGTCTTTCCACTGGGAGACACTGTAGTGAATTGGAGAAGAGGCAAGGGGGGGGGGAAGCAATGACTGATGAGGATTCTTGTTCACTTTGGTGATGGCTTCTGATCTGGCAGTCTAACATTCAAAAATACTGGAGAGTTGGGATGAAATTGATAGCTAAGCGGTTAATCCAATCAAGCAGTAGACATCAGTTAAAGCTTCCAAGCAGGGAGGTGAAATGGAAATACGCTATCAGAGTTTAGGGTGATCTTGGGGTACTCGTCTATAGTCTATTAAAGGTAAAGGGACCCCTGACCGTTAAGTCCAGTCGCGGACGACTCTGGGATTGTGGCTATTAGGGGTCACAAATCTTGTAGAGCAAGCTTAGAAACCAGAGAGAATTCTTAATTCTGATCCTATTATAAACATGAAAGGTAAAAGCTTTTGGTGACCAAAATTAAAAGTAGTATGTCAGCCTAAAGATACTAGAACCAGTAACCAATGATCTATATTGAATGAAGGTACTAAATGATTTTGACCCTGTGGTTTTGATTTCTATTCTACATTAAAAAGGTAAAGGGACCCCTGACCATACTACTTTTGAATTCATTCTTTGAGTTGGGAGAAAGTTCTCTAAATTGCTCTTTGGCAGTTAAGGCTGCTGAAAGTTGGAAGATACATCTTTAAATCAAAATGAATAATATCAAGTATTCAAGCCTCCGGCTTTGTACGCATATAAAGTCCAGCAGAAATTCCAGTAGACAATCTGGGGGTATTCTGTTTATCTCAGCCCAGAGACCTAACATAATTGGCCCATTAGGCTGGTTGAGCAATTTTATTGCGTGTTGAGGTCCCCAGGGCCACCCCAATAACTCACACATCACACAGAATTTTTGTTTAAGATTTTTGGCATAATTTTGGCCACAACTTTATTAAAATACAAATTTGTGAGTGGCTGCTTAGGCATTGGTTGCGACTATCTGCCCCCACCATGGGGGACAGACTGACATTCCGCACGATGCGAAAGTCAGAAAAGGGGAATACACTTGGGGGTAGCGTCGGCGCAGGGAACCTGCCCTCAGCCCTTCCCAAATGCAACCAGGAGCTCATTGCTATGGCCCGAGCCCCCTTGTCAGAGTGGACAAGCAATAGTTAGCCCCCGATTCCTTTAACAGAATCCCTTGCAGCAGCAGCATTAGAGGGGCAGGCACAGCCAATCCATGCCCCTCAACTAACCAAACCATAAACCAATGCCTAACCGCGAACCTTACAAGTTGTGATGATTTGCTACGCAGTAGGCAAAAACCAAATGGCCCCAGCCAATCAGCCAGATGGACAAAATTCCTACCAGGCCCCTGCCCCAAAGCAGACGACCCCATGACAGGCATAGCAAGGTCAAAGTGAACAACCCTCTTCTAGGGAGGGAGGGACGGGCAATCTGATGCGGGCGAAAAGAGGAAGCCCTAGCCTCGTGCAAGAAGTTTTAGTATTTCTGGCTGTCAATCAACAAATGGCAACATTAACTTCCTCCCAACAACAAGGGAAGCCCCAATCGCATCAGTGGCCAACAATCAATTAGCCCCCCCCCAACTTTGGAGTGTCCTGGCGGCCCCCACCGCAACACGTGCTCTCCGTGAAGGAGAACACGCTTTACGGCATTCCAGTACACAGCCCTAGCCCTGGAAGTTTAAACTACCTGGATTATCTAGTCACATGCCAAAACACACTATCTATTTAAACACACACACGTTCACACACACATGCATTATATGCACTAAGTAGGAGATTCTACCATCTCTGTAAGTAGTTTACTGCATTGCTGAATTGGTCTGATAGGCCATTTTAAGGTAGATTTCCTTTTCTGTCACTTCATTCCATTACTCTTTGCTTTATCCTTGGTAAATGTAGTCAGCAATTGTTCTCCACCTTCTTTCCAGCACTTTTTAAATATTGGATTTTTTAATTTTTTTTATTTTTGATAGGAGCCTTCTTTCTACTAAACTGAATATGCCCATCAGCTTTCTGTGACAGGGGGACTTCCTTTCTGAAACTTGTTGGGAAGAATTTCCTCCCATCACTGACAAGGCCTGAGAAAGTGACTTTCTTGTGCGCAGTGTGCAGCAGGCATGTGAAGTACATCAAAGGAGAGCAGAGAGAGTCAGACTTGCAACTGAGCACTAGAGAGTACACAAGGGAAGGCACAGCAGGAGATGAGCTCTAGGCACCTCTAATCTATGTCCATTTCACCCTCCCTTCCTTTCCTCAGTCACTGATACTGATTTTCTAGGAAGCACACTAACTTCCCTACTGCCTCTGCAAAATATGTGAGATAATGGAAATTCTCTACTTTCTTAACCTTCTCTTGGGAATGTTGTAGGATATCTATGAAAATAGGAGTGGAAATTGCCAATGTTCACTTATTTGTCCCATGTACAGAACAGAAGTCTTATCTGGTGAATATGATCAGTGTTCACTGCTGTTGTACCTTATAGTCTGCAAACAGTATGTAACTGATGACTTTTCTCCCCTCCCTACCCCCCACCGCATTTGCATTGTGTTTTCTTTGCACTGAAATATATGGATGCAAAAGCATAATGCCACCGGACTGTTTGTCATATGGAATAAACTGTGGTAGAGAAAGTGTGACATCTTGTGGTCCACAAAGACTGTGGAGCAGTTTTATGTGCTTGTAAATTTATTTTTATTTCAACTCCCTCACCAACTCATTAGTATGGGAATGCCCAACTGAAGAATATACTAAGAAATGTGGGGATTAAAACTTCTGTTTTGTGTTACATAAAAACTAAGTTGGTGATTTGCAAATTAAAACCTAAACTGCCAAGCAGCAGTTTTCAGTGTTTTAACAAATTCATTTCTGGTCTCTGGCAGGAATGCAAAACTAGCACTCCCTAAATGACTTACATAGCCAGCTCTCCTGAACACTGCAAAATGACAGGTCACCATATGAAGTATGTATAAAAACAAGTTTAATGTAAGTATGTTGTTCACCTGCCAGTGGCAGTGAACAGATGTTGCTTTTGAAAAAAAAAATATCCCACATTTATTTCTTGGCAAACCTGAAGAGGGTAACAATCAAGAACAATAACAGCTAGATGTTAAATAACTTATTTAAAAATGCAAAATAAAGTTCACACCCAAAAATAGACTGATCAAAAGGTCAACTCAAAAGGTTAAATATAAAGATAGATTTTAGATTGATTACAAGGCAGGGCTCTGGCAATCTTCTTTGGGACAATCATTTCACACTTATATCACTTGTATTGAGAAAGACTAGCATGAGCTACAACAGCAAGAGCTACAGCAGATTTCACACAGAACAGGCTAACAAGAATAAAGAAGTGTGAATGAGTGCATGTGTGCATCTATATAATAATAATAATAATAATAATAATAATAATAATAATAATTTATTATTTATACCCCACCCTTCTGGCTGAGTTTCCCCAGCCACTCTGGGCGGCTCCCAATCAAGTGTTAAAAAAATACAGCATTAAATATTAAAAACTTCCCTAAACAGGCATATGGATACAAGTTGTGGGGGATCAATAGCAGCAGTGCTGCTGTTCTCAGGTCCTGCCCGCAGGCTTCCCACAGGCATCTGTTTCACAGCTGTAAGAATAGGATGCTGGACTACCCAATGGGTCTTATGCCTGATCCAGCAGGGCTCTTCTTAGGCCTCATCCACACTTACCTTTGCTCCAGGTGTCTAGGCACAGGTTCAGGTGTTGTTGGGTTTTTTGGTCCCAATGCTCTCCCTGGGGAAAACCTGCATTTTACCGCCGAGTGGGAGTAAACAGCAATAGGGCTTTCCAGATTGCTGTTTGCTCCGATTCAGCAGTAAAACATGGGTTTTCCCAGGGAAAGCCCTGGGACAGGGGAAAGCTCAGCCCAGTGCCTAGAAAGCCTGGAGCATGTGTGGGTGAGCCTTAATTTGGGTCAATTTATTAATATTAACTTGAGCTGTCTCTTATGAAATTGATCAGTAATGATGCGGTGACATTGCTGGAACTAACCAAAAAAACTGATTGCTTTTTAAGAGCTGAATGTACAAACCAGCATGAAAATAAGAGGCCTTACCATATACGCCCAGCGGCTTTGACAAGTGTCAGGCAGTTGGTGAAATCACTCCGGGGAAGGAGAATATCCACCTCTTCCAATTTGCAGTCATCTCTGACTTTACTGAAAAGAGGAAAGGCCTGTTGTGAAACCCAAAATGTGTGGCTAATAAACCAGAAAGGTACCACTGCAAGTTGTTGCTATTAATGAGAGCCACTGCCAGACAGTACTGAGCTAGAAACAGTCTAAATATGTTCCATGATAACCCACACAACCAGTCTTACAACATTCTATATCTGACTTCTTTCTCTTCTTATATAAAATAGTGAGCTTTTCAAAACACTTATATTCTGCCCTTTCAAAACTCAAGGTGATGTAAGTGTGCGTTAGAATACAGCTGTAAAGCAGTGTGTAAGAAAGGGCTCATTTCTTAACAGAATCAAATTATTGTCGAAGCAAGAATCATAGTGATTCATTTCCCCTGCACCTTTGCAAACTACGTGGAACAATGGAACAAAGTCCAATGTACACTTGAATGAATTCAAAAGGCTCACATGGTGGGGAGATAAAGGTTAAGTATTCTTTTCTGGTTCACATAATGGAGCAAAGAACTAACTTCAAAGCATTGACATTGACTATTGGACTGATTGTATCACTTGGAAATCAGGACAATGGAAAACCCATTGAAATAGAAATGCATTTTCTTTTGCTCTCAGGGAGTTTGTGAGAAATACAGACATAATTACTAATATATTGAAAATGTAAATTATGCACATGTATCCAGCCATCACTATCCACAGGAAACACTGAGAGTATCCACACCTGAGAATAATGGACAACTGAACCACAGACAGAACTGATAGCTTCGGTGTTTTTTCTGGTTTCCAGGTCCTTGGTAGTGGTGTTGGTTTCAAAGGCTTGTCCTCTATCACCTGCAGATTCGTGCTATCTTCCTGGCCTTCAGGAAGGGTCGTCGATTCATTGTTTGTGGGTTCAATTTTTACCTCCGCTACCCCTGAAACTCTAATGAGTAAATTATATTACTTTTAAAAGGAAATGCATCAACCATGTCTATAATTTTTTTTTTAAAAAAAACAACTTTAGCCTGGTGTCAGGGAACTGCCATCGGACGGAAGGGAGGTGAAAGGGCTCACACAGGTTGGGAGAGACGCAGCAGCTGAAGAGGGAACCAACAGGGAGGTGAAAGGGCTCACACAGGTTGGGAGAGACGCAGCAGCTGAAGAGGGAACCAGCAGGGGAGAGGAGCTGAGCTGGAGGGATGGCTCAGAGACACTTCCAGCGAAAACAGTGGGGAGGTTTCAGGACCTCCTGTAAGAACACCCACTCCTCGCCGGAAACTGTCACGCAGAGATTCCAGAAGACGTGTTTCCGTTAAGGAGCTTTTATGTTGGAAGCGATTACGAAAGCAACCACTGTCGGAATCTGCTAGTGACTAGAGTAGCCATGTCTGAGGGCTCCGTCACAGACAGAGGTTTGTGGACTTGAACAAACTCTGAGGGGATACGATTTTACGCACAAGCAGCTCATCATCCCATCACAGCATTCCGACAGTCTTTGAAAGCAGCTTGTGCAGGAGAAGGCATCATGAGCAACCCAGCCGGAACCGGAGAAGCAGGAGCTGGAGCGGGTCCAAGCCTGGAAGAAAGGTACCAGATGTTGGAGGTCCAGCTAGCGATGCAGACGGCGAGGCTTGAGGAGAGGAGGGCTCAGGATGCAGACAAAAGGGAAAGCCACCCAGTTCGCCAGAAAGGTACCAGGATTGGTGCAGAAGTTTGGGGGGGAGCCCAAAAACTATCATGGTTTTCGGACAGAAATGCAATATGCCCTCAATCTGCAGTTTGATGAATTCCCTGACGAGGAATCACGAGTGGCTTTCGTGATTGAGCATCTTGAAAAAAGGGGCGAGAGACTGGGTTAGACCCCTGATGGCAGCGAATAGTGACGTCTTAAAGGACACGATGAAGTTCTTTCGCGCCATGGATCTGATGTTTTCCAGCGATATTGAAAAGGGAGTGGTGCGCAGACAGTTAATGGGTTGCAAACAGGGAGCCGATCTGTCCGTGAGTACTGGACTGAGTTCACCATGCTTGTTCACAGATTGGGGTGGGACTTATCGGCGGAACCCATTCAAATGCTCTTTGAAGAAGGGCTTTCTTCGGCTGTGAAAGACGAACTTTCCCGGGCGCCCAGGGCGGAGTCTATGGACCAGCTGACCAAATCAGCGCTGGCCATAGGGGCGCGCCAGGAGGCGAGGGCATTGGAGAGGCGGGAAGGGAAGGGGAGCGTTGGAAGGAGTTCCGCATTCCAGACATTCCAGAGCCAACTTTCCCACCGGCAGAGCCGATGGAAATCGGAACAGCGCGCGCGCGCTGGTTTCAAAGCCCAGTGAGGGGCAAAGAAGGAGGGAAAAGGCGCCCGGAAATGCTATCTCTGCCAACAGCCAGGTCACTTTGCCAGAGTCTGCCCCCAGAGGAAAGAATGGCAAGGGATGGTAGGAGCTGTGGATGGAAGAGAGGAAAATATACCGGAGCAAGTAAAAGCCAACGCCTGGCTGCCACTGTCAGGGCACAGCAGCCAGGCCAAAGAGCAGTGAGGTGCCCACGCCAGAACCTCCTAAACCCGCCCTAGTGATAGAAGTGACGCTAGAGCTGCCAAACGGACACCCTCTAAAGATAAAGGCGCTGTTGGACTCAGGCAGCTCCTGCAATTTCATGAGCAAAGAGTTTGCAGCTGAACACCAGATACAGACAATCCCTTTAAGCAGCCCCCTGCAGGTGACCACGATCGATGGCAGGGAGCTGTTGGGTGGAGAAGTCAGCTTGCAGACCGTCCCAATGATAATGAAGGTAGCAAGGCACACCGAACTGATAGCTTTTAATGTGGCCACCTTGGGAGGAGCTCCCATTATATTGGGGATGAGCTGGCTAGCGTTACATGATCCGCTGGTGGGCTGGCATCAGAGAGTGGTTTCTTTTGGTTCAGCACATTGCTTAGAACACTGCAAAGAGGGAAAGGGTTTGGCAGGGGTCCAAGCCACCCTAGCAGGGACTGAAGTAACAGAGAACGTGAAGGTACCACGACAATATGCAGATCTCCGTGACGTCTTCAGCGAAAGGGAAGCTGACCAACTACCCCGCATAGACCCTTTGACTGTCAAATCAACTTACTCCCTGGAGCACAGCTCCCTGTAGGCAAGCTGTACGCCATGTCAGACAGAGAGATGCAGGAGTTAAGAGAGTTCATTGACAAGAACCTGAAGAGAGGGTTCATCAGAGAGTCCAGGGCGGTGGGGGCAGCCCAGTGTTTTTGTGGATAAGAAAAACACGAACAAGCCGAGGCTGGTGTGTGACTTCAGGGCCTTAAATGCAGTGTCAGAACCAGTAGCCTTCCCTATGCCCAGGATTGACGACATTTTGACAAGGGTGCGGAAGGGAAAGATTTTCACAAAGCTGGACCTAAGGGGGGCGTACAACCTGGTACGAATAAGGAAGGGGGATGAATGGAAAACCACTATGTTCACCCCTTTAGGGGCATTTGAATATTTGGTTATGCCCTTCGGCCTACAAGCAGGCTCCGCAACATTTCAATCGTTTATGAACCACGTCCTGGGGCCTTTGCTTTACAAGAATTGTGTGGCCTTTTTAGACGACGTGTTGGTGTATTCTGAGAATGAGGAGCAGCATGTGAGAGACGTCAGAGAAGTGTTGAGCAGGCTGCAAGCCAGCCTGCTGTGGGTGAAACTGGAGAAGTGTCAGTTTCATACCAAGGAGGTGGAATTCCTGGGGTATCGCCTGTCAGACAAGGGATTGGCCATGGATCCCGGCAAGGTCCAGGCGGTGCTGGAATGGAAAACACCCAAAACAAAGAAGGATGTGCAGAGGTTCCTAGGATTTGGGAACTTCTATCGTAAGTTCATCCGAAACTTTGCCCACCTGACGGCGCCCATTACGGACTGTCTCAGCAGTAAGAAGAAGTTCGTGTGGACTGAGGAGGCGGAGCGAGCATTTGAGGAACTAAAAGGGCCTTCGCCTCGGAACAACAACTCCTGCATGTGGATTTACAAAAACCGATGAGAGTGGAAACTGACGCATCAGACAGAGCGGTGGGGCGGTGCTTCTGCAGCCAGGCAAGAAGGGGTCAGAGTGGAGACCGTGTGCCTTTTTTCGCGAAAGCTGAACAAATCCGAGAGGAACTACACGGTGTATGACCGAGAACTACTAGCCATTCATGAGGCGTTCCGGAGATGGAGGCACCTGCTAATTGGCGCACAACATAAGGTGCAAGTGTGCACTGACCACAAGAACCTAGAGTATTGGAGGACGGCACGAGTGCTCAGCCAACGGCAAGTGAGATGGGCCCAGGAGTTCTCCAAATTTAACTTTGAGATTAGTTACGTGCCAGGCCCAGAGAACATTAGGGCGGACGCTCTCTCACGCAAACCTGAATATTTGGAGGAGGGGGCACCCGAAGAGAGACATGTCATTCCAGAAGACCGCTGGGTGTGTGGGGCGGCATTGGTGGGACAAAGAGAACTGGTAGAGGAAACAGAGAATGATGAATACGCCCAGAATAAGCTCAGAGGTCTTAGGGGTGATGGAGAGGAACCAGGGGTTTCGAGGAAAGAAATGGAGCTTTGTATTACAAAGGGGCACTGTATATCCCTGAAGGAGAGTTAAGGGGAGGGTACTCAAGCAGTTGCACGACAGCCCTACGGCGGGGCATTTTGGACAACACAAAACCATGTGGTTGGTCACCAGGGAATTTTGGTGGCCTAAGGTGAGGGAAGATGTACGTGAGTATGTAAGAGGGTGCGAGCAATGCCAGCGAGCCAAAGGGAAAGGCGGGCGCCGGCGGGGCTGTTAGAACCCTTACCAACCCCAGAGCGACCTTGGGCGGCCGTGTCGATAGATTTTATGACTGATCTGCCGAAGTCCAAAGGAAAACAGCCATCATGGTGGTGGTAGACCTACTAACAAAGATGTGCCACTTTGTAGCTTGCTCGCATGCAGTCACGGCGGAAGAGACAGCGAAGTTATTTGTAGAAAACATTTTTAGGTTGCACGGGGTGCCATTGAGGGTGGTCTCAGACCGAGGAAAACAATTTACTTCCAGGTTCTGGAGGAAGCTCATGAGCTTACTGCAGGTGGAGGTCAATTTTTCGACTGCCCGGCACCCTGAAACCAACGGGCAGGCGGAAAGAGCAAACGGTGTCCTCCAGCAATACCTGAGGTGTTATGTCAATGACAGAGAGAATGACTGGGTAGAAAAGTTGGCGCTGGCGGAATTTGCCTACAACAATGCCGAGAATGTGTCCACAGGGATGAGCCCCTTCTTGGCTAATTATGGGTGTCATCCCAGGGCTTTCCCAGGGGAGAGGGGAGAGATGGAGCGTCCCGGCAGCCGAGCATTTTGTGGAAGAAATGGAAGCAATCCATCGTCAGCTCCAACTCAACTTAGAAAGGGCGAAGGAAGAATACAAGAGGCAGGCAGACAAGAACCGAAGGGAAGGTGAAACCATAAGGGTGGGAGATAGGGTGTGGCTGTCAACCCAAGGGTTGCCGTTCAAAGGAGGTTGTAAGAAATTAAGACCCAGGAGGTTGGGTCCCTTTGAGGTCATTCAACAGGTCAACCCAGTGGCTTTCAGGCTCCGGTTACCCAACCACATGAAACTGCACCCAGTATTTCACAGGTCGTTACTGTCACCGTACGAAGGGGGCCGAGAAGGGCTGGCCACTCGGGGACCGGTCGTAGAAGAAAGAGAATGCAGCAGCCATGTGGCAGAAATCCTCGACGCCAGGTGGAAGGGGGATCAGGTGGAGTATTTGGTAGCGTGGGAAGGAGAACCGGAGTCAGAAAACACTTGGGTAATGGCTGAAGATATCAATGACGAGGTATTGATAGAAACGTTCCATCAAAGGTTCCCAAGGAAACCTCAGCCTGTGGAGAGGTTCCGGAGGGAATACTTTGGGACCACTGATGAAGGGGAGGAGTTGGAAGGATTCCCGGACTCGGAAGGGGAAGGGGAGATGGACTCTGAGGAGGAGGTGTACTTCGAGACCAGGAACCGCAACAGGTTGAGAGAAGTGTTCGAGACATCGGAAGATGAAGGAAGTTCATTCCGGGGTTTTGCCTCCTCACCGCCCGTAGAGGAGGGCGAGAGGGGGTGAAGGGGGCCCTGGAGGGAGGTGGATGTCAGGGAACTGCCATCGGACGGAAGGGAGGTGAAAGGGCTCACACAGGTTGGGAGAGACGCAGCAGCTGAAGAGGGAACCAACAGGGAGGTGAAAGGGCTCACACAGGTTGGGAGAGACGCAGCAGCTGAAGAGGGAACCAGCAGGGGAGAGGAGCTGAGCTGGAGGGATGGCTCAGAGACACTTCCAGCGAAAACAGTGGGGAGGTTTCAGGACCTCCTGTAAGAACACCCACTCCTCGCCGGAAACTGTCACGCAGAGATTCCAGAAGACGTGTTTCCGTTAAGGAGCTTTTATGTTGGAAGCGATTACGAAAGCAACCACTGTCGGAATCTGCTAGTGACTAGAGTAGCCATGTCTGAGGGGCTCTGTCACAGACAGAGGTTTGTGGACTTGAACAAACTCTGAGGGGATATCATTTTACGCACAAGCAGCTCATCATCCCATCACACCTGGGCAGCAGACTGAAGCTGCACAATCAGTGTATGAATGGAGGGGTAGTGGGAAGTGAAGCACAATTGTAGTGCCAGATCAGCCCTGACAGACCCCCAAACTTTGGCCAGTTTTTGTGCAGAAAATCAACACACATGCAAATTGTACATGCCCAGCCTTTGGGTTTGATCCAGATGGGCAGAGAAACCCTAACCTGCCATTCTAGAGGGGGTTAGGATGTGGTGATGGTGGCCTGGCTCCACTGCAATCTGCCAACAGGGGACCTCCACCACCACAGAGGTCCCTGCTATAACTGGATGAACAGACCTACGGTTGGAGGTATCTCTGCCAGTTTTAGCTAATGGAAAGCCCCCAAACTGAGAGTTTTGGTGTGTGGGGGTGACAAGGATGGTGTGGAGAAGGGTCCACCAAGTATCTGCTGGATCCTAAGCCACTCCAGCTACTGATGCTGGACTTGATTTGGGCCTCTCTGCTGCACCATCCTGAAGCCGGTGCAGGGAAAAACTGCAGTTTCACAGCCGCCTCTCTTTCATGGCTAGCACAAGTGGGAGGGCTTTGGATGTTTCTCTGCCACTCTATTCAGCCCCATTGAAGTCCCAATGATTGAAACAGACCTTTGTCATGAGACCTGTATTTTGCAAAAAAAAACACACGGTAAAGATTGGACATGGGGAGTAACAGCTTTTACAAGTGCAGGCACTGTGCATGTGATGCTACCAAGGTGTGGAGATCAGGACAGAGCCAGCAGGCATGAACCCAGTACTACACCACCAGCATAGTGATGGTATGCAGTCTGCACGGAGTTCCTGTGAGTCTGACTTGCTTGTGAGGAAGGGAAATCTGACCTCAGCCACTGCCCAGAAAAGGCTTACAATCCACAGGAACGTCCAGCTTGTTCCAATTTCTGGGACATAGTTATTGTTTGAGGGTTTCTAATCTAGATGGAACAAGCGGACTCAGGTTACACTAGTCCACAGCCTTCAGCCAGGACAGTACTTGCCACGACAACCCCAAATCACTGAAATGGACTTTAAAACAGCTCTATAGCATGCTTTTGAGTCTACATGAGTTGGGTTTCTTAGAGGATCCTAGGAATGATCCATGAAAAATGGTACAATGACTGTCTAGCAGTTCGGGTGCTAAACCAAACATGAAACTGAAAGCTGAACTATAGTGTTACCTCCCCACAAAAAAAACCCCTAGAATAAAACCTTAACAATTATTTGAATCCTCGCTGAATTTGAATGGCAACAGAATACATACAATGAATTCAGGCTACTGGTTCAACTAAAAAAAAAAATCTGTGTGGTGGTTTACTTACTGGCAATGAGCCGTGAGTGTACCCAGCCAATGTCTTGGAGGATTTTAATATATTTTGTGTTTATCCAGCTTCTGTACTATGGCCTTTTCCAGGGCTTCGAGGCACCAGAAGTCCTGGCAATCTTTGAGCAGCTACAGTAACATGCCAAAAGCCGATTCAGGGGGAATTATGTGATTGCTGTTGGCATGTACGTTACTGCCTTGCCAGGGCTGATGGGCTTGGAAATTGGCACAGACTGGTTAAGACAAAGTAGCTTCTACAGGATCAGCTCCTTCTGAGGAGAGGAAGGAAGGAAGGAATCTATTCAAGATTACAAGAGTGATCAATTTGCACCAGCAGTTACTGGTAATAATACTATCTTTCTGGCTATGGTAATTTAACACCTAAAGGTAGACATCACTTTGTTGTGAGAAAGAAACAGAGTGCCACAGTAGACTAAAATGTTCTCCCCCAGGTGCAATAAAGATGAACCAATGATGGTCTAGCACAGAGATGGGGAACCTGTTCCCCTCCATGTGTTTCTGCACTACAACTCCAATCACTCCAGACCAATGGCCATGCTGGCTGGAGTTGATGGGATTTGGAATCCTGATCTAGCAAAAGCTTTGCAAAAGAAATCCACGAACTATTGCTTCAGATAAATTTAGGAGCAAAATGCACCATGCTTGAATACTCACATGCATCCCATGGGCATGTATTCTTCAGGTTCACCAACCTTTTCCTTATCTGGGTTAGTAGTCTCTTCTGTGGTGCTGAATTTATCCTGCATATCATTCAGCTATGAAAGTAAAAAGCATATGCAAAGTATATTAACGTATCCAAAGGAAATAAAAACTCAACTTTGTTAAAAGCGGTGCTCTCAGTACTGTTATTGAACCCACTAATACATTTGGTCCAGTCTGTCTGGATAAAACTGATATGTCACTACAGCAAAATAAGTAACTCTTACTGCTTCATGAAAGACTTGGTTTCAGCAAACTGCAACCATTTAATTTCTGAAGAAATTCTGAGTACTAGAACAACTGCAAATCTTAGAGTGGGAAGAGGGTTGATTTAGAGGCAGAAGACCCTAACCAGTCATGAAACATCTGGAAGCTTTGGGTAAATCTCTACCGCAGGTGAGAGCCACTGCTGTAAAGCACATTTTACATACCAAAGTTCCCAGGTGTAGAATCACAGAATTGTGGAGTTGGCAGGGACCTAAGGGTCCTCTAATTCAAACACTCTGAAATGTAAATTCCTGTAAACCAGGAAACCTAGACAGATGCACGGGGGTATACATCATCATATAATGATAATGATGATTAATACCCAGCAGCTCCAGCTCTAGTAACAAACTGTTTCAGATGCAAGGGCTGGGAAAGACCTTTGCATAAGACGCTTGGAAGTTGCTGTTAGTCGGAATTTAGAATACTGGGCTCTGTGGACTAATGTTCTGACTCAGTATGACGCAAGCTTTATACAGTGCTATGAGACTAAACTGGCATGGAACAAATCTGCACACAAGATAAAGGATTCTGCACATTAAAAAAAGATGTAAGCATTAATTCATTATTTAGAACAGAGCAAATAATGATATCAACATTACCGTAGCTAGAATATTTGTTGGACAAGCATAGTATTCCTCCATTTCGGATTTTTCCTCTGACTCTTGATGATTTGTCAGGTGTCGCTGAAATAAAAGTACAGACATATTTACAGTGTCATTATTCTTTGCTCATCATGCTTTGAGAAAGGTCAAAATGGATAATATGCAAACACTTGCTCTTTTTGGCAAATGAAAGCAGCAATGAGTAAGACCTGCTGCCCCACAAGAAAATCAGAAGTGAAACACTTATGAGGAATGTAATCAGGTAGAGATGTGCCATAACAACATGGGGAATGCTGGTATGAATGTACTCAAACCCACTGACCTATGATAGATTTGTTTCTAAATTGTTTCAATTCTATTATAATTTAATTACTTTTAAACTATTATATTTTGTATGTTTTTGGCTTTCTGTTTTTTATCCGTGGTTTTTTTTTTAATTTGTGCAAGCCACCTTGAGTCCTGGCCTGGGAAAAACATGGCCTATAAATAAATATAATAATTATAATTATAATCATATTATCGTGCCCATGGATATAAGTTTCTAAGCACGTTTCTGCAATGGAAGCATTATGGGCAACTGTGTGGAAGCCAGGGATAAGGAGAGGCAAGTGGGTGTGAAAAGGAAGGATCAGAAAATGAAGAAATAATTAGTAGCAAATAATCACTAGCAGGGACGCGGGTGGCACTGTGGTCTAAACCACAGAGCCTAGGGCTTGCCGATTGGAAGGTCGGCGGTTCAAATCCCTGTGATGGGGTAAGCTCCCGTTGCTCGGTCCCAGCTCCTGCCCACCTAGCAGTTCGAAAGCACATCAGAGTGCAAGTAGATAAATAGGTACTGCTCCGGCGGGAAGGTAAACGGCGTTTCCGTGCGCTACTCTGGTTTGCCAGAAGTGGCTTAGTCATGCTGACCACATGACCTGGAAGCTGTACGCCGGCTCCCTTGGCCTATAGAGCGAGATGAGCGCGCAATCCCAGAGTCGTCTGCGACTGGACCTAACGGTCAGGGGTACCTTTACCTTTACCTTTAATCACTAGCAAACCCTTATTTTATTTTATTTTTGAAAATAACTGAGCAATGCTTCATGCAACTTTCTGCACTACACAATGCATGGAAGTGATGCAGTAGTTGCTTCAAATTATCCATACTGTTCTTCCAGTCCCACTTTCATCACTCACTAGCTGCAGTACTGTCAGTGACTCATAAACAGGGGCTTCTTGGGAGGATTCTTGAGTAACAGGCTCTGAAGAGGGCCTCTTCTTGGAGATGGATGTTCCTATATCCTGCAGCTCAACGAATCAAAACAGAAAAAAAGAAAGCATAGCTTTATTTCAGGGTGATTCATTAAAACTAGAAATTAGCCCTGTTCTTTCTGCTGATAGAACACATTTAAGCAAAATCAGGTACTTGAGTTGTGGTTCTACTTTAAAATTGTTATGGGTGTGGAAAAGAAAAGGAATAGTATTTTTATTTTATTTTTAGCACTTGTCCAGAAATGCTATTTATTGCACATTCATCCTGATTTTCTTTCACAAAACTTACCCAATAATTACATAGGCTATACCTAGTCTTTATTCTGATTTGTTTGTGCAGAAGTTATATGACAATGAGTACCTATCCTGGATTCATCCTGACTTATTTGAATGGTGTTTACACGTGTTCCCATTCATTCATCCCTCAGTTTTCAATGCATTTTCCAATTACTGCCAAAAAAACTGTTTCTTTTTTAGATGGATTTGTGGCACCAGGGGAACAGAGCACTTTAATTGCGCAAACCTAAGTTTCCTTGCATGCCCTTGAAATCCTTCCCATGAAATACTGACAGCCTGGAGGCACCCTTAAAATGAAAAAGACAGTATATAACAACCACCTCATATTCATTGTCAGGACATGGTTCCTTCTTGATGATGTCAGCAGCTACTTCATCAAGACAAGCTGGTGAAGATTTTGACCGACCTCTCATTTCTGGTTTCTGGGTCAAGAAATGAAGCAACAGAGTAATTTCACATAGTTAAAACCTTTACAAAACATTATGAAAGCAAAGTGTAACTATTTTTTGAAATTGACTTTTACTGTATTTTTTGCTCTATAAGACTCACTTTTTCCCTCCTAAAAAGTAAGGGGAAATGTGTGTGCGTCTTATGGAGCGAGTGCAGGCTGCGCAGCTATCCCAGAAGCCAGAACAGCAAGAGGGATTGCTGCTTTCGCTGCGCAGCGATCCCTCTTGCTGTTCTGGCTTCTGGGATTCAGAATATTTTTTTTCTTGTTTTCCTTCTCCAAAAACTAGGTGCGTCTTATGGTCTGGTGCGTCTTATAGAGCGAAAAATACGGTACATGAATATTGCTATTTAGTTCTCCAACCAAAGAAGGCTTACAAAAATGCATATACTAGAGGAAAGTATGCAAGAAAAAAATCAATATATTGGTGAAAATAACAAATGAATATGCATTGTATTAGGGGAAATTGGTTAAAAAATTGCAAATGTGTACATTTCTCAAAACTGCATATAAAATGTGCTTATTGGGAGAAATTTACACTAAAATGCTGGTAAATTTCCATGAGGATTTTTAAAAATGTGCCAATTGCTACAAAACATGGAGAACTGAATTTAAGACTGGAAAAATTAGAAACTTGAGAGAACTGAAACTGACATACTCCAGTTGTAAGTTACAGTTTAGAAAAGAAAACTGAGCACTAGTAGAACAAATGATGAAGACAGTTGTTATTATTATTATTATTTTAAAAATGTCAATCGCTGATGTTCGATAATTAAGACAGCATTGCAACCACTGACCTTTGTTTCTCTGCTGGTTGAAAACAGGAAGGTGGCCCAGTCCTCAACGTCCTTGCTAGAGAGTGAAATTACATTTTAAGGAGACAGATAGAGAAACAAAATATTAGGAATGAGATTGTATTCCTCTGAAAAATTTGCAAAGTTTTTTTTTACTTTTAAGAAGAACCAAATCTTTGAGCAGCATCTTCAAGGTGCTCAAGGGCCTCCTCCCTATATGCCAAGGGGCAGAGAAACTTTTTCAGCCCAAGGGCTGCATTGCCTCATAGGAAAACATTGAGGATGGGAGTCACAGGCCTGTGATGGTTGTGACCAGAGGCAAAAGTGGCAACAAATCAGACTTTTAACTTTGTCAAGTAGGCTACATCCCACCTATGCAAAAGTCAGAGGTCTTTACACCCTACGCTCTACATCTCTTCAGCCAGGCAGGCAAGACAGTTCAAGGACAGGAAAAACTAGGATGAGGAAGGTATGAAGCAGGGCTAGTGAAGGAGCATGGCTTGGGGAGACTTCTGGGAGAAAGATACGGAGGCCTCAAGGGCCATATTTGAGCCTTGGGCTTAAGGTTCCATAATCCCTGGCATGAGCAATACAGTGGTACCTCGGGTTAAGTACTTAATTCGCTCCGGAGGTCCGTTCTTAACCTGAAACTCTTCTTAACCTGAAGCACCACTTTAGATAATGGGGCCTCCTGCTGTCGCCGCGCCACTAGAGCACGATTTCTGTTCTCATCTTGAAGCAAAGTTCTTAACCTGAAGCACTATTTCTGGGTTAGCGGAGTCTGTAACTTGAAGCGTCTGTAACCTGAAGCGTATGTAACCCGAGGTACCACTGTATTGCTGGGTGATATTCAAGTAAGTTTTACTCAGAGTTGAATACTACCCTGGGTATATCCAGAAAACATCTAAAGCATTCTTGGACTCCAGTAGTTGGCCAATAGTCAGAAGTGGTGGGGGTTGTGGTTTGGCAAGATATGGAAGGCCAAAGTTAATCACCCATTATTTCAAGATTCTCACCGGTAATCCTTCACCATATAACCAGGGATGCCTTTATTCCATGGCTGTAGAAGATTTCAAATCTTAAAAGAATCTCAACTCTCATTCTCTATAGTCACCCAAATGGGACATACTTCTGATTAGGCATGGTTAGGACTGCAAACTAAGTAAATTAATTTATCAAATCTGCATAAATTTAGGAGTCAAAGCAATAGCACTGAAGCAAAACCCTAGTTTATTTTAAATATACACAGGTCCCACTATCCAAACACTTGTTATAAAAAAAAATCACTTATCCAAAAATGAGGAATTAGTATGCAAATTATACACACCACAGATCCATAGAGCTGGACCTGAGTGTAGTACTGAAAACAAATAAGCAGCCTTAAAGAAGCCTTACTTTTTGTGTTTTGCTGGTCCACGGCAGCCATTTCACCAGAAACCATGGTGGGAGGAAGTGAGGAGGAAGGGGGAGAGATCAGACAAATAAGAGCAATTTTTTCTTTCCTTATTTGCCTTTGCAAGGTTTCAGAGGGCTTTCCCAGGTATTTTTGACATTTTGTCATATTCTGTGGTCAGGAACACATTTCCCCAAAGAGATCATTGGAAATGGTCAACTTGTTATGCTTATGAAACAAATTCCTGCAAATGCATTCTGTTTAGATAGTGGGACCTGCATGTAATGTACATCTGCAGCTTTTATATGCACTACTTTGATAAAGAACAGTAAAAAAAAAATCCATTATCTGCTTTATTTGGGCATCCTTTTAGCTGAACAAAAGCATTTTAATCAGTGTTTTAACCCAGACATAAAGGCATATCCATGCATTGGCCTGAGCATACTATGTGAATGGGAGCAGGGTGACTGCACACATTGAAAAGGATTAGATCTTCTAACCAAGACAATTATGGTTTGCTTAGCAACCTTGGCATTTCACACTAAGGCTGCAGCTTCCTACACTGTCAGGATGATGTTGTTGACTTGGGTTCCAAGCTCATATAGAAGGCATGCTGGAAGGCAAGTGCAGAGATAGCCAGACCAGTCTCTTGCAGGGTGGCATTTCAATACACCCACTGGGGACCCCACAGGTTCTGCCCCACCTTTATTGTGAGGATGAGATTCCCCTGTCTAATGGTGACTGTGATATCTATATAAAAAACAATGTTTCTATCAACCACCACATTTTCCATTAGTTGCTGTTAATGTGTGGCTGTAGGCTATAGAGGGAAATGAGGGGAAGATGGGGCTCATCAACCTGGGAAGGTAGCCCATCTAGGAGAAGGAAAACTCTGATCCTAAACCTCTGCTGCCTTGCAGCTAAACTCATTCGTGGGAAGGCCTTCAGGAGTAAACCCTGAGGAAAATTCTGTACCCACTGCCTTGCAGGAGTGGTTAGAATCTTTCAAAGTAGCCTTTAAGGAAACTGGCACTCCATTCTAAGTTACCGAAAACAAACAAAGGGTATTTGTTTTCTTTGAGGTCAGACTGGTTTTGTTTCAGTGCCAAAGTCTCTGCTGGGTATTGAATGTGCAGAATAAGGGGAGGAGAGTATAAGGTAAAAAGGTACCTAACAGGATTTGCATTATCTCTTTCCAAGCAGCACTGATTTCTCTCATAAGTTCTAGGTATGCTGACTCTGGGAAAATCCCTGCCGCATGTGTAATGCCAAAAGAGATTATTCTGTGGCTGATTCTTCTCAAATAAAGATTCCCTCATAATTTACCTTGTAGCACAGCTCTTCTTCTACTTCCGGAACAGCCTCTAAAGCAAGGGTTTTTCAGAAGGGAAACACACTATAATAAGTGGCTTAACTGGGCAAGAAAGGAATCACAGTAGGGAAACCATTCTTGATTTATTAAGCTATGGTGGCTCCTTAAATTTCCTTCACCTCCACTCATCTTGCTGTTCAAATGTATTTCATGAGCTTTGTAAACGTTGTAAGGGGAATCCTTTTTTTGTGTAATATATATAATGGCTTGTGTGATAATTTCTTTGAGGATGTGCTCTGACCAATTTGAGGATCCTGTACCGGTATTTTAAAATTTTTTAATTCATTGCCTTCATACTAGCAGGTATGAAAGCTATACATACATATCTGTAAAGAATGGTGAACATACCTGTCTGATCCAATAAGATAGAAAACCCTATTTTCTGTTCTGATGGTCATCACTTCTGCAGGCTTGCATTTAAACATCTTCTTCACAACCGTCATTTTCTCAGGGTCACCTATGCCAATCTCTATTTCTGAAGTCCTGTTAGGTAAATATATGAAAGATGTACACAGTCTGTGTGGCTCATCGTGTTAAAAGATGTCATAGGCAATGATCTAGCATTGTAAAATATGTTCTTGTGCGTGATGAGACTGTTTTTACTGCATGTCATTTCTAAACAAGTGTTTTGGTCTTACATAATCCAGAATGGGAAAAGCAAGTGCAAAATAAGAACTTGTCTGTCCCAAATTCTTACCCCAATCCATAGATACAAAAAAACCTCAGAGACATGAAACATAACTCAACTTAAATATGTCTATATATTGTAGCACCATTATGAACCGTGGTTGATTCTTGAGATCCTTTCAATACAGGTTTTTACAATCATGTAAGTTATAATAGATGAAATAAACTGCCATCTTGTGCATGTCATAAAAAGCATGTAATGTGTAATATAATGTGGTATAGTGATTGGAGTGTTGGACTAGGAGCTGAGAGACCAGGGTTCAAACACCTGCTCAGCCATGAAACTCACTGGGTGATCTTGGGCCAGTTACTATCTCTCAGCTCAACCTACCTCACAGGGTTGTTGTGGGGATTAAATGAGGAGGGAGAGAACTATATATTCCACCTTGTTTAAATTACGCCACATGGCAGCCTAATGCATTCTGGTACATTCCTTTTCCGATATAGCACACTCACAAAGCTTGGTTATTTTAACTAGTTATATAAAACAGAATCACATGAGGTTTTAAATGGGTAGACAAATGTGATATAATGATACATATATTTAAAACCATATTAATCCTGTCTCCAGCAATGGCCCCATTTGGACAGAGAAGACTTGGCCACTGTACTCCATGCTCTGGTAACTGCCAGACTGGATTATTGCAATGTACTTTATATGGGGCTGTCTTTGAAGACACCTTAGAAACTTCAATTTGTCCAAAATGCGGCAGCCAGATTATTCATTCATTCATTCATTCATTCGTTCCTCAAAATTTATATAACGCTGAATTGTCAAAAACCTCAAAGCAGGAATGAACCTGTTTTGATTAATTACACAGAAAAGGAAAAGAATTTTGGATAAACAATAAAGCACAGATTATTTAACTGTAATAGTTGAGTTGAAACCGCGAAGAGATAGACAGAAGTCAACAAAATTATAAGGGACTCAAACCAGTATGAAGGACTTTGCGCACAGAATATTTAAGTATTGGTTTGAACTTCCTAAAAAATGTTTGTTTAAGAAAAGTTTCTCCCCCCTAGTTTTTGTTGTTTTGCTTTGGTTTTTTTCTTTTCCTTTTCTTTTTCAATGTTGTCCTGTTTATCTTAGATGTTTAAATACTTTTACCGTGTATTTTGTAACACCTATTTTTATCCTAGAATATGTCGTTGAAGATCAAATTATTCTTTTTATTCTTTCTTTGTGAATTTTGAAAATGTAATAGTTTTTGTTTCAATTAAAACAAACAAACAAACCTCAAAGCGGTTTACAAAAGATAAAACAAGGAAAAGCAAGGAAGAAACCACAACCACGCTTTAAAAACACACAAAACTTAAAACAATAAAGCAGATTAGAATTACCTCAGAGCATCTGGAGAGATGACTGGCTGAGGTTCCATTTTAGAACTCATAGAACCCTAAACAGCTGCACGGGTTCTCACACATTAAAAGCGCATTACTGTGAAGGGGTTGCAGGGCCACATGGATTAGCCACTCTCCTACCAATGCACCCCCCAGGCACTCCACCCCACCCCAGCTGCAGGGTCCCTATATGCATATCATCAGAGCTTCGTTGTGCAATAAGTAGTTCTGATCAGGATTCCCCCTAGCATGGAGGCCTCTGTATGCATACATCAGGAAGTGTGTGGGACCCTTTTCAGAGCTGAATACATGGCTGACGAGGGGGCAAGTCTTGCTCACTGCCTCGCAGTGCTTTTAACCTGTGAGGTGGTTCAATTTCATATTGTGCTCCACCATGCATTTGGGAAGAACCTGGAGAAGAACTTTTTTTGAGGGGGCTAGCAAGCAGCAATTCAGGCAGTCAGGGAGTGTTAAAAGAAGCTTTGCATGGACAGGCGGAGTCCCCCAAACCCTGGGCGGCCCCTGTGTGGAATAACGACTCAAGACAACGTGCTATGGGATTAAAATTGGCCACAACTGTATTATGTTTCAATTGTGGGTAGACCTTGGCTCAGTCACTGGGCATTTATCCCTCCCAGTCCCCTGCCAGGGATCTAGATATCCCACCTGGGGAAGGCAAAGCCAAGCCTGTGCTAATGGTGCCGCATAGGGTCCAGGGGGCTGCGCGTGACAACGCAAAGGGTGCCCCCATTTAATGTGGGGAGTGGTCATTCTGAGACAAGGCTAGATACTTACTCATTGATTTCAATGTAACCCTTTAACTGGGCACCTTTAAGATACCTCAGGACATAATTGTTCTTGCCAGACTTGGAAAGGATAAAGTGTCTCCTTTTCCAGGAGTTCTGTTGGAAGAAAGGTAAAAGACAAGGAATTAGAAATACAGTAACACATTATGAGTACAATTATTATTGCTATTTGCTCATCATTATTATAGCAGCAGCACCATGGCTATTATGATGTCAACAGTACCTGATTGGAGAAAAGATGAGGAGGTGGGGATTTGATGAAGAAACCATGCTTGTAGACATCTCCATAACTACAATTTCCTGATAAAGAGATAACAGTAAGAAACATTCCATGTTACCTCCATAGGAAAAGAACCCTGAAGAGTGGATTTCTGTATCCCTTAGCCACAGACCCATAGTCAAGGAGGGAGAGAAATCCAATTCAAAATGACAAAAATCAATGATATTTGTGTTTGAAGTAAAATATGAAATTGTTTTTGACCAGTCCTACCATGATTGGTCCAGTTTGATTTATTTATTGAAGTGCTTATGTTTCTCCCACTCACATAAAATATCAAGGCAGTGTACGGCAATTTAACAATTCCCAGCAGCTGGAGCAAAAATCCAATTCAGAAATTTGGTTGAAATCAGAATATAGACTGGAAGAACTACCTGAATATACGCTGAATGTTTAAAGGGGAGGTGGTCCCTTTGTTCCTACAACTCATAGCACATCTACTACTGGACTGGCAGGCACAATCCAAGATAAAATGGTTAAAACTATGTCGGGGAGCAGGACAGTCTGTATGGATGCTGCTGCTGGAAAACCCAAATCAAGTACTTGAAAAATATCACCAGTAGAAATGAAATATTGTCGGTGGAGCATCATGGTGAATCAGAAACAGGGCATCTTGATCTTAGGCTAACTCAGCCAAGCCTCATCCCTAGGACTATGCAGCAACAATCCAATGCATGTGCAGAATGCATTTTCTACAACACTGAGTGAAGGGAGTCCATCCCATATCTTTGGATCAGAGGGCAGGGCTTTAAGTGCAAATGTGTCAGTTCCAATGTGGCTCAAGACCTGAATATCCCTGCCCAAATATGCAAACTCTGCCATGTTTTGGAACAGGGACATACAATACATGGCAGGGCCATAAAATTGTATGCTAATTTTGGTTGGAGTCACATACTGATTGTATCCATTAAAAAAAGAAACAGTGCATGTTGAGAAAAACATGAAAATTGCCAGGGAAACGGGTATGGCCTGCTGTCTGGATAAACTCATGAGACTCCATCTCATACCTATGCACATCGTTCGTGGAGCATCCATTTTGATTGCTAATTCAACCTAGTAAACAAACAAATAGTGAGGGTTAAAGACCACTTTAACTCATGTTTAATAGCTACTGGCCCAGTGCACCATCACTATAATCTAGGACTTTGTATAAACCACACCTTGCCCTTCCAGTAAGTACTTGCAGTTCCTGTTCAGATTAAATAAACAGAATATTATGAGGAACAGAAGTACTTAATTTTCTTTTTTGTTCTTCTGCTATGCGGTATATAAACAGAAACTGTAACCAAGCAGCAGTTTATCAGATGTTAACGAATATTTGTTATTTGTCAGTACCCATTAACTAGGTTAACAAAATATTAACATAGATGTAGATGGTGACTGTGTGCCAGAAAATAACTACAAAAAACCCTCAATTTATAATTCTCCCAAAACGATGCAATGAACATATAACATAAAGAACAGCAATATTTTATTCCTACAGTCCTTTCTTCCCACTTGCTCCATTGAATGTTTCGAACAATAAAATACAATTAGCATTCCAAGAACTTACACAGCATAAAAAGGGCAACAAAAGACCGTAAATTAGATCAACAGTTGTTTTTGAAATGAATGGATGGGTTACAATAATACCTGTTTACAAGAATACCTTCTTCAGATCAAGGGAAGTAATAGTCCTGCTCTATTTTGCCTTGACCAGACCCCACCTGGAGTACTGTGTCCACTTCTGAGTATCACAGTTTAAGGATATTGACAAGCTGGAATGTGTGCAGAGGAGGGCAACCAACATGATAAAAGGTCTAGAAACCTAGCCTTATGTGGAGTGCTAGAGGGAGAAGAGAAGACTCCCTGGAAAAGACCCTGATGTTGGGAAAGATTGAGGGCACAAGGAAAAGTGAACGACAGAGGACGAGATGGTTGGACAGTGTTCTCGAAGCTACGAACATGAGTTTGACCAAACTGCGGGAGGCAGTGGAAGACAGGAGTGCCTGGCGTGCTCTGGTCCATGGGGTCACGAAGAGTTGGACACGACTAAACGACTAAACAGCAACAGAGGGAGCTGGGGATGTTTAACCTGAAGAAGAAAAATCTGAGGAGCGATATGATAGCCATCTTCAAATATCTGAAGGGTTGCCACATGAAAGAAGGAGCAAGCTTGTTTCCTTCTGCTCCAGAGGGTAGGACTTGAACCAATCGATTCAAGTTACAAGAAAGGAAATTCTGACCAAACATTAGGAAGAACTTTCTGACAGTAAGAGATGTTCGACAGTGGAACAGATTACCTTGGAAGGGGATAGATTCTCCTTTATTGGAGGTTTTAAAACAGAGGATGGATGGCCATCTGTCATGGATGCTTTAGCTGAGATTCCTGCCTTGCAGGCGGTTGTGCCTTTGGGGTCCCTTGCAACTCTACAATTCTTTGATTCCCACCAATGAAACTTTGAAAATTTTAATTAAACAAATAAATACTTTCCAAAACTCTGGTAAAACCGATTCTGATTTAGAATGTTTTGGTTTGGTAGAAATGAAACAAGTGTGGGCTGAAGTATGAAGTAACATCAGAGGGACAAGAGGCATGAGGTTGTATCCAAAGCAGCACTAAGTCACATATGAAATGGTGTGGTGGTAGTGGTAGTGGTAGTGGTAGTGGTAGTGGTAGTGGTAGTGGTGTCTCTCTCCTCTTTAAGCCTACACATGTTCACCTCAAATGCCTGAAGAGATCCATTTATTTCATGCGACTACTGTACTCACCATTTGCTCCTAAAAGTGGAGAAAGGTTATATTAGCAGTAACCACAACACAAAAGTGTATAAAAAAGGGACTCTGAACTTTCTATGTTCCCCTCACCAGAGTTCATGGGTTCAGCCATTTACTTGGGAAGCAGCTTGGAATTGGGGCTAAGAAAAGAGTGTCGAGAGCAACCAGTGTAGGGCAGATACAATGACTGCTCCCCACATTAAATGGGGGGGGGCACCCTTTGCGTGGTCACACGCAGCCCCCTGGACCCTATGCGGCACCATTAGCACAGGCTTGGCTTTGCCTTCCCCAGTTGGGATACCTGGAGGTCTCTGCCTACCTCAGCCAGTTGCCCAATCCCTCCTGGGGGGGCATTGCCACGGTGATCAGGCCAGGTAGGGGGAGGGACTACCGTGCCCACACAATAGGGGGAGGATCTTATCTGGGAATCGTCAGTTGGCTCCAGATGCTAGCCCCATCGGAACATGAACTTGCACTATAGAAACTCTACAGAAACTCTTATTTTGTGGATGGAATAGATTACACACATTGCATCCAACTACTTTGTGAGACTATGCACGCACAGTTGAACTAACACAAGCCTGTAAATTAATTGATTTAAAATGCAACCCTGAAATTGCAACCATACCCAAACAAGATGTGTTGTTCATTCATATCCAGATGAGGACAAATCAACCTACCTGAAAGGAAAGTGAGATATTGCAAGAAATATATGCAATATACAATTATTGATCAATTTTGTTTTTGTTGGTGCAAGGACAAGTAAATAGGTATAGAGAAAGGAGAATTCCCTGGATGCCAAGATCCAGGTTTGGGCAAGTACTCTTTGGTGAGAGAACCTCAGCAGAGATTTAAAATCACAAAATATGCAGCAAAGTAAATAGAGGAAAGGTAGAGTGCTAGGTCTTTAAAATATGCCGCAGTGATGCATGCACATGCACAGTTTGGCCTTTCTTTAGCCCAAAGGCTGGATCAAGAATTGGCCACATTCTGCGGGTGTGTTTTTTTTTGCCAGCAGGGAGTTAGGTGACAGCTTAAAATTGGTTTGCTGTCTTCACCTATCAACCCAAACTTCCACCACTAGTACACACACACACACACACACACACACACACACACTACACTTAACACAGATACCCCCTTTCTTTTCCCCACACCCTATCCACATGCACCCACACCCCATCCACACTCATTCTCTGTGAACTGCCCATGTAGAAAAATGAGCGTGGAGGCAGCCATGAGGGCATTGCAGAGTGTGCTCCTATGCCAATACAACCCCCAAGTCTATGATTCAATTCCCTCTTCCCCAAGCTGCTCTTTGCCTCCTAGGATAAACATACTGATAGCTATTTTTTAGAAGAAGAAAACACTATAGCTGAGCAATAAGCCTAAACCTGGCATTCCACTGCTCTGTCTTCTTCTCCTATCTCCTCTTCTGTCCAGTTTGACAAAAAACAATTCTGAAAACAGCAAATCCATTCTGGGACAATTTTATCTGAGGACTGATTATTAGCCTTAGTCAAGTTATTTCACTTTTTGGAAAGCAAGTTTGAGGGCGATCTTACTTCTATGCAAACTCACATTCTGCCTCTCACTTCCTGCTGTATTCGGAACAAACTTGAGTTGATTCAGGTGTTCTCTAAAGAACTCGGTCTCAGGAATACTTCCCATAAGATTCAATCAATATGCATTCAATTTTACTTGCCATCAAGCTGAATGACTCAAAAGATTGGTAATATATTGCTCTTTTTGTTAATATCCCATTTCTACTATTGACTAATCACATTACCTCAGTTAATGTCCTATTTCTCCTATTGACCTATGTTTGCTGCTATTTACTTATATTATCCCTCAGTTGTATTCCAGTCAAATTAATCTAATGGGTAACGTTTGGTGATTTCATTTTATTTTTTTAAGACCCCCCCTCTTTTAGTGTGATGAGCCCTTGCAATTCTGCATTCGTAGAGAAGGCACAGAACAAATGATGGTTATTGCTACAGTCCTATGTACACTAAGCTCAGTGAACTTAATAGGATTTATTTCTGAATAGTCTTGCAAAAGATTTAACTACGTGTTGTTTGTGGCATCAATGACTTCCCTGAATTAAAAGATCTCTAAACAAATATTTTTTAAAGCTAAAGACAGTATAACATTTTTCTATGTTACCACTTGGGTCTGAGCAGACACACACTTGGTCTTGGTAAAGTTGTCAGAATTAATAATACACCAGTGCTACATACCACAATTAAAAATATATTAAGATCAAGGCAAGGCAATATAAATGTGAAGGAATGCCATGATATACAGAGAGACTTATGAACTTACAGCAGAGAATGGTCACTGCAAAATGTCAATATATGATTAGAAGAGAGGGGTGGTCACTCTTTAAATCACAGCACATTTTCACCCACAAACTGGATTTAGTGGAAGAAAGAGCTTTTATATTGCACAACTCTTACCCAAGTAGGCTTTGTTTTCAGAATTTAAAATAGTACAGTTAGCCTTTTTAGAACAAAATCAAAACAAGCCACTTAAGAAAAGTGTATGTGTGAAACAGGAGGAGGAGGTTGAAATTAGATGATACTGCTAACTTTTACTCTAAATGAACATGAACATTTGTAGGGGTACTTACAGGCACTAGGTGTTGCAAAATTGAAGATCCACAACGTCAAACCACGACAAGTTATATTTTCCAAGTGCTCTGTTGCTCTTAGTTTAATGCTGAGCAAATAGAAACTGCCTCCTTATACCAGTGCGCAAAACATAGGCTGTACTATGAGTCATAAGGAAATACCCAGGCTTTTTCCTCAGGGCAAATGTACAACCTCCTGTCGAGCTGAAAGAAGTTTCAAATGGGGGAAAACCAGAAGTGGATATAGCATGCTAATGTGCCTTTGACAACACCTGAGAAACAGACATAGCAATAAGCTTACATTTAACTCAGTCACAAAACACATCCTGGAAAGAGAATGGTTTTGGTTGTTTCTCCTTACAAACAGCATGTCCCCCCCCCCCCAAATATTGCTTATATATATTAAGGTCCCCTATTTCCTTAGAGAAATAGGGGAAAATACTGTAGTAAAAGAATTGTGCTTTATTTTGAATGATCATAGCAACAAAAGGAATCAATGTGATATATATTCCCTGCCAAGCAGCATATTTAAAGATCAACACAGAGCCTGCAAACCTAGCCCCCCTTACCTGAAAATAATACATATTAAATTCAGTATGACTGAGTAGAAATGGTTTGGGTAGCACTGTAATTTTTGAGACTTTCACACAAGCAACAAAAAGTCACAGCTTGCTTTAACCTGGGCATTCCAAAGGGATTTAGGGATTTCCAATCAGTTGTGTTTTTTTTTTTTTGAAAGACCATCAGAATCTTAAATGTGTGCTAATCTTCTCCCATAAACCAATGCTGAAAGAGAAGAGGAAGTTATTTGACCTACTCTGCAAACGTTCACTGGATAATCCAGTGAGGGTTTATCGACACTTCTTGTCCCACTGCTTTCCTCTGGAAAAAACTGCTCTTCAGTGCTCCATCAGAGCAAATGGCAATTTGGGTTTTCCCTTGAGGAGGAGCAGGGCAAGAGGGAAGCTGCTTGGACCCGTGCCTAGAAGCACAGGTCACGATTACACTGCAGTTGATCTTCAGAAGAGGAGAGATGAGGAAAATTTAACCACTTAGGGCCCACTGTCACCAATGATTTATCAGAAGGCTGTTGAGCTATTAGCTTCTCCTTCAGTTCCTGTCACATCCTTCTCTACAGAAACTTCTGGGTGTTAAGATCAGCAGAAGGAGTTTTCTTGGTAATTCTGCTATCCTTGGAAGTGTGGAGAATGGTGGCAAGGGAGAGGGCTCTCACAAAATTGACAGTTAAGGCATTTGTTTTGCAGGACCCCTCTCTTTTAAGCAATCGATATTGCTGTTTAGAATGGATATTTTTATAATTGCATCTGTTTTTGTTTTTATAAACTTACATTATATTGTTCTAAGCAGCCCTAGGATCAGATGGTGAAGGGTCGCTGAGAAATAATGACAACTACATTTAAGATAGTGGCTATTAGCAAAACAGGTTCAAGAGGCAGTGAATATGGGCTGTTGCCTTAATATTTTCCTTGCGGATGTATGAAAACCATTTGACTAGTGAGGCAAAGGATGTTGAACTAGGCAGGGATCCCAGTTCACAATATTTCTTACAAGCACTGTTAAGAACAACTAACAAACCTGGAAGCAAACCCATTTAAAAGAAAACATACAGAACCAGATTTTCTAACAGATGAATTCAGCTTTGCTAGAGATACCTTGGCTGATTACAGGAAACCACCCATAATTTCTGTGGATGAGAGCTCAGAAGATACATTCATTCCTCCCACAGAGAGAAAAATGAAACAAGCAGGTTAGAAAATTATCTTTATTTGTTTTTATTTCTTTGTAGAATTAGCTAATGTTTCTGAAATGAAAAAAGATGATCCTATGCTGCTTTAAAATAACCATTAAAATATTTATATATTGGCTATATTCGCATCAAATATATATTGATCTCTTAATTGAGATTTTCCATGACGATTCCCTGAAGAACAAAGGAGTTATGCATTTCCATCATATGTAAACAGTTTATTAACTTCAACATGTAAACAGCTGATTAGTTTCGGTGTCTTGAACTACTAGTTTATAGTTTTTACTATTATTTCATTGTCTGAATATTGTCTGAACATTGTCTGAACATTGACAGACATGTTATGTCAAAAGAATTTATTAATTCTTTAAGTGCAAAAAATGTTATGATTAACTGAGATTATTTCACAACCATTTGCAAGGCAAAACTCCCATTGATGCTCCAATTTAGTTTACTCTCTTGCTCAAGAAACATACAGGTCTTTGCCAGGATAAATTCATAGGATCGCATATTTCCCACTTCATGGTGAGGCCTAGTCCTGCAGTTGTCACTACCTGAGATCCTACTGCTATATTTTTGCATCATGCCAGAAAAGCAATTTGTCTCACTCTAGAATCCATAGCGCACTGGATTTCTTAAGTCATTGGCATTCTGTGGAGATCTCCTCTTGCACTGATGGAAATATTTCCTACCTGATGTTGTGTAAGATGTGGTCTATCCCCAGTTAAAATTCAGCAGACTCTTTTCCTATCTTGCTTTAAAGCTTGAAAACTACATAAACATTGCCTTTGTACTGGTGACTTGACTGACACAAAATCAAGTTTCCATGAGTAGCTAGGATTCATAGCTCAAACTTACTTCAAATAGCCACAGCACCGAACACGCCAAGAAAGAGAGCCTTTATGGTAATGAAATGAAAGTTGGCCAATACATCCATAGCGTTGGGTATACTGTGGACTTGTTATAATAACAAGAAATTCAACAACTGTACAACACTGTTTGTAAATCTAGAAACAAGGAAACAAATCTAGAAACAAGAAATTGGCACTATAAAGTGACATACAGTAAAATGTGAATTTATGGTGTAAGATCAAGAATGATGGGGGGGTGGTGGTTTGCCTTCAAGTGAATATGTAGGCACCGAATCTGCAATGTCTAATCATGCAGAAAGGGCAACACAATCAAGGTTAAGGCATTTAAAGTAAAGAACTGTGTGGCTTCTCAGCAGCAGCCAGTCATTACAAGGAAGTAGAAACTCTTAATTTACTTAGCTTGCTATAATTTTACTTATTGCTTTGTGGAATAATTGTGCTTTGATCTAACTGACAACGTACGGGCATCACTGTTATTCCTGTTTGAAAGCTATATACTACACAGCACATATTTGCTATCAAATTGTTATTGCGCTGAAAATGTCGTAAGCTGCACTTAACTGTTCAGTGTTCTCATGACAAAACTGGAGTGGTATTTCCATATTGGATAAAAAGGAGCGTTTCAAGTATTTCCTAGGTTTTATAAGGATAGTTTTCGAATGTAGGGAGAAGTAAGGAAAACAGAAACAGACTTAAACAGAGTGATTTTGAAAAGTAAATGGCTTATGATTTCAAACCCACACTGAGACCAAGCAAGACCTATGAATGGATATGTCCTCTGATATGTAAAATACCAATGATATCAAGTCCACCATTTAATCACAGAAAACTCCAGTACACCTTGGTCATATTCCTGTGTGATTCCTCCCTTTTATATTTGAGAAATTAAGAAAAATGTTTCAGTCCAATAGCACAGTGCCAACACATTTTAAGTAGTTAATATTGGGGAATTATGAGGAATTTCCATGAGAAAAAACCTATGTGGTCAAACAAGAGAGGTATTAGAGGCATTTTTTTCCAGTGTGGCCAGAAACAACAAGAGACCAGAATTATCTACCAAAATACACATAAACAGTCAAGGTGGCATGTTGAAAAGGATTTTAACTATCAACTGAGGTAATTGTCATATTGCATATTTCAAAGATTATCTTGATGAAGCTCTGGATCCAGTGTGGTTTGATTTGAAATGTTTTGATTAGAAGATCCCCATTGTATATTTCAATCTTTCTTTGGAAGATGAGCAGATGATATATGCCCAAACAAATGAGATTTCAGAAGTAAACTTCTTTGGTTAGCATGGAGACCACACAAGGAATCTGTTTCTTCCCATTGAAGCGTGGGTCATCACACTGCGATTCATAGTTTCTTGCTACTTTGTAGTTAACCATGGTGAGCATCTGCAGGATCTCCAGCTCTTTGGCATACTTAGTCAGGACTTCACAAAGAGATTGCACAAACCAGGAGCCGTTCCCTGGATTCCGCCAGGAATAATAACCTGTAAGTGAGAGCAAGGGGAAAAAAGTCTCCTTACCATAATGAAGGGCAAAAGAGATATTCACTGCACATTACAAATAGGGTCATAATCCAAACCATATACGTACAAGTGCAGGAGGGAACCAATTTGGGTCTATAGGTTTTTGTCACAATCATTTGCATTGCTGAAGAGGCAAGCAAAGCATTTTGCTTCTTCAAGAGTGTGAGTGCTTGCTGTGGAAACCCATGCACATGCAACACTCTCAAAAAGTGCATAGGGCTGGACTGTGTCAACTAAAATGATCCTGGATCATCATGATACACATTAAATAAGGGATCCGGAGGGTGGCGCGGAGCTGCAAGAAGCCCTGGAGCGCAGGCAGCTCCGCGCTACACTCCGGAGCCCTGCGCGGCTTCGCGCCGGGATCCGGAGGGTGGCGCGGAGCTGCAAGAAGCCCTGGAGCGCAGGCAGCTCCGCGCTGCCCCGCGCGGCTTCGAGCCGGGATCCGGAGGGTGGCGCGGAGCTGCAAGAAGCCCTGGAGCTCAGGCAGCTCCGCGCTACCCTCCGGAGCCGCGCGGCTCAGCGCCGGGATCCGGAGGGTGGCACGGAGCTGCAGGAAGCCCTGGAGCGCAGGCAGCTCCGCGCCACCCTCCGGAGCCCTGCGCGGCTTAGCTGCCGGGATCCGGAGGGTGGCGCGGAGCTACAGGAAGCCCTGGAGCTCCAGGCAGCTCACGCGCCACCCTCCGGAGCCCGCGCGGCTTGCGCACGGGATCCGGAGGGTGGCGCGGAGCTCAGAAGCCATGAAAGCCTGCATTCGCATGCCATGGGACGTCAATCACATTTCCCCTTCATTTTTGGAGGGGAAAAAGTGCGTCCTATAGAGCGAAAAATACGGTATATACAGTGGCATCACAAGGGGGGCGGGTGGTGGTGGTGTGCCCTGGGTGCCAAGTGGGGGGGGGGGGTGAGCCCGGGTGTGGCGGAGTGAGCAGCCATCGAGCCACTGTAGCTACATGTGGAAGATCCTCCGTTCGCGGCTGCAGCTGCGAGGATCCTGCCACCGTCTGTACGGCGTTCGAGTGGCGCCAGCGGCAAACCGCTACGTACAGCGCATGTGCGGTGTCGCACACATGCGCTGTACGTAGTGATGCCACACATGCGCTGTACATAGCGGTTTGCTGCCGGCGGCGCTCAAGCGTTGTATGGATGGCGTTGGGATCCCTCCGTTGTCGCCGCACGTGGAGGATCCTCTGTTCGCGGCTGCAGCCATGAACAGAGGATCCCGCCACCATCCATACGGCATTCAAGCGGCACCGGCAGCAAACCGCTACGTACAACGCATGCACAGTGTTGCACGCATGTGCTGTACGTAGTGATGCTGCGTATGTGCCCTGCGTAACAATGCCATGCATGCGTTGTACGTAGCGGCACAACGCGTGCGCAGCCAGCAGTTTGCTCCGCCCCGGGTGTCGGTTAGCCTTCGTTCACCTCTGATTATACACACAAACTAGAACACTGAAAAGCCTATATACATTTCAGAAGGAAACAAACTTGATATGTGAAAATATAAAGTCCAGTGCTTCAAACTTTCAAGACTGACTCATAATTCAATGTAAAGAAAATACATTTCCCCATAAAATAGCATTTCATTGTTATTTAATTTCAGCTGACAAATGCTTAAATTTTCCCCAATATGTGACACTTTGTTTTACTCGCACTCATTTGTATGTCAAGTTTGTCACTTTTCCCATTTATACCTGGCACGGTGGAATATGCATACAAAAAATCTGCTTCTACAGGAATCTTGCATCCTGGATTGGCATCCATTTCCAGATCGTTATTTGGAGAACCTGCATCTGTCTGAATCCCTTCATCAAATTCAGAACCTCGACAGGCCTGAAACCATGATATAAACAGTGAGCAAAATAATTCAGTGTACACATAAATCACATACAATTTACAGAGTTATGGAATTTTATGATAATTTTGTAACTGAAACAGATTCACATTATAACTGAACATATACTTGAACCTTGTAAATGAAATATGGTACGTTAATGACCTATACTAGGATCAGCAGCATCAACCCTATGAAAAACATATTCGTCCTAGGGCTACAGCTTAAATATATTAGCTGCAATTCATTTGTATGAATACACAGATAGGCCATGCCATACCATTGCTGGTGAGCATGCTATTCATTATTTATTAAGTGCCTAATATTGGCCTTAAACTGACATTTTGTGTTTGTGCAGTTATCCAAAATACTCAATACATGAGAATTTTTTAAAATGAGTTTTTAATTAATAATTAATTTAACAACAAATAAATTACTCTAGGGCAAATAATGTAACATCTTCTACAAAAGAAGGTAGAGGACCTTACCTGAATGAAAAACAATTTAGGTTTTCCAATGAGGCTTGGGCACTTGTCTCCTCTGAAAAGACTTGTCAACTCCTTTATTGCCATAGCTCCATCTGTGCCATAGATAAACCCCTCGTCTCCGTGGCTTAATAATATGCAGGCAAAACAAGCAGCATCACTGTGGCTCTCAAGGGCAACTGCAAATCAAATGTATTTCCTCTTACATAATGGAAATGCCACTTAACAAAAACTATACGTGGCAAGTCTTTTTTCTGCACAATTAAAAGAAGGGCTAACATCAATCCTATTCATGTTTACTGAGAAATAACTCCCACTGGGTTGGATCTTTGTCATGCTTAAAAGAGACCCTTTGAAATCAATGGAACTTAAATTAGTCCCACTGTTTCCAATGGCTCAATTCTAAGCATTACTAAGCCTGAACTGATCACTAGGAAGCGTTTGTACAGTGGTACCTTAGTTGTTGAAGGGCTTGGCTCCTGAACAAATCGGCTCCCAAATGCCACAAACCTGGAGGTAAGTGTTCCGGTTTGCGAACGTTCTTTGGAAGCTGAACGTCCGACACAGCTTCTGTGGCTTCTGATTGAGTGCAGGAAGCTCCTGCAGCCAATCGGAAGCTGCGCCTTGGTTTTTGAACTGTTTCGAGAGTCAGACAGATTAAGTTTGACAACCAAGGTACCACTGTATTCAATGAAATGCTAGAGGAAGCCAGTGCAATGATGCCTGCTAGTGCAATGGAACGCTACCCTCCAAATCTTCTCCAGATGGTCAGGAGAACCCCCAGAACAGTGAATTAGGGGAGATGGTCCCATTGAGCAAACAGAAACAAATCTCCTTAGTGCTACACTGACAACAACCCAATTCGTTTAGTACTACCCAAATTATGTATTAAGAGCTCAGCTTCTCAAATGACCAAAGGAAGAACACAATTGGTCTTCTTAAGTTAACCAGCAAACTATCTAAACAGGGTGGTCATTGTTACCTTCCTTGAGTTTATTCTCCATAGCTTCACAGGTGAGATCATTATGGATGGAAACATCAAATCCAATGCTTCGAAAACATTTTAGCAGGTCACCAGCATCTTTATCAGTGCCATTTCGTATACCCATGTCTGATAAGAAACACAAGAAGATTGATGCTGACTGTGCAGAGGCGTACTTATTATTATGGGTTGTGCGAATGCCCAATGGGAGAGAAAATGATTTTAAAACTTAAAACCTTTGAGCAGTATTCAGAAACAGCTTGTTATATTCACAACGACCAAAGCAATGGCCAGAGAGGGGGCCCAGTTGAGACTGCTGCAGCAATGTTTTGTGGCACCATAAAGACTATCAATATTTTACGGTGCGCTTTTTGTGGGCTCAGTCATTTTCTGGGTATGGCCACACTTCCGTTAGAAGAGTTCAAGGCTGCTCAGAGCAAAATACAACCCCCCCCCGGGCAAAGTAAACACTAAAGCAGCATGCTAAGAAATAGTAATAAAAATACATTATCAGCAGCATATCCCTTTAAAACTGCAAAAAGCCCCTCATAAGAGAACACTATAGGCAAGGTGGTTATGTCAGACGTTTAAAGCACAAAAGCCTTTCTAACAGAAAGCTTTTAACTTTATGGCTGAAGGCCAAAAAGGAACATGCAAAGCAGGGTCTCAAAATTTGAAACTAGCAATAGAAAAGTTACTCTCCCTTGTTCCCATCAAATGTGGCTGATTGATATGGGAGAAGAGTGTCCCTAGATATTAGCATATTGTCTTGAAAAGCACTGCTCTCGCGTACAGCTCTTGCTCTCTAACAGAAGTACCACCCAGAGTTATATTAAGATGATGTGAAAAACATACTTGTACTTTCTTTGAAGTTCTTGTTGTTTATAATAACACATTTTCCAATTTTCTTGTAGTCCATACGATACAGGAATTCTGGAGGAACAATTCGGTTTCGGCTAGGGAAAGAGGTCTCTGGCTGAATTTCCTGTCCATTCTTTTTTCTGTGGAAATGTAACTAAATGTTCACAGACAGAACACAAAAGCATTTCAAATTCTCATTGATGCTTAACTGATTATTAAGTATGGTGTTTCTCTTGTATGTAAGCTTTATCATTAAGATATTTTGCCAAATTTTCCTTCGCCAAACAGTTATGTTAGGGGGGTGTTTGTTTTTCCATTTTTGTGCAATACACTGTTTTGTTGTTGTTAGAAGCAGTAATCAGTTGTAAATCAGTATTAATGACTGCAGGATGAAGAGTAACTCAAAAGAAGAGTTATTTTAGGTTTCCTTGGGATATCATAGTCCGTACTTATTAATATATTATTCAATACTTCTGTCCAGAAATGTTTGTTTTTACAGCTCCAAAAGATGAATCTTAAATTCGCCTTAATTCTATTGCATCTCCAGCCGTGCATGTTTTGGCCAAATATTTGTCTAATTCTGTGTGGAGTTAAATACCACTGGAAGATTGTTTTAAAATAGTTCTCTTTTGGATTCATACTAATAAGCATTGTTGGAATCAAGAAAACAAATTTATTGAGAGGTGGGCCTTGATTTTACATTTCTTAAATGACCAAGTAAATGACAGTATCTTTCCTGATGTCAATCGACAGGGAGTTTCAAACACACTAAAAAATACTTTGTTACAACTGCGGAACGTGTATAATGTGGCACTTGTAATAGGGCTATTTCTGCAGATCAAAACAGTTAAATGGGCAGAAGTAAACTGCTCCCAGGCTGTGCCTTTAAGACACACATTCCAACTTTTAAGTGATTGCAAGTTCTTGGTCATAGCATGCTATTACCAACCAAAGACTACAGCAGGGGTAGCTAACTTTTCTTCGGCCAAGAATAGGAATGACACATGGTCAACCCTCTGGGGGCCAAATGTCAAAGCGGCCAAAGTATGAAAGTGGGGGTGTGGTGAAAACTGTAGTTTTCAAGCCTGCCCTTCAAAAGCTTTTTCCAACAGCTGGTCTACAGTATTTTAAATCTGTTGTTGTTGTACAAGTGTAGGGAAAGTCTTTGGGGAGACACCTAAAACGTTTTGGCATCATAGAAGCAAACCCACAGGAGTGAGCAATAATATATATTTTTAATGGCTAGTTTTTTGGGTGTGTGTGTGCACAAGTTAACCACCCTGCTGTGGACCTACTAATACCACACAAGAAAAAGTATGATTAGTTTTAAGACAGAAAAAGTGCTTCTATTAATCTAGTCCCAACGAACATTTGTACAAGAGTGAAGCCACAGCAACATTTCCTTACCAATACTGTGGCCTAGGTAGCAAATAGAATGGGATAATGTCTTTCCCTCTTGCGTGTATAGAATTCCTACTCATTGCTGGCCTCAGCTGATATTTTATAAAAAATACCCCCCCCCCCCAAATCCTTAAGACAGTTCCCATATTTTTTTGTGTGCTACCAAGTGCAAGCCTCTCTTTTACATCTCATTGCCTCACGCAGTTGGCTATTTGTGCCAATAAAGCACAAAGCCTTCTACAGAACCTGAAGTATGATTATTTTGTTGTTGTTGTTGCTGCTGCTGCTGCTTAAAATCTATTAACTTTTCGGAGGAGGGAGGGTTAGATGATAAAACCCACAAATAACCTACACACCAAATTCATGTGTGGGGGAAAAAAATGACTGTAATGAAACTGTGGTGTTATATCCTTCCTGTCATAAAGAACTCTAAGAAATGGAAGTACTTGCCTTTATTTTTTAAAAGCTGAGTTACATAAACACATCAAGAAACAGTGGCCTGATTCACACACCAAATTAAGTTTTAAAATTACAAGTATGAGCCATAGCAAGCCTTTGGCTTGCATCTGCCACTTCTCCTTTGGAGTGGCTGGGTGGAAGAGATGAAAAGCTTCTACTCCTATTTCAGACTGACCATGGTTTAGCATTATCCAAGCCCTGAACTACAGCGCATTTTAACTAGGGCTTGCTGAAACAAGTCAGGTTACGGAACTATGGTAAGCAGTTCGCGTGTTTCAACAAACCACAGTTAAGCATAACCACCATTTCTCAGATTTGGATGACAGGGAAATAAAAAATGGAAGCGTTTCTAAAGTCCTTCTCAAAGTCCTTCATTCCTCTGGGCACTCAGAGCTCAAATCGTCAGGTGGAAAACAGCTTTGAACCCGATGAGGTGATCAGTTGATCCTATTTGTTGAACCAATCATTCTTAGGAGAGTTGGAAGCGCAGAGCCTTCTGAAGCATAAGGCCAGACCAAGACATTTTGCTGACTGAGGCAACATGGTTAACAGCATAGTGTCCTCTACCACACCTGAGAAAGCAGGCCAATTGGGGGAGGATGACAACAAAGGGGAATGGCTGAGGGGCTGGGGACTGCTGATCTCCAGCATCTGAGACACTTTGCCCAGTTGTAGGGTTGTCCCTGTTGAAGCAGCACAGCGGGCTGTAGATGCTAACCTCTTGTGAAAAGGATTCTGCCACAACTGCCATGCTGTGGGTTTGTGTACAGAAAGCTTCTTTCTCTAGGATAGTTCTTTCCAACTTTCTATGTTTAAGAAAAGCATTCCCTATCAAATTTGTCTCCCTAGCATGCCTATTTATGTTGCAAAGGATTGTAGGGCAGAGCTCTAGGGCTGAGCCTGAACTATGAAGAACCGGGTCTGCTATCCTAGACCAGCAAGTTAAGAAACTATGTGTACTTATGAAGAGTAAGTGTGCTGCAAAGAATAATGGTGTGAGATATTGGGCTCCTGTAGATTACAGGTGGAAGTAAGCCTCTGGATTTTTAAGACCTGGAATAAATACAAGAAAACAGGCCTCTGCCTTTGCTAGATAATTTCAGTGCACCTTTGAGGTCTTTTCTCTCCTTGTCCTTCACATCTGTGGCCTGGGCTTGAGATTTCACATGGGGCACCAAGCGCAGCCAGTAGAGCCTTGTCATTAACCCAGGAAAACAGAGTCTGCTTTAGAACAGGTTTAATCCTCAGCCCTGTACACTAAGGGAAGATTGTTAGGGATAGGAAAGCTGTTTTTCCATGCTTGTAGGCTATGACTGATCTCAAAGGGGAGCCCCTGATTAAGCTGGCCAAGGAACCTGAGGTCTCAGGAAAACAATTGGTAATCTACCATTCTGCCTATTCACGTATTCACTCATGTGGTGAAGCAGGGAGGGTCTGCCCTGTTGGCCTCATCCCTGACCCTGTGCCCCCACACCAGCCTTGCCTCTGGCACCTGCATGTTGAGTGTGGGTGTTTGAAATGGAGTTATCTGCATGTGAGCAACTGTTCACAACTCAGGGTGCCATGTGACCAGGGCAACCTGATTTTACACATGTGCGGATCACATGGAACCCCTCTGCATAGACAGCTGAAAAGAGGTTTCTTTTCAGATGCCCATTCAAAGGAAAGTGTAAGTCCAGGGAAACTGTGTGGCCAGCTCCTCAACACATTAAACTTGTTGCATGCAAGTAAGGTGTATAGGCCTAAAGCATACTTATTTTGTTTCCCACTCTGCCTTTATACTATCATAATGAACTCTAGGGCTGCAGTTGTTATTTGGCCAATCTTCCTCATATTTGTATTCTTGATCTGGGGAAGCTATTATGATAATGCTGGAGAGCCCCTATGTGATTCAGGTTTAGACCCACATCACTGTAATCTAGATGGACAACTGTGAGAAACAGTTGGTACTTGTCCAAGGAGTGGCAGAACAAGAAGGAAGCAAATTTGTAGTTGGGAACAAACCAGGTTTTGGAATTTCCCTTATTTGCATGCCACAGCAAATCATGATAAATTAGTTTGTTCGAGAATAATAAAAGCAGGTCACTGGTTAATATTACTCTTTGATTTGTGCCCAGCAATGATTTGATTTGTGCCCAGCAGAGACAGCAATGCAATACATTTTTAGTGAAAAATAAATCTATTCTCAAACTTAAGTTTCTGCTTACAGAAATGTAAAAATTTACAACAAAACACAACTTGTATCATTGATTACTATGAACAGTTTGCTTCTTAAACTTGACCAAAGCAACATCTTGTAACAACACATTCCCATAAACTAATCACACTTTAATGTTTTCACATGACATTTTCTTTGACACAATGCGCAATTGGTTATGTGCAGGACTGTAAACTTCTTATTTTGTTTCAAGGGAAGATAAGTTTACCTTTTTATTTTCCCCCAGTGCTATGTTTAAATAAAATACATCTGTACATGAGTTAGGTAAAGGTAAGGTAAAGGTACCCCTGCCCGTACGGGCCAGTCTTGACAGACTCTAGGGTTGTGCGCCCATCTCACTCAAGAGGCCGGGGGCCAGCGCTGTCCGGAGACACTTCCGGGTCACGTGGCCAGCGTGACAAAGCCGCATCTGGCGAGCCAGCGCAGCACACGGAAACGCCATTTACCTTCCCACCAGTAAGCGGTCCCTATTTATCTACTTGCACCCGGGGGTGCTTTCGAACTGCTAGGTTGGCAGGCGCTGGGACCGAGCAACGGGAGCGCACCCCGCCGCGGGGATTCGAACCGCCGACCTTTCGATTGGCAAGCCCTAGGCGCTGAGGCTTTTACCCACAGCGCCACCCGCGTCCCGTACATGAGTTACAGTTAATCAAAATGAACACTTACAAAGTTAACATTTTTAATCAAGAGATTGAAAAAAAGCCTTTTCTGTTAATCATTTTCTAGAGATAGTTTTGGGTTGTCTGGATAGGACGTTGTGCATAACTGTAACAGTATGAATTTACATTTATGTGAAATTTGAGGCCTTCAAATTCCTATGTCAGACTGCTCAATTACTGGAAGCTTTGATGCAAATAGTCAGATTTTTGTTAAGACGGAAGTGTAAACACAATAGTATACCTACGGCCACACCTGCACCCACCAGCAAGCAACTCAGGCTGCAATCCTATGTACACTTATTTTTGAGTCACATTGCAACAGTGGGGCCTGCTTCCAAATAAATATGCATAGGATTACCCAGAGAATTTGACTAGTTAGGAGGGGCATCTAACCATTCCCGTGAAGTGGTCTGTCTTATGAGCGATGGTAACAACCAATAGTTTTTAGGACCCACCCACAGGGTATGAGCTGGAGATCGTCCTACCATGTTAGACCTTATGGGAGACCTCCTGTGCTTTTCAAAGCTCTCCTGCACAGTAAACACACACCCCCTCCAAAAACCACACACCAAAAGTCTAGCACACATACATTCCAGTATCTTACTGCTGAAGCGATTTAGCTTTCTATAGAGCAAGAAATGGTTGGCAAGCAGTGAGATGTTTAAATAGGCTCCTTTGATGTGAACCCAAAAAACCCCCCAGCCTTCAGCTTACACCAGCAGCTGAACAATACTGACTGATTATGAAGTGGCGAACAACTTGGTAAATGTTCCAGAACTGCCATTTTCATTAATCAATTGTGGTAGGTCATTGTGCTATGAAAAATGGTGCACTTTTAACTGCTGTTCCCTCATTCATGTATTTGTGTTTCAATCTTTACATACTATTTATTTCCTGGCTGCATCTAACAAGTAACCTAATACGCTGTACGTTTTTCTGTATGTAAACAAAACAAAACTGAAATGCAAGCAGATTAATAGTTGTTAAAGAAATACCAATGATGAAAAAAATATGACGTAGAAAAAATATTCAGCTATAAAAGACCCTAAAGGCTGCTACATAGTTTTCAGTGTGAGAACTCTGAAAAAGGCTGGAATGAAGTTGTTGCATGGGGGGACGGGGGAGATCATCAGATGGCTGCAGATTCAGTTGCTGCAGAAAGAAAAACTTTCCTGGGAATAAGCCCCAGTGAACTCGAGTGAGGCCTTGTTCTGAGTAAGCATATATAAGATTGCACTGACAATTTCAGGTAAAGTACAATAAAACAATAAGCATAACATTGTAATTCTCAAATGCCTGTGGAGAGGAGACATGCAGATGCCAAGTTATTTATACACATTAGCTACAACCCCCATGTAGGTCTGAGACAGAGGGCCATGGAAAGTGAATTCACTGGGACCACTGACTACGTAAAAGTTAATTATACCTCAAAATGCTCTTTCTTTCGCAAATAATCAAGTTTAGATAACAGCATCATGGTCCCTTTAGACAAAATAGGCCATCTTATTCTATGCATGCTCTATATTCTTTTATTCCAGTACCAGATACTATTAATCAAGTCTTGGGTGCAATACCCAGTAAGTCCCTTGAGTAGAGTTTAAACACGCAAACTGAAATGTATCTAATTTTTAGAAACTATTTGAAAAGCTGCCCTAACTCCTTAGGCCAGATCTCCTCATCTAACAAATCTGTCAAATGAGGGAGCAAGAAAGGGGGAAAAGGAGAGGGAGTGAAGTTCTGTTCTACAAATGTCACAACTTTGCTACAGCCTCTGGCTAGTATGGGTGAGGGGAAAACAACAGAATCTAGCACCACCCTCACCACATGGCTTGGTTATCTTTGTAAATGAGGCAGGACCAAACGTTTCGACCCCTGTACCTAATTTAAGATCACCAATAATAATTGGGATGATGTAACCCAACCTTCCAGCTGAATGTATTCCTGCCATCCTCTGATCACTGGCAATTTATATAACATCTTTTGCCCGCACAAACACACCCATTCATACTTTTACTGTTACCATTCTTTTCTCAAACCAAATTTGCTTCAGCTTAAAATTTCATACCACTCATGTAGCTCCTCTTGTGTTTGTTGTCAGAACTGAAGACTGCTATTACCTGGCACAGCTTTTTAGTCTCTTGCTTGTCTCATGCCATCATGCTATCTCTGCACACAGCCACTAAGGGTAACATGGCACTTGGCCTCACTTGTCCTGGAAGTTGGGCCAACAGTGATGTGGGGAGGAGTTGCAGAGTGGATTCCCCCCACCTGGCATGGAGCTTCTCACGTTACCTGGGCACAAGAAGGAGCTGTGCCACACTGGCTACCATCCCATAATGTGAGAAGGTACCAATAGACTACTGTTGCTTTCAAGGGAGCAAATACTTCTCCATTTCAATGCCTTACTGACCTGTTTTAATTCACCAAACAAATGTGCACCCAGTCTGTGGATTGCCAATCAGGAACATAAAAATGCTCATTTTCTGAGTTCAGGATGCTAAATTATCTAAAGTCTGTTCTCCCCCTCCTACAGAAAGTGAAAGGGCGACACAAAGAATGTACAGTACCTTGGCTCTTCATCAAGTGGTACACCACTCTGCATCTGAAAAATACGTCCACCTTGCGATGATGAATAGGTTTAATGTTCTCTATTAATGCCAGCATCCCACCATGCTTACACTACATTAGTGACTGAAGCAGCCTACGGGTGTGTTCACAGACCCAAAGATTTGTCTGTGTCAGCAATGGGTCACGCTGGACTTTTCTATAGGGCTATTGAAACCTCCATAACTATGGCCTAACATGCAAGCCTAGGTCATGCAGGTCTCTTCCGCTCCTGCTGACAGGCAGAAAGCATGTGCTTGCACCACTGTGATTCTATCACTGCTCTGCTGTAATAATAATGCACAGAACTTTTTTTAAAAAATGCTTAAGAGATAGACACATGTGGTTCTGTGTGCAGAAAGCATAAGGCTGCTGTCCTTTGAAACCATCACCTAACTCTGATATACAACCTCACACTGTATCAAAGTAGTGTTCCTGAAAATTCTTAAACTTCTTTGTAGAAAAACAAGCATTTCAGTCTATTTAATACCCTATATTTACTAGTATATGAAATTCTACATGACTGATGTTGGGATCCTGCCTAATTAATTTAGACCAAAAGAGTTATATGCACAATGTTTTCCTTCTGATATTGCAGCCCTGACATCCTCACAAATAAATTTGTTGCTTACGGTTCAACCGGACAGATTAAATAGGTTTGCACTTTACTTTCTCTACCCTTTGAGAACAAACTGTCAAACTCTATGATATAATTATCCAACATCAATCTGATGCCAACCGCCCTATTTCCATTTCCCTAAAAGAAATGAAATTCCAATTCCTAAAAGAAATGAAATTACATGTATCTGAACAAACATTCGAAAGCAAACCCAGACCCTGCAGTCTGAGGCTCTTCTTTGCATGTCTGGAGGGCAGCAACACAAGAATGGGCCACCAGCCTCCTTACACATTGTTCTGAATTCAATAAAGAGTTAGAATTTAATCCAAGCCCTCAATTGTTGGATCTGGCAAAGGCTGGAAATAACACAGGACAGTTTCCTCATGAGGTAGTCATGTGATGATGGCTGAGTCAGATGGGCCACTGGGAGATTCAGTGCCAGACAGCCTAACGCAGGCATGGTCAAACTTGTCCCTCCAGCTGTTTTGGGACTACAACTCCTACCATCCCTAGCTAACAGGACCAGTGGTCAGGGATGATGGGAATTGTAGTCCCAAAACTGCTGGAGGGCCAAGTTTGGCCATGCCTGGCCTAACAGGTTAAGCCCCACCCTGGGCCCTGGTTTTAGTAAGTAAGACAAATAAGCCAGTGTTAGTTTTTTTAGGATTGCAGTTGGCAGTGATACACTAGCGAAAAAAACTGGGACAGACCGTAAAAGGAGAAAGAGAACATGGTTGATTTCTGTTTTGGATCCTGTGGGAGGAGTGAGAGACCCTCTTGGAGTGTAATGCTGGGAACCTCTCCATCGTAGGCTCAGGTTGTAGATATGTGTAAATAAACCATATACCATAAAGATACCACAGTCTCCACTGTGCTTTATTTCCAATAGGAGGCATGAACCCTGGTTAACCACCTGGGCCCCTGGGATCTCATACTGCTTGGAGATTGGGCTGGCGTAACAATATATTTAGTCACCAGGCAAAAACATCCCTCTTCTGACAGGCCTTTGGCTAATTAAACCATCTATGTGTGCATGAAATTATTGTTTTTGTTTGTTACGATGGTATGTATTTTTGTGTTTTTATATTGTAAACCATCCTGTAATCCTTGGAATGAAAGGCAGTATACAAATTTAATAAATAAAGACACTTTAATGGTAAGTCTGGATGGTCCACTCCTGCCTTTGTCAATCTGGTGTCAATCCAGGTGTTCTGGATTGCAATTCCCACTGCTCTGCTGGCTGGGGCTGATGGGAATTGTAGTCCCAAAAATCTGGAGAGCATCTGGTTGATAAAGACTGGATTACTCGCCAATTGGCCTCTGGAGTGGGGGCCATAAACGTATATGATCATGGCTAAAATAAGGATTGAATTTATTTATATAATTATACCCTGCAACTTCAATACAAATGTATGTGTATTCACAGCAGCTAACAGAATCGTTAAAAACAAAAAGTACAACTGAGTAATAATAATAGACAATAATGAATGCAAACCGATACAGAAAATTAAAGGAACAAAATAAAACAGCCACGACCCACTCAAATAGGTAGAAAAACCACTCAAATGTTTACATTAGCAATTCCTAAAAGCTTATGGTGCCTAAGTGATAGTCTGAGCTTCTTAGCATAGTTCAGCTGGTCATTGAGGAGGTACAGTAATCTCACAGTGTACCTCCCCACGTCCTTGATAGATTGCAGGGAGTACAGCATGAATTCAGCGACAAGGGGATCAGTAACCTGTACCTGGATACATACAGGCTGTGAGTTGTTCCCCTGTGCAACAAAGCAATGTTCTTCTCTTTGGCAATGAAGGTTAATTTCACAGAAGTCAGATTTTAAAGGACACAGCAGCACACAGTGCAGAACATGCCTAGATCAGGAGAGGACAAATGAGTGCAAACTTAATTAATTCTCCCCCAATAAGTTTTGCTATGCATGTTTTGCTTCTCTAAGAGATGACAGGAACCTGTCAGCCATCAAAAGTTGGTGGAAATTAACAACCAAGAGAGGGGGTGGTGGAAGACAAGACAGGTAACAGAAATAGGCTGGCACAAAACCCTCCCCTTTCCGTTACATCTCAGAAGTTGTCAACCTAAGTAGTTATTAAGCTATGTGCAAGCACCGTTAAAGAAGAATGCAAGGCCTCTGGAACAAGGTCTTCCAGGCTCCTTTTCTTCAGCAAAATTCTGAAGTCACGCAGCGGATCAAGCTTTCGAAAAGAGAAATGACCCGAAAAAGTAGAACTTGGATGACGACAGTTTTGGGTAACAATTCAAGAGCAACCCCCAAACTATGAGTGCGGATCAGAATATGGCAAGTTCAGAAATATGCTGAATATTAATGTGTTGTATCTAAATTGCTTAGAAGACATGCATTCAGGCACTCACCAAACTAGGATTCTTGTGCATGCCATGCGCACCCACATCAGAAGCATTTCATAAAGTTCAACATGGATGTTATTTGCATGCTCATTTGCCCAGTTAGTGAGAACCAGTGTGGTAAAATGGTGTCGGATTATGACCTGTTGTCAGGGGTTCAGGGAGAGAGGCACAGGGTAGGCAGGAGATGGAGAGCGATGGGGAGGAATTCCAAGCCAGCGAGGAAGAGGATGACAATGACTCAAGAGATTCCATGAGTCTTTCCAGCGAATCAGAGGATTCCCAGAAGGGGGCGCCGGTGGTTAAGGCCAGGGGAGCCCCAGGGGGGACGTGTCAGGAGCAGGGGGCCAGCGGAGGATCCCAAAGTGGCAGCTGGGCGTCAGGACCAGCCTCCCCACCAGAGTGCAGCGAAGGGGGTGGAGTTTCCAGTGTGTCAGAGGAAGCAGCTCCGGGAGCAGAGAAAGGAGGGAGGTCAGAGCAAGCCGCCCTTCCGGAAGGGGAGGGAGCAGTGAAGGGAGTAGTGTAACTGTCAAAAGGAAAGTTAGAGGTTTGGCGCGCGCGCCTAGGTAAAATGTAGTGGCGCGCGGGAGTGCAGGGAGCCCCGAGGAGGGGCCCGGTCCCAAAACCCCCACGAGGGGGGAAGAGCAGTATGGGGATTACGCGTCAGAGGAAAACAGGAGGGCGAAACCCCAGCGGGCAGAAGGACCCTGCGGAAAAGGAAGGAGAGAAAGAGGTGGAGCAGTGCTAGCCTCTTAAATTGGTGCAGGGAGGGACCGGATTCAGAGGGGACTTCAGCGGTCTAAGCGTAAGAGACGTAAGGCTGCGCGCCTAGGATGTCAAGCAAACCATGAACTGCAATAAACACCTTTGTATATAAGAAGACATAGGCGTTGGTCTTTTGTGAGCTGAGACTTGAGGCAGCTTTGACACCTGTGATGTATGAATTAGAGACCCCAAGTGTATATTTTATTTTTATTATTTTAATAATGTTTCATTTAACCTTTTAGAATGTATCAGGCTTCCTTTCTGTGTGAAAGTTGTACAAATGGCAGGATGTTTTAGCACCAGAGTGTAAATCGGCAATCCTTGAAGCTATCTTCAGGAAGAGGATTTTATGATGCTCTTCCCTCATTGAAGACTAAGTTGCCAGGGTAACGCGGGACATCCGAGACCTAAAATGGCCAAATGGCCTGGGAACATCGGGGCCACTCCAAGGTGATGTGGGGCTGAAGATGCCTGTACAGAGCCATTCGTGCTTTACTTCTCACGACCTGTAACCCTTCCTGATGTACGTGAATATGTTTTATAACTCCTTGTTTGCTGTGTTTGAACTACTATATGAGCTTTGGTTCTGAAGTGCCTTGGGCCAGACCTTCTCAACTGGCACATTGAGTTGAGTGAGCTCTGTCCTATTGCAAAGCTATAATAAACCTGGGTCCTTAAATCTGGATGCTGGACTAGGAAACAGTTTCCTGGGTTCTGTGGTTCATTCAAAATGTGGTTGTTCCTCACCTGGGTAGCAAACAAGGTGGTGTAGAGGTGAATTCTTACCTAGGAGACCCAAGTTTCAAATCTTCTCAGCCATGCAACTCACTGGATGAATTGGGCCAGTCATTAGCTCTGTCTAACCTACCTCACAGGGTTGTCGTGAGGATAAAAATGGGGAAGGGGAGAGCCTTGTGAGCTCCTTAAAGGAAAGGTGGGATATAAATGCAAACAATAAAATAAATGTCCAGGCGCACTTACATACCGAGTTTGTAAGAATTCTGACTCTTTTTTACTCCCCGCCCCAGATGAAAAACAGTGGAAAAGACAGCTTGTCACACAGGTGTGTGTACATGCCATGTGCATGGTGTAGGCATGGTAGGGAAAAAGTGCATATCTAAGATCCCTAATTGGGTGTACATGCTGTGGATCCAACTAACATTGAAGTCAAATGCCTTTAAGTTAGTTGAAATGTGCTTAGAAATGCTGTTCTTGGAATGTCAACGAATCACCAACACAAATCGCAATACTGGATGTAATCTAAGAGACAATTTCTTATTTGGAGTGTGTATACTTGTAGATTCACCTATCCTTGTGATGAAATATGAGTTGCCTCACTCTCGCTGCAATTAATCTTGTGGCAATGTGGTCGCAGAATGGTTTCACTGTGTACCAATAATTTGGCCCCATACACACCATCAGGTAATAAACGCTCTAGAAGTGGACTGCTTGTGACATGCTAAATGTGCCTCACTGCACATCTTATCAACCCTCATTGAATTATGCTGAGAGCACTATGTTGATTGGCCCACAGAACTGTGGAGCAGAACCATTAGTTTGATTTAATCTAAATGAAAGAAAGATAATGGAATCCAACAGAAGGAAATTAATGTCAAAAGATTCCCCCCTGCTGCCAAATCTTCCTCACCTTCTGTTTTCTCATTGTACTTTCAGTGACATTTACAGTAATGTAATACAATAAGCATTAACTTTTAAGCTGTGACAAGTAAAAACAGATCTCAAAGATCTTATGACATCTAACAAGCAAAAAGTTATATTCATCTGCCATCTAGTGGGAAGAAGATATACAGGTTTGTTTAAAAATTCAATCCAATCAGTAGACGACTTCTCTCAAAATACAGCAATTTTGCCTTAAAACTAAACCAAAGACAGAGAGCCCAAGATGTTGGATACAACCACCCATCAGGGCCTAGCCTGGTCCAGATGTGAACTGTAGTTCAGCAATATCTGGAGGGCCACACGCTCCCCACTCCTGCACTATAAAAAGAAACGTGAGCTCTGGTGTCCAAGTGTGTGTGTGTGTGTGTGTGTGAGAGAGAGAGAGAGAGAGAGAGAGAGAGAGGGAAGGGGGAGCAAACTATGATGAGGATTCCCAAATTGTGATCTGGGAGCTTTGCTCAAGTGTCTGCAGTGCTGTCTGTGGTTTTGTACTCGAAGACCAGAGACAGCACATCCATCGCATTAAGTATTCATTAGATTTTAATTGTATATTTATTGCTTCTTTTATTTCTCGTATCGTTTTTCATTTAATTACAATTTGAATTTAGCGGAATTCAAATTGTACCACAATAAAATACAATCTGTAAGAAATGAAGGCAGAAACGAAAATACACTTGAACATAAACAGTATCTAGACTAGTGCATTACAATTACTACAATAGGCAGAAAAATAAGTAGTCTGCTAAGACCCTGAGCAATGTACAAGCGGTCCATGAGGTGTGGGGAGGAGTTTGGAAGGCACTGGCGTATTAAGTATTTAAGGCAAGGCCCAGCCTCACAGTTTGGACTGGATACAAAAGTGTGGCAGTCAACTTTATTTCACTGGTTCCTTTCTTGAGATATTCCCACATGGGAGGAGACAAAGCCAGGGAAATGCATCATAATCTCTCTCTCTCTAGCTCTCTAACCATGTTTTAAACAGGTACTCACTCACCTGCCTCTTACAGATGCAGCATGATCAGAAGTCAATAGAAAGTGAATGAGAACACACTACTGTACTAGGTTCACCTTCTTTTGAAACCTAAAACGTTATTCCTTGTTAACAATCATTATACTTTTCTATCTACTAAAGTTGAGTAATCCACATACTAGCATTTAATTTGACCTCTTATAGGTAAAAAAAATTATTACCATGATTTCGAGAATCCCTAAAGGCAGACACATACAAAATGCACAAACTTGCTGCCACTTGATAACAGAAATTAAACATACACACATACCAATTAAAATAGGCTGCACTACAGGTTCCCAATATTTGCTCTTTTAAAAATAGAAGCCAATCATGTCCAGTTGGCCAAATCTTAGCAATCATAACCAGTGGAAGTCAGGTAGAGTGCCCCACCCAATCCACTTGTGTTGTTTCTCCACCCTTAACAAACAAGCTTATATTAACTCGTGAATGAATACTGTGAATAATTTAACTGAAGTAAACATCCACTTGGGACTGACAATGGTTATGAATATAAAATATAATTAACAGCTATTCTTGGAATTTAATATTCAGAATTCAATTTAAAAGGAAAAGGAAAAGTTTAAATTATAAGATTCCCCCCCATGTGGAACAGGCGTAAGGTTCATTTCTAGTATGTAGTGCATTTATAGGTCTGTATGCAATGCTATCTTCCTTTTGTGCTATTGGACGGCTGAGTTTGAAGGCTGCACAGCAGAGGAACCAAACACAACAGCTGCACTGGCAGAAACTTGTTGCACAACCAATGCTATTTCCCCATTATAATTCTATCAGTGGATCCAGAATAAAGTCAAGATAAATTTCTTTTGGACAAGCTAACAAACATGTGCCTTACTTTGAAAAGAGTGAAGATCGCTGTCTTCTATCTGGCTTTGCATCTGGAACATCACCATGGTCTCTTTCATCACCGCTCTGCATCTTTGTTGGCAAAGGATCTGCCGACTATTTATAGAGAAACAAATGACAAGAATCCTATTAAAATACTTTTAACTTTTAAAAATGCATTTTTTGCCCATTTCAGAATTACAGAAAAATTGTGTTCTCAGATACAATTAAAAAATGTCTTTCAAAATTCAGGAATTTTTAGAATTTTAGAGTTTTAGCTTTTGATGTTCAACTTACGAGAGATGCTTTTCAAAACTAAATATCCATAGACATCTTGAGTACCTAGCACTTCCCTTCCTTGTATACTCATCTACACACAGAGGTGTGCTGTTGGCAAGGAAATCCCACATGTGCATAGATCAGTGTACAAGAGAGATACACTGTGCTCAGAACCTTTAAGGCTGCACTCCTATTCACACTTGCTTTGGAGCCCTTGGGTTACATCTGAAACTCATTGCTTTTCCTTGGCTTCTCCCCACACCAGCTTGGGAATGCAGAAACGCACAACCGCTTTTTACCTGGTAGGCACCTCTTGTTTCCAGATGAAAGGGTGGTTGTTAGATATGAAAAGGTCCAGCCCCACACTTCTAAAGTTGCGTGCCCCTTCCTTTACCTTTAAAGCACCCCTAAGAAGAAACAGGGACGCGGGTGGCGCTGTGGGTAAAACCTCAGTGCCTAGGACTTGCCGATCGCATGGTCAGCGGTTCGAATCCCCGCGGCGGGGTGAGCTCCCGTCGTTCGGTCCCAGCTCCTGCCCACCTAGCAGTTCGAAAGCACCCTTAAGTGCAAGTAGATAAATAGGTACCGCTTTATAGCGGGAAGGTAAACGGCGTTCCGTGTGCTGCTCTGGTGCCGGTTCGCCGGAGCAGCTTCGTCACGCTGGCCACGTGATCCGGAAGTGTCTGCAGACAGCGCTGGCTCCCGGCCTCTAGAGTGAAATGAGCGCACAACCCTAGAGTCTGGCAAGACTGGCCCGTTCGGGCAGGGGTACCTTTAAGAAGAAACATAAGGAAAGCCTGCTGCATCAGGCCAATGGCCCATCTAGTTCAGCATACTATTCAGTGGCCAACCAGTTGCCTATTAGGACCGGAGCACTGTCTCCTCTTGCCATGAATGAAAATTCTCCCTGCATTATCAGTAAGGCAACTTCTTTATTCCTGATGAGAGGATAGACTGTACAGAAATTTTATACTGTAGGTCCCTCTGAACAAAACAGAATCACTCTCTATGCTCCATAAGGTGGTCATTATCTATACTAGGCAAATTGTAGGATGCAAACTGGGCAGGGAGAAACCCCGGTATCCGGCTGCATTTCACAGAATAGTGAAAATAATCTGCATCATGCAATCTTGTGGTAACAACTCTGCATTATGCAATCCTGAGGAAACAACATAGGTCAGCATCACCCACGAATCTGCTTAACGTTCTTTCATTTATTTTCAATTTATATAAGTGACAAGTGATATGAGTACAGCAGTAGAATTAAACCTTGCATACAGGCTACTGAAGGAGCTGCAAAAATACAGTGGTGCCCCGCAAGACGAACGCCTCGCAAAACGAAAAACTCGCAAGACGAAAGGTTTTTTCGTTTTCGAGTTGCTTCGCAAGACGAATGTCCCTATGGGCTTGCTTCGCAAGACGAAACGTCTTGCAAGTTTGTTTCCTTTTCGTAAAACCGTTAAAACCCAGGGTGCATTGCTTGAAGAGGTGCAGTTGCGACTTGACCTCGAGGAGCAACACATTGCACGCGGTGTGGTGGCCTTTCTGAGCTTTTTAAAGAGTTTGCTGGATTTTTGAAGCTTTTCCAAAACTTCTTCTACAGCTGTTTGGTAAGTTGAACTTTTAAAACTTTTTTTGGGTTTTTGGGATTTTGGGTTGGGGTGTTTAGAATTCAAGGACTTGGTGTTGGGGAGAGGTTTGCAAGAATCTGGGAGCTTGTGTGGTTTTTTCTGCATTTTTATGATTTTCTGTGACCATTGGGCCATGTTTATTTTTTTTTTGAAAAAAAAATCTGGGTTGGGTTTTGAATTTCTGTGTGCTGGGTGGATGGGGAACAGCTGGGGAGGTGTTTGCAAGAATCTGGGAGCTTGTGTGCTTTTTTGAATTTTTATGATTTTTTGTGACCATTGGGCCATGTTGTTGTTTTTGAAAAAAGTTTCTGGGTTTTAAATTTCTGTGTGCTGGGTGGATGGGGAACAGCTGGGGAGGTGTTTGCAAGAATCTGGGAGCTTGTGTGCTTTTTTTTGAATTTTTATGATTTTTGTGACCATTGGGCCATGTTGTTGTTTTTGAAAAAAGTTTCTGGGTTTTAAATTTCTGTGTGCTGGGTGGATGGGGAACAGCTGGGGAGGTGTTTGCAAGAATCTGGGAGCTTGTGTGCTTTTTTTGAATTTTTATGATTTTTGTGACCATTGGGCCATGTTGTTGTTTTTGAAAAAGTTTCTGGGTTTTAAATTTCTGTGTGCTGGGTGGCTGGGGAACAGCTGGGGAGGGGTTTGCAAGAATCTGGGAGCTTGTGTGCTTTTTTTGAATTTTTATGGTTTTCTGTAACCATTGGGCCATGTTGTTTTTTTTGAAAAAAGTTTCTGGGTTTTAAATTTCTGTGTGCTGGGTGGCTGGGGAACAGCTGGGGAGGGGTTTGCAAGAATCTGGGAGCTTGTGTGCTTTTTTTGAATTTTTATGGTTTTCTGTAACCATTGGGCCATGTTGTTTTTTTTGAAAAAGTTTCTGGGTTTTGAATTTCTGTGTGCTGGGTGGCTGGGGAACAGCTGAGGAGGGGTTTGCAAGAATCTGGGAGCTTGTGTGCTTTTTTGAATTTTTATGGTTTTCTGTAACCATTGGGCCATGTTGTTTTTTTTTGAAAATGTTTGTGGGTTTTGATTTTCTGTGTGCTGGGGGGCGGGGGGAACAGTTGCGGCGGGGTTGGCAACAGTTGGGGTGGGGTTTGCAACAGTTGGGGAGGGGCTGGGGGAACAGTTGAGGTTTTTGAAGACTTTGGTGATTTTTAAAGCTTTCCCAAAATTTCTTTTGCAGCCATTTGAGGATTTTGAAGACTTTGGTGATTTGCAGCCATTTCGTAAGTTAAACTTTTAAAAATTTTTTGGGGTTTTGGATTTTGGGTTGGGTGTTTGGAATTCAAGGACTTGGTTGTGGGTTTGAATTGCTGATTTTTTTTCTTTTCTGAGTTTTACAAAGGTAACAGCTGTGCTGCCATGGGACCCAAGAAGACTGCTGCTGCTGCGGAGGCCGGCGAGAGGAAGAAGGAGAAGGTGACGCTGGAGATGAAGAAGGAGATCATCCGGAAGCACGACGGTGGAATGCGTGTGACGGACCTCGCCAGGGAGTACGGCAGGAACCCATCGACCATCGGGACCATCCTGAAGATGAGGGAGAAGATCCTTGCGACTGATGCAGCCAAGGGAGTCACCAGGATCGTGAAGAACCGCCCAGCTGTTCTGGAGGAGGTCGAGAAGTTGCTCCTCATCTGGATAGAAGAGAAGCAGCGTGCAGGGGACACAGTGACTGAGGCCGTGATTTGTGAGAAGGCCAAGGCCTTGCACGCAGACCTCATCCGGGAACAGCCAGGAACCTCGGCCGAGCCAGAAGTCTTCAAGGCAAGCAGAGGCTGGTTTGACCGGTTCAAGGCAAGATCCGGAATCCACAGCGTGGTCAGGCATGGAGAGGCTGCCAGTTCTGATGTTCCTGCGGCTGAAGACTTTGCCTTGGAGTTCCTGGAGGTTGTGAAGACGGAGGGCTACGTTCCACAGCAGGTCTTCAACTGCGACGAGACCGGGCTGTTTTGGAAGAGGATGCCCAAAAGGACTTTCATCACTCAGGAGGAGGCCAAGTTGCCTGGCCACAAGCCCATGAAGGACCGTCTGACCCTGCTCTTCTGTGCCAACGCAAGCGGCGACCTGAAGATCAAGCCCCTGCTGGTGTACCACTCGGAGAACCCACGGGCCTTCAAGAAACACAAGGTCGACAAGGAGCGGCTGAGTGTCATGTGGCGATCCAACAGCAAGGCTTGGGTCACACGTGTGCTGTTTGTGGACTGGGTCAATCTTGCCTTTGGCCCTGCTGTCAAACAGTACCTGCTGGACAATGACCTGCCGCTGAAGGCTTTGCTTCTGATGGACAATGCTCCTGCTCATCCTAAAGGCCTTGAGGTGGACTTGTTGGAGGAGTTCAGCTTCATCAACATCATGTTCCTGCCGCCTAACACCACGCCACTGCTCCAGCCGATGGATCAGCAGGTCATCGCCAATTTCAAGAAACTCTACACCAAGGAGCTTTTCAGGCGATGCTCGAGGTGACTGATTGCACCACCATCACCCTGCGGGAATTCTGGAAGGACCACTTCGACATCGTCACCTGCTTGAAGATGATCACCACGGCCTGGAAGGGATCAGCCAGAGGAATTTGAATTGCGCTTGGCGCAGCCTGTGGCCGGACTGTGTGGCACCAAGTGACTCTGATGCACCAGAGTCGACAGTGGTGCAGGACATTGTTGCCTTGGGGAGGACCTTGGGCCTGGAGGTCACAGAGGAGGACGTTTGCGAGCTGGTGGAGGAGCACGACGACGAGCTGACCACCCAGGAGCTGGTTGCACTGCAGTCAGAGGTTGCGCAGGAGCAGGCCTCGCTGGAAGAGGAGGAAGCAACTGAGGAACGGCTGTCCTCCAAAGAACTGAGGGACATTTGCCAGAAGTGGAATGAGGTGCAGGCTTTGCAGAGCGGCACCACCCTGACAAGCACGTGGCACATGACCAAGCGAACATTTTTGATACGACGGTCATGTCGCCTCTCAGGAGCTGCTGAAACGGCGGATGAAGCAGCAGACCATGGACAGGTTCCTCAGCAAGAAGCAAAGAGTGGAAGAGGAACCTTCTTGAGTGGTCCCCAGAGTCTTAGAAAATGTAATGTACCCTTTTTGATTTTTAAATGTTTTCCTGTCATGTTTAGAAACTTAATTTATTGTTCCTTCAATTTTTGATATGCTCTTTAAAGTATGTGTGACTTTAAAGAGCAGTTAATAAACTCTTGTTGTACCGAATTTGGCTTTGATTGGACTTTTTTTGACCATAGGAACGCATTAATTGAATTTCAATGCATTCCTATGGGATTTCGTGCTTCGCAAGACGAAAAATTCGCTAGACGAAAAAACTCGCGGAACGAATTAATTTCGTCTTGCGAGGCACCACTGTATTAGAACTGAAAAGGGTAAAAAGGAGGTGGCACTAGAGTTAATCCCCAGACACTGACAGCCTCCACAATCTTTTAAGCCTTTGAGCACCTGCTTCACAGGCAGAAAGTCCCAAATTCAACCCCCAGCATCTCTAGGTAGGATTGGGAGAAACCCGTCTGAAATCCTGGAGAGTCAGCGCTGGCAATTCGGACTCAATTGACAACAGCTTCCTAGGCTCCTTTCCATCAGGTCTGCTCCCCCCAGTCTAGAAATACAGTGACAGGTCAACAGGCCTCTGTAGCAATTGGCAGCTTCCTCAGCAAGCAGAAATCCACCAGGTCAGGGTTGTTGTTTTTATAGGCAGGAATGCCATAGGCGTAGCTAGGATTCAGGGGTGCTGCTTTCACCTCCAGAAAACAAGAGAGACAGTCGCGAGTACAGGAAGTGGGCTGGGGGGGGAGAACAGATATTGGAAACTAAGTGGGCGGGCGAAATAGGTTATCAATAAATGCTGCAAAGGCTTGAAATGGGCGAGGCGCAGAACTTCAAAGGAAAAGGAAACGGGACGGAGGCCGGCGCAAGACGCCAGGAATTGGCCGCTCGACGGGGTAGGCAGGGCCAAAGCGAAGCGGGAAGCGTCGGAAAGGGCGCAGCTGCGCGTAAAGAGGCAGGCAAGCGAGGGAGGCCGAGCGTCCCCTCCAGCCCACCCCGGGGGAAACTTGCCTGGGCGCGCTTGGTGAGGAAGGGGCAAGCGGGGCGTCCCTCTCCGCCGGCGCCCTGCTACGTGGAGCCACGAAAGCGAAAGCGAAAGGTCCCGCCTGGGCGGCGCAGGAACCTCGCAGCGCCCCCGCCCGGGCAAAGCTCCCAGAGCGGAGTTTTCGCGTCCCCGGCAGCCCTTTGGAAAAGAAGAAGGCTGTGCAGGTGTTGATTCAAGGCCTGTAGTCACTCTGCACTCATCAGCCTTCTAGGCGCACCCGACACGCCAACCCCGCGGGGCAGCCGAGGACGGGTCCGTTTCACTGGGTGTAGTCCGGGCACACACGCCCCACTTGCGACCACATTTCCAAGGAAGTGAAGCGACGCGCCGTTGCCGTCGAAGGAAGGAAGGGAGGGAGGGCGGCCGGCGGGCGGCACTTCAGTCCTGAATCTAAAATTATCCGATTGCACCATAGATTCCACCCAAGCAGGCAGGCCCCGAGGGAAGGCGAGGGGGAAGTAAAATCCTAGGAAGGGAATACCCTCCGGCTTCTCTCTCCCAGCACGTGGCTTGGTAGGGAAGCTGCGTGGTTGGGGAATGTTGCAGCTGAGCTGGGGTTGAATCCCTGCTCGGGTGGGAAGCTCACCCAGAGGCTATTCTGTGCCACAGACTCAAGCTGATATATATTTGACTTCACTTAGCAATTTTTTTTGAAACGTTTAAAAATTGTTTTTTGTTAACTTTGTGTTAAATATGTACAGTGTTCTGTAGTTGACCTCCTTTGTAGTGTTTTATTTTGAAATCTTTAAGATAATATTTTAGTTTTCTGTTAATTATGTGGCTCTGACTGTATACGCTATATTTGACATTTTTCGGATTGTTTTATTGATGTTTTAATATGCTGTAAATTTTCTTTAAAATATAAAGCGGTATAGAAATGAAATAAATAATAAATAATAAAATATATCTCTATTGCTGGCACCACCTGCTTTGAGGGGGCTTGGGTACACTCTACACGTTGAAATTACATGATGCCTCCCAAAGAGTCCTGGGAACTGTAGTTTAAGGGTGCTAGGAGCTGTGGCCCCGTGAGGAGTGCAGTTATTATTACAATTCTTTGAGGGAGGAATCGTGCACTTTAGATGTATTCTTACAAGTCTGGGTGAGCGACTGACACCTATAACTTCTAGATTCAGTACAGTGGTACCTCGGGTTAAGTACTTAATTCGTTCCGGAGGTCCGTACTTAACCCGAAACTGTTCTTAACCTGAGGTACCACTTTAGCTAATGGGGCCTCCCGCTTCTGCCATGCTGCCACCACGCAATTTCTGTTCTCATCCTGAAGCAAAGTTCTTAACCTGAAGCACTATTTCTGGGTTAGCGGAGTCTTTAACCTGAAGCGTATGTAACCTGAAGCGTATGTAACCTGAGGTACCACTGTAAAGGGTTAGAATCATAGCTGTCAACGTTTCCCCCTTTTTAAGGGAAATTCCCTTATTCCGAATAGGATTCCTCGCAAGAAAAGGGAAAAGTTGACAGCTATGGTTAGAATATGGACAAACTCATCAACTCACCAGTTAAGCAAAGTGGTTAAAACTATGCCAAGCGCTGTTGCATTAACGTTTAGGATCACAAGCCCATTGCCAGCTGGGGATAAGCTGATTGCTGGTCATTATCACATTAAAGGGTCCTTGGGTCTGGAGAAAGGTGTAGAATTTCAACTTCCATTAGTAGGAAAATGGAGGGAGCAGGCTTTGCCTGGGGGAGGGGGGGAAGTGTCAATTTACAGGAGGCTCTGGTTTTGGGAGAAAGGTGTTCTGGAAGATGAAGGGGAATAAAGGGAGAACCATCTTGGCTCTGGCTGAAGGAGGCTGCACTGAGGCACCCGGAGCCATGACTGACTGCTGCTTTGGTCCCGTGCTGAAGCAATGACGGGTGATGAGAGACACTCCAGGGGCATAATGTTCTGCACCACCTCCAGTGAAGACTTCCAGGTGTCAATGAATAAAGGCAGTAGTCTCCACTGCTTTGGATCTTCCCAATGGAAACACAGCTCTGGGTAAGTGCCTGAAGCTCCTGGAATCTCCTGCAGCCACTTCATGGAGATTGGAGTGTGTATGCAGTAGGGGTTCCTAGCTAGGCTGACTGAGCTATCCTCCTATTCAATCTTCTGAGTGGGTCTCTGGTCTTTGGAAGGGTTGCCGGTCAGTGATACAGAATCTGCTTTGCATGCAGAAGGTCCCAGGTTCAGTCCAGAGCATCTTCTAGGTAGGACTTGGAATGTTCCCTGTCTGAAATCCCGAAGAGCAGCTGTCAGTCAGTGTAGACGATACTGAGCTAGATGAACTAATGGTGTGACTCGGTCTAAGGCAGATTCCTAAGTTCCTATTGTGTCTCATTATTTTCAGCCCAAGAAAAATCTCAAATGCCCATTCCTGATGTATTTCAGCAGGGGTTTCTCAGAAATCCAGGCTAGCCGCTGCCAGGCAGTGCAAACACTATTGAACTGGAAGAGGTCTGATTCTGGTAAGACAGGTCCCTATGTTTTGCTGTAAAGTCCTGCTTTTAAAAATATATATATAAATATAAAATATGTTTATATAAATATGTATAGGTCTATAAATATAGGAATATTTATATATTTATAGCCCAAGAGATATAAGTCCTATAGGTAGGTTTTTAAAATAAATAAAATAAAATAAATATAACAGGGATGGGGAACCTCAGGCAGAATATGACCCTCCAGGGATCCCTATCAGACCCACAGGGCTCTCGTGCCACCCCCACCCCCCAGGCCACCTCCATAGAATTCCAATTGTAATACATGTACATTATAAGAAATAAAATGCAATACAATACTATTAAAATATTATCGTATTTTTCTGTGTATAAGACGCCCCCATGTATAAGACGACCCCTATTTTTTTAAACCGAAAATTAAGAAATTGTTTAGCTTTTAGGGTGGGTGGGGGAGGTCACTTTCACCAATCGCTCGCCTGCCTGCCTGCCACTGCCGATTGCTTTCCACAGCCACTGCTGATTGCACACCTTGCCGCAGCCGCCAATTGTCTGCCGGCTCGCTGCCACCAACGGCCCACCTGCCCACTTGTCTCAGCCGCCAATCGCCTGTCCACCTCACCACAGCCACTAGTTACCTGCCCAATAACCACAGCCAATCGCCAGCAAGCCTTGCCGCAGCCACCAATCACCCGCCCAATCACCGCTGCCATTCTCCTGCTTGCTGCTGCCATTAATTGCACGTCCCCCTCTATATTCACTATTCGTGTATAAGACGTCACCCAATTTTTGCCTATTTTTTTATAGCAAAAAACATAGTCTTACACACGGAAAAATACAGTAAATTATAGTACAATGGATATACCATCTTCTGTCTTCAACCATAAAGTCACAGACACACTACAGACCAGCTGACTGAAGATTCACAGAACAAAGTTTGGTGAGCCCTGGTCTAGAATGATGGATGTGGGGATACTGAGGAGAATCCCTGCCAACTCTTCCAGGACAAATTTGTCCCAATCACTACAACGCAGATTTTGACTCAAAACGTATGGCATTCTGAGCATATGGAATAAAAGTCATAGCTGTCAATCTTCCCTTTTTTGGTGGGAAATTCCCTTATTCCAGGGCTGTTTCTCTCTGCTTCCCACTGCTATCCCGGATTGTTAGATATCCCGTAGACTGTCCCCGGGACAGGTGAGGCTGCTGATCCCTTATTTTTGAGGCTGCTGATTCCTTATTTTCAAATCTGAAAGTTGACAGCTATGATAAAAGTATATAGGGTACTTCCTCTAGAGAAATATATGCTGTTAAACAAGGCTTTTTCAGTTGGGCAAGGTCCGTTAAGGCTGACTGACCATAGCATTTTGTGGCCAGATAGCGTATATTGTGAGGAACAATCTTGACGTCGGGTATATTGTGGGCACTGTTCTATTTCCTGTCAGTGCTGGAAACTGAGTCAAGTTGTGTACAGAACTCTCTTGGGAAGCTGCCTTGCCCTGCTCTTCTTTCTGTAATAATGACACTCTGCGAATAGGTAATAATCTAAAGATGAAGCAACATATATTTAGAAGTACATCCTGAGGTTCTGGCAACTCAACGTTAAACCCCATAGCTTAAATATTAACAATTAGATGTTCTTGCTCATATGACCATGATGCTTCACTGTGAGTTCACTCTTCTATTTAGAGAAAGGTGTTGCTGAATTCTCCCGTCTCTTTCCCTTCCATGAACTCTTACACAGTTGCCAAAATAGCCCCTCTTAGTAACTGGCAGCTTTAAAAACCAGACAACAGCTGAGTTCGAAGCACAAGCTCAGCAGCAGACAAGCAGAAGCTTTGGACTGTGGATTGGTGTGACAAGACCGGAGTCTGATTTATAGGAAACAAGGCATTTTAAAGTTATAATTTCCTTTGAAATTTTGATACAGTCTTTTCTATTTCCTTCGATAATTTCAGGATGAATATTCAGCCTTGTGCCAGATGTGGCTATGGGGTTTATCCCGCAGAGAAGATTAACTGTATTGATCAGGTCAGTAGATGCTGTTATTCTTCACCATTATGGAAAAAAAAATCTTACATAAATAACCCACTAATATGCTTTCAGATAGACAACCTGCATCTCCTTTAATTTAACTTGGTAGAAAATATTCTACGCTTTCATAATCTTAATTCATATCGGGTAAGTTGGATGTCAGAACTGAACTTTGCCAAGGGTGTAATTTGGCGAAACATTTTACATCTTTTAAAGGTTACACGCGGGAAATTGATCTTTGGCATATGCTTTTTCAGACTGTGAGAAGAGTTGTTTATTAGACTGCCAAGAATAATCAGTTATACGTTTTTAAAACAGACTAATAAAATCTGAAACACAAGCAACTTTCACTGTATTTTTATCCTTGCTATTTCTAGACATGGCACAAAGCCTGCTTTCACTGCGAGGTCTGCAAGATGATGCTTACCGTGAATAACTTTGTTAGCCACCAGAAAATGCCTTACTGTCAAGCGTAAGTTTTTCTCCAGATATATAGCAAGGCAACATTATGCCTATATTATCCATCAACAGGTTCAGTCTGGATCAAATTCTGATACTATGGAAGTCATTTTTAGATTATCAGTCCACCCCATAGATTAGCTTGCTTTATTCTCAGTGTTTTTACTCTGAAAAACTGTAGGAAACTCCTGAGGTGTAGTCATATTACTTTAACACAGTGAACAACCAAAAAGAAAAGAAAAGTCCTGAAAACAGGATTATGGCACCTTAACATATTGTGAGAAAAACTTTTATGGATCAGAGCTGAGTAAATTTAACTGGTGTAGAAGCATACTTTGGTACAGATTATTATATTATTTTTAAATCCAAGGAACTCAATGTAGAGATTGCTTAGGTCAAGAGCCCAACTAGATGTGATGAGGCCTATCTATTGAGTTAATGGTTAAGAGTATCTCTCATTGTTAGATATCTATATCTCTTTCTCCATGTCAGCCCCTTTCCACCATGTCATATACCCAATAAAATTGCCCCCATCTTGAAGTTGCTATGTGCTCAGTGGAGGGGAAATATTCCAGTACCTGAACTGTATCTGTGTCCCCCGCCCCCCCGGCATGGTAAGTTAAGTAGCAACTTCTTGGGCTCATTTTCATGAGGAAAATAATACAGGCAACAGCATTTACGCACATCCACATAGTGTCACAGTTCCAAAATTAATCAGACCCTCCCAATGACTGCTACACACTTTTTTAAATCCAAAGGAGAAAAAATAACCATAGATTTCCTACATCACATTAAATTGCTGTCTAAAAGAAAGTGACTTGTTCAAGGCCATGTTTTGAGTCCCGTAGCTGGAGCGGGATTTAGTAAAAAACAACTATGATCTAGTCAATACACAACAGCATCTCTGGGATGATTAAATGCACATTGAAACATTGGTAGTCATTTGCAGTTGTAAAAGTGTAGCCTGTGTGCAGTGCAATATACAGTCATACCTTGGGTTAAAGTAGCTTAGGGTTGAGCGTTTTCAGCTTGCGCTACACGGCGACTAGGAAGTAACGGAAAACGTTACTTCCGGGTTTTGCCGCTCGCGCATGTGTAGACGCTCAAAATGACGTCACGCGCATGCATAGATGCAGAGAATCGCGACCTGCAGATGCGGGTTGCGTTCGCTTCAGGATGTGAACGGGGCTCCGGAACGGATCCCGTTCGCATCCAGAGGTACCACTGTATTGGCTTCAATGTATCTTGGTGCTTGATGGATAGTGGTGTTATATAATTTAGTCACTAGGTGGCATTGGACATACAATAGCTATATATGGGTGATATCAGCAGTCTTCATTCTGCTCTTGTTTGAGAGATATAAATAAAAATTTTGTCCAGCTTCCTGATATGCACTGTATACCTTACATGGCACCAGGTACTAATGAAAAACAGTTTATGAGGCTTGCTTGTCAGGGTGCAATAAAATCTCATTGTGAATTGCAAAAAGCTTTCAGTGTGTGATGGAGCACTCACACAGCCATTATATTATGAAATCAGAGTTGGCACAATGATGCTCAGTTTATCTGGTGGTAGGCATCTGGGATCAATGGACAGTCCACAAGACAGTTGTAAATACTTTTCTTTTAAAGGGGGGCTAATTTTATGTAGCAACTTTATTGAAGACTAATTGACCCCAAGGTTCCTTAGTCAAAATCTTTATAATGTGCAGCACTGATTATGAAAAGGACCATGTGGTGTAATAGAAAAAAAGAAAAAGAAATTCTCCTTAAACTTGGATCATTTTATGCCCTCTTGATTTTTTTATTTGAAAGATCAAATATTCATAACCTGAAATTTGGTTACTGCATTTTGACCTTTGTTACATATGATGATAATTTAATATGTGTGGTTGTTAGAGCTGAAAGATAAGTAAAATACGGTGTTTTCAACTTGCAAGTCAATATGTTCAGTTTTTCTCAGATGTTCTGAAATGAAGTGGCTTCTGTTTTTGGGGTTCTTTTATTCTGCAATTTCCTTTTGTTATTAGAAAAGCAACATTAATAGAGTTAAATTTGTTAACTTAAATAGAGTTATTAAATAGAGTTAAAAGATGTAGATAACTGCAAAATTAAACTTTGTATGTTAGATGCTAGTTGTATTTTAGCAATCAGTTCTTTGCTTTAAGAGATGTACATACATATAAGAAGTATTTGGTTTTTTGAGGGACATTGATTATTTCTTTCCAAATTGTATCGGCTTTCTTTTACAGACATAATCCAAAAAACAACACATTCACAAGTGTTTTTGAGACACCAGTAAATATAAATGTGAAAAAACAGACTGAAGCAGTAAGCGAGGTAAGATACTTTAGGAATTAATGTGTTTAATATTTGTCAGTCATATCAGCATAGCCACCCATATTCATTTTAGGGTGATGATAGATGGACCAAACCCTTCATCCTCCTTTTTTCATATCTGTATGCAGTTTCCCACCTCTGCTGCTAGTAATGGTTCCTATACTCATCATATGGGTGATTCTAGCCAATCAGATATCTGGCCATCAAAAATGAATCTAACTATCAAATGAATTCAGAATGAATTGGAGGGTATTTCAGTGCCAATGAAGTTGTTTACAATGTGGGTCCCTTTCTTGGATCATCCTATTTCCTTCTGAAGGTTGTAACAGAAGATAGAACCTGTGTTAGCCAAATCTCAGTTAACTAAACCCCATGTGGAAGCCACACAAGGGCAAACTGGGACTGCTGTCAGGCTTGACCTTGACACAATGGTATGAATTCTGCATCAATTCAAACACCAGGTTAGAGTTGAAGGAATGGGCTTGTACTAGACTGCACAGGGTTCTCTTGTGGACTTACATTGTAAAGGCAGAGGGGAAAAAAATACATTAGCAGCCTGATTCTTCTTCTTCTTCATCATCATCATCATCATAAATAAATCTTTATTGTCACTACACCACCTGTGTGCAGTGAAATTAAACAAGCCCCCCCCCTACATTCAGTCTTGTTCGCGCTCTGTGTGCTTGTCGGAAGTCAATTGCACCACTATTTTTTTCCATTCAGCAGCCCAACAGCCCACGGATAAAAACTGTTCTTTAACTTCTTGGTGCGGCTGACTATACTTCTGTATCTCCTGCCTGAAGGTAGGAGATTAAAGAGGTGCTGGCCAGGGTGTGAGTCGTCCCTGAGAATTTTCCTCGCTCTCCTGAGGTAGCGGTCTCCTGCGATGTCATAGCGCAGGAGGACTCTGAGGACAGCCCATGATGTCATGTGCTGTATTCACCACCCTCAGTAGGGACTTCCTGTCCGTGGCTGTCAAACCAGCGTGCCATTCATAGAATTGTAGAGCCATCTAGTCCAGCCCCTTCAGTGCAGGAATCTCAACTAGCACATCCATGACAGATGGCCATTCAACCTCTGCTTAAAAACCTCTAATGAAAGAGACTCCATCACCTTCCAAGGGAGTCCATTCCAATTCAAATAGTACCACTGCTGTTGCAATGTATGTACAAAGCAGTTGCATAACCAAGTGTTAGCATTTCAGTGCTAAGGACAATTCCACGCACTCAGTGAGGCTGTACATTCAGAGCTGCCCCCAACATTGTAGTGACTAGGGACATTGACATATGTTTTGTCCACCCAAGACCCTTCAAGTGTAAGGAACTGCAGAACTGAATGATTATGCTTATGACACAATGCGAAAACTCCAAGTTTTAATGTCTGTGCATTTTAAAAACCTGGTTATACTCACAAAGTGCGTATCTGAAGGAGCCCTACTTAAATAAGAACTGCAGAACATCTTAGTGGTTCCTTCAGCCATTGAAAATCTACATTCTTCCTCACCAAAAAATTGCTAGGGATGCTGATCTAAGGTGTGGAAAGTATGCCGGGTTCAGTCAGTTAGAAGAGTTCGTGCACACGGTTTCTGCCGCTTTGTTTCACGGTCCCATGTCATCCTTTGAAATTTCATTTCAAATGAACCAGGAAACTCAAAGGAAAACTCTGCTGAAACTGTCAAGTCTTTGACACCAAATCAAAAAGTGTCTGCAGATTCATTAGAATCTGAACCTAGGTTTGCTAAACACACACACACAAAGACTTTTCAAACCTCTGATGAACCTGGCACTTGGATCTGAGTTTTTAACAAAATTGTAAAGTCGAGTGAGTTTTACATGGTTGCATTGGGTAAACTTGGTGAAATGTCAGGGGGCTGCTAGCTGTAGGAAATCTGAAATCCTTCTGTGCTTTCATATATTTTTTTAAAAAAAAACCTGCCTTCCGAGTTACAGCTCTTCCAAATTTCTAGATTTAAATTTTTATATCTTGCCCCAGTTTTCACAGTAGAAAGAGCTGATGCCTAGAACAATTTTATGCATGCTTACTCAGAAGTAAAGCCCTCTGCATTCATTTGGGTTTACTTCCAGGTAAGTGTGCATAGGATTGCAGTCTGAATATATGATAAGAATAGGATAAGGATATGACACACACACACGCTTTTGTTTCCTCTGAAGTATCGGGAATATTGTTGTCACAACTTTAACAGCCTCATTCTATATTGTGCTTTTCCAAGATAATTCTTGAAAAATTCTTACATATTTAAAACACACATGCAGGATTTGCAATATCTCTCACTAAAGCTATAACAACAGCAACAAATACATTTCCTTCTAAACTGTGCATGACAGATTTGCTCTGGAATGTGTTTGGGATTAACAACAATTTCTATTTCTGTTTGATGGCTGTGATAAGAGATCCAGTTACTTCAGTATATCTGTGTGTGAGTGCTAGATCACTTTCCTTTTCTTTTGTCACTTAAGAAACACTTCTCCTTTCAATCACAAAAGGAAGTTTGAGGTTCATAGAGTGGTTTATAAGACTCAATTTTCATGTTAATATTTTGTACACAGTAAATTCATATTGGCAAACTGACTAAGATACCAAGAGAAGCCAATACATACCCAGTTTCCTGTACTGGGATCAAAAGACAGTACTTTCTACTTTAGGTATATATTTTTATACAAATGTCTGCATACCAAAATAATGGGATTGTCTTTTTCATTTGGTAGTATTGCCATTTGTATCCGTTCAAGCACGTGAGACCATGTCTTATTTCAGAATCTTCCCCCTCCCCAACACCTGTTGCCTTATCTTTCTGCTGTATCAAGTGACTTCAGCTCTAACCCAGTCATTTTGGTAGTTCAGGCAGAAGTGGAGAAAATTATACCAAAAAACAAAATTCTGAGGCTGGTTATTCAAAAATGAATATCTGCAACAGATTTTTCCTTTTGAAATTCAGAATATACAGTGGTACTCGGGTTACATACGCTTCAGGTTACATATGCTTCAGGTTACAGACTCTGCTAACCCAGAAATAGTACATCGGGTTAAGAACTTTGCTTCAGGATGAGAACAGAAATCATGCTCCAGCGGTGCGGCTCGGCAGCAGCGGGAGACCTCATTAGCTAAAGTGGTGCTTCAGGTTAAGAACAGTTTCAGGTTAAGAACAGACCTCTGGAACGAATTAAGTACTTAACCCGAGGTACCACTGTATAGGGAACAGATTGAAGAGGAAGCCTATCTTTCTTTAATATTGGATATGAAGGCTGGCATATAATCCACTGAAACAGGTTTCAAAATAACATTTTGGGCCTGTCTATGCAGATTAAGTACCGAGAAGAGGGTGAGAAGTTAAAATCTGTTTTTCACTGGAATGTGAAATCCGGAGACATGGAGGCTGCGAGGAAGATGCAGCAGCTAAGCAGTCAGGTAGGAGACCCCTATCAATAACTTACTTGCTAGTGAACATTCAGCAGATGCTCTGCTATCCTCCAGGCTCCTAGGTTGCGCCATTTACAAAACTGCAATTTTATGCCTTTAACATTCTGTATTACTGTAATACAAATGACCCCTTTATGTTTTCATTTGGTTTGGAAGCCATTTTCAAAATATGTCTCCAATTATTCTGACTATTGCCATTGGAATGCTGTGACCTGGATCCCAGACACTCTTTGGGTGTAAGCCTCATCTGGTTCTGTGAAAACGGCGCCAGGAGAATGCTTCATAGATCAGGCAGTACATGTCTTTGGCTAAGATACTGGTAGCTTGATCTGAAGATTTATGATGCCTTCATGCAAATACTTAGGATGATGTATTATGCAATTTACTTGCATTTTTTTTAATCCCATACGGTTTTCATTGTTAATTAGCTAGATATTTGCAATTCTGTTTAAAAAGAAAGAAAGAAAACAATTAAGGGGGAGGGGAAGGAAAGCCCCAGGTCAGCAAAAAGTTGTGCTAGTTGCAGTCTGTGTTTCATAGCACCACTACTTCCAGAACCCCACTACTTCCTCCCCTCTTCCTCCTTATATTATATCTGTAACAGCTCAAGAGAATTGGATGTGGTTAGAGGAAGATGCTTTTTCCTACTCTTGCCTGGGGCCTTCCCTTTGCGTAACCTTCCTTCGGATCACTCATAATTTCAAGAAGTTTATAGGAAAGGGCTGCCAACTAAAGTGCCTTGAGAGGTTCCTGACCTCCCCCCCCCAAAAAAAAATAGCACTGGCAGTGGAGTTCTTCAAGCTGTGCCTACTCACTTTCAGAAAAGTATAGATTATACTACCTTGTAATTATAGTATGTTGCAATTATGGGCAAACACACCAGGCACATAGGATTAGGATCTTGTCCTCTCTAGATGTGATGAAATAAAATTAACTGGAATGTCAGTTCAACTGAAATGAAAAAGGCTCACTGTGCTCAGAACTAAGGTGCCAGAATTTCATGTGCAGCTTATGGGTGCAAAGGTCCAGGGAATTGCTGGGAACTTTTCCCATGCAGCCACCAGCTTTAGAAAAGTAGAAAGAGAATCTGCATGGTTTGGGGCAGGAGCCACCTAAGAAAGGAATGTGGTCACAGCCAGCCACATATTAATAGATTACATCCTGTCAAGAGTCTAATCCCCTGATCTTTAGAGATGGAGTCAAAAGTGTTTACCACTGTGCCTGTTCCTCATTTTATGATGTATTCTGTTTTTAGAAAGCCTACCGTGCTGCGTATGAAGAAGGCAAATCATGGTACTCAGAAACCATCCCAGATGCGGAAATGCTTAGGATAGCTCAAGAACAGGACAATGATGTAAGCGAACCTCCAATTTATGACAGCTTTATTTGTGAGTTAAATATATCAAGGAGAGACCATCCACATGGACTTGCATCATTAGATGAGTGAACTTAAGGGAATTCATGGCAGAAAAGTTCCCCCTCTTCTCCTACCTCAGAGGAATTAGTTTGACGAACAAAGTTTAAACACACCTTTATCTCTCTGTTGTAGTTGAAATATACTGAGGAATATGAGCAGCAGAAGGGAAAGGGCAGCTTTCCTGCTCTGATCACTCCAGCTTATCAAATAGCCAAGAAGGCCTCTCAGCTATCCAGTAACGTAAGTTCCTGGGGCATGTATTTTTGAGGGAGGGCAAAGAGATTGTAGCATAGGGGGGCAATATTCATAGCAAGAGTCAAAGGTCTAAATTTGATATATGATTAAATTGCCGAAAAGAAAAGAAAAAGAATGTGGACCATATCCAGTGTTCTCAGTCTGCCAGCATAAGAGCCCTTGCACTAGTAGACGGCAGCGGGCAAAAGTTGTGCTAGCAAAAACTTGTACAGCAGCTGATTTGTCTTGTGCAATCGGTTTCACAAAAATCTTTGATAATGTACTTGTGCTTTCCCTTTCACTTGGCTTTAGTGCTATGTTTGATACAACCCACCCGTTTGAGTACATGTTGTGATTACTTTTTAAATACTTCATAACCTGAGATATCAACGATTTGGAGGCATGATTACACGGGGTTTGAAAAACAGGAGTATTTCTTCTCCCCTACCTAAATGACACCCTGCCCTCTTCAGTTCAGCTGTGTTTAATAGTCTTTATTGGCTGGTGTTTTTACTACCTGCCCGCTTTCTTTGTAGGGTATAACATCCGCAACGATCTAGAAATCTATTTTAATTAACAATATGCATATCATTTATGATAAGAGAGAAACAGGAAGCCCAGAAAAGATTCACCTTGAAGATCACGAAGCAAAATTCTCTAGTTGTTATTCCAAGAATTATGTATAATGCTTCAACAGAGATTGAAAATGAAAGCATGGGAGATTGTTATTGATTAGGCACGCTGGGCTTGTGTTCAAGAAAGCATTTTCATCCAAATAAAAATTTCAGCATTTCCATTTAGTTTAGTCATTTAACAGACTTCTAGATTGAGCTCTTTAATGCATTTACTCCTCCGCTGCCATTTACTTGTTATGAAATAAACATCTTTGGCAACTGATGGGCTTGGGGTGAATTAAACTGGAGCACAACATTTTGACAAATAAGGCCAGAATGTGTTGTTATTCCAGCCTCTTTTCATCAATAAGAAACTGCCGTTTCATTTGCATTTGCAACCAAGGAATTTAAATTCAGGGCCAAATATTGGAAACACTTATATTAGCAAATCCAAAGATCATCTATTTTTACTGTCATTTGATGCTTGATTGTAAGAGATAGGATGGCAGTTCTTCATAGTTTTCAAAGGTTCTTTGACTCTGCTTCTCCACAATAGGTGGAATATAAACGAGGGCATGAAGACCGGGTTTCCAAATTCACCAGTGTTGCGGATACTCCAGATGTAATTCATGCAAAGGCTGGGGGGCAGCTTGCGAGTGATGTAAGTAGAACAGAAGAGCAGACCAAGTAGATAGACTTTCTGCTTGTTTATAGCTGTATGATTAAAACTCTCCCGATTTTTCCAGTTAAAATACACAGAAGAGTATGAACAACACAGCGGGAAAGGGAGCTTCCCTGCGATGATCACTCCGGCTTACCAGATAGCTAAAAGAGCCAATGAATTAGCTAGTGACGTAAGTTTCAAAAGTGCGATCTATAAGTTGTCACATATTGGAGAAAAATCTGTACTTGGTCTTCCAAAATTATGGCCACTTTCCTGTTGTGAGAAAAATCCTGACATTGCTAGGTCAGCCAATCTCCACTGTTAAGGAGTGGAGACTTCTGTATTTTAGCATCATTGCATTGTCCAAACTTACTTTGAAAATAAGTGTCTGCTAATGAAACAAAGGATAGACTGAAGTTTGAAGGAAATATGCTGATCTTAGGATGCTGGTTACTTCCCCGCTCTGTGGTGCTCCAAAGTTGGAGCAGTGGCTTTTGGCTGTTGGTTGGAGCGTTTGTTCTGTGCTCAAACTGTATACTACAAAATGCCATAAACCTCCAGTGACCTCCTTCTCAAGAAATCAGCCTTGGCAAAACTTCTCATTATTTGGAAAAGTTGGGTGAGCACAACCCTTTTATACAACATGATGGTTTGGCATTGTTCCCCTGCCCGCTTCTTAAAGATGGATCTTTCACTTTGCCTTTCTACTGTATGCCCCTTTGAGCAATTTGTATGGAAAATGAGCTCCGTGGGCTTTAAAAGCAAACAAATGCAATTTGTTTAGGTTGTAAGATCAGCAGAATAAACACATCCTTTTCACCTCCATTGCTTTCTCAGGTGAAGTATCATCAAAGATATGAAAAGGAGATGAAAGGAAAAGCAAGTCATTCTGTTGGTGCCTCAAACGAAAATGTGAATCAGTTTAGTCAGGTAAGGCGCAATGCAAATGTATTCACATCTATATATATTAATTCATGCATATTGGTGTGACTCTCTTCACATCTATGTAAGGATACTGATCTCAAGGCTTTGGTGGCTTGCTGTTATGCAGCCATAGCCATACCAACCACGCAGAAGTATTAGGTAGCAGTAGACTCGGAAGAGTAATAAGGTTTGTAAAAGAACAAAAATATTAATTGGGGGGCAGCCTTAGGAAGCCCCCCCAAAAGCATCCCACAGAATGCTGACTGGACATTGAGAGGCATAAAACAAAAAACTCACTTGGAAATTGAATGAGATGGCTTGAAAAGGAGACTGGATGAAGAGACAAATCAGTCACATCCACATCATATATTTAAAGCATATGGCTCTCCCCAAAAACAAATTCTGGGAACTGTAGTTTACTCCTAACAAAAGTACACTTCCCAGTATCCATAAAAAACTACAGTTCCCAGGATTCTTGGGAAGAAGCCACACGTTTAAAATGTGTGTCAGGTGTGCTTTAAATGTATGGTGTGGGTTGTGTTATAAAATATGGAAACTGTGAAGTATGCCTGCTTGTTAGGAAGACTGTTGGTAAGACAGAAGTGTACCAAAATGAATAACTTAAAGATAAGTAAGTGATAACTATTGGATGTTCTTCAGGATTATATGGATGAATATGAAGAGCACCGAGGGAAAGGGAGCTTTCCTGCTATGATCACGCCAGCGTATCTCAACGCTAAGAAGGCAAATGAACTGGCGAGTGATGTAAGTATGAAAGTAAAGGTCTAGGTCAGCGTGGGCCAGATGCAAGAAGTTGCTTATAATAACCAGAAGGTTCTCTGGTGTCATATTATTTGAACAACTAGTGGGAACTTATAAAAGGAGTGAGACCCCTTAGGACTCTGGGTGTTCTTGTACCACATCCAATGATGTCAAATATAGCTGTCTATGACTGAGTGCACTATTTTAGTGGACCTCCAAAATGGAAGTATTGATATGTGTTTGTATGTTGTGAAAGATCAAACTTTGTTCTCAATTGGAATTAGCTCTAGAGGGTCACCCCCAAAGTAACCACAACATTCCTTTTCTGCTTAGGTATCAAAAGTGAGCAAAGTAGTCATGATTTCTATAATGATCAGGAAGGATACAAAGAAATGCACAACTGAGAGGGCTTCAACCAACAGCCCCCATTTTACTGTCCCCAAACCACTTCTAAACAGAGAAGATACTTTTGAAAAACAGCTATATGAAAGGGGTGGGGAGTACAAAATCTACCAATGTCTACCAAAGCTCTTTGGGATGCCAAAGGCAGCCTTGCGCATGGCCTATTGTATTTAAATAAGTTTGTCTGCTATATGTTTGCTTTGAATATTTGTATCCTGTATGCATGTGTACATATATGCGTGCATATACAGTGGTACCTCAGGTTACATACTCTTCAGGTTACAGACTCCGCTAACCCAGAAATAGTACCTCGGGTTAAGAACTTTGCTTCAGGATGAGAACAGCTAAAGTGGTGCTTCAGGTTAAGAACAGTTTCAGGTTAAGAACGGACCTCCGGAATGAATTAAGTACTTAACCTGAGGTACCACTGTATATATAATCTTATTTGCTTGAGCACCACCAAAATGTTCTTCTCGTAGGGTTTTCATGCAATCATTGAATTGTAGGGTTGAAAGGCCCATCTAGTCCCACCCCTGCAATGCGCATCCTTGGCAGATTCCCCCCCCCAAAAAAACCCCTCTGTTTAAAAACCTCCTGTGAAGGATAATCCACCACCTTCCAAAGTACAGTGGTACCTCAGGTTAAGTACTTAATTCATTCCGGAGGTCCGTTCTTAACCTGAAACTGTTCTTAACCTGAAGCACCACTTTAGCTAATGGAGCCTCCTGCTGCCGCCGCGCCACCGGAGCACGATTTCTGTTCTCATCCTGAAGCAAAGTTCTTAACCTGAAGCACTATTTCTGGGTTAGCGGAGTCTGTAACCTGAAGCGTATGTAACCTGAGGTACCACTGTAGTCTGTTCGACTGTCAAACAGCTCTTTCCATCAGAAAATTCTTCTTAACATTTGGCCTAAATCTCAAATTCCAAAGAGATAATTGCTTGGATCCCAACATGCTTTTCCATTTCCAGAATGGCCCGCTCTGTTTCCAGAGAGGGAACCTTTGTGTCCCGTCTAATTAGTTTACTCAAGGAACTAGCACTGGAGTGATTAACCTTCATTCGGCAGCATCTCCGAAAATGTATGCACCCCATAAATAGCAACAGCAACAAAAAGCAGGCAGATGATGGAGTCATCATGAATCACGGTTGCAATTTTACCAAGGCAAACATTCAGTGCTAGGACCCTTACTCCTTATTCGTCAATATTTTCATTCCTGTTTAAACAAGGCTTTGCTCACCGTCTGTCTCTGAGTGGAAATGTAATATTAAACGCTGGGTAACTATTGAATTATTTAGTACTAGCTTAGTGTCCTGGCATCCCAGCTAATCTGCAGACATGAGTTCAAACTTCTAATAATAACTCCAGTTAATATTAAAAGTTTTGGGCTGGCTGACTTCTGAAATGAGACGTGTTCCTATCACATAATCAGTCTGAATGAAACCAGTGATTGAACCAAGAGGAGGTTTGTGACTGAACAGGGAATTAGAACCCAGAGCCCTCTGACCCCGAGTACAGCACTCTAACCACCACACCACACTGGTTCAAGTATTAATCATTGTACAGTGGTACCTCGGGTTACAGACGCTTCAGGTTACAGACTCCACTAACCCGAAATAGTACATCAGGTTAAGAACTTTGCTTCAGGATGAGAACAGAAATTGCATGGTGGCGGCACGGCAGCAGCAGGAGGCCCCATTACCTAAAGTGGTACCTCAGGTTAAGAACAGTTTGGGTTAAGAACTGACCTCCAGAACTAATTAAGTTCTTAACCTGAGGTAGGTAAAGGTAAAGGGACCCCTGACCATTAGGTCCAGTCATGGCCGACTCTGGGGTTGCGGCGCTCATCTCTCTTTATTGGCCAAGGGAGCTGGTGTACAGTTTCTGGGTCATGTGGCCAGCATGACTAAGCCGTTTCTGGCAAACCAGAGCAGTGCACGGAAACGCCATTTACCTTCCCGCTGGAGTGGTACCTATTTATCTACTTGCACTTTGACATGCTTTCGAACTGCTAGGTTGGCAGGAGCTGGGACCGAGCAACGGGAGCTCACCCCGTCGTGGGGATTCAAACCACCAGCCTTCTGATCAGCAAGTCCTAGGCTCTGTGGTTTAACCCACAGCGCCACCCGCGTCCCCTTAACCCAAGGTACCACTGTATAATTATAGCTATTTGGACAGTGATAAATTGTTACACTTTTCTAAGTGGTAGGAAGTTCAAGGGCAGTCCTCTTTATAAGGTTTCTTTCTTTGTAAAGGAGCAAGCTGGTGATCTACAGTGTGATGTATTTGTAATAACTGTTTCTTTATAAATACTTGAGCAGGGCGTATAGGAAGCAACCAAATCCTTAAAGCAGGGCAGCAAAACCAATTGCCATGCTGACCGTGGAGAAGCAGTAAAGAAAACTGAAAGTGTGGCCAGCCAGTAGCCATTATAACTTGATTTGATCCTGCCTTTTTCTTTCTAGATAAAATACAAGCAGGATTTTTCAAAGATGAAAGGAGCAGCTCACTACCATTCTCTTTCTGCCCAAGAAAACCTAGTTCTTAAGCAAGCCCAGAATGTGAACAAGTTGTACAGTGAGGTAAGAAGGCCAGATGTAAATTTTATCAGGACACCCACACTGGTTTGTCAGAGAAACAAATTGCATGGAATTTGATGGGATTTACTTCATAAGCTGATGTGTGTCTACTCAGAAGTAAGTCCCATGGCGTGAATTGCTGCTTCCTCCTGGTTAAGTGTGGCCTTAAGCATTTAATTGAGATTGAAATCACATCCACACCAAACAATCTGAGAGCTCTTATACCAGTTTAAAGTCATGGAAAATCCTGGGAATTGCTGTTTGTTCAGGGTAGCTCAGTGAGGCCAGCACTTAGCAAACTACAGTTCCCTTGAAATTCCCTTGAAATTCTCCATGACTGCTTTAAATGTATGGCATGGATGTGACCAGAATCCCAGCAGGACTTTTGCCTGCCTAACTCTCTTTGAAATATGCACCATATCCTCATGGCATACAGGACATTTCAGATTTCTTTCATGCTGACCAACATGATGTTTGTCCCCTTTGTTTATTATGAGAGTGAGTATTGCTATGCAATAAAGCAGCTTCTTATTTCGCTTATTGCGGGATGTAACTGAAATACATAGCCAGCCATTGAATATATTTTCACTTCTCACTGTTCTAAATTCTCATTTTGCAGGTGGGCTATAAGAAGGATCTAGAAAGCAGCAAAGGCCACAGTATTAACTACTGCGAGACCCCTCAGTTCAGGAATGTTAGCAAGATCTCAAAATACACCAGTGATGTAAGTCCTCAGTCATTTGCATGCAATTCTGAGAAAGCTTAATGTAGTCACTGTGGGAATCGCAGTTTGTACATATGTGAATTCAAGATAAGAACAGGAAATCTGGGTAAAAACAGGGCTGGGTGTTTGAATTTAGAAATCTTTACAGGGAAGAAAAGGTACAATTAATTTATCAGTAATCCAATCAAACAGTTATTTGTTATTTGTAAATGTTTATGGTCTCATCTCTGTTTCTTGGTGGGTTCTTAATACCACCAGGTCACCTCAGACAACACTGTCTGAGTGCAAATTACAGAACAGAATATGGACCAAGTCATCTGCTTATAACTTCAGATATAGGAAGATATTTTTGTTGAATTCAACACATTATCCTTTATAAACAAAAGGTGTCAGAGGAGCTACATTGCGCTTCTTGGCATCATTTTTTTTGCTAAGTCCCTTTAAAATCAATGGAATTTAAGAATTAAGCTTGAAAATCAAACTTTCAGATACAATGGAACCTTGGGTTACATACTGTCCTCCTTACGAACGCTTCGTGTTACGAGCTCTGCTAACCCGGAAGTAGGTGTTCCGGGTAGCGAACTTTGCCCCGGGATGTGAGCGGAAGTCGTGTGCCAGCGGCACGGCGGCAGCAGGAGGCCCCATTAGTGAAAGCGCACCTCAGGTTAAGAACGGTTTTGGGTTAAGAACAGACCTCTGGAACAAATTAAGTTCTTAAATGGAGGTAGCACTGTACAGTGGTACCTCGGGTTACATACACTTCAGGTTACAGACTCCGCTAACCCAGAAATAGTACCTCGGGTTAAGAACTTTGTTTCAGGGTGAGAACAAAAATCATGCTCCGGTGGCGTGGCAGCAGCAGGAGGCCCCATTAGCTAAAGTGGTGCTTCAGGTTAAGAACAGTTTCAGGTTAAGAACGGACCTCCGGAACGAATTAAGTACTTAACCCAAGGTACCACTGTTTAGACATTAATCACTGGATTAGGCAAAATATCCTTAAAAGGCAGAAAAAGTCAACCATAGCTATTCTAAATATATTCTTGATAAACAATAAAGTTGAATTGCTTTCCATTTCTGTGGTGTGGCACTAAAATAGGAAAGTTCTTTATGGGTGGGATTCACTATGGCAAACATTCCACCTGTGCAAACATATCAGCATCCTAGATGGGGCAATCCTTACTCACCTCCTCCTGTGTGCTGTTCTGTGCAGGGCTGCCCAATGACTAAGCAAGCAGGCCCTGGCTTAAGACCTTGCTATGGAAGGATTTGTTCACTGTATTTGGGACCAAGGAGAAATTTTCCTTCAGACAAATTGGGCCTGTCTGGGGGTTTTGCCTACCTCATAGCAATTGTCACAACTTGATGGGAGATAAGGCATGGGTGTGTATCCTAGTTGGACGATGTGGTCAGAACCACCGCCAGCCCAAGGAAGCAGATCCCGTTAAAGGGATCCAGGGTGGAGATGTTTCTGTCCAGACACCCAGACTGGGGCTGATGCACCATGGCTGCATCCACATGATCTTGGACAGCCTCACCCTGATTTGGTGTGTGTCATAGGGCAATCCGTAACCTTGGTTAACCCTGCCAAAGATAATCAAGCAGCAGATGGGTTGGTTGATTCAGGATACAAATACAGTGTTTGCGCCAAAACCTGTTGCCCTCTGTAATCAACAAAGTTGTGGCCCATTTAATTTATTGAAATTCTTGGGGTCACTGTCTGCACCTTCACTGCCCCTGGGCAAAAGTCTTTGTGTAGGGCTTCCATTGAGAGGGTTCATGAGGTGAATCCTACCCTATGCCTTGCTCATTTTCTTTGCAATATAAAATAAGGGAACTTCTGTGTCTGAGAGGAGGCTTGTTTTTGTACGCAGCTCAAGTACAAAGAGCATTACCAGAACCAGAAAGGTCATTATGAAGGAGTTGGCATAGACAGACGCACAGCACATGCCATGAAGGTTGGAAGTCTGGCAAGCAACGTAAGTTGTTGTAAATGCTTCGGCAATATACTATTTTGATACGGCTTCTCATCTTAGTAGGGTCAAATGAAGGGTAGCCATAGGTTTGATTCCTTCTGGGGAGGTGAAAGTGTTAGCAGGAAATATGAAAATGGGGGGGAGAAACTGTGTTTGTAAATAATATTGAAGTACCTATACGCTACCAGTGAACTTTGCATGAATTGGATAGCATGCCTGCATTATGTTGCTGGATCACTGGTGCAATATTATGGTTTGCAGCTTTTTACTTACACAGCAGGTAGCACAACTCTCCATAGGATTTAACTAAACAAACTTCACACACACACACACACAAAATTAATGCAGTTTAATTGCTGTAACAGTGAGCTATGGGATTGGGCCTTAAGAGGCTTGTGTTTTGTTCTGCAGCAGACTAGGCATTTTTTCCCTATTGGTTGTTAAGGTCACACAACATCTTCCAGCATCCATGCCATTTGTCTTGGTTTATTTATTATTGGCTTCACTGAGGTGCCATTTCATTATTTAATACTTTTATTTATAAAATTTGTTACACACTTTTCATTATAAAATAATCCCAAAGTAGGGTTCAATAAACAATAAAACACAATAAAATCACACCATCTGTAAATAGATAGGAGTATTCACTCAGTTTTGACCAAACTGCGGGAGGCAGTGGAAGACAGGGGTGCCTGGCGTGCTCTGGTCCATGGGGTCACGAAGAGTCGGACACGACTAAATGACTAAACAACAACAAATGCACTCAGTAATGACCGTTCCCCACATTAAATGGGGGGGCACCCTTTGAGTGGTCGCGCGCAGCCTCCTGAACCCTGTGCGGCACCATTAACACAGGCTTGGCTTTGCCTTCCCCAGGTGGGATACCTGGAGGTCTCCACCTACCTCAGCCAGTTGCCCAATTCCGCCTGGGGAGGCGTTGCCAAGGTGATCAGGCAAGGTAGAGGGAGGGACCACCCTGCCCACACAACACTAAAATAACCATCACAGTATGCAGTGACATAGGTTCAACTAAAATCCTAGATGAATAAATAGTTGGCATCAAAAGCTTGTAAGGTTCTGTGCCAACTGTAGCTTAAGGGGAAGGGAGTTCCTGCACTGAATGATGGGTGCCTGTGTTGAGACGTTGTGTACCATGTCTTGAAATGCGCTATTTGAAGCTCTGTGAGAAGCACAAAAAGTAAGCATGAAGATAAAAGCAATGTGTCACAGGTGGAAGTTAAGGTAATGTTTCTGCGGTTGGCACTGGATTAATTGTGCAGCTGAAAAAGAATCAATTAGCAGTTAAACTATGCAAATAATTTCATTTTCTTTGGCATTAACGCCACTGAATTTACTTTGTTGCTTGTGTTTAATATTAATATTACTGGGTTTTTTTTTTCTTTTCTCTTGTCTGATAATTATTCAGAACAAATGACAGCTTTAAAAAAAGTTGATTCTTTTTGTTCTCCTTCTTCCAGATAGCCTATAAATCTGATTACACACACGATGATGTTGACTACAATTACCCAGCCACCCTCACTCCTTCATACCAGACAACAAGGAAGCTGATCCCTTTGAAAGATGTAAATAGCCTTCTGAATTCTCACCCTTCTGCTTGCATGGGATGGAGTATGATTTGCAGTCTGTATAAGGCAGTAATTTAATTACAGTGACAAATATAGCTGATGATAACAGCGCCCTGAAAGAAAGAGATAAAAGTTGTTTTCCAGTTGGTAGACTCATAAATTCTCAGGGCACTGGAGATGAGATATCTAACCTTCTGCATTTAGCTGTCCTAGTGTCAATCCTTTTTTGTTGTAATCCCAAAGTGATTACAGTAATCCCATAATTTGCATCCATTTAACTTGTGTGCATTCAGCTTTACATATGTGACAAAAAAATTAAAAATTAAAAAGGGGGTGGAAAGGGGGCAGGGTTTCAGGAAAAATGACTTCGGCAATCCTACCTGCCATTGAACCCAATGGGTCTTGACAATGTGCAATTTTGGCTTTATGAGCAATCTCCAGAACGTAACCCCTGCATAGTTTGCGGGTCTATTGAACTACTGCTTCCCATGGTGGTAGTTCCACACTACAAAATGTATATTGCTTTTATACTAATTTAACAACCACTTCCAAAAAAGGACTTGGACTGCAGTCTTAACCCCACCCATCTGAGAGTAAGTCCCTTTGAATTCGGAATGACTTACTTCTGACTAGACAGGGTTAGGGTTGCACCGTTTACATTTATATCCCACTTCTCTACCCCCTTGGAACTCATGACAGCATATACCGAGTTTTCAGGAAGTCTCCCATGCAGAATCAGATTTGCTTAGATTTTTGCATCTTGTGCCTTTGGAGCATGCCATGAGAAATATATTTGGGTGAAAGTGGTGCAAACTCTCTTAAAATTCCTTACACCCCCTTACTCAGGCTTCCTCAACCTTGGCCCTCTAGATGTTTTTTGGCCTACAACTCCCATGATCCCTAGCTAGCAGGACCAGTGGTGAGGGATAATGGGAATTGTAGTCTGAAGACAACTGGAGGGCCGAGTTTGAGGAAGCCTGCCCTTACTGAACCACAGGTCCCAGGATTCCCTGATGATAAGAAAAGAGTCATTAACTCTCACTTCAAAGAGCATAAACAAGGGATTGGTTATAGCCTTATTTCCCTCTTTCTGGTCACTTCCTATCTTTTCAGGTTACACCTGACTAGAAAGAGTGTCTGATGGCATGCACTAATGTTCGGTTGAAAAACATGTCTGCAAATGCCTAAGGGATCCCCGTCTGTTGTGTGAGGATGAATTTCACACAGGACAAAACAGGCTTTGCCGGTTTTGCCTTTTTAACCTTATTGATTATCTGTAGACCACTGATGCTACATATTTCCGATGTTTACTTTATTCCACTGGGAACAGGCTCAATACTAAGGCTATAGCTACATCACAGATGTTAACTGGAGAACAGCCATTACTTTTATTATATCTGGGCATTGAAGCTTAGGAAACCATTGTGCCATATAAGCTGCCTGCCATTTCAAACCTTGGTCCATTTAGCTCAGCACTGTCACCACTGGGAATGCCAGGAGTTGAACCTTATGCATGCTGTACCATTTAGCATTTCACATAACTCCTCATTTATTTAGAAGGTTAAAAAATACTCTCTACACATTCTAAATTACACTAAGAATTCAAAGGTAGTTAAGAGGAGATTTTATGGGGTCAACAGCTCAATCATGTGCTCTGCTCTGCTAGCAGAACAGTCCACGCAAAAGTGGAGTTGTATTAGATATGTAAAGAAAAATGTTACGTGTATAGCTTTCAAGTAACAGCCCCTGCACCTCAAGTTCAATGAAGCCCTGGTATATGGCAGTTTGAGTGACAAAGAGTCAGACAGCAGGATGACCAGGCAGAGAGGTGTAGAGATTTCCTTTATAAACTAGAATTCTGTAGAGGAGAGGATTTCAGAGGTGCAGCGTGACACTTGAGGATCTATAAAGTGGCATCTGTTGAAATGTCCTGTTCTACACAAGTGGTTTTCATAGCCACAGTTCCTTTTCCACAAAACAAAAACAACGGTTTATTACTAGAGAGTCCTGCCCTTCTTTCCACCATGTACAGCCAGACCAAATTTCATCATTGTTTCATCCATTTAAAACAAAACAAAACGTGGAATATCAGTAGAAAATTGCACTGAACACTCCAGATCATCTGCCAATGTGAGAACTGGACATCAAAACAGAAACAGTGAATTAATTGTTTCACTTATACTGATCATATTAGATAAGTTATACATTTTTTAATGGAAGATATGTAAGAATGGACTCTGTAGCATCAAATAAAATTTGGATGCCACATCCCCTTTTTTTTTAAAAAAAGAGAAGGTGGGGGAAAAAAACTCTCACTAAATCAACTACTTTAAAGTAGCATACAATTTGCATTTTAGTGAGAAGGTAATTAACTAGGGCAAATATTAATTAAAGCCTGCCGAGAATAATAATTGTATCCTGTAGTGTAACATGGAGGTCTTTGGGAAGAATAGGCTTAAAGGGAAACCTCACCATGACATTTTATCTTGCATAATGTGGATTTAATATACTGCTTTGTATGGGTTCGTATTGTTACTGCTGCCTTCATATATTAGCAAGTTAGTGGGCTCTGACCTTATCAGTCGCTGACTTTGAAATAACGTTTTTGCCTTATTAAGATTTTTCACGACACTCTGCATATATAGCTTCTTCTATTTAATGATTTCCCTTTATATTTTTAAATATTTAAAACCACAATTTAAGAGAATTGAAAAGGCTAACCAATTAAAAATGCTGGCAAATGAAAGTGAGCAAGAGACAGAAAGAAAGCTGTTAATTTTATATAAATACCAGACCAATGAAATTGCACTGTAGTTAAAAAAACAAGCAAAAAACCCCACAGGATTTCTGCTTTTGGTTAACTGCTGTGAATATTCTAGATAACGATATATTTGCCATTTGTAGTAAAAGCTACCTTGAGAATTGCTTTACTAAACCTTTTGTGGTAGTCATAATGTGTTTCTCCATTTTTTAATTTAGGTAAACTATAAGCAAAGTATAGACAAGCTGAAATACAGCTCTGTTACCAGCACACCTCAGATTGTTCAAGCGAAAATCAATGCTCAGCAGCTTAGTGATGTAAGTCCTATTTCCATTGTACCCCAACGCATGAGAAGTATTACATAAATAAGAAGGTATCTTGCAGTTGTCCCATGGATAACATTTTGTAAGTAAAAGGCATCCTGGGGAGTCAGTTTCAGAGCCTCCGTAAGAAGTATTGCATCCTCAAATTTAGGCAGATTTATTTTTTATTATTGTTCAGACATTTATTGAAAAATAAGCCAGGGGGTAGTCATAGTCACTCTTCATATAATTTCAAATTTTATTTCCTAACGACTTTTTAAGAATGGCTTTTAACAATTAACACTCCTCTTGCCGTTAAATATCATTGTATTTGACATGTTGAATATGCTTTTGATTGTTTGGCAGCTGAACTACCGAGCCCAGTATGAGAAAACCAAAACACAATATACTTTGCCACAGGATGTCCCACAGTTAGTCAAGGCCAAAGCCAATGCGGAATTATACAGTGAGGTAAGGGAACCTACAAATATACATTTGCATAATATACCCAAAGATGTGATTTTCATTAGAAACATAAGTCACACGCTGCGCTAGCTGATTTTATAGTTTGTTGAGTGAATTGCCTGCTAGTTTTTTTGCCTATCTTTATTCACATTAATGACTTACTACTGTATTTCCTTCCCTCAGATTAAGTATAAAGAAGGCTGGCAGAAAAGCAGGGGCCACGGCTTTGAAATGAATTTGGATTCCATGTCTTTGCTCGCTGCCAAAGCTTCAAGGGATCTTGCCAGTGATGTAGGTTATACGTATTTATCTAGGGCATATTACTAAGAGACGTCTACAATAATATAGAGAAATGAAAACATGTTGAGTTGGGGCTTTAAGATGGAAATTTCCTTAAAAAATAATCTGTCACAAACTCTGATAAACTAACGGAGAAATGTAATAAACATTCTAGTTATCTGACTTACCTTCGTGTTTGAAAGTGGCTCTTTAAATTGGCTAAAACCTAAAATAAATAATTATAAAGTGAATATATTTCCAGATTTGAAAATTTGACCTGCTGTTTGAAATATCTTAATGAGCCAGTGATGCTTTCATCCTCAAGGGCCAAAAGAATGGGTGGCATCCATTGTTGCAAGAGCAGACTTTCAATCACCCAATTGAATTTCCCTTTCCTCATCTCAGCCTTGCCTCCCTAATCTGCTCTGCTGAGCAGATTTGGAGTACACAGGTGGCTGCAAGGAGGAGGAGAGGAAGGGAAAGTCCTGTTGCATGAGAAGAAATGTGTTGTCCTTGAGGAGGGACACATATGTAAGTCACCCATTTTCTTTTCCTCCATTTTACAATATTTTCAGACAGTGTCATTCTGTACAGTCGTACCTTGGTTGTCGAACACCTTGGTACTCGGACGTTTTGGCTCCCGAACGCTTTAAATCCGGAAGTGAGTGTTCCGGTTTGCGAACGTTTTTTAGAAGCCAAACGTCCAATGCAGCTTCTGATTGAGTGCAGGAAGCTCCTGCAGCCAATCGGAAGCCGCGCCTTGGTTTTCGAACCGTTCCGGGAGTCGAATGGACCTCCCGGAACAGATTAAGTTTGACAACCAAGGTACCACTGTAGTCTGCTTTATTTATTTCACTTATATTTACTTTTAAGACTATATTTTCTAGACATTGTTACTACCTATATATCCATACAAGATTAACTTATCTTCCTTTGCAATTATTTGAAGAATCTCACATTTCCCAGTGTAATCTCTCAATTTCTTCCCACATTAGTTTAGTTGTTCCATTTGAGCCTTTTTTTTTTTTTGCTATAGTTTAAAATGCAACAGAAAGTGTACTACTACTTGGCAGACAAACTGGATGAGATTTGAGCAGTTGGCTTTTCTTTTTTGTCAGTAGAAAATTTAAGGGGAAGAGGTTCTTCTTTAAAGAGCACTGTTAAAAGAAAGATGCAGTTTGGCTGGCATTTATCTGTCTTTTGAGCAAAATGTTGCCTCTTTTCTCCACAGATTAAATACAAAGAAGAATATGAGAAAACAAAAGGAAAAGCAATGGCAACCAAAGATTCAAGACTTATTCACTCTTTACAAGTAGCCAAAATGAGCAGTGAGGTAAATGGCTTCCCATTACTATTTTAAATTTAGTTTTTAATGATGAAACTCCTACTCTCATTATTACCTTGGGATTTATATATCCTTTACTGCACATAGTAACAAAAAATACCTCTTCCTGTTGTATCTAGTAAGAGGGTGGTTGTACAAAACTCATGGTTATGTGAGCAGAAGCATGTCATAGACTCATTAAAAACTCTCCCCTTCCAGGCCCTTCTAGTTTTCCCCCTTCTTTTCCTGACCATCTGGACCATCGCTTGCCATGGTTATTGCCAATAAAGAACTCAAAAAGAAAAATGAGTCCTTCAATGCTTCAAAGCTGTTACAGTTTATTGTTGTAACAGAAAATAATAAACGTAAAAATGGTTCACCTTAATCAGGGTTTGCAAAATCAACCATGGTTAGCACCAACAGAGATGTAATGTTGCACCGTGGTTAACAGTCGTGAATAGATTCACACAGATGAGTGGAGAGGGAGAAAGTGCATGCGGTCACTTTGCACTCCTAATCTCTTGTGCATGTTCAGAAAATGGATAATGTTGGTTCTGCACCAGGCCCTAGTTCCAAGAAATACTGCATTGAAATCTTTGTTAAAAATAAACAAGGCTTGCAGTTCTGTGCCTATGCACTTTACTGTAAACCCCATTGAAATCAGTGGGATTTACATCTGAGATTGTATACATAAGATCATTATGTTGTTAACTTTAATGTAAAGTGAACACCGACACATTTTTGTGTGTGGAGATAAAGCATAAAACATTTCGCACGCTATATACATAATGATAATGAATGATAAATGTATGTTAAGTGATGCTGAGAAACAGTGAGCCGCTACAGGTATCTGAAAGAAGCATTCACAACCAGGTCATAAAGGTTGGATCAGAACTTCAGTCTTTTCAAGCCTCAATCAGGGAAGCATGAATCTGTATACAGCAATTATATTCTAAAGAGTAAGACTGTTGGATATATAGTAGAGATGGTTGCTATTATTCTCCTGCTGTTTTCACCTATACTCTTTTTGTAAAATGTTGAATGCAATATTTTGATATTCCCTAGATTGCATATAAAAAAGAATCTGAGAAGAATAAAGCTCATTTCCACTTACCAATGGACATGATAAACTTGGAACATGCCAAGAAGGCCCAGACTCTGGCTAGTGACCTCGACTATAGGAAGAAATTTCATGAATATACGGTGGTTCCAGAAGACCTAAAGACACAGTGGGCCAAAAAAGCCTATGGACTACAGAGTGAGGTAGGAGCAAAGGTCGAAAGCTGGTGATGGCAGTGGTGTTACCAGAATTTATTGACTGCAAGGGTAGCCAATGTGGTGCCTTCCAGATGTTGCTGTTAGCCCCAGGGCAGGGATGAAGGAAATTGTAGTCCAAGAATGTCTGGAGGGCAATTTGTTAGCTACTATTGTTTCCGAATAGCTCAACTCTTTGTCATTACAAGCCAGATGTTATATTAAACCAATCCATAGGTCTCATATGGGAATGCAGATAACTCAAGTGTCAAATTCAATCCAATTTAAATTTTGTTCAATAGAAGATATTAACTTTTAGTGGAAAGACTTTGCAGGAAGACAGCTTTAAGCAGAGTTCTAATGCTTGCCATCAGTATTTGTGTGGAAGAGAATTTGTAGGTAATAACAAAGGCTATAACTTAAGGACTTGTCACCCATGGCTGGCAAAATCATGTCTTTTTGTGATACAACTAAATCTACCTACCTGCTGTAGGAGCCAACTCCTAGTGGCCGAGGTCCATTTCCCCCCCCAATAATATATTTGTGGGGGCTGGAATGGGTATTGCCATTCAAATGGAGTGCATTCATTGCGTCTTGTGGTCGATTATATGGGACGGGGCTTACCTGTCCCCCCCTAATATTTTATTCAGGTTGTTAGCCCTGCTGCCTGCCTACCTAATCAGTCTGTGAAATAATGAGCTTTCTTTTGTCTTCAGCTTCAGTACAAGACAGACCTTACATGGATGAAGGGAGTTGGGTGGATAGCAGACGGGAGTCTCAATATTGAGCAAGCAAAGAAAGCAGGAGAACTTATTAGTGAGGTATGTCTCTTGATTTTCCTGTTAAGTATAATAAAGTCTGGCAGGACCTTCCTGGAAGATGGAAGTAGACTGAAATATTTTGAAACAATGGCACTGTATTATAATTGGGTGGTTTATCAAGTCCCTGGAAAACTGTCATGCATGCCTGTTGGGTTGAGTTTGGCTTCTTCGGTTACAAGTTCTGCTAACTTATCAAAGAAAAACAGAAATTAAAAGAAAGAAAATTAGAAGATATGTAAGAGTGAAAAGAAGGAATAGGAGCTAGTCTGGCTTATTTAAAGTTGCCAGTGATTATGATATTGTAGATCCTTGACATCAGGCTATGCAGGTATTCTGAAGTTGAGGCAGGAAGAAACATCTGTGCTCAGATCTAATATCTTGCAAGGAAGCAAATTGACATCTACTGCTGGGGTTTGCCACATAAATACTTATTGTCAAAAATGTTGAACCCAGCCATGATAAGGTGACACAATTCTTCATTTCTGAACTGTATAAAAGGTATATCAGTTGAAAACTAACACGTACCTTGGATGCTTCTGTTTCCAGCCAAGGAGTTGGCATTTTGTTATTCTTTGTATGACATCATATAGAGCGAAACATAATTTTTGAAAACAACTCGTTCCTAATATGCCTCACTCTCTCCCACATCTTGAATGTGGAATAATGAGCATCTCTTTGAAATCTTTATGCACTTTAATGAAAATAAATCAATCTCATTCTTATTTTCAGCTGGGAACATCACAGGGCAAGAGAGGGTGTGTTTGCTCTGAGACAGGGTCTTCCCCTGCAGAAATGCCAAGTTGAGGCGTGCATGTAACACATACCCTGGAGTTGGTTGTGTGTTTGATTGATGAATTGTTAGTACAAGAGAATCACATGAAGTATGCAAAAGAATGTGCCTCTTCTTTATCAACAGACATTACTGTGAAAAGGCTGTCTTTTTCTTCCTCTTACGGTGTTTTTGACAGCAACAAATTCGGGCCTCATTCAGAAATAACATGGTTTCTGTTATGTTGAGCATTTGCCACAGATGTTGAAAAGCAATGCAGATTGTGAACTTTTCAGGGCTGCATTTTTCATGGCTTAGCTCTCAGCAGTGCAGCAGGAGCCCACGAGGAGCAAAGCAGCGATGATTTCTGCCCTGTGTACCATTATACTGTTTGTTGAACTATAAACCATAGTTAGGCTTGGCTCTAGTTGAAAGCAACTTATGAAGTAGGCATGTGTGTGTGGACAAAAAAAGAACCTGGTTCATGTTGAAACCAAATAGCTAAAATGATCCATTGGGGTGGGGTGGGTGGAATAATTAATCAGTGTAAAATGATAGCATAAAAGCTGGGAAACAGAATGGTTATTCTACTTTATGTACTCCACCACTGTGTTATCTGAGTAACCTTGCCTCTATTTCTGAGTTGGTTTTAACATGAAAAGATTGTGTTGTTGTTGCTAGTGCTGGGAGTAAGTGGAAGGCATAACTTGTCGATTTTTTTTACCTTTGAGAAATGTGGTAATGTTATCTATACCATCTTTTTTTAAAAATGCATTTCAATTAGAAAAAGTACAGACAGAAGGCTGATGCTCTAAAGTTCACAAGTGTGGCAGACAGTTCCCAGATCAAACATGCGAAGAAAAGCCAGGAACTGCAGAGTGATGTGAGTCTCCTACTTTACCTTCTCTCCACACAGATTCTTTATCATTAAAACGGGTAATTCTTGGGGACAGGCACCACCACTGAAAAAGCAATAGGATCCAGCCACGGAAATTTGTCATTGCTTTACATAGTTTTGAGGTGTACTTCTAAGATTTTTTTGAACTCCCTGTACTTCTGCAGGTAGAAAACCTTTAAACCCAAAGGGTTATCAAGAGGCGTGCTGACCAGGTTTCAGATACTATGGTGATAAAGGCCATGTACCTAACTAGAGAGAAAAAGACTAAATTGGATCTTTTAGAACATCTGCATGGACCTCTGCGGCTGTTCTTCCTCAGTGAGGCTATTCTTTCTGTCATTAAAAATACACTGCCTGTCTTGCGTGGTACCTGGATTAGATTGTCTGCACATGGCTTCATTTTAAAATATTTTCCATTGCTTAGACTTTATTTAATAATAATTATTATTAATAATAATAATCCAGTTTCATTCCCCTTAGACCAATGTTTTGCCTTTACACAATAAGGGAAATCAGTGTTTTATTTAGTGCAGAAGTGGAGAATCTGTGGTCCTCCAGATGTTGCTGGACTACAAGTCCCATCATCCCTTATCATAGGCTGGTGCTGATGTGAGTTGTAGTCCAGCAACTTCTGGAGCACCACAGGCTCCGCACCACTGTTTGAGCAGTATTGCTTTCACCAGTATAGGTTAGCAATGTAGTGTAGCTGTACAATATAGCTTTCAATCCAGTAGCTAGCACAAGTGAGGCCATGGAGCAGGGGTGGGGAATCATTGGCCCTCCAAGGACTACAACTCCCACCCTTTCTGACCATTGGTTACTATGGACTCCAACATCATCTGGAGGGCTGAGTGTTCACTATCCCTGTCTTGGTGTTTGGGGAAATGGCAGAAGTGGGCCACCATCGTTTAAAGAGCATTTGAAACACATTCTTTCTCTTAAATAATTATGTGCACTGTAGTTTATCTCTCACAGAGTTAACAGTTCCCAGCAACCCTCAACAAACTGCAGTGCCCGTGTGTGTGGACTGTGCTTCAAACATGCTTTTAAGGCACATCCCTCAGTTTAAGCGAAACTATTGTCTAGTGAGGGTTTCAGACTGAGGTAAAAGACACAGTCAGATAGCCAGTCATTTCACAAGTGTTTTAGCACTCATGCTCTTTCATCTTTCTTTTCATTTTATTCTTTGATATCAACCATAATTGTTCAGTCTAAAACATAAATTGATTTTGAGGCAACTTAAAAAAAAAAAAATCATTGACGGTACAAACCATACACTAACTGGATGTAAGTATCCAGGAAGTTAATCTTTGAAAATTGTTACGTATTGCTTCTTAAAACAAATACGGTATGCCCAGTGCTGATACTGTTTGGTCTGCCTTTGTAAACAGGTTGCATACAGGTCAGGAAAAGAGGGTTTTCTTCATAATTACAGCATCAGCAAAGATGAGCCCCTCTTCATACAAGCCAGAAGAAATGCAGCAAATATCAGTGAGGTATGGATGGGTGGGAATCCTGTGCTTTCATGCTATTGAAATACTTATTCTGTGGCTAATGATTGATGCTTTCTCAAGAGTGGTTCAATGCATATATACTATAAATGTATGGTTGTTGGGTTGTTGTTTTTTACCACTTTAACTTTCTTTGATTCTTTGATGTGGGAATTACAGTTTAATAAGAGTGTTGAGAATGCAAGCCACTGCCGGATAACAACAGTTTCCAGGGGGGCTTAGGAGAAGAAATAACTATTGGGCTTGTTTTGCTCTGTGTTGTAGTAGTTCTGCCCTTAAACTGCTCTTTCAGCCCTTTAACATATACAATACAGTGGTACCTTGGGTCACACACCCTTCAGGTTACAGACTCCACTAACCCAGAAATAGTACCTCGGGTTAAGAATTTTGCTTCAGGATGAGAACATAAATCGCGTGGCAGCGGCAGCGGGAGGCCCCATTAGCTAAAGTGGTACCTCAGGTTAAGAACAGTTTCAAGTTAAGAACGGACCTTCGGAACGAATTAAGTTCTTAACCTGAGGTACCACTGTATTGGTATGCTAATGGAGGAACTCCTAACTTTAAGCAGTAGGCAACATGCAGGTTAGAATAAGAACAATTTTATCCAGTATTTTAATAGCTCATGAAGCCACAGGTTTCTGGTACCATTTGAAACGTTGGGTGTTACTGTTATGGCAATGGTGATTAGTAACAAAAGAATAATTGTGGCATTAAAAATCCTTTTAGAAACTGTACAAAAGTAGTTGGGAGAGCCAGAAGGAGAAGGGATTTGAACTTCATCTTGATGCCATACCATTCCTGACAGCCAAAGCAAAGAGGGACCTGGCAAGTGATGTGAGTACCGATTCAAGTTGAACACACAAGATGGGATTCAGTGTCACCCTAAGGCAGTCATCCCATCTGGTGTAATCATTGGACTGATCTCCCCTCTCCTCCCCCTGTGCGCTGTCCTGGGGGTTTCTCTCTACCCTCCTGAACAGATCTGGGGATGGTGCAGGGGCAAGAGGAGGCTAGTCCTGTTACACTGGCTTCTGCTTGTGCAGCAGCTTAGTTGAATCCGGTCCATCGTTCCTCTAGGGAGCTAAAGTGTGCCCCTGTGAGCAGGTCTTAGGATCTAATTTAAGGGTAGTGTAGTCTATAGCAGGGATGGGGGGACCTCCTGTGACACTCCATATGTTGCTGGAATACAGCTCTCATTGCCTCTAACCATTGGCTATGCTTGCTGGGGCTGATCATGGGTTCCTTACCCCTACATTACCTGAGCTCCAAAACACAGTACAGAGGGCTGACCAAAACAAATAAACCCCAACCAAAATGACCTTCCTGTATGTTCCAGATGTTGCTGTTGTTCATTTTATTTATATTAATTTGATTCATATCTCACCCTTCTTCCTGAAAGAGCCCAGGGCACAGAAAATTATAAAGCAAACAAACACAAAAGATCTCAGAACAGTTACAAACATTATCTCAGTGAGCGATTCTCAGGGTTGTCAGGGGCAGTGTCTGTTGGTCAGAGTAAATGGGGATGCTTTTAATTGTTTTCCTGGAAAACCCACAAAATTTCCTGGGCATCCCACAGAGAACCGCTACTGAAAAGACCCTGTCTTGTGTCTCCGCCAGCGATGTAGACCTCAGTGGCAGCACCACCAACAAGGCCTCACTTGCTGAGATTGTTTATATCAGATATATATTATATCTTTTAAGTACTTGGATCCCATGTCATTTACAGCTTTTTATGCTAGTCCTACCACCTCGAATTTGGCCTAGTAGCTCACTGGCAACCAGTACAGCAGTACAATGGTCTCATCTGGCTGCCCCACTTACTAGTCCAACATCCTGCAAGAAGTAGTATTTAGTCTCCCACATTATCAGATATTGACACTTTTATACCTCAAAACACAGGATTGTCAGGTGGAATGCTCTGTAAAAAATGTATTGCACAAGAAAACTAAGCTATTGAATTACCATTAAACACAATTCTGTGAAAAATTTCAGGGGAAGAACTAAACTCTTGTTACTATGAAAAGTCTTAGGACATGCTTCCTCAACCTCAGCCCTCCAGATGTTTTGAGACTACAGTTCCCATCATCCCTGACCACTGGTCCTGCTAGCTAGGGATCATGGGAGTTGTAGGCCAAAAAACATCTGGAGGGCCGAGTTTGAGGAAGCCTGTCTTAGGATCTGATTCCCAAGCCTCTGAGTGTAGATATTACCTGAGCTCCGTATCTCTTCACTGACCTTTACCTGAAACAATACATTTTATTTAGCTTGTGCTAGTGCTCAAAAGCACAACTTGACCTTTTGAGCTGCAGCTTCCCAGTACCACTCCAAGATGCTATGACTTCTGCAGAAAAAATAATAATAACACAAAAGACAAACACTGAAAATGTGCTGCCCTTTCATGGCATGCAAAAGCTGCTCCTCTAGGCATCTACCTCACTCTCCCTAATGGTAGGACCGGATCTGTCTCCTCAAGCTAAATAATTGACAACCCAAATAACAAAGGAACTATACATGTTTCTTTGCCAAGTGTGTTGTTCTTTTGGGCTACTGGTTCTGTCAAGAAGGTGCAACACTCTCTAATGATGCAATACTATGCATTTTTACTTGGAAGCGAATCTCAGTGTATTCAGTGAGAAATGTGTTTAGGACCTTAGACTGTGGTTCTAAACAAATTGACTAGTGTGAATAAGCCCTGCTGAACACAGTAGGACTTAGATGCATAGGACTGTGCTAATAATGACATAAAACGTAAATCATATGATGCATTTTCAAGTAACACAAAGGCTCCCTGCCCCTGGGATAAAGCAGTAAATGAAAAAGATGCTCCTTTTGGAAACATTAAAAAAGAGCATGCAAGCATCCTCATTTTGTGCACTTCAACCACATATAAAAGTTAGTCCTTATTACTTGCTTTCTGCTTTTTGTTGAGCGGGAAAAGTATGCTTTTGATGTACAGATGTGTTGTACTTAGACATATTAAGCGTGCTTGTCAGTAGTTTTGCAGGAGGCCAAAGTGCCTTTTCTGAAGTAGCCTATTAAACCGGTTTATTGAAATGTTCCATTTACTTCAACCCGATGCTGTTGCTTACAATGGCTTTGAGTTTATTACCTTTCTTTGTACCTATGATCCATTCCCTCCCCCCACTTTTAACAGGTAAAATACAAGGAGAGTTATGAGAAGACGAGAGGAAAGTGGATTGGGGTGAAAGGTGTGAACGAAGACTCGCAGATGGCTCACTCGCTTCATATGTCGAAGATGCAGAGTGATCTGGAATATAAAAGGGCGTTTGAGAATGTAAAGACCCAGTATAATGTGTCCATGGATATGATAAATATTGTCCATGCCAAGAAAGCTCAGGATTTGGCCACTGATAGGGGATACAAGACAATTCTTCATCGCTATACTGCCTTGCCTACAGATATGAAGGTGGAATGGGCAAAGCGGGCATATGACTTGCAGAGTGATGTAAGTTACACATTGTCTATTTTTTAATTATTTTTTTAATTTTTTTATTATTCAAGATTTATATACCCCTTTTTTTTAAAAAAAACACCCCTCTAAATAGTTTACATAAAAGAATATAAAATATTCATAATAAAATACCAATTAAATCACCATATGGAAAAGCCTTTCTGGGTTAATCAAATAAATTAAGCGATTTAAATGAGAACTCGCATGCACAGTCAAGTACGGGTTAACTATTATGCTAAGAACACTGTTGCACAGGATCCTGTGCTATATTATTTCATTATTTGAAAGAGTCAGACTATGCCAGTCCCTACTCTGGTCTAGTTCAAAATCACTACTAGCTTAAAACATGGCGGCCATTAGCCATAACGGGGTAAAGAATGGCCACATTTTAAATTGAGGAGAAATTTAAAATAATTGTAGCTTGGCTATTATGGAGCATATTTCTGCCCTTTCCCTTCTGCTCCAGCTAAAGACCAAAGGACCAGATAAGCTGTCCTTTTCATTTTTAGACCAAAAAAAAGTGATTACATTTGTTCAGTGGTGGTTGGTACCTGTTGGAACTGGTAGTGCAGAACACAGGGAGGCCAATAGTAGATGGGAACCAGCTGTTGACTGAGACAGAGCCAATGACAGGTGGAGCCAACTAATTGTGGCTCCCATCTCCCTCCCTACTGAGTTCTGCAAGGCCAAAGGAGGAAGGTGACAGCCAGGGCTACCTTCTTGCCTTGTTGTTGTAAGGAGGCAGGCAGATGGGGGCTGGTTAAGGGAAGGCTGAGGTTGGTGGGCTGGTGCCCTGTTTGCTTTGAGGAACCATCCTCCACTGCATTTATCCTCCAACCCAGCAGTTTGTATAATGTTATGCTAGACCAGGAAATGAAGGAGCCCTGGATGTTATGAAGCTACTGCAGCTTTTCACACTTCTGGTATAAAGGAATGTTATGCTTCTCCCCTATATTTGGTCGTATAGGTGCAAGATAAAGGTAAACCACAAACACACACCTATGGAGATGCCTGTTCCCCCCACCGCCAGGCGTTATGCCACAAGTTTGATAAGTGGTTACATGTTGTCACACATCGCAAGTTCTGGCAAATATCTACCATCCACCCTAGGGCTGCAATCATGTCTGCGCTTACATGGGAATAGTCTCATTGGACCAAGCGGGACTTACTTACAAGTAAACATGCACAGGATAGAGTGGAATATCTGATGAGAAATCTTCCGGAACATTCCTGCACTGTTTCAGTACTCAATATCCCTGCAGTGTTGATTTAACCACAAACCATTAGCAAGCTCTAACAGGAGGGTTTTTTAATATAAAAAAATTAAGCTTTTGAAAAACCCTTTCTTTTAAATCTTATAGCAGAAATGTTTGCTGTTGGTGATATCACCATCTCTTTTCTTAACCCCCCCTCCCATTTCTACCCACAACTGCAAAGAAGTGGATAAAACAAAAGCAGTCACTAATTTGGCTCAGCTGGTGTTCTGATGTGTGAATTCTTTAGGTGGCATTTTAAATGTGCGAGCAGCAACAATGGGGCATTTTTCTTTTTCTTTTGTCAGAACCGATACAGAGCAGATTTGAACTGGATGAAAGGCGTCGGATGGATCGCCACTGGGTCATTAAATGTGAAGCAAGCTAAGAAGGCAGGAGAACTCATTAGTGAGGTGAGATTTCATGACAGCACATAACAAAACTTGCCGCATAATGCGTGCAAAATGTCTGTATAAAATTAAAATAATTTCCACTCAAAGGGGGAAAAGAGAAAGGCATCCCACATGAAAGCCCTCAAAACCAGGAATAGGACTCGTAATTAGAGGGAAGCCAGATACCAAACACAAAACAGTAGGAGTCCATATAGCCTTTGCAAAAACAAAGTAGGTGACAAATGATATCATGAATAATAATGACAATCAAACAATGCTCAATTGCTACCCCACTAGCTTAGGTTTTTTAATGAAGTGAATCAAGAAAAAGCCATATAAGGTGTACTTATAGGCACAGAGAACCTACTTTTAACCAGGTCTCTCTCTCTCTCTCTCTCTCTCTCTCTCTCTCTCACACACACACACACACACACACACACACACTCTCCCAACAAAGAGCAACAATGCAGCTTGGTGATGATTTTGAACACATTTAAACTGCATCATCCACAGTTAGAACCTCTGAGATTCTAAAGGGTACCATCACTGACAATTATATTAATTATGCTAAGAAGGCCTTTATGCACACTCAGATTGAATACAGAGAGGTGAAGATGGTACAATAAGAAGTATATAAATGTCTCAGTCTGAACATAGGTCTTGTAGGAAGTTTTTAGTGCTTTAGCCATGGTGGCGCAAAAGAAATGAAAGTGTACGTTCAAAATGCATATGCCACAGATAGGAATCAGAGCCTCTGTCATACCCACTTGAGTTCAACTCTCTGAAAATATTGTTCGTTACTGGCTTCAGTTTCCCATGAAAGCATGCCCCTTGCATCTTCCCTTCATGTAGCGCTTCTTTTACAAGGACATTGCATTTTCAACACCTGAATGACAGCTCCTGGGAAATATTGCTGTTTTGCCTCCTATTGTTGAATTATTTTGCCTCCAGAAGACCCTGTTAATACAAAATGCTGTTTTGTGTTTCAGGCCATTTGAAAAAGATTTTCCAGTCGTGGGACCTTGGGTATTTTAGTAGGCGTAGATCATCTTGAAATATTTTCCTTAAATTTAAGTGAGATTTCTTTTAAGGATTAATAGGTAAAGGTTATTGTTAAATGGAAACAAATATTAATCTGAAAGTTCCTAGGAGATGAAGCTAAGGAAAGAGGAATAATAATTATGTTCACAAATTCACTCTAATCTCAAGCAACCTATGATTTTTTTTCTTTCAAATAGCATGAAAGAGCAGCACAAAATTCACAGCTTTGATCTTTTTCTGCTCAACAGACGAAGTACCGTCAGCATCCATATGCTTTGAAGTTTACCAGTATTAAAGACACTCCTGAGATGATCCAGGCTAGAATTAGTTATAACCAGGCTGTGGATGTAAGTTATAATGTATATACATTATGATTATAAGAGTGGTATCCTCTTTGAACGACCTCATTGAAACACAGGCTTTCTTTTTCACTCCCTGTCACTGAGATCATTCCTAGGAACCAAGAAATTTGTGTTCTAATCAGATGAACCTTACAAAGGCCACTTTTAATCAGAATGGAAACCTTCCATTCTCCACAGAGCCCAGTGGAAACCCTTGTATAGAACATTTAACATAAATGAACTTTTGTACAGATGCATTTTCAACTGTATTTTGACTGATAAAATTTTATATCCGTGAATTAGAATATTTGCAATCTGTAATTGGACCAGTGCCGTATTGTTTTCTTTTGGGAGGTTCCAAATTTAAACCAAAAAATCTGAATGAATAATATTCTCAAACTGGGTATTGAAAAATTCATTCCAGCAGTCAAGGTCACACTCATTCAAGTCAATGAGAATGGGATCCAAGAAGTTCCCTTGCACTAATGGACAGACTTTTGATTCATCAGAGGTATTGGCTAATGAAGGGGTGGTGATATCTATGGATTCCCCCATGTGGCCTCTCATTCCACCTTCCATCCTGTTCTAGAGGGTTCACCAACTATCTGAAGGCATTTTTCAGGGGAAGTTGGGTTCTGAATGGGGAAGAGGACTCTACCAACATCTTCTCTATTCCTCTTCCAATAGTCATTTGGTGGGTACCACTGCTGGATCAAAAGCCTTTCTGTGAGTGCAAGGGCACCAAGTGGATTCCACCCTGTGAAAATGTGTGGTCTGCTTCATAGAGAATTATTCCCATGCGGTCATAGGCACGGCCATGCCTGAGGACAATTGCATGTTGGGAAATGCCTTATCTTGTAGTATTAAACACCACTACTGTGTTACTTATTTAATAATTTATTTAATATGGGCGGGGTATAAATAATAATAATAATAATAATAATAATAATAATAATAATAATAATTTGTATTTTGCAGAGGATATATAAGGAACACGGAGAGAATGTAAAACATCATTACACCCAAACGGCAGAACTTCCTGAGATCTTTCAAGCTAAACAAAATGCTGTGAATATCAGTGAGGTGAGATTTCATTTTGTGCCGTGTCTTGCGGTGACACTTTCAATAGCATATTGTTCTTGGAGACTTCTTTACACTCATCATAGCTGGAATTGATAACAATGCATTTAGATTTCTGCATCCTGAGGGTGATCATGTTAAGACTATCTCAGCCCGCATGCAAGGACTGTCATTGAAGCATTATCCCCTGCCCACATGCCTTAGTTTCCTCCTTTACTTTTAGGAAAGGCAGCATAGGATTGTGTTATAGGTTGTGTGACTTGGTCTAAAAAGACTTGCTAGGAAGATGCAGAAGAGCTCAGGAACTAGGGCTGAGGTGAAAACTGCTGAAAAAAGAATTTTGTCAATCTTCATGTGAGTCAGAGAATAAATGCTGGTCCCTAAATGGGGTGGGGTATAGTGTAAAAATTTGCTGACAGGTTCATAGAGAGAGGGATTACTTCATTTTCTTTATATGCAGCAGCAGTGACTGGCCACCATTTTCTTTATGTCAGGATGCTTCTGGTACAGCATCAGTCTGGGCCATTGTGGGGAGGGAAATGGCAGCTGACACAAACATTTGTGCTCCCATATGAACACTGGCAATTACCATTTCCGTTAGTGTCTGGCTGCCATTCCCCCCCACCCCCAAGATGCCTTGGAACAGTACTGCATCTGATGTATTTTGTTTAAGAAAACATCCATATTATTGCCACTGCCTCTGGTGGTAGCAGCGAAATGAAGCACGAAAGAAAAAGCAACCGCCACTGCTGAAGGCAAGTGCTCTCAAAATATGGCCTCCCAGTGTTGCTGCCTGCAGATGGAGTCATGAAATCATAACTCGGTGGGTTGTATCCCTGATTTTTCCGTTTAAACTTACTGGATTAAATCCAGACCACAACATAGTTGGACTTGGGTTCCCATAGAAACCAGTAGAGCTTAAGGCATTTGCCCTATTGATTTCATTGTAACCTTAGTTCAAATAACTGGGGTTGGATCCAGCACACTGTCAACAGTGAAGTGCAGCATTGGAAGAGAGCTGTGACCCAAGATGAGCCTAAAGGTATATTTGCCAAAACTAGGAACAAGGGAATTAATGCAGGTTTCTTTCTCGGCGTAGGTTCATGCATATGATTGGGGAGAGAGCTTCAAACTGTTCCCATTTACTGTCTTAAAACAGATTTGCTACAAGGAATCCTGGAAGAAGATGCAAGATGGGGGTTATAAACTGAAACTGGATGCCATTCCTTTCCAGACAGCAAAGGCTTCCACTGAGATTATAAGTGATGTAAGTTGATTTAATAGCAATATTGACTAGTACAAAATGGGAGATCTTAGCTGATAAAATTCTCCAGGGGGCAATTGGCATGGACAGTGGTAAAGCAGAAAGAAAGCCTGTGTTTTATGTTTGAAGAGAAAATACAACCAGCTCTTGATGATCTCTACAAATTGTGTGACTGGACTAAAAAAGCAGACATAATTCAGTGTTAAGTAAGTGTATCCTGATGTATGTTAGGTACATAATGATAAATTTGTGTTTTCCTGAGTTTAATACTTACTTGAAATATTTCTTTACCGTCCTTCATGATCAAATTCGCATTAACAAATTGGCTACAATTAAACTGGGGAAAAATCCTGGGGTTTAGTGAAAATAGGACCCTAATGTGCAGTGGTGTAGCAAAGCCGAATGGAACATTAACAAGGGTCTTGGGCAGGCTAGAAAATAAAGCAGCATATAACCTGCATCCTTCCTTAGCTCAAGAGCTGTAAGATCAACACAGAAAAGTATTTTTGCTACCATGCTTTGAAATAATCATATCCCTTGAGTCAAAAATAATGTTAAAGAAGTCCTGAATGGAGAAGCCTTTTCTCTTATGGCCTGTTGGGATAAAAGAACTCTTGGGTTTTATTAAATAATAAATATATATCTTTAAATAAAATTATTTTATTAAATGTATAACAAACGCAACCAACAGAGTATTCTGAAAATTCAACAAAAGAGAAAAAAACAACAATTGAGCATGGTCAGGTATAAGGTATTGATGCAAAAGATATAAAGAAAAATATAACAAGACACTTGTACAAAAGAGGCAATTCAGCAGTATTCCAAGATAAGACATAAACAGCAGATCAAAAACTCATGTAATCAAAAGTAGTGCCATATGATACTGTATTTGGTTGGAATTCAAATACAGTCATACCTTGAGTTACAGACGCTTCGGGTTGTGCACCGGGCTGAACCTGGAAGTATCAGAACTGGTTACTTCCTGGTTTCGGCACTTGCGCATGCACAGAAGCACCGAATCGTGACCCGCATGTGCACAGACGCGTCGCTGCGGGTTGCGAATGTGCTTCCTGCACGGATCACGTTTGCAACCCAAGCGTCCACTGTATATGAATTCATTGTGCCTGAAACCAGGTAGCACATTGGTTTTTTTAAATGTTCCTTCTGCAGATTCTGCTGAAATTATATCCCTCTTCAGAAATGACAAACCTACATTCATTCGATGCCCGAGTGCGAATGAAGGCTGCGCCAACTAGCTTGGCCCACCAGAGATTGCTGCGCATGCAGTGCAAACATTTGCAGTAGAGAAGCCTTTCACATGTACAGCTGTATATACTAAGGTTTCCGTGGCATCTGGAACCACAGTCAAGAAAAGGTCTAGATTGCAAGGAGCCTGAGCAAGTCTGTGTGATGAGTTCCCTGCTACAGACATTCCTACTAAAGGCATGGATGCCAGGGGGCAGGGCACAGGCTAGTTGGCACAGCTCCACTCCCTACATTGATTGAATTGGCAGGTGTCATTTTTAATGAGGGCCTCTCTCTTAGCGAAACAAAGTTTCTTCTATTTAGTAGATATAAACTGAAATTTCAAACTCCCCATCCTCTTTTTTTAAAGCAGACTATGCCTATTTTAATGCAGGTTTGGATCTTTATTTAAAATACTTGCTGGCTGAGAAGACGAGAAAAAGTAATGCTGTAGTGGCCAGTATGTTTCTGTAAATCCTCATGCCCTTGCTTCATCTTTCCTCAGTACAAATACAAGGAAGCATTTGAGAAAATGAAAGGACAGATGATTGGCTCCTGTGGCTTGGAAGATATTAACATTTCTCATTCTGTGCATGCAGCTTTGCTGCAGAGTGATGTGAGTATCACAGGGCATGGAAGATGAACCTAGAATAAACATAAACAGATGGCCTTTGATAGGTACTTTGAATGATGGAGCACTTCCTTTTGAGTTGACAGTACTCTCACAACAGCAGCACAATTTGTTTATCCATATTGGGCAGGACTCACCTAAGGAGTCCCATCAGTGGAAGCTGGTGCAAGAGGGCTTCCCTCCCATGGGCAGGCACTAAAACCCAGACTTAACAATGGCTATGGGAGATAAGAAGCAGCCTGCAGGCTTATAAATGTCTTCTTGCTCCCCTTGCACGGTCAAACTCTTACCTGCTCCTTCGAACCATCCCCAGTTCCTTTTCAGAGCAATTGATGGTATATCATTATATCTGAAATTGGGTTAACTGTGTTGGTGAGGCTCGTTAGACAACAACGAGAAACTGAGCCTTTAGTGTCATTGGAACAACCCGCCAATAGGGATTCAGCAGGTGCCAACTTTAAAATGCCTGGTGAAAACTTTTCTATTCCTCCAGGCCTGTCAATGCAGGCTCTTGAGAGTACACTGCCTGCCCCACCCCAATGGTCTATTGATGCTTGTTTTTAATCTATTTTTAACTTTTTATGATTTTATTCTTTGGTCTTATGTTTTTATCCTGTTAAAAACCACTGTGATGTGATATATATATTGGTATATGTACATATTTTTTATAAATATAATAAATAAATACACACTAGCCACACCTGACATTTCTGATTTCCTAACCATCTCACTGTCACCATCCAGAGGTCTGTATAATGTGCACACTGCACAATAGGCACTATAGAATGAGGCTGCCTGAGTTTTCTTTGCTGTTCCATGTATGTGTTGTAAGCAAATAAATTCAATAGAGTGTTAAGCAGGTTTGGGTTTAAACCATGGCGTTGAAATAACAGTATTTCTTCCTTCTTTTCCCCCCTTCCCTAGGTAAATTACAGGAAAGCTTTTGGCCTTCAGAAGTCTCAGTTCCGCCTGCCCTTAGACATGGTGAATCTGGTACATGCCAAAAAAGCCCAGTCTTTGGTCAGTGATCAGGAATACAGACAGTGGCTTCATGATTATACTTCTCTGTCTGAAGATGTTAGGCTGAGGTGTGCCAAGAATGCTTATAAATTGCAGAGTGAGGTAAATGAAGTTATTCTTGAAGCCTTTAACATTGGGGTGGGGTGGGGACTGCGACACTGTGGTTTTATGCTTTGTCTGTCTCTCAGTATCAGTGACCAGAAATGGTTTTTATTGCACAGTTTCACTTTAATGGTCTTTCCATCTGAAATTAGGAGGTAAAAACGGCAATAATCTACAATTTTCTTTTAGACTATTTATATTGAGCTTCTCTTCCTCTCTTTCCCTCCCCCCATCTCTCTGTAATAGATATAAGTATGTACAAAGTAAACACATGAACACAGAATCTGAAAATATAATTCCAATATGCTCGAATGATACAGACGTCTTGAGTAGCAGATGTTACTTCTAACGAATGCATTCAGATGGCTATATTGCCTCTCCTATTCCACGTTGCAAATTACTTTTGATTGGTTTCCCATAGAATTTATACAGGTCTGACTTGAACTTTATGAGAGGAGTTGGCTGTATTACACCAGGGGCCTTAGAGATTGAAGCAAAGAAGAAAGCTTCTGAACTCATCAGCGAGGTAACAAAAGAGGGTTTTGATTTTTTCACTACAAACAAGAGTTTGCCAGATGTATGTGTAAAACTGGGCTGGCAAAGTAACTCCCTGGATTAAGGGTGGGCTCCCTTCCTCACCCTCCCTCTTTATTTGATCACTCAATTCATGTCCTGGGTGAACTCAGTGGAGTTCAAGGTTTTTCAGACCTTGCTAACTACTTTCACAAACTTTCTATTCTGTAATCAGGACCCAAGTGGTTGGTACATTAGGGCGAACCTTTATAGAAGGAAATGTTCCTTTCCAGATGAAAGAGAGGCTGTGTTCTGTTATTAGACACAGAATCACATTTCTTAAAACCCAGGTGGCTCCATATAAGTGGCCTGGAGAGAGAATTTCTCCTTCTCCCCATCTCTTTTTCTTTTTCTTTATTAACTCTCATCACATCTAGTTTGGCCCTAAGTTTGTCTCCAATGATCACATATGTCTCTTTTGTTTCTGGGACTTCTTTCTTTTGCAGAGCACACACACACACACACACACACACACACACACAAGTTCAAGCTTCGCACGAACCTCGTTGAAGAGCAAAATTCCCATTGGTTTTAGCTGAGCTATATTATACTTCTGGTCAGGAATTTCCTTACGTTTCCCTCTTTGCTGTTACCTGCCATCATTTTCTGCCTGGGCTCACAAGTCATATCTCTGTGACGTAGTCCTAACTTCACTGAAACCAAGTTCCTCATTGCATTCTCAAAAAAACTGATAATTGTAATAAAAGCCAGAATTTCTTCTTTTCAGAATAAAAGTGCCCAGATTTAAAAATCTAAAACAAAACACAAAAAGTACTGCTAGCAAAATGCCCTTCATAAGCCCATTGCACCCTATTGGCCATGGGCTTACCAGTACACATGGTCTTACTAGTACACAGTGGGAAATAGTGTATTTCTATTTCTGCATTGCCATTCTCTATTCCTTTGGTGGACTATGAACCAACATTCCTGGTGACTCAGGCTGAAATGTAACTCACAACATAAAACATTATTCTCACATTGAAACTCTACCCTGGCCCAGGTAGCTTGCACGTGAGCAGTTTGTATTTATTTTTATTTAATTAATTACCCATTCAATTTTTTTTTTAAAAAAATCACCCTACATCCTAACAGATTCCAGAGCAATGCACAATACAAGATAGTTAAAGTAGTCCCTACCATTTTAGCACATTTTTTTAATATCCCAGAAGCTAAAAATGCCTGCTTCTTTCCATATATATCTGCCATAACCACTTTTCAGAGACAGGTCGCGAGCACACTTCTACAGTGGTACTGCCAACTGGTCCTTGCATTTATGGGGTCTCTGCCGAACTTAATAAATAGACATGGATCCAGCAGTGAGTTGGGAGCATGGGATTAAATTGGCACAGAGGTCACCGAACCAATCTTTTTTTGCTGACCCCATTGTAAAGTCTAAATCACCAGGAGCATTAAAAATACAATGTCCTCATCTCAAAATGTAACTTAGCTTCTGCATTCCTCTTCCTTTGTGTGTGAATTCAGAGTAAATACCGTCAGCAGCCGAATTCCTTCAAGTACACATCGGTGACAGACTCTCCTGGCCTCCTTCATGCAAAATTCAGCAATATGATTGCTAATGAGGTAGGCTCTGCTAACGTGGATCAGAAAATATGCTGTTTAAAATGCAATGAGCTGAGGAGGGAGTAGGGAAGCAGGCTCTGAGAAATATAATACATCAAAAGGAGAGAAGAAGGCATCATCGATTTATCCTTTAGCATAGTTAGATCATTTTTTATTATTCCTGGACAAACATTTAGTATCATTTTGTCAATCAGATTTGCTCCTTTAAAACAAAACAGCGGCAAAAATAAAATAAAAATCAGAGCAGCCATTTGATATGAATTCATGCAACTGGCTTTCTTTTTGTAGTTGAAAGCAGCCATAATGCAAAGAAATGCAAAGAAGGAGCACACAAGGCGGACAGTCTTCGTGATGGTTAATGTGTGAGGTGCTGAATAATTCGTTCAGGAACCCACTTAATGCACCTGAGGCCAAGAATCTTGTTTCTGATTTTTCAAAAACATACAGATGGCCTTGCAAATTCATTATGCCATTACAAAAAAGAGGGGGGTGGAATCACATTTGGGAGCGGACATGCTCCAAACTGTGAACTTCCTTTTTTAAGAAAATGTTCATGGCATTTTTCACAGCAATATTGAATGTTCCTAGAGATGTCATCAAATAAGGCTCTTAAGAGTTAACGGGATGTTACCCGTTAACATCCTCTGCCATCAGAGCTCTATTTATTATTGCCAGTCTGAAGCTGGCTCATACCAGTGTTTGACATAAGTCAGCCTTGCTTTGGTAGGTTTGTAGCCCTTAGCAACTCATTTTGTGGCATCAGTTAGACTAGTTAATTAAAGCATTTTGATGGACTACAATAGTGCCCCAGATTGCTTCCAATGCAAGTACCGCATTTTTCGCTCTACAAGACACAGCCGACCATAAGACGCACCTAGTTTTAGAGGGGGAGAACAAGAACAAAAAATTCTCTCCCTTTCTGTGCAGCACCCCTAAAGCGAAGCGGCAGGATAAGTGGAGCCACTTCCATTTCTCCTCCCGCTTTGCTGAAGGGGCGCTGTGCAGAGAAGAAAAGCTGCACAGCGCCCTCCAGCGAAGCGAAGCCAGGAGAGCAAGAGGGGTCGGTGCGCACCACCCCCTCTTGCTCTCCTGGCTTCAGCGAAAGCAACGGGAAGCGCTCCGGAGGCTTCCCGTTGCTTTCGCTGAAGCCATGGAGCCTGCATTCGCTCCATAAGACGCACACACATTTCCCCTTACTTTTTTGGAGGGGAAAAGTGCGTCTTATAGAGCAAAAAATACGGTACTTCTATCAGCAGCAGAAGTCATATTGGATTGTGTGCGGGAACTGCTGGTAAGCTGTCCACTCTGCGTGAGAGAAAAGCAAGCATGCCTCTTTTATCAGAGTGCCAACCTTAACTGGGCTATATAGCTTTTTAGATCATTTGTCATGCACTATTGAACCCTGTGTTTCTTAAAAAACACTTCTTCTTTTACCTTTTTAAAGCTATGGTTTTACCTGTGAATGTTTATAGGGATGGGTGTATGCAATCATTTATCCTGGGGTAGACAACTTAGTTCCCTCCAACTGCTCTTGGACTCTCATCAACTGTCCAGTTGGCCATGCTGGCTGGGCTGATGGGAGTTGGGCTCCAAAAACATCCAGCTGACTAATATGCACCCTCTGTGGCTAGGCTTTTTTCAGGCAAAACAATTTTACGTTGAAACATTCAACTCTGCAAGACTGCAGTTCTGTACATAGACATCTGAGAGTAAGTCCCATTGAACTTAATGGGACTTGCTTCTGAGTAGATGCGTACAGAGCTGCACTGTTGGACATTTTCTCAGAAAAAGAAAGAATTCCAGTATGCTAGTATAAATGTATTCATTCATTTTCATTTAAATCTATCCCAGCGCCTCTACAAGGCAGCAGGGGAGGACACTTTGCATCAGTGCACCGTGACTTTGGGCCTGCCTGAATTTGAAAGGGCGAGAACAAATGCTATCAATCTCAGTGAGGTAAGTGCTTGGATCTATGCTATCCTACCCCTCTTTTGCCCTGAAATCATTGGGCATCCCTCCTATTGTAGGCGTGATAAGTGTACAACCACAAGGACTGTATTTTGCAACCTTGAAGAACTGCTCAAGTTGATTACTTGTTTATTAAGACTTTTCAAGGCGGTAAGATATTACCTTGCCATCTGGCTGAAACATATGAATTGCATTTTATATTTGCTGCTGAATTTGTATTTTTCAGTATTGGATGGATCTAGGAGGGTGTTGTTGCTTTCATCTGTGGTTTTTTCACATTCTCATATGCACTTTCATATGGAAACCGTAATTAATTTGTGTTGGTGGTGGTGCTGAGTTCTGCAAATGATTTTTGCTTTGTCGGGTAAACAAATGGTGACTTTTAGAGTGTTGGGACTGTGACCTGGGAGACTAGGGTTCAAATCCCCACTCAGCCATGAAGCTCACCTTGGGCTAGTCACCATCTCTTACACAGGGTTGTTGTGAGGATGAAATAGGGAGGTGGAGAACCATGTATACAACCTTGAGATTCTTGGAACATAAAGGTGGTATATAAATGTAGTAAATCAATAAATATCTCCTGGTGTAATGTGTGGCTAGAAATTAAAGACTGCATTGATGATAGTTTTTGTAATTATCTGAAATATGATATTGTAATGATATTATAATTAGGATATGGTATCAGTTATTCTTTGAACTGGGTATAGGGTGGTATATAAATTCAATAAATAATGAGTGCAGCAATTTCAGAGTATGTAAATAAACTTGACAGGAGAAGATGGAGACTGCACTAGCCAAAGGACAAGTAAGGAGAAAAGAAGGCAGGCTTTATTTACTTACCGAATAGCTTCCGGATGATAGAGAGGGTTAGTAGTACACCTCCAGTATCTTCAAGATCCAGTACAGGTCCGTGTTGTCATATTGGCTATATGGTTGCTAAGAATTCTCTTTGTGATGCCCAACCCAAACCCCAGCTGTGGAGGCATAATCCCCATACCAGCACGTAATGCAGCTCAATAATTCAGAACAATTAGATTCCCTCCTGGCCCCTTCCCCTGATTCAGGTCCCACCTTTATGGTTGTGAGGAACTGGCATGATGTGCAGGGGTCCTTGCATTAAAAAGCTGGCCATGGCTTCCTCACTTGCCCTGTGTCAAGCCTTTGCTTGAGTCGTCATTGCTTACAGAGCCATTGGCACTTATCATTCTGCATACATGCTGCAAGGACAATACCATGCCCAAATGGTTGTCATTTTTTAATTGCATTGTTGTGACTGTATTTGCTTTGACTGGGGCTTCCTACAATAGGGTAAAAAAAGAAAAGAAAAACAAAATCTAGACGTGCTTGCTAACTCTATACAACAACCAAGAGAAGGTTTCTTCTGTCAATTTACTTGCACTTTAAAATTTAAAGTTGCCATTTCCACTTTAGGCAAAATACAGGGAGTCTTGGCATAATCTCCGCGCTCAAGGCTACAAGCTGACAATGGAAGCAATCCCTTTCCAGACTGCCAAGGCCTCAAGAGAAATTGCCAGTGATGTGAGTTGAATTATGCAGCCTTCCATCTTGCCCGATTTTTGTTAACTTCATGTAATACATCGTCTAAAGCAGATTATACCGAATTAAAGCAGCACCATAATCATGTGAGACAAGGATGTGAGACAGAATATATTAGTTATGAATGAGATTCTTTGTGTGAATTAAAAAAAAAAAAAGAGTCACTGTTAATCAGAAGCCAAGGCATGCGGAAGATCTTGCGATGGGAATTGGAGAAGGAAAAAGTATCTCTGGATACTCAGTTCCAATTTATCCAAAGTATCCAAAATACTACCTGTCTATGCAAATATTTAATCCATTCCTTTGTTTCCTTGAATAGTCCACCAAAGCAATTAGGGGCAACGAAAGAAAAATAAAGTTAAGCATGCATGAAAGGGCTCAGAGTATTGGTGTATCCATTCGGATGTCTTTCTGCATTCATTTTATACCAATGAATTTAGAGATACTAAGCAGCCAAAGGTAATTCTCAACTTTTCTGAAAAATCTCTTAGAAAATCAAGCATTTAGGCTGCACCCAAACAGTGGTACATCTAGATGACTTTAGACTCTGCGCTTAAGGGTCTTGCATGGGGGTTGGGGTTTTTAGATGACCATGTGTATTACCTCAGTTGTGAAGCACACAATTAACATTTCTCTTCTCCCCCTCCACACATTGAAGCCCATGCCTCACAACTCCTGATACATTACAGTAAAATACCAAACAAAATATAAAGATATATTCTGAGCATTTTTGCATTAAAAAAACCCCTGTCTTAAATCATATCACTGCCATGACTGCAGACATAAAATCGTATTAGCTTCTCCCTTCCTGATGCTGCTTGTATTTGGGAACGAGCACCATTTTGTTATAAGAAAAGATTCGTAATATCGTTTAAACTAAAAATATTAAAATGAGACTCTTTAATCATGTCCATGCCTGACTGGATGTCACCTGAGTATAAAAAGTTATATATAAAAATACAAATAGAAGTTGCTCTGGTGGGCCCTGCATGCCTATGCCAGCCTAGGTGCTGATGCTGAACTGTCTCTGTCATCCACAATAGCCCTGAGGTTCAGTCCTACCTGGGCTGAGCAACACCAGAAGTTGTGTGCATACACAGGACTGCCAGGTTTGAGCCCATTGCTGCTGCCAAAGTCCAATGGAAAACTTGTTTGTTGAGAGAACTCCGTAAGAATGTTAGACTCTGTCTGTTGACTCTCGAACTGTTGTCTCACTGTAGGGAAAGTTACATCCAGTCCTGGCTGTTCCATGTTTATCTAAAGATGGTATGTCCCATATTGCCCAATCCATCCGTTAAAAGAATTAGTGTTTTGGCTGCAGCGATACCACTTTCACTAAAACATAGGGCACCCTGTCTAATGAACATAATACCTCCTTAATGCCATGGTTGATTTATTATTATTATTTTTTTATGTTGCAGTGACAATGGCCATGCAGAAACATGCATACGCGATCCAGCCTTATAAGAGTGGCAAAACTCTTTCTTCTTCCAAATATTTTCTAAACTATCCTTGCTTAGTTTTAGACCATGTAAAGGGAAAAAAGTTCTGTTTCGGAATATGGTTGTTCAGAGCCATGAATGAAAGATGCAACGGAAGGAAAGATAGACCTGTAATGTGAATTGCATGTGTCTCTTGCGTTGAATTTTACATTGCTAATTCTCTTTTCCATCTCTGTCTGTCTCACAGTTACCTAGGCATAATACCTACTTTTAAAGGATCTGAAAAGCATGAATGCCCGCTAAACAGCATTTCCTTTCCTTTTGCAGCTTCAATATAAACATAGCTTTGTTAAGGAGAGAGGGAAGCACATAGGTGCCAAGAGCGTTTTGGATGATACCAACCTGCTGCACTGCTTGTATGCTGCAAAGCTACAGAGTGAGCAAGAGTACAGGAAAGGATCCCGAGGTACCAGTTCTCAGTACCACCTGCCTTTGGACATGGTGAACCTGGTCCATGCCAGGAAGGCCCAGAACCTAGCGAGTGACCAGGATTACAGGAAGAGGCTGCACGAATATACAGTGCTCCCCGAGGACTTGAAGATGAAGTGGGCCAAGAGAGCCCACCTGTTGCAGAGTGAGGTAAAGAAAGATACTGTTTAGACCTTAATATAAATAGTACTCACAAGGCGATGGCCTGTTTGATTTTGTGACTGTGATTAGCTAAAAAAAGGGGGGGCACGGTGAACCGATGCCGTGAGTGAGAAAGAAAGACAACTATTTGCTTCAAAAATGTGCCTGTCAAATCCCACATATGCCTACATGGCTTTCGGGATTCTGTTGCTAATTGAGCTCAGAATGTGATGAGGCGGCTATTGTTCCATTCAAAACCAATCGCAGAAGCTTGTCTAGATGAACAGTGGAAATGCCATTGAGAGGAACCTAGGCCTCAATCAAAGCCCAAGCGTGTCTGCAACCTGTTTGCCTTACTTTACTATAAGACTCAACTCTATATTGCAACAAAAGGCAACTTGAAAGAGCTCTGTATGCTTTATCTCTTCAATGAAAGCCTCCGAGAAAACGGAAGAATCCCTGTTGGATTTTCCTCTAAGTGTAACAAATGTACCAATTGCCTTTGTTCTTTTCCTGAGGTGAGACAAAGGCAATCTGCTGCAGAAACTGGGAGATCCCAAACTATAAAGCCACCCATTAACATGAGGTTTAGCTATTGCATTAAGAGGGGCTTCAGAATTCTTTCTGCTCTGCTTTGATAGAGACATGGACTTTTACACTTGGATATTAACTACTAGACAGAATATTTAAAAAGGATATGCTGCCAACAGTTTAACTGTCCAAGTTTTGGCTTCAGGTCGCAGGTAGAGGGTGGGATACACTTAAGGAGCCCCATCAATGGAATTCTTGAGAAAGGGCTTCCTGGTAATCTATTGAATCACATTGTACAACATCTAGCATATGGATTAAGTTGTCACCCCAATTTATTTTAGCTTGCTGTAAAATCTCCACTTTTAATAAGAAGCAACCAAAATATTGTAATCCAGCTGAGAAACCGAGTTACGAATACTTGTGTTGGTTTTGCGCAAAATAATTTGCATCCCCGAATTGGTCCTTCCTTTTAAAATAGCTTTGTACAGGTTTCAGTACCAACAGGTGGCATCACTTCTTGCTTACGGTTATGTTGATTCAGTTGTGGGAGCTCCTTTTGTATCTTGTATATGATGCATTATTTAATTCCAAAAGGAATGGATGAATGCAAAGAAGCTAGGCTCAATGAGATGATGTATGCGTGGAAAAGACAAGACAAAATTTTTAATACAACTCGAGGAGTCATCGCTAGGCCAAAAACAAAAAACAAAATAAAAATCTGACGAAGTCTAAGTTTGTTTTGTTTTTGTTTGACAGTTTCGCTACAAATCAGACCTGAACTTCATGAAGGGGGTTAGCTGGATGGCTCTGAGATCCCCTCAGATAGAGAATGTAAAGAAGGCTGGAGAACTCATCAGTGAGGTACTGATAAATCTTTCATGGGATGGTACGTCTGTAGGAATTGTTTACCATCAAGGCTCCTTGTTACATGACACTTATGGATGTAGCTTAGCATTTCCTTTTGATGTGAGAGCCTGTTTATACAACGGTTGTACGTTACCAAAGAGCAGTACACAAGATAGGAGTCCACCTGTGACATCCTGCTGCATATTTTCTACCCTAAACAGGAGACTCTCAACAACAAAAACACATAGCAATAAATAAAGACGGCAGATTCGGCAATGGAATGCTAAGCAGCTGATAACATAGTTTTGAAAATTGCATACTTGAAACTGACAGCAAAGTCAGTGGAGAGTGATTCTATTGTGATCAGCATAACTTATTAACAGAGAAAATGTCCTAAATGTGAATTGGAGATCTAACAGGGTGACATTTTGGATACAGATTTCTGTTTGCCCCGTCAAAACTATGTGTTTTTCTCTGTGCATCACTGCCATAACATATTGAAATCATTTTGGACAATTGCACAGTAAAGACAAGCATTGAAAACAACATTTCCCCATTTGTATATCTTTTTGACAAAACGAAACCCATTGGGGATCTCTGGATATAGCCAAATTATATATGCATTTATTTTGGGCAAGCTATTTCAGCAGACACATAGATAGAACAAACCTTCTCTCAATGTTTCTTAAATGGTTTTTTAAAAAATTCTATACAATATGTATTAAAACACACATTTATGTATTATTTCTACATCTGCTGCCACACATATGATATATTCTGTTTTTAACTCCGGTCTTTATTGCATGTTTTATATTCCACTTATAGACAAAGTATCGTCAGAAACCAGATAGACTCAAGTTCACCACAGTGACTGACTCTCTGGACTTCCTCCATGCTAAGAATAGCTATCTTCAGTGCAATGATGTAAGTTAAGCATTTTTTATGGTGTAGAGCAGTGGTTCCCAAACCTTATTTTTCCATGGACCACTTGAAAATTGTTGATGGTATTGGCAGACCATTTAATTATTATTTTTCCCATTGTTGCGATTTAGGTGTGCTGTGCTAGATGGTGAATGATTCTTAATTGTATTCTATTGCTTCTTTTCCCCCTTTCATTGTATTTCATCGAATTACTGATTACATTCAAATTGCAATACAATGAAATACAGCATAAGAAATAAAAGCAGCATTAAAAGTACAATTAAAAATCAGTGCAAATACTTATGGCAGGATTTACCTTATGAACCCTATTAACAGAAGCCCTGTGCAAGGAGTTCCACTCCCGCAACAAAGCTTAGCTTTCCTCCCATGTGCCCCCTGAAATTGGCTCTGGGGGTTGGGGGTGGACAGATCCCCCAGAATGGTGCACAGGGGGAAGAAATCGGGGGATTTTTCCATCTGGCAAACTGAACTGCTTGACAGGCGAAATGATTGGAAGAGCATGATATTGAAAGTCAAGCAATATCTTGTCTTAGGTAAAGGACCCCTGACAGTTAAGTCCAGTTGCGAACGACTCTGGGGTTGCGGCGCTCATCTCGCTTTACAGTCTGAGGGAGCCAGCGTTTGTCCGCAGACAGTTTTTCCGAGTCATGTGGCCAACATGACTAAGCCGCCTCTGGCGAAACCAGAGCAGTGCATGGAAATGCCATTTACCTTCCCAACGGAGTGGTACCTATTTATCTACTTGCACTTTGTGCTTTCGAACTGCTAGGTTGGCAGGAGCTGGGACTGAGAAACGGGAGCTCCCCCCCATCTCGAGGATTCGAACCGCCGACCTTCCAATCGGCAAGCCCCAGGCTTAGTGGTTTAGACCACAGCGCCACCCACGTCATCTTGTCTTAAGGCACCTTTAATAAGCATAGGCATAATTTAATATTAAATGCATTGTGTGCTATAGCTCTTGCTGGAAATAGATTTTTGTTATCGTTATAGAAATTGTGAAAGTAACAAATGTCATTTGGTTTGTCAGAGGCTGTACCGAGCCGCACACTTGGAATCCATGCATGAATATACTCTGCCTCCTGACCATCCTGACTTCATAAGGGCGCGTCTCAATGCGCTCCATCTCAGTGATGTAAGTAATAGATCTTTTCATTTTAGGGTGATGGGTTTTGTGCATGAACACAGCTACAATTAGTTGTATTTTGATTTCATATGTACCAGGAATACGTCCAGCCATCACTTGTCCCAGTAATTCCAGTTTGTAGATAATTTTCTTTTTAGCCTAGGTTGCATTGTTTCGAAATGGAATATAGACGTTTCATGTGCATTAATTCGCAATTTTATTTCATGCACAAATTACAGTACTTTTAGAGGAATTATGTTTCATTAAATTACCTTAAAAGGTGCATTTAGTCAGCTACTGGAAATCAAAATAGAAAGAGCATTGTGCATTGACAAACCTTTACTCTCCTGTTAGAAGAAAAGAATGAGTGAGATGTATTGCTCATGCAGTTAGAACTGTATTGCCATGCACAGATGAATGTCACAGTTGTAAGTCTGATATGTACCCTTTCTTCTCAAAACATTCAAATGGACCAGCATGTATCTGAACTGAAACAGCCAGGGAGAGCATGGGGAGATGGAAGAGTTGGGGGCCTCTCATTAAAAATGAAACTGTTTTTGGTAGATATACAATTGGATCAGATGCCACACACAGAAAGCTGTTGAGAGAGACTGACCTTACAACACACACAAAAACCACATTGGTATTTGTAAAACTGCAAAGATAGCTGTAAATCAAATGAATGTAATGTGTGAGGATGAGTGCAAAAGCTGTGCAAACTGTGATAAAGTAAAAGGATGCATGGGGTTTCAGATCAAAGGACCCATGTTACAGAATGATCTGCAACAGCAAGGCAAAAGCTTTGGCAGATTAAAAAGAGAGAGAGGAAGAGGCAGGAAAGGGCTAGGACTTGCTGGTGGTTGCAAGACAGAAGCTCCCATGGCAAGAGACACTCCAGATTTGGACTTACGACACAGCTGAGGAGGAACCACGGCTCTTCCAGCCCACCTGATTCCCTTCCACCCCAAAGGGCTTGCTACTCCAAATTTTCATACCCTGATTATTCTAAATAAATTTAAGAATTTATCTGGATTTGCCCTTTAAATATGCTACCTGTGGTCATTTTTTGATGGAATGCTTCCCATATTATCTCATCTGGGATAATTTTGGATTCTACTGTCATGATCTGGGAGGAAATAATTCAAGAATTTGATCAGGTGCTTTAAGTATGTTTATCAGAAATTGCAAGCCCACTAGGAAGTGTGGATGCCCCATTTTTTGCATTTTCACTTTCCATGGCTTCAGAGGTGCATTTTTATCTGTCTCATAGTAAATAAACATTATTTGGTCAGTAAGTAATATGAGTTGGAGGCCTGGGATTATTACTTACTATCATGTCGAGCAGTCGTTCCCAAACTAATTTTCCCACAGACCGTTTAAAAAATTGCTGGCAGACCACGTAATGATTTTTTTCTGCCTGTTGTAGCGATTTGTACGTGCTGTGCTAGATGCTGTATGTTTTTTAATTGGGTTTGTTTTTGTTTTTTCTTACATTGTATTTGATTGTGTTACAACTTGCATTCCATAGAATTCAAACTGCAATACAATAAAATACCACGTAAGAAGTAAAATAAGCAATACAAATACAATCGAAAATCAATATGTATATTTAATGCAGACATGCCATGGGCCATCTGATTGAAGCCCACAGACCACCAATGGTCCATAGGCCACAGTTAGGGAACCGCTGTTTTAGAGAATGTGCCCTAACCAAAGTCGACCCTCACCAAAGTAGGCTATGTCTCTGCTCATTCGCATCCTTGCACCCATGCACAAAAATGTTTTATTTCGCCTAAGCTGAATGGCTAAACCTGAGAAACATCTCTTGGGCAGGACAACGATGCATTATCACAATAACTTCAGACACTGTAATATAAACCCTTGGGATTGAAATGGGACATGTTATCTTCAAAATTTGCATCTTACTCATATAAATCATATCCAATATTTTATCCGGCAGCTCATTATTTTAGATTAGTTGATGAAACCATCAGGGTATGGAGCTAGCACAGAAAGCATTAGAAGTGCTTGAAGTAACAAAAAGTGGAGACTTGTAGCACTGACATTCCTACACTGCAAAACCCAAGATGCTACTAGGAGATGTTTCGAAAGACAGAATAGGGGCAGTGTGTCGATGCAATATTGATGTGGCTGATGCATCAAAGTGTCTAACAGAAACCAAATAAGCTGGAATCAATGTAGGCATGAAATGCAAAACAAAATCTCAATTTGGGTGTTTTTGACTCCCCACCAATGAGACTCTAACCAATGTACAATATTCTGTAGGTGGGACTGTTGAAGGGCTGCAGGGCAGTCAGAAAATCTTAAAGGCCTGTATGACTGGCCCAGACACAAATGGTCCCATTAGAATCAAATATTTATTACTATAAGAACAAAAGACTTGTAAACTAAGGCATCATCTTTCTTAACTCCTTCCTGCAGAAACTTTATAAAACATCTTGGGAGGAGACACGGGCAGCTGGCTATGATTTCAGACTGGATGCCATCCCTTTCCAGACGGCTAAAGCTTCCAGAGACATTGCCAGTGATGTATGTATTCAAGATTCAGTCTTAGGATCCCATTACAAGATTATTGGAATGGCAGGCTCCTATGCAACCCATGACTTTTACTTTGCAGTTTAAATGGAGACACTGGTATCCAAAGACTTGAGGAACATGCACTCAAGCTCTTTCAGGCCAATCTGGAACTGCTAGAAAGCCAGAGTACAGTCCAGATGAATTTAGGCGCACATACATTTTGTTGAATTAATGAGCTTCAAGTTCTGAAGTCTCATTGATTTAATGGAGCATCAGTCATGGGTCACATTTTTTGAGCTGTGCAAGCTGCCTTCCACCATTGGTTTCCATTTCATCCACATGCTTGTTAATGTATTCATCATTAAGTATGCTATTGATAATAAAACTGTGTATATTCTGTAAATCCAATGACCATTTCTTTCCAGTCAAAAATTGCTCCAACAAGGCAGCTCTGCCCTCTGGATGTAGATGCTAGTACTCTGATTTAGCAAAGTTATATGTCCACATAGAAGTCACAGCTCTCTATACAAAAATACTACAATAAGGGAATAAAAATTATTTTTGTCTTTGTCTCACTACTCTGCAGTTCAAATACAGAGAGGCCTTCCTGAGGGATAGGGGGCAGCAGATTGGATTTCGCAATGTGAATGATGACCCCAAAATGAGGCACTTTCTCAAGATGGGCTACCTCCAGAGTGACAACCAATACAAGAGGGATTTTGTCAGAAACAGAGCGCAGTTCAAGAGCCACATTGACCAGCCAAGATTTATCCATGCAAAGAAAAGTCAACAGTTGATAAGTGACGTCAGTTACAGGCAGCACCTGCATCAGTATACCTGTGACCCAGAACAGCTGAACCTAAAGCATGCTAAACAAGCACACAACCTCCAGAGTGATGTAAGTGCATTGATCTATAGGCTAGAGCAAGCATCCCCAAACTCAGCCCTCCAGCTGTTTTGGGACTACAACTCCCATCATCTCTAGCTAACAGGACCAGTGGTCAGGGATGATGGGAATTGTAGTCCCAAAACAACTGGAGGGCCGAGTTTGGGGATGCCTGGCTAGAGTCTCGTTCCAGGGCTCTATACTCTGTACCAAAACTTTGTCCTTGAAACATCTGCAAAATGCCCCCCTCTTTTTAAAAAAGAATACCGTACCTTTTAAAGGGTTTGGCTAGTAGAAAAGAAATGCTAATGAAGGACCAAAACATGCCAGTACGGAGTGAGTCATTGCCCTGGAACAATGCTGCTTCTATGCAGTTTTGATGAAAGGAAATGGTGGTTCATGAGCTACTGACAGCTTGTGGCAGGAAAAAAGTGGAAGTGGAGGGAGAAACAAAAGGGGAAGGCTAGTTAAGGGGGAATAGCTGCTCTCCTACCTTGCAATTTCCCACCACCTTGAAAAAATTGAACATCTCTTCCTTTCACTGCCTGCAAAGGGAGTTGTGAAGTGGTGAGACCATTTGGTCTCAACCCTAGTAAGTAATTTGAAATTCTGGAGAAAAACGGAAAGATAAAATAGGTATGCTTGTCCCATTCTTCCTTGGATTTCTAGTAGCCCTCATATGATTTCTGAGGTTTTAGAAGTGACGTTCAGTTAATAATAAGGAAAGAAATGTTGACAAACTGTGGAAATGCACAGCCTTTTGTATATGCTGCCATCCACTTCTTACTTTATAAACATCTCATCATTATAGAATTCTTAGTGTTTGAAATAAATGAATCAAGTCCTGACAGTGAAGGAAACTGAAAGCTAAGGTGCTGTTGTATGCAATTTACTTCCCATCTGATTTGAAGTGTGTGCGGTTTATTAATTCCGTGAGGTTTGTGTAATTGTTTTGCAGGTCAAGTACAAATCTGATTTGAACTGGATCAGAGGCGTTGGCTGGACACCTCCAGGTTCCTACAAAGTGGAAATGGCCAGGAGGGCTGCTGAGCTGGCGTATGCTCAGGAACAGGAACCTCAAGGAACTTTGGATCAGAACAATCTGAAAACTGTACGTGAACGAATAGCCCCTTTCCTTCTAATCACCTAGGATGCAGAATCCCAAACAGAAGGCGGAGTGCTTGTTTCCCACTCTGTGTTATATAGAAAAGCAGTTTAGTGGTTCTGCTGTAAGATTGCAGCAGAAATAGACTGAATGGCTCGTTTACCCTGATGTCACCAATTTTATTTTATTTTTTTCCACTCTAAAAATAAGGCAACAAATTAATGGATAAAGGACATGTAGAGGGTCCTGCAAGCTTTAAAAAAGGCAGCCTGTTGAATCATGGCTGGAGGGACGAGACTTAGCTGGCATACAACATTTTAGTTGCAAAGCAAGACTCACGCAATAGTTGAAGAATTCATTATGTTTTTACATCACACAAATCTTCATTCTGACATGTGAATAAGGCTTGCAGGTCTAGTGCTTGTTGCAAAGTCAGTTCCTGTGCAATCCTGTACAATCCTCCTGAGAGGTTTAATGGGACTTACTGCTAGATAAGTGCCTATGGGATGCATCACACCCACAACCTTTTGGCTTCAATACAATGGTTCTTCCAAGCCTAATTTCAGTGGGGAAGGGCAGTTTGCAGGTAACTGAGAAGCCCTTTGTGGACATATGTGCACGCACAGGTGCTGCATTAGCAACACCTGATCTGAAGCATCTACAAGAAGCATTTGATACTCACAGAGGCATTTGGATGAGGAAGCTGGAGTAACCCAGAAGTTGCATCTTCCCTAGAAGTAAGACCATGTTGAAGCTAACAAACCTGTCCAACCCCCAGAAAGATGGCATTAGCAGAGCTTTAATGTTTTGCCCGATAAAGTACTGTTTCTTTTTAATAAATGGGAATTCTGCAAATTTGTCTTCGTAAGTAGCTCACATTCAGTATCTATTTTGATTGGCAGGATCAGGCAGCTGGAGAAGGATCCCAACAAGTGAGAGTCAATCCTGATGCCACAGAGATCTTGCAAGTCAGGCGCAGAAAAATGATGTCAAGGAATGAACTGAAACACAGACATCAGCCTTAAGAAAATGCATAATTTTTTTCAGCTTGCTGTGCAAGTAGAGCCCCCCCCCCCCCCGCAAGCATAGGCTGCACCAAAGTGGTTGAATTTGCTAAAAGAAAAAACAGTGAAACCCTATGCAAATAATTTAATATTGTTCTTATATTTTTTTTTGCATGTAAGTAATTTTTAAGTGTATGTTATTATGAAATGTAGTATTTATTTCTGACAGCGAATGAAATTAGTACTAGATGACTGGCAGGCTCAACTTTGTACTAAAAATTAATGAACATGATTTGTTGAAATAAAATTATTTGTATTGAAAATAAATAAGAGGAATCACTTTCCATAAATAATTTGTTTTGGTATTTTAATGATAGGGTTTTCTTGGTTTATGAAACCTTCCTTTATTTCCTGCATTCCTTTGAGCATTCTAAAGTGGTCTATGTGACTCTTGATAATTTAAAGTTTATTATCTTTGAATGGGTGAGCATGTAAGAGCAAGCGAAATGTTGATGTGTGGCTTTGTGTAGGCCCTTGTAAGTGGAGGAGAATGAGTTCCTGAGTGTGTGATTGAGCTTCTATGAATGGGATGTGAAAGTTGCATATAACGTTTGCAGACAGAGTGGTGGACTTGGACAAGCAAGCTCCAGATTCAAACTCTTAACTCAGCTGCTAAGCTCCCCTGAGGTATATTGGGCTAGCCACTATATTTCAGCCTACAAATCTGACTCATTTTTCAAGATAGAATAGGGATTAGGTCTGCTATCCTGAACACATTGGAGGATAAAAATATAACAAATATTTTTTTTAAAAATGGCATATCGTTCCAAGTGTAGGCTATGTGGTTGCACATGCCATTGTATAATAAACTGGTGAAAGCTAAGCCAATACGCTAAATCCTAAGAGAGGGTGTCAGGGTTTGCATTTTGAATAAAACAAGGCATGTTTTGAATTATCCAGTGGAACTAGCAATTCTCGGTGCTTAAAATCCTATTCAGAAAATATAGTCTTGCAGACAGTCAATTTATTTAAATACCACATTTCCCACAGATTTGTGGCTCAAAGAGGCTTACCAAAATGAACATTCAATACAGTAGTACAGTAACCATAATACACAATTCAAAATTTAACATCACTACAGCAAAGAGTTCAAGAATTCATTCAAAGATGTCAAAGGAAATTAAGCATAAAGCTTATGAACACACAGGCCAATTAATATTCAAAGGCAACCCTAAAACTAATAGCGGTAGTAACAAACCCCCCATGACTTGTATACTCCTAGACCCAAAAGTCCAGAACTTCCCTTACGAAGATTCCAAGGAGGAGCTTGGTGTATGGCTGGTGGAAGCATAATCATCCCACACATTTCTACAAAGAAGGAAGTGAGTTAAATGGTGTGTATAAGATTTCAACCTTAATGCCAAAAAGACAATTGGAAAACTAACTTCCTTATCCGAGATTAATAGGAAGGTATATCAGTATGTCTCAGGCTTACCTTTATTTCTTTTTCAAAGGGCTTTCCTAGATATCAAAGCTAGACTCGCGTTCAATTTTTGCACGAATCCAGTTGTGAAATCTTATCACACGGGTATAGACTCCAGGTTTTTGTCTTAACCCACAGTGTTCTCCCCAGCTCACAATTCCATAGACATAATAAGAGCCATTTTTCACGCAGGTTAGAGGGCCTCCTGAATCTCCCTAGCAACAAATAAAATAGGTCATTTAATTAAGTAACCCCAAATATAGACCAACAGTAGTTTTTTTATTTAATGCCTAAACCAGGGAGACCTCAAACTTGAGGTCTCTTCTGGAGCTGATGGATGGACTCCTGGCCCAGATTTTTCTTCTTCTGTTTTGTCCTCAGCATAGTAAGTGGCCCTTGGAAAAGTGGAGAGCAGTTGTCCGTGATGGACCTAGGCATTGGGTGGTCTTTTCTGGAACTGATGATATTAAATCCGTGGCCTTGGATTCTCCATTTCATTGCACTTATGCTGCAGTTCTAAGATGGCTGAGGGATACAGAAGTGGTTCATCTACCTTATCCAGTGCCGGCAGGACAAAAGTGAGCATGGAGGAATACTGGTCAACTCCATTCTTTTCAGTTTGCTTTAGAAATGATGGGAGAGAAATGGTCTGGCATAGTTTAATCTACGATGTGGGGGCATGTCAAGCAAATCCAGTTCTTCAGTGGCAGGCCCTGTGGCACACTCCATTTCCAGCCCTACTGACCTTGGAGCTCTGATATCAATAGAGTAAGGGCCATAAAATTTCATTGGTGGCAGGAGTGGGAATCTGGCACTCCTTATGGCTCCTTTGATGCCCTCGGAGAAGGAGATTCAATGCTTCCTATGGCACCTGGGGGTGCAGAGCCCACGTTTTATTAGTAGTGGAATTTCCGGCATGATATATTCGTGTGGTGGTAGGCCTTTCATGTTTCAAGGAGTCCTGGACGGATGTAGCCAGTTTCCATTCATTCACAAAATGGGAGGGTCACTTCTGGCTATGCTCTTCAGAGGACAACACACATACCCTTCTGTGGCTGCCCCGCTAAATTCTCCAGACCTCAGAAGATGTATTTGATTTTCTTGATATTTTCAAGCGTTAGTAGATTGCATGATTTGCTTGTAAACTGCCTGGAGCTAATTTGATAAGGCAGGGTAGAAGTCGGATGGAAAAAAAATAAGTAAATAAAGCACATATTCAGTACCACAGATATTTTAGGCTAGCAATACAAAGAACCTGAAGAACATTAAACGTGGTGGTTTGGGGAAAGGAGAGGTGCCGTGATCATGCACCTAAGATGTATTGGGACAGGCCTTATCAAATGACAAAACTCCCAAGTTTGCAGCTGAACTTCTGCATCTCCCATAGGCTTGCCTGTCACCAGAAGAGCTGCTGTTTGTTTGAAGGACATGCCTCTCACATCATGTTGAAAGGAAGGAGGTTGTTGTAATGTATCTGATACAAGAAGCAGATACATATGTAGTACCCTGCCAGACATTACTCTGCATAGCCTATTTACATTTTGTTAAAAGAGAAATTAGTGTTCAAATACTGAAAAAGCAACAGACCTGACAAGTATCAGCGCTTGTTCTCTGAAGATTTCCTGCACAAAGCATGCTTTCATCCAGTCTGTTATTATGTGCACTTCGTGCGTTACACCGCACCTGGGAAATCAGCTTTACTCTGGCATCTAACAGCTGATGAGATGATTCACCTACAGGATGCAGGAAAATGAAGAAACTGTTAACTTCCCTTCTTCCCTCTGCTAAATCTTTCTTTTCAATCTATGGGATAATAGAATTGTACCTGGGCCTAAGATATGATCATCTGCTGCAAGGGAAAGCCACAACTCTGGCAGAGCAGGGTTAGGAAATAAACAAGCCCAAAGAAGGCTATCAAGCTAAAAACAGCTTTTGGCAGTGAATTTCTGTTACTGCTGCATAGGAGTTTGGCATCTCAATAGTGTTTTGCCTTTGAAAAACCTACACTGTGTTGTATTTGCCAGATGTTGACTGACCTCGGAAGATTCTGGCCTGTAGACTTTACAACTGCAAAGGTGTGTTAAATCAGAACTGTTTGAGTCAAATCCTGACATTTGTTATGTTTACTCTGGGATCGTTACATCAATAATTTCCATGTATTGATCCATGGATATAATTTTGTCTTCTTTTGGGACCCTTTGCTAGGCTTGCAAGTTATCTCCATAGCCCACCTTTAATAGTGTGTTTGCTGTTGCAGATGTCACAAACAGGAAACAGGTTTGAGAGAATTACCACTAGATCCACAAATGAAACAAGTGGTGGCTAGAGCCATAAAATCTTGCGCAATTAAGTCAATTATGCATGTTATGCAGAAGAATTATTCAGCTCCGCATCTGAGAGATCTCTGTGCTGTTCAATGGGGAACATTATTTGCTATCATTATTCACTTAAATGTGGTGTGCTATGATGATTAGGATTTGCATTGCAAACAAACACATATCAACCATTGCAGATAAATACACTGATGCCATCAAGCAGAAGGTTGGAAATATCTATGGAAACAGAGATGTTTCATGCAACCCATTCCCCAAAATATTTTCTTGCTAGCACATGCCATGCAAGTGTTTCCTGGTTTAATCAAAAGAAGCCAAAGTGTCTCAATTGGCATGTATCAGAAGATGTCACTTGAGAACCCCTGACATAAGGCAAAGGGATGTGTCCTAAAGAGCTCTCATTCATAGAAAGAAGAAGAGGAACAGTTTGGCTTTGATATCCCACTTTATCACTACCCTAAGGAGTCTCAAAGCGGCTAACAATCTCCTTTCCCTTCCTCCCCCACAACAAACACTCTGTGAGGTGAGTGGGGCTGAGAGACTTCAGAGAAGTGTGACTAGCCCAAGGTCACCCAGCAGCTGCGTGTAGAGGAGCGGGGACGCGAACCTGGTTCACCAGATTACGAGTCCACCGCTCTTAACTACTACACCACACTGTGAACAGAAGGGGCCCTTCCATGAATAGAGCTCTCCTTCCAGTCATGGATCTAGCCACATATTTGCACAGTTGAGTTTAACAACGTAATTTTAAATTAGCAAGACAAATTTGAATTGCATTTCTAATGTCTTCATTGGTTGACCGGGCCTTTTGTGACACAATGGATTTGTATGAATTATGTGTGTAAATGCAATCCTTTGCTCAGCTATGAAGCTCCCTGGGAAGTCTTGGTCATAAAACTAGCTCTATACTTCAGCTAAGTCATGGGTTGTTGTGAGATTTTTTAAGGGAAAGGGCAGCATACAAGCAAATGTTTTTCAAATTGGAGTCATTTCTGGCATCAAAACAGATCAGCTATTCACTCTTGGGCAACATTCATAGACAGTGGACTGTGAATGTGGTAGTTTGCAAAGGAGACTGTGTCATGGAAGAATGATGTTTTATTAACTCATATCATCAGCACATAATCTATCAAATCTGCATACCAGATGCTTCTTACTTTCAATATGAATTATATCAAAAGATGTATATACTTCATATTGGATTATATTGCTCATAAAACATAAGGGTACTTTTGGGAACATGATTGACACATTGTCCACCTGCAATTTTACAGCAACTCATTAAGTGAAAAGTGAAAAACTGCATTTTTTTCAGAAAGGTCTCATTATCTTATTTTTAAGCACAAGAATAATTTCCTCCTTCCAAGGAACTCACAGTATGTCACAGAGGTTTAGCTGAACTTGAATAGATTTGGCAGTTCTGTTTCAATATGCATCCAGAAATCCAGATGCTGCTTATCAAAAACTTATCCAAACCAATAGGCTGGAAAATACTGTCAAAGTTCCTGGGTTTATTTCCGAGATATGGCTCAGAATCTTTATCTGGAAGCACATAGACTCATTCACTCTGATTTGATTCTTTGAATGAAGTTAAGATGATAAGTGGCATATGACAGAGAAAGGGACAAGGAATTTGATGGGAGGTTTGCCCTAAATACCACTACTTCTTTTATTTTTTAAAAGCTCCAAACAGATTTGCACATTCTGAATTTTTAACAAAGTTTGTTTTCAAAAATTGCTTGATTTTAAAATGCCTGGTATAGCTATTCATAATCTGTAGCGTATCTTCTCTGATTGAATTGTTCTGCAGGAATAATGAGGGGTGGTTGGTCTTCCTGAACATGTTCCCTGGCCAGACAATTAGTCATCTTATCTACAGCCAAGAATTTGGGAGAACAGCCAAATATAATCAGGAGTTTGGGAGAACAGCCAGGTATAATCATCCATTTGATTTAAATGTGTAAACGCTTAAGTGGATGTCTATATCCTTCTAGAAACATGGACACCTGAAGGTATGTGACTTCATACTAGAGAAGCATCCTCTGACATCCTATATCTCTCAGTGTTGGGAAAGGTAAAGCATCCTGTTCTCACGCTGGCCCACCTCAGTAAGCAACAGTGGCCCATAGTGCTGAGAAGCCAGGACAGCAACAGAGCCCAACCAGCCACTATGGAGAGACAACCTTGGCAAAACACAGACTACAGGAGGGTGGTAATTCTAGTCCATCTAGGAAACAGCGACGACCCTCCTACCTGCAGCAGCAGAGGGATCTCACTAAAGACCAAATTGGGAAGAGAGGAGGAGGAATACAAAAATTAATATAGATTTTGTCAATGTATTAACCATAAAGGACTGCACCATTAAACAATAGCTTACCTGTTTCAGTTTCTCCCCAACCTGATATATAGCATTCTGTGTCATCAGGAAAAGTAGAATCAGGCAAGCACACTCGTTTGACGTATCTTGTTTCCACTGCACAGTGGCCGTCAATTGGTTTCAACTTCAACAAAGCTGTGGGCCGAATGGAAGTCAATTTTGTGCAATAAAGCTGATGACATGTTCACTCTGAACAGTATCAGGAAAGTAATAAATAACATTTTCTCAAGCTTTCTTATTTGAATACTCTTGCTTGACAGACTGCTTAATTTGAAATTATAGAATGGTTTTCATTTCTCTGTTGCTATCTTAGGGTCACCAAGCTATACATGTTCCCTGATTCTTCCTCTTGGTTGTTTTTAAATACGAAAAGCAGCTGTGGGAGCCAAAATGGGAATTGGACGGTTGGCAGAGGAGTTGGCAGCTTGACCCCTTTCCCTTCCCAAAGTCCACTGAAAATCATCTCCAGCTGGCTTTCTTCCTGTGGTGGAGAAGATAAGTTAACATCTCTCTTCTACTATAGGTGACAAACTATCTGGGAGAAGGGGGTGATTTTGAGCTGACAGACAGCAGGTAGGGAAAGGGTTAAGGAAATATCATGGATCTGCCAGTCCTATGTCAGAAATAAATCTAGGTCAATAGCATGCAAAGCTAGCTAAGGAAGCAACCAGATCTGTTATCAAACTTAAGCATTATTTTCCCTGATTTCAAACAGATACAGCTAAGTATTTGTAGGCTTCTCACAACCTCATCCAACTCGTATCTCTGTCCTGGGAATGTTAAGTGAGCAAAAGCATCCCTGAAAGACTTGCCACTTCTTTTTTATACAAAATGTAGAAATTGAATATATTTTTATGGAAATACTAATTAAACCTATTTTCCGAAGCTTCGGGGAATTTGAATGTTTGTTCCACTGCTTAACTCAAGTCAGAATCATTTTATCCATGATATTTAGCCCACATCAAAGTTATTGAGCCTAATGTCCACTATCTCCATCTTGTAACCACACTGACAGTGATTTGAACATTTGTAAGCAACTTGCCAATATCATTGTATGGGACATCCTCAATTTCTTCATAGTGTCCATGTACAATTATCTTTTCCACATCAAACTTCTGTTCATAATGCTCTTTCCTAAGGAGATCTTTTTTCCCAAGGACCACTTCAAGGGTGTGAGCATCTGTCCTATGAAAGAGAAAAATGTCACAAAGAATGATCAATTGTAATTATAGAACCTCAAGAGATTTCAAAGATAATCCATTTCCAACACCTATCCTGGAATTCTCCATCTTGGAAACTATCTCTACTAGACTTAACACTTGGCAGGCTTCCTGGGTACTCATACTTCAGCTAAAGCCTAGGAGAAGACATCATGAAGTAGCTCCTCCCATAGGCCTTTCTCAGACCAGGAAGCCAGGAAATTGCAGAGTTCTAGAGAAATGCTTATTAGAAAACACACACACACACACACACACACACACACACACACACAGACAACCTTGCATTGCTAAGGGAAGCTCAAAACTCTACTCTGGTCAAAATTCTAAAGAAATTCTCAAGTGCCTTAGAATGAGGCAAAAAAAATTGGAAACCACGTTTTCAGGGGGAAGGGAACCTTTCAAGAAACCAAAAGACAGATCTTGGCTCAGCATTGCTAGCCAATCAGATCCAAGTCATGTAGAGCTACTCTCATATGGGAACCTGAATGCATGAATGTGGACTTTTCTATTTCCGTGCTTTAAGTGGGGTAGGTAAGACACGCTCCTTTTAAATATATATATTTTGGTAAGTATTTTAGTTTCAATTTATTGCTGTTTTATATCTGATTTTAATATCTCTGCTATTTCTATTCTGCCATTTTGAGCAAAAATGTTGACTAAATCATAATCACGCATAAACCATACCGATAAGGATCTATTCATAGACTTAGAATCATAGAATCATAGAGTTGGAAGAGACCACAAGGGCCATCGAGTCCAACCCCCTGCCAAGCAGGAAACACCATCAGAGCACTCCTGACATATGGTTGTCAAGCCTCTGCTTAAAGACCTCCAAAGAAGGAGACTCCACCACACTCCTTGGCAGCAAATTCCACTGTCGAACAGCTCTTACTGTCAGGAAGTTCTTCCTAATGTTTAGGTGGAATCTGTGAGGAGAACCTGAGCTTACAGGGTTAAACAGCTCAGAGTGTACGCTCTGCCTACTGGTGGGAGGGGGGAACTTCTACCTCAGTTCCGAGAGACTCAAGTCTTTGTTCTTCTCTCTCTACTTTCGCTTTTGAGGAGAGAGGACGTGTTTTCGCGATGCTGTTCGCTGTGATAGATAATGGATAGTCTGCTGTAAATAAAACTGCTTCTAGCTGCTAAGATCCTGAGTGGACTTTATTTAAGCACACTGAAGAATGCACTGGAGTTTTTTTTTGCAGTCTTCCTCTAGCCGCTGTTGATCTCTGCTATGCTTTGCTCAGAAGCATCGGAATGTGTCGGACCTTTGGAATGCCGGCCAGAGCTGCGATGGGAAGTGTGCCGGACCTCAAGCTTATCTGAGCAATAAATCAATATACTCTAACAGGTTATGGACTCTAACAGGTCTTTCTTGTAGTTTGGATCCATTGCTCCGTGTCCGCTTCTCTGGAGCAGCAGAAAACAACCTTTCTCCCTCCTCTATGTGACATCCTTTTATATATTTGAACATGGCTATCAGATCACCCCTTAACCTCCTCTTCTCCAGGCTAAACATGCCCAGCTCCCTTAGCCGTTCCTCATAAGGCATCGTTTCCAGGCCTTTGACCATTTTGGTTGCCCTCCTCTGGACACGGTCCAGTTTGTCAGTGTCCTTCTTGAACTGTGGTGCCCAGAACTGGACACAGTACTCCAGGTGAGGTCTGACCAGAGCAGAATACAGTGGCACTATTACTTCCCTTGATCTAGATGCTATACTCCTATTGATGCAGCCCAGAATTGCATTGGCTTTAGCTGCTGCGTCACACTGTTGGCTCATGTCAAGTTTGTGGTCAACCAAGACTCCATCTTTCACATGTACTGCTCTCAAGCCAGGTGTCACCCATCTTGTATTTGTGCCTCTCATTTTTTTGCCCAAGTGCAATACTTTACATTTCTCCCTGTTAAAATTCATCTTGTTTGTTTTGGCCCAGTTCTCTAATCTGTCAAGGTCGTTTTGAAGTGTGATCCTGTCCTCTGGGGTGTTAGCCACCCCTCCCAGTTTGGTGCCATCTGCAAATTTGATCAGGATGCCCTTGAGTCCATCATCCAAGTCGTTGATAAAGATGTTGAATAAGACCGGGCCCAAGACAGAACCCTGTGGCACCCCACTAGTCATTCTTCTCCAGGATGAAGAGGAACCATTGATTCCTCTTCTAGAACTGTGGAGTTGGAAGGGACCCTGAGGGTCATTTAGTCCAACCCCCTGCAATGCAGGAATCTCAACTAAAGCATACAGGTCAGATGGTCATTCAGTCTCTGCTTAAAAACCTCCAAGGAAGGAGAATCCACCACTTCTTGAAGGAAACCATTCTACTGCCAAACAACTCTTAGTGTCAGAAGATGAATTTGCTTACAAAACACAGTGTGCCGCAGTAAGAACCCAACATGGCTCAATCAGTACTCCTCCACAGAAGTGTCCTTTAGGGAAAAATATGCCCCTTGAAACTTTCCTCTGAACAGAGGCTTGCCATGGATGTTTGCCAGGAGTTGACTTGGCACCGCCATAGATTCTCTTTAATGGTCTTTCTGTCTCTGGTCTTCCACATGTATTAGGTCTGCTATCTGCTGCAGAATTCTTGGTGACTGTATTTCCAGAGGACTGTGCTGCAATACAAAAGAAACAACTGGATATGGAAATGGTATAATGGCACTGTCTCTGTTACAAAGGCTCTCTCACTCCAACTTTTTCCTCATTTAACCTAACAACTCATAAACAGACCCTTCCTCCTTCCTTCACTTTCAATTTTGTTTTTCAGGAGGACGCTTCAGGCCGTCTGCACAGCTAGATCTGGATTCTCTAAGTGTCACGCAAGACTTGCACACTGTGCTTTGACCACTGATACAGCACAATCACTGGAGTTGCATCTTACCATATTGGCCTGAATATAAGCCCCACTTTCCCCCCAAATTCTGACCGTGAAAAGTTAAAGTGAGACTTATATTCGCGATCTTATGGTATGCAGCCAGGAGTGTGGGGCAAACAGCGTCAGGAGCATGGCAAAGCAGCTCCCCCCCTGTGCATAGTCCCCCGTCTTCTCCCCCAAGACCAGGAAGGGAGAGAGCGAGGAGGGAAGGGGAAAGGCCACCGGCAACGCAGCACCCCCCGCCCCCCCAGAATGCAGCCAGGAGCAGCAAGGAATGGAGCAGCTTATATGCGGGCATTTTTTCTCTCCCCCCCCCTCCAATTTTAAAAGTGTGGTTTATATTCAGGTGCGGCTTATATTCAGGCCAATATGATAACTCAAGGCTTGATAAGGCAATTGGGAAAATATTGCAGTATTATAAGCTATGATATTGAAGTCTGGCCCTAATTCTGAAAAAAAATTATATCTTCAAAATAATTGGCAACATCTGTCATATCAATCATTGCATTTCTATTTCACCTTTCCTCCAAGGAGCTCAAGATGGGATACATGGTTTTACATGCGAACCAGGCAGAGGGCCTTCTTGGTAGTGGTGCCCGCCCTGTGGAATGCCCTCCCATCAGATGTCAAGGAAATAAAAAATTATCTGACTTTTAGAAGACATTTGAAGGCAGCCCTGTTTAGGAAGTTTTTTATGTTTGATGTTTTATCGTGTTTTTAATATCCCGTTGGAAGCCGCCCAGAGTGGCTGGGGAAACCCTGCCAGATGGGCGGGGTATAAATAATAAAATGTTGTTGTTGTTGTTGTCTCTCCCCTCTTTTCTTTTTGTAGAATTTCCCATTGCAAAATAGCAATATATTAATTAACATTTCATAAACCTCTCATTTCAAATATACTACAATTTTTTCTCACACATTTCTGTATTTCCCTTCTAATCCTAACATTAGCCCTGTGAGACAGGCTAGGACCTTGCCTGCCCAAAGATCACCCAATGAGCTTCATCGCTGAGTGGAACCTGATATCTCCCAGGCCCTTACCTAACTCTAATAACGAAATCACACTGGTGTATCCGTCCTGAAACTACAACAATAGCTAAGCACACAAATACAGAAGACAGGGCCATATTGAGGAACCTAAGCGAGTAGGGCATAAATAGAAGCGATCCCTTCTTCCTATGTTCTTGAATATACCTTTCAATTATGAAATAGCTCCCCACAGAAACTGAACCTTGCAGCATCAAAGCTGTCCCTCTCAGTGCATGAGTATAATTCCTGAAAGATCCATGTTGAATATTATTCCTTCATTCTGTGAATGGTTTATTTTCTGCTGTACTGTTTCATATTTCATTTCCTCTTACATCTCTTGACAATAGATATCTCGATACCTGTTATTTGTTTGGCATACTTCTCCATGCTCTAAAGCTAACAGATCCTAAAATTTCACTAAACTCTTGGGCAGAGCTTCAAGAAGACTATTTAAAAAATCATGCTAGAGTCATTACAGTTTTGGGGGCTGCGTTCTTAAAGGTAGATGGATGGAGGGCGGGGTGGGGGAATAATCACAATGCCTGTCAATCTGAATTACTGCTACACCTTTCACGTTTATTTTGCCCCACTTTATATTATTACCCATCGTACCTGTTTCTGAGCACGCGGATACATCACAGAAGTCCCACTTCAATTTGTTATTCACACTGACAAAGCACCAGGGCTTTTCGTCACCATCTGGGTTCCTGGAGGAGGAGGTTTCAAAATTCACCAGTCAGAAGAGCATAATGTCTCAAGAAAGAAAGTTACTAATTGAAGTTCTGAAAGATAGGAGAACTGGAAAATGCTCTCACAAAAGCACAAAAGATCCAGAGATCTCCCCTAAGCAAAAACTGTGCCTGAGGGATAGCATGCCTTCTTTTTAGGGTGTTGTCTATGGCCATTGTTTTTACAGGGTCACCGGTATACTGTGGTATATTAGGAACATAAAAAAAACCAAGAAGAGCCTGCTGGATCAGACCAATGGCCCATATAATCCAGCATTCTGTTCTTACAGTGGCCAACCACATGCCTGTCAAAAAACTACATGCAGGACACAAACATCATTATCATCACCATCAAGAATTATTAATTATTAATATTAATATTAATAAATACCCCACCCGTCTGGCAGGGTTTCCCTAGCCACTCTGGGCGGCTCCCAACCAAATATTAAAAACACAATACAGCATTAAACATTAAAAACTTCCCTAAACAGGGCTGCCTTCAGTTGTCTTCTAAAAGTCAGATTGTTGTTTATTTCCTTGACATTTGATGGGAGGGCGTTCCACAGGGTGGGCGCCACTACCGAGAAGGCCCTCTGCCTGGTTCCCTGCAGCTTCACTTCTCACAGTGAGGGTACCACCAGAAGACCCTCAGAAGTGGACCTCAGTGTCTGGGCTGAATGATGGGGGTAGAGACGCTCCTTCAGATTATACGGGGCCGAGGCTGTTTAGGGCTTTAAATGTCAGCACCGACACTTTGAATTGTGCTCAGAAACGTACTAGGAGCCAACGTAGGTCTTTCAGGACTGGTGTTATATGGTCTCAAGAGTACTCCTGCAGTTTTCAGCAACTGATATTCAGAAACATACTGCCTCTGCCCATGCAGGCAGAGCATAGCCATCATGGCTAGTAGTCATTAATTTGTCTAATCCTCTTTTAAAACATCCAAATTAGTGGCCATCAATGTGGAGTGAGTTCCATAGTTTAACTATGCACGGTCTGAAGAAGCACTTTCTTTTATCTGTCCTGAATTTCCCAACATTCCACTTCCTTGGATGTCCACAAATTCTAGTTTTGTGAAAGATGGAGAATTTGTAACTGGTTACCTGTCACACCACAGAGCATTATCCATTTGTGCCAGGAGGAGACTGCCTGCCCACGAGCACGAGCACAAGCATTATTAGGAATGGCAACATTTTTACAGTTCACACTGCCTACCAGTAAGTGATAAGTTTTTGTACAACCAACAAACACTGGCATCACTTATTGAGTTGCGTAAATGCATAACATACATCTTTGCCAGCAACCTATCAGCATTAATAACTACCTGGTAATGTGTATATCATGGGATGCAGGTGGCGCTGTGGTTTAAACCACAGAGCCTAGGGCGGCGGTTCAAATCCCCGTGACGGGGTGAGCTCCCATTGCTCGGTCCCTGCTCCTGCCCACCCAGCAGTTCAAAAGCACGAAGTGCAAGTAGATAAATAGGTACCGCTCTGGCGGGAAGGTAAACAGCGTTTCTGTGCGCTGCTCTCGTTCACCAGAAGCAGCTTAGTCATGCTGGCCACATGACCCGGAAGCTGTCTGCGGACAAACGCTGGCTTCCTCGGCCTATAGAGCGAGATGAGCGCCGCAACCCCAGAGTCGTCTGCGACTGGACCTAACGGTCAGGGGTCCCTTTACCTTTTTAATGTGTATATCTCAAGCTATCAGAGACATAAACAACAGTGGTCAGGGGTGCCAACTTGAATAAAATATTGGGGGGGGGCAGCTAAGCCCCACTCCACATAATTGATCACATGACATGGTTCACACACCCTATTTGAATGACGATGACCATCAGCTTTGAGGGGTGCAGCCCCCTGAAATATTTTATTTGGGTGGGGTCCCTTCGGCTCCTAGGAGTTAGTTCCTATGACAGTGGTCATTATTTCCAAGGTGAAGTCGTAAAGACAACCATCACAGTGTTGGGGTAATAGCCTTGGTGTCTTGGTAGCCAAGAAGAATCAGTAATTATTTGCAATGAAGATCACAGAAAAGAAATGTAATTGAATTACACTGATATAGCTCATGCAGATACTGCATTTTTGGAGTGGGAGGAGCAGACGTATTTGTGTGCATGGCACTGACATTCATGGAAGTGGGAGAAAGAAAGCCTTCCTTGATGAATGTGCAGTACATTACCTGCAGAAGTTATGGTCACCAAGGCCATAAGAGGCAGCATCTTCAATAAATGCATTATAATTCCACTCCAGGAGATGGTGAGAATTCCAGTGAAGACAGGTCTTATGGAGAATTGTTTGACTAACATTTCCTCTGTATGAAATGCCATTTTCTTCAAAACAGTCATCAGGTCCTACAAAAGGATTGCCTTCTTAAGAAATGTGCTCTCTCACCCACCCACCCACCCCTACACCATTCATTTAAAGCACTCTTACACTACTTGAAAAGTCACCTGGGACCTGTCGTTTGTTAAGGTGCTGGATACCATAGTTGTGGGGTGAGTAAACTGCAGTTCCCACAATTCTTTGGGTGAAGCCGTGACAGTTAAATAATAAATAATAATACATTTTTATTTATACCCCACCCTCAGGGCAGCTAACACTGAATATAAATTACAATAAAACGTAATAGAAAAAAGAAAAAGGAAAAAAACAGTTGATTAAAATACGGCTTAAAATACAGCCTCAGTTTAGTAGCAGCACATAAATCAAGACCATAAAGGGAGGAAACATCAGATATTCACCCGAGCCAGCTATCCATGCTGGTCCTAAATGGGCCAGCAAAAAAGCCAAGGGAAAATTTATATACCAGATCCCATATAAGGGGTCAGAGTGAGTCCAAGCCAAAGGCCAGGCGGAACAGCTCCATCTTGCAGGCCCTGCGGAAAGATGTCAAATCCCGCAGGGCCTTGGTCTCTTGTGACAGAGCGTTCCACCAAGTCGAGGCCAGTGCTGAAAAGGCCCTGTCCCTAGTGGAGACCAATCTAACCTCCTTGAGGCTCGAGACCTCCAAAGTGTTGTTATTTATGGACCTTAAGGTCCTCCGCGGGGCATCCCAGGAGAGGTGGTCCCGTAGGTATGAGGGTCCTAGGCTGCATAGGGCTTTAAAGGTCAAAACCAGCACCTTAAACCTGACCCTGTACTCCACCAGGAGCCAGTGCAGCTGGTAAAGCACTGGATGAATGTGATCCTGTGGCAAGGACCCCATAAGGAGCCTTGCTGCGGCATTCTGCCACCCTGGAGTTTCTGGGTCAGCTTCAAGGGCAGCCCTGTGTGGAGTGAGATACAATAATCAAGCCTGGAGGTGACCGTTGCATGGATGACTGTGGCCAGATCAGGGCGAGAAAGGTAAGGGACCAACTGCTTAATACGGTGGAGATGGAAAAATGCCACCTTTGCTGTGGCTGCAACCTGCGCCTCCATAGAAAGGGAGGCGTCAAAGGTTGCACCCAAACTCTTGATAGAAGGTGCTGGCACAAATTGAGCCCCCACAAGAGATGAGAGTTGGCCCCCCAACCCCATGTTGTCCTGACCCAGCCAGAGGACCTTTGTCTTCGAAGGAGTTAACTTTAACCAGCTCCCACGCAGCCATCCAGCCACAGCTTCCAAGCATCTGGTCAGTGTGTCTGGGGCTGAGTCAGGGTGGCTGTCCATCAACAGATAAAGCTGGTATAAATGTGCTTTAAATGTATGCTGTGGATCTGACCGACTATCTCACAGTGATTCTCATTTCATCTAAGCAGACCCAACCTAACAATGTTTAAGCAGACTCCTTCCCCATTTCCTCCTTCATTTATAGCTCAATTTGTTGTTTTGACCTTCGGCTTTCGTAAAAGTGCAAATCTGGGCATCTTGAATCTACTTCCTGCATGCCAATGGCAACAAGGATAAGGACCAAACCACTTCCATGTGCCAAATTCTGCAGCATGGTCATATGTGCTTAGAGGCATTCACAGATCCCTGTTCTTGGTAAATCCGTAGGAAAATAGCCAAAAGGCCAGAACTGGATCCCTCACCTATTTCGCAAAGCCTTCCTTTGAATGGCTCAGGACACTTGCAGCTGAACTTGGACCTTATCCGATGCCGTTGACAGATGCCTCCATTTTTGCAAGGATTTGGTCGGCAAGATGACTGTGCTGTTAGTTTCCACAAAACAAAACAGAGCATTTAAGTAAGATTCATAGCTTGCATGAACAAAGCGCTAACCAGGAAGAAATACCTTTATAGGCAGAAAAGGAAAGCAAAGCAAAGCATAGTGGCACAGGTATGGATGTGGGAAGCCCACCGTCAAATTCCTCATCAAAGCTCACCAGGTGGTGCTATCACTCTCCCTACAATCATCCCTACACAGTGAGATAGCTTCGCCCTAGCCTTCTTGAGCCCCTTGTCAAAAGGAGGAAGTACTTCTGTCTGAATTTTAGAAATACTAACAGGATAGGAAGCAACTGCCACAATTTGGTGAGCAAATTTGGAGATCAAAGGTGATGATTCATTCTTTGGTTCATTCTTAGGCATATAGGGCAGCAGTAAGACAAATGTCTGATAGTAACCATATCCCTCAAGTTTGGTACTCACCTTTGTCACAGAATGGTGCTTTGTAGGGGTGTTTGCAATGGCATCTATAATAAGGCGCTCTTAAGCTTATAAGGCAATCTCCTCTGTTGCAGTTGATCCTTTCACATGTGTTTTTCACTATGTTGCATGATATAAATAAAATGGACAAGTGTGTTAAGGTTATCTCTCTATTGTTCATTCATTGTCAAACTCAATATGTCTTTACTCGGAAGCCTTCCCAATAAATGTTCCCATGGTCCTTGCTCCTATCTCTGTGAAACCATAAATACCACCCCTCTGCTGCCACCCAAAAAAGCCAGGCTTTATCATCTTTTTTCTAGGGTAGCCTTCACCAACCCGGTGCCTGGGACTTATGAAAAACCTGGAGGGTACAAGGCTGATGAAGATTATTCTAGGACTATGCCTTTGCTCTCTGTGGTTTGGATCCCTTCCATTTCCTTTCCAGCCTTGATCCTTCTGTGGACCTGATTTTGCATGGCAAGAGCTTGAAGCATTCAGCTGAATAAAGTAAGGAGTATATAGTCTACCACATCTGAGTACATTATTATGAAGTTCATTGAAGATAGCAACCACCCACAACCAAAGAAATATATTCAACAAATATATATAGGTGACTTTTTATATATGTTGGAGATCAGCACTGGGGATTTCTTTTTTTGTGATTTTTCTTTTTTTGTGGGGAGGGGAATGTGACAAACACAATAGAATAATAATAATAATTTAAAAAAACTATAGATCTAAGCTTGAAGCTCCTGGCAAGTCTCCTAAATTTGTAATAAAACCATACTGTCATATTAAGCTGGAATGCAAATAAAATATTTTCTGTCCAAAACATAAATACAGTAAGTATGGACTTGTGACCATAACAATTCAAATAAAGTAGCTATCAAGTTCCTTGAAAGACAATGTCCCACTCAGCTTTATCTAACACTATGAAAATTCTGCTTACCATTCTCACACTTAGACCCTTCATATGGCTCAGGGCAGCGGCATGTATACCTGTTTCTTTTCCTTTCACATACACCATTATTCTTGCATGGCATCTCCAGGCATGGGTTTTCTAGTACATGGAGTGGAAAGATGAAGCTTGTTTTACAGTTAGCTTGCTGCAGGTGTGCAACTAAGGTTTTCTAAAAGCAGTCATGGATTGGATTACCCAGTTTATTATTTAACAGTCAGTTCAAGCCAATAATATTTGCCAAAATGGTTGGTTTACCCAGAGAACATCTAGATTGCAGGTGTCAACTAGTATGCACAGTCAAATAGTGGAACAAGCATAGAACACATAGTAGATCACTAGCCATCTCTGCATTCATCCACAGCTGCCATCTCTAGACAGAACTCTATAGAATCTCAGAAAAGTATCGGACATTTTGTGGAAAATATAAGGGTTTCCTCCATTCAGATTTTCTACATATGACACAAACCATGGTGTAGCACCCCATGCTAATCATAAAAGGACACAGATTAACTCATAATAAAAGCTGGTGGATCTTGGGAGCTGTATCAACACAGAAATAACTATATCTCACATATCTCTGTGTTACAAGTATAGATGGAGCTTAAGTTGAAAAGAATGAAGCTATTTAAAAGTTGCTAGAATCGAAAGTGAATTGCAGAGTCTGAATTTGTTCTGTCAGTAGATGAAGTTTAGATCCTTTACTACAGTATTACAGTAATAGACAATCCATTAATAACAACCAGTATAGCAATTCCTGTTACCCTGGAAGTAGTTTTCAATTCTCCCCATCCCCACACTTCCCCATTTCCCCATCACAAAGTGTGACCCAGTAAAATACCTTCATAACTGACGTATTCATGAAACCAGTCAGGATGTATAGCAGGGAGGCCATATCTGGTATTATCCTGCATTGGCTGTGTATCTTCATCGATGTATTCATAGTAATAGCTGTCAGCTGCACCTATAGACCATACTACTATGTGAATTATGAAATAGTTCCAGAAGTAACTGGAAGCACTTTTTCTATAAGAGGTCCTACTACATTTGAATGAGCCAGTTGCTATCTCTAAGCTTAATCGACCCCAAAGGTTGGTTGATCTGGAGATAACATTGGGGTATTGGCACTGCTTAGAGCTCCTTGAAGGAAAGACAGAATATACATGTAATAAAAAAAATAAATGCAATACATAAAGTCCAGGTGATTTATAAATTTTCTTCCCATCATCGCTGTAGGCTCAGGCCAGATCATCAATACATCCTTAATTTATTTTACCTTTACAACAGAAGATGAGATTCAGAGAAAATGACATGTCCTAGGCTACAAAATGTGTTTTATGGCTGAGCAGGGTTCTGACCTTAAATCTTCCACACAGAGGACTTCCGGGTTAGCGCCATCGCCGAATGGCGGACTCCCTCCGAGCTCCGGAGGGAGTCTGCTCGGCAGGGGCTGGGTCCTACCGCGCCGGCGACGCGGGGACCCTTAAAAACCACGGGCACGGAGTCCGTGGACATGGGTGACTCGGCTTGCACCATTAGCGCCCTCCCGACTCGTGAAGGAGCCTTTTTAAAGGCTTCGGATCGGGTGCCGGGGAGTGGCGTGGTGCTTTGAGTCCACTGCTTCCCTGCCGAGCGCAGCCGCATGCCATTCGACGGAGAGCGCTGACTTCTTCTATTGAAAATTTGGACTATTAACAACAACCCGTGAGTAATTGGGAAACCGGGTTCAAAATTTTGGATTTGGCACGAGCGGGGGCGTTTTATAAAGGAAGTCAATCCCCCCCCCTAGTGTAAGCATTCCAAAACAAGGACTGGGTAACCAAGGTCCAAAGGGAAGTATGTCTCTGATAAAAATCATTAATTTCACGATGGGAAATTATAAGAAATGTGCTGGAGGAGAAGAGTGGAGGGTGAGAAGAAAATGCAACCCCCCCCCTGGGAACCGGGGCGATTCGTGGAGCCTGGTGAAGAGAGACGGAGACTTTGACAGCTGTCAAAGTGGCTGTCAAAGCTGGAGAATATAAAGAGGACTTTATGAGGACCTTGCTGGTTAATTTTGTTACAATTTGCTATAATATGGATATAAACTGTTGGAAAATAAGCAACAATTTGACTTTTGGATTAGAGGATACAAAGTTATTACAATCCCCTAGAGGGGTTTCGGGATACTACAAGAACGGTCGTAAGTGGAAAAATACCCTGGGATTCGCACAGGATTTGTTATCTTCTGGGAAAGCTGCAAAACTGAAAGAGTATTTTGTCTACAGAGGAAGACAATGGAATTTTTTATTGAAGAAAGAAAGGGACTGGACGTAAGTTTTTGTTCCTGAATAACAAACCTCTGCAGAGACACTAGATTTCTGAATTAGAAAGTTTTAGCAGCTGAACAGGACAAGAAACCTGAGAAAGTGAGGAATAAGAAGAATAAAGGACTGATTACGACACGGAAAGAACAACGGGAGGAGTGGTAAAGATCAAGGAAATTAAAGGCCTTTGTTAGATTGGACATTTGAAGTCAAATATTATTTAAATTAATAAACTAAAAGAAAACCGGCAAGATGGAATCGGGAGAAATCTGGTCATGAAATGAGACTTCCAAGCTGATAATGTATAGACTGATGGACATGGGGAATTCAAACCGGGGAAGGGGGGGGGGGAGATTTGAAATCCAAAGGCTGTGTAACCATTTTTTGAATTTTTCTATATCTCTTATTTTCTATTTCTTTACATAACTTACGCATGTTATTTTACTTTGATCGGACGTGTTTAAAAAAAAGGGAATTTGTGGAAGGAACTGGGGTGGATCTTGGGGAAAATCTTTTTTCTTTTTCTGTTAATGATGTGGGACGGTGGTAAGATTTGTACAATTCAATCTGGATAGTGGGTTAAACAAATTAAGCTTTAAATTGGGAGTGAGAGCTTGTAGAACCAAATTAAGGAAAGGGGAATACAATTGTGGGGGGGGGAGTCCCAGAAAGTAGGGAATGAAAGTAAGGTTTTTAAATATCTTTTTTCTTTTGTCTTTTTTCTTTGTATTTTTATATTTTTGGAAACTTTAATAAATATGATTTAAAAAAAAAAAAAAATCTTCCACACAGAGGTCATTATCCAGACTAATTATTTTGCTACTGAGACAATGTATCTAATTGCATCCCATAGGGAACAATGGAACTCCAGTTCAATTCTCACAATACTGAACATGATGAAGTCACATAAGCTCATTCTTACCGTGTCAGTTTTCTATGGCACATCCTTTGTTTGAATATTTGTCTTTATTATTTGATGAAAGCTAGTATATTTATCCTTTCTGGTGAATTCTTAATAACTAGAGCTCACATGAATGTGTTATAAATAGATAGCAGTTTTGAGAGCTTATAAAAAGAAAATACTCATCATACAGAATTAATGTGGCAATTTCAATTGTATCTTTGAAAGTGGGCTTTAGTCTTATGGTCATGTGAATGTGCATGCAGTTGCAAACACACTTGTGATGACTGAAGACATGGGCATTTACCAACCTGATCTGCTCAAAACAATGGTACTTTACCTCACACATAAAATATATATTTACAATTTTTATTTAAAATGGCATTTCAACAAAGAATGTGACATTTTGAAACCTCCATTTAAACAGCAATCTTATCCTAAATATTTATATCTGTATATTTTTTAGTCTGCCTAGCACATGGCTGAAAGAACACAGTTCCATCATAGGGTGCAGTTCATATTCCATCCCAGTCTATGACAAAGCTTCTATTGGTTTTAGCACTTACATTTCAACTTTTAATGCTCATTTCTTTTCTTTACCTGCATTGTCTAGCCAGCTTATTTTTATCCCCCTCATAAGTCGAGACTACTCGCATACTCCTGCAAGGTCACTGCAACTTTGCTAATGGTCTTTGGGCCAGGAGAAAGTATATAGACTGCTTTAGGGTCCCAATCCCACTCAGGGACTGCCGAAATCACACTACTAGAATACAAGTAGTACGATAAAGTACAGATAATTATTCCAGTCTTCGTAGCTGCATAAGAGAAGGGACATATTCACGAACAAAGGGAACAAGTGGGAGATTCTCCTTAGCTTTGATCATGGTGCCACATTTCCAATGCACAGAAACAGATCTTTGTTCATAGCCATGGCTCTCAGGATACCCATTGACAAATAGCTTTCAGAACAGCAAAGTGAAGATGGGACGGCAGTTCTTTCCATAGACTTTTCACAGAAGTAGTTGATTAAGACGGGTCATCCGCTCTTTCCGGCAGGTGTCACTGCAGTTTGTTGGAACCACCGGTGAGTTTCAAAGAGCAGGTATGGTAATGAGGAGAGCGAAAAAGCATACAGGGACACTTTTAAAAGCTCTCCCCTAGGGCTGGGCCGATGGCCTGGTGGATAGCGCTTTGCCTTGAACTGATTATCAACGGTATTATCTTAGTTTTCTCAACTCATTCATTCTGTTGCAGCCTTTATCTTTATTCTTCCTTTGCTTCTGATGAAAAAAAAAAAAAACTTTTTGTACAATGGATGCTTTATATTTCATATTAAAATAGTACTTTCTTTTTTTCTATGTGCCAACCCTGGTATCTTGACGGCAAAAAAAAAAGTTTCACCTCATTTATCGTTATGTCAAGTCAAGACTTCTTTTCTTCGCTCATTATTTCACAAGAGTTGAGTCTTTGCAATATGAAAGTGCTGCAGGAGTGCACGCCGGGCGGAGGAATAAGGATCTCATTCCAAGATAAGGCCATTGTCTTCACTGAGCAAATAAACTTTAATGTGATACAATAGAAAAGCAGAGGAAACCAAAGGGAGACTTCAAGCTGACATCGCGTGGGAGGATTTTCAAGAAGTTAGATTTTCCTCTGTTTATTTATTAAACTTCATCTAAGTAAAGGTGCCTTTGGCTCCACATGTACTTTTAACATCTGCATGTCATCCAGACATTCTACGGTACAGATGAAACAAACAGGACTTTTCCCCTTTTCTGAACAAAGGATCCATTTTTGGATCCTTTGAGGCCATCTTGATAGTTTCTCCCCCCTTGAGGACTTCTCCTTGATTATTATTATTTTTTGTCTAACTTGCGTTTCTTAGTTCCTGATGAAATGTTGGGTGACATCATTTGAGCCAGCTGCATGATAGCACCAGCCATTCAGAACTTCTATTTCAGTATGTTTCACACAGTTGCTGGTCTTTCTTTGTTCCTCTTTCTGTGAACATTTCTATTTGGATCATTTTGTTCAGTAATTGCTAATGAAAATTCAATCCACAAAGCTGGCAGAAGCAGAGAGAAGTTTATATCTGGGTTCAGACCATTTCAGTCAGCTAATTTTGACAGGAATAATCTGCTGTGTCTGCTTAATCTAGTTCTAAATCTATGATTACGCACATAGGGGAGTCATTAATCATTCCAATAGGAAGCCCATGAATAGATATCATGAACAGACATTAGAAATGAATAGCATGTACTTATAAGATAATACAGTATATGTAACTTGCCAATATAGGTGTGAGGTGTATTTTTTTAAAAGGGACAAGTGAAGCCCATTTGAACATTGGTAGTAACTGGCTCCCAGATATGGACTTTAATCTTCAACAGTGACAGAAAGGTAACTGAGTCAATATTTGAGACTCCCAATGAGTTTTGAATAAAACTCCTTCTTCAGGGTTGATAATTATCATCAAAACAAATCTTCTCTTTGAGCAGGTAAATTTTAATGAAAGTCATTTTTGATTCATTCATTTTTGATACACCCTCTTACATTATTTCATACATTAAAAAACTACATAAGTAGGGCTCCAGGCTTTCTGCTCCAAGCCCTACAGTTTTCTTTTTCTTCTGTTTAACTGTGAATTTTGAAGTGAAAGTAGTCAAGTGGCCATACCATTTGTTTGCTAGCCTGGATGTGGCCTGATAATCTATTTTAGGTTACAGAATGGCCACTCAACACTTCACCTGATGGGACTGGAGGTTCCCACTTTTTACAGAGTCATGCACTTGGACTGAGGTTACTCCTGAGGCATATCTCAGACATTTGTTAGCTTCCAGTGCTCCTCTCTTTATCTTTATATGGTAAAAATGTACAGAGAATAATATAATATAATCTTGCCTCCTCCCCACCCAGCAATTTTCTTGGAAGTAGGTGATCCTATACCTAATCCTTTTACAGTCAGCAATGTTTCAAAACATTTAGGTTCACTGGGTGAGTTTTAACTTGCAGAATGACACCAGTCTATGGTATATGAGTCCAGGGATCCTATATGCTAATAGGAAACATGTTCTTTAAGTGTGGATCCCTACATAGCCAAAACAGCAGTAGACGTACAAAAGAGAGGGGCACCCACAGGCTTGGGAGAACACTAAAGGTAGAAGAAGTACAAAAAACATTTAGAAAAGTTATGTCAGGATAGATTCCCAAAGCAGCCCAGTGAAGAATGAACATGTTGAGTGGATACAGAATGCTGGCTGACTGGTGGGGTGGGTGGAGAAAATGGAGGACGGAAAATGAAATTAAGTATCCTGCAAACGAGCGCGGCCGGCACCATGAATAGGAGCACTTTGATATGTTAATATTTTCAACAAGTCCCTCTTGTGTATTTTAATTGCTAATCTTTAGAGAGATAGGAAAAGCTGAAATAGAGCAGACCTCATAAAAAAAACACAAAAAAGTTTTAAAATACTTCTGTCTCTATGTCTAGCTCTACACTGATGGCACTATGCTGAGCTGATTCTAAAACATATAAATGGATAGGATTCAGATATACACATGACAGAACAACAGTTCTCCAGAGATGGGGTGAAATACAACATTTTCATGCAGAAGAAGATTCCTTTTTCACATTGTTCCTAGGAAATGTAAGGATTAGGTCGGAGCCAAACAGTACAAATTGAGAGCATTTGCAGATGACTTAGTACTGACGTTACAGGAGCCAGAATCTAGTACCAAAAGGGTTCTAGAACTGATTCAAGAATTTGGTCAAGTTGCAGGGTTTAAATTGAATAAGTTAAAAACTAAGGTTTTAGAGAAAAATTTAACACCAATGGAGAGAGAGAGGTTTCAGAATGAGACAGGTTTAACAGTGGTTAAGAAAGTTAAATACCTGGGGATTAACATGACAGCAAAAATGGGAATTTATTTAAAGATAACTATGAAAAATGTTGGGCTGAAGTGAAAAAGATTTAGAAATTTGGTCAAATTTGAAGCTTTCACTGCTGGGCCGTATTGCTGCGGTACAAATGAATGTATTGCCTAGAATGTTGTTTTTGTTTCAAACATTGCAAATTGTGGACAAAATGGACTGTTTCAAGAGGTGGCAGAGAGATATTTCTAGATTTGTCTGGCAGGGCAAGAAGCCCAGAATAAAATTTAAAATACTAACAGATGCAAAGGAAAGAGGTGGATTTGCCCTGCCAGACCTCAAACTTTATTATGAATCAGCAGCTTTTTGCTGGTTGAAAGAATGGCTGCTTCTTGAAAACACTGACATTTTGGATTTAGAAGGTTTTAACAATGTATTTGGATGGCATGCATATCTGTGGTACGATAAGGTCAAAGCACATAAAGCATTTAAAAACCATATTGTCAGGAAAGCATTGTTTAATGTCTGGATAAGATATAAGGATTTATTGGAAAATAAAAGCCTAGGTGGCTGTCACCGATGGAAGTGAAAGCTCTGAAAAAGCTCAATATGGAGGTCAATTGGCCGAAATATTGGGAAATTTTGGAACAAGATGGAGATAGATTGAAACTGCAGAGTTTTGAAAAATTAAAAAACAAAGTGCGAGACTGGCTTCATTATTATCAGATAATGGAGGCATACAATTTGGACAAGAAAATCAGCTTCCAGGTGGAAAAATCAAAATTAGAAATAGAATTGTTAGAACCCAAAACTAAGATTTTGTCAAAGATGTATAACTTGCTGTTGAAATGGAATACTCAGGATGAAACGGTGAAATCTGCTATGATTAAATGGGCACAAGACGTTGGACATAACATAATGATGGCTGACTGGGAACAGTTGTGGACCACAGGTATGAAGTTTACGGCATGTAATGCCTTAAGAGAGAATATTATGAAAATGATATACAGGTGGTACATAACCCCAGTCAAGCTTGCAAAAATCTACCATTTGCCCGATAATAAATGTTGGAAATGTAAAGAAACCGAAGGTACATTCTTTCACTTTTGGTGGACGTGCCCAAGGATTAAGGTTTTCTGGGAGATGATTTATAATGAATTAAAAAAGGTATTTAAATATACCTTCTTGAAGAAACCAGAGGCCTTTCTCCTGGGCATAGTCGGCCAATTGGTGTTAAAGAAGGACAGAACTTTCTTTATGTATGCTACAACAGCAGCAAGAATACTTATTGCAAAGCATTGGAAGACACAAGACTTACCCACACTGGAGGAATGGCAGATGAAATTGATGGACTACATGGAATTGGCGGAAATGACTGGTAGAATCCGAGACCAGGGAGAAGAGTCGGTGGAAGAAGATTGGAAGAAATTTAAAGACTATTTACAGAAATATTGCAAAATTAATGAATGTTAGAATGATGTTGGATTGAAGTTAAGTGGTTTCTAGCTGTACTGGTATAAAAGAATATGGAAAAATTGGTTTTTAATACGTAAAAATTTAATGTTATAATATATCAAGAGTAAAGATCAGGATTAAAAAGGAGGGAAAGGAATTGCTGGACTAACAAATTGAATTGGAATACAAAAGAGGGAGGTATGAGGAGGTCCGGGAAACAAGTAAACGTAAGAGAAGCGATGAAAAGATGGAATTGTTTTTAACTGTTTTTTCTTTTTTGTACTTTGTATTTTTCTTTCTTTATTGTTATTTTTCTTATTAATGTAATCTTTTTCTTCTGAAATTTTAATAAATATTATTTTTTTTAAAAAAGGAAATGTAAGGATTAGCTTCTAACCCAATTCACTTCAAGGAGCCTGAACTAATTTAAAATGCCAATTTAGGAGCAGCCAATCTCACCAGACTTCCACAGTCAGGTAGGAAATAACAATACTATCTTTAAAGCTAGAAATTCATTTAAGGTGTTAATAATGGGTATAACTTTATAAGATTAAAAACAGTATACTTGCCTAATTTACCACTTTACTATCGAAGGTACAAATGGGTATTAAGATAAGGGAAGAGTATATATCTGGGCAAACAATGTCCATTTGCATTTAACAAGCAAAGTTTTTGTCCACATTGTCCGGAATCAATTCAGGAGCCAGCTGTATCAGTTGCACATCTCTAATAAGCATGATGAACCTATGAATTTGTTGTGAAATATAGGTTCATTATTATGGCAACTGTTTACACATGGCAGTATCACATGAAAGTCACTGGTTCTGTGTAGCATCCACAAATGTGCTCAAAAATGAGTAGATGATTTCACCATGGCAGTTAAACTTTCCTCTTGGAACATTTTCATTGGTATGGCAAGAAAAAACTGCTTCCCTTATCCATTTGATGAGCTTCTGAACAAAACTGCCTTGCTTTGTGATATCAGGCACCATATACAGTGGTACCTCGGTTTTCCAGCGTCTCGGAAGCATAATGTTTTGGTTTTCACTGAAATCCCGGAAGTGAATGATTCCATTTTTGAACGCGCCTCAGAAGTCGAACGGCTTCCGAGGCATGTTTCTCAATTTTCTCAATTGCATTTGCTGACTGCCCATTGCGCTTTGGTTGTCAAATGTTTCAGAAGTCGAATGGTCTTCTGGAGTGGATTACGTTTGACAACCAAGGTACCATTGTAGAATGACTACAGTAGCTTCCACATGACAGCCATAAAATGTAAACCAGCCCTGAGTCAAACTGCAGAAGGATTAGGTTTCAATAAGGATTCTTTTGGACAGGAAGAACTTGAATGTGTGAATCATATAATTCCTCAAGATGATGACGTTCCCTCATGTTTTTAGCATAAAGTGATTGGGGGAAATTGCAACCTGATTCTTAAGCTATACGATTACAAAGGTGGGTCTTGCTTAGTAGTTTTACCTCAGGCAGCAGCGATAAATATGAATCAATAGACAGCATGGTGGAATGCTGACACTCACCTGACCTTTGGTTTATTGCACCACTGCTACTTCCTGGGAGATTTAGAAGGAGGAGTGAGATGGGAGTGAGGTCAGTATATTGCAAATGTAATGGCAGGAGCACCAGATTGGCTCAACTGTTTCTGTCTCCCCCTCTCCCTCTACCTTCCGGTAAGCAGCAGCAACACAGTGGCATCCCACTGTATTGTCTGCTAATGATAGGAATACTGTTCCTTCTTCATAGTTGTCTTCTCCTTCCCCTTTACAGGGACATCTCCTTATATTTTACCTCTTTCAAATGACCTTGAGAATGTCTCAGTGTAGTATCATATGCACACTACTTAATAGCGTTTCACTCCAGTTCTGACCATGTCTATTCAAATGTAAATCTAATTTTTAAAAATGGATTTACTCCACAGTGTGTGCAGGATTGCAACCTCAGTTCCTTGGTTTTTCCCTTTGGCATAAATTCTGTTGCCAAGCTAGGGTTTTATTGTGAAAAATAAAAATCCTCTTTTTACTGATAGGTGAAATTGACCTTCACACATGAAGGCAAATTGGAATACATTCCATGAAACATTTTTTATTACTCCTCTTCTCTAGTTCCTCAGTACTAAATAACTTTGTGGCTCTAATATCTTTTATTTAAGAAGTGTGTCTGTTCCATTCATTTAAATTATTCATAACAAGCCATTGGTTTCGTAAAGTAAAAGCAACATTTTTTTTTAAAAAAAAATCTAAGCACATAATTAACACTCAAATTCTGATACATTGGCTTATTTTAACATATTACAGAATCACAGCCTTCATTCTCTGTAAATGCAGAAAAATCTTAACACACTTAAAGATGCAGTGATTTGACATTTGTCACTGAAATGTGACTATTACACAAAATTAAATGAGACATCCTACATGTATTTTCAAAGCATAACTTTCTTCTGTGTAGTACAAAAAAGACCCTCCTCTCTGTTACTGTAGTTGATAGGCAGAGATTGACTTTAAAAGCTTGAAATTAGCTTTGAGGACTTGGACGATCTTTTAAACTGCTTATACTTTCATCTGCATTTTTGTATGTTGTTTGAGCTGTGAATCAATTAGTGAATTTCTGATCAATACTCTCTGATTCATTCATTTATAGAGACCCTGTTCCAGAGAAAAGAACCACTCTACCATAGAGAACTGCTGTTATATCTCTGAACCGTCCCAATGAAGCCTGTGCCACCTTGGAGATCCTTTATTTACTAAGTCCTCATGAAAATTCACCAGCTTTTTAGCACAAATGTATCCTGATAGACCCATTTTTGCAAAGCAATGTCCCCCCAATACAATGCATTTGTGCATATTATTTTCACTAATATATGCTTTTTGATGCTTATTTTACCCTACTGTTTGCATTTTTGTACACATTATTTGATTGGACAACCGCATTGCAAAATTCAGAGTGTGAATTTTGAAGGATTTCAGTTATTGTACCGTTTTGAATTACTTAGGTTTGCCTTTAAATAGTAACTGAGTGGAATTTCTTCTCCATCCCTAGTCCAAGAAGTTGGACTGTTTATTTCTAAGGTTAGTAAAGGTCTCCAGCTGTACAAAGTTGTACCATTTTGTATATAATATAGTTTTCAAAAAGTACAAGATGACAAATAGAAAATGATGGCCCAACATTATATTTTAATGTGTCATTCCAAAATAATGTAAAGATTGATACTTTCCGTATAAACATATTTTTCATAGTATGTGAAGGGCACCTCAGAGAAGTATTACATCGTTTTTGACATAAATTTATTCCAAACTCTGTAAACTTTAATACAGGAAGTAAAGCAGATCACTTTCCATAACATGTAATACACATTTTATCTGCTATTAATTCATTACTGCTTTTGCGTCAGACTTACCAACCACCAGAATATAATGTTCAGTATTCTCCTATGCATGTCTACTCAGAAGTATGCAGTATTGAACTCAATGGGACTGACTTCCGAGTAGACATTTATTTACTTATTCCCATTTAGGAATCATTTCCTGTGAAACATCTCAAAGTAATTGAACAATAGAAACATCAGTAATAGAAATATATGTAAAACAATTTGATATATAAAAAACAAATTCAAACAATTTCCTATAAAGACAATTTCAAACCCAACAGGTTATATTCAGTGCTGCTGTTCTGCTAGTACAGCAGATTTCTGTCTGTGAAACCAAACTTTCCCCTCCTTCTTTCCCCTACAGAGCTTACTGCCCCAACCCCCAAAATCTGTTCCAGAGGACTGAAGGATCCTCCAGAGCAGATTTTGAGGGCACCTGAGAAAGGAGAGAGGGGGAAATCGCACTGCGTTGCACTGGATGCAACCCAGAGCAAATACAGCCTAGAATAAAAAAATCTCCACTTAAAAGAGCAGTTGAAAAAGGACAAGCATAGGATTGTGCTGTTAGTTTTCCACACTGCCAGCAAAGATTTCAAGTCTTATTCCACCAGAATCAGTGGATTTGCTAAGCTGCTTAAAATCAAACCTTCAATTATGCTTCTTGCTCAGTTATAGTTATAGCCTCCTTAGCTATATGATAGTGCACATGTTCTGAAGTATTTGCCACAAAGGAAAAAGAAGAAGTTGTATTGCTTACCAGCTTGCTGGTCAAATGACAGGATATAAGAAAGCTGCAAAAGAAGAAGAAAAATGGACATGTATAAAGCCAACTAAGTCAGATTTTAGGCACTGCCTGGGAAGTCCTTTTAATAAAGCTGCTCCATTTGGAAATTGGATTATCCTAAACCCTTCCTTGTTACCCAAAGCAAATGCATTTGAACAATACAGACGGTAATATTGTGCAGTTTTCAAGGACGAAGTTGCACATTTATTTATTTAAAATCGTCTCTATGCAGCTTTCTCTTAACAATTTTAAAAGCAGCTCACAAACTCAACAAATGCTTTATGTTTTGTGGAGAATCTCTGCTGGACAATGGATAGATCATTTCAGAGGGGAGAAGAGAGATAGATTTAGATTTCTAGGACTCCACTTCTCTGAAATGCTTTATAGTCCTTCCCATAAATCCTATTTACTAATAGTGAACTCATTCTTTGAGTGCTGATTAATTCAAAATGACACTATCCACAAACAAGGGGAAAGTATCAGCACTAGATCTGGGGAGAACTGCTAAGCCAGGTATAATAAATACATACACAAATGAAATAAATGCAATCAATCAATCAATCAATCAATCAATCAATAAATACACAAATGCAACTTTAAGGAAAACACCTTAAGGAGGGGAAGAGCCATATAACTACAGTTTCCAGGGGGCCTTATGAGAAGAAATAACTATTGGGCTTGTTTTACTCTGTGTTATAGTAAAGGTAAAGGGACCCCTGACCATTAGGTCCAGTCATGACCCACTCTGGGGTTGCGGCACTCATCTCGCTTTATTGGCCGAGGGAGCTGGCGTACAGCTTCCAGGTCATGTGGCCAGCATGACTAAGCCACTTCTGGCGAGCCAGAGCAGCGCACAGAACCGCCATTTACCTTCCCGCCAGAGTGGTACCTATTTATCTACTTGCACTTTGATGTGCTTTCGAACTGCTAGGTGGGCAGGTGCTGGGACCGAGCAACAGGACCTCACCCTGTTGCGGGGATTCAAACCACCAACCTTCTGATCGGCAAGCCCTATAGGCTCTGTGATTTAGACCACAGCACCACCCGAGTCCATGTTAAAGCCACCTAGAATGCTTAACTGCGCAAGTTAAGACACCCACCACTTGCTTGCTACTCTTGTATATAAATTCAGCACGCTACTGAATATATATAACCAGTATTTTACTATTGAACTACAAGCTAGTACATATGCCACCATTTAAAGCCTGCAATCTTTCATTTGCTTGTCCATTTCTTTTTTGCTTGTTATGTTCTACGTAGCCAGAAGAGGGAGGGCTTGTCTTTCAAAGTTTGGAAGGAAACGGAAAAATAGGTACTGATACTGTATTTCACAAAACCAATTGTTTCTGCTATCCAGCGTAGCTAGATACTGCATTTTTATTAAGGGACAAATATACTAAATACCATAATTGTGTATAATTTTGTATAATATACATGCTAATTCTGTAATCAGCTGAGACAATATTCATTTTGAAGTTTGAGAGACTTTTGGGAGCTTTATTTTAATGCACTATTTCAGGAAACCAATGACAAAAACACTTAATTCAAAAATGCAAGAAACAACTGTTTTTAGAATCATTTTGATATTGGAATTTTATTTGAAAAATGGTTGCAGTTCAAAATGTCAAAACTTGGAATTATCTTAATTTCACCTGACAACATGTGGGACGTTTTCCAAAGTACAGTGTTGCTCACGTAAAAGAAGCCAAAGATTACAGAGAATAATTTGTACCCTAGAGAGTTTGGTGTATTTTTGTTTGAAAGAGCCTGGAGGACGCAGGTAATGAAAAATAACAATACTCCGGGCACCTGGAATTTGGTGCTATTTCATTCATTCATTCAGTATATTTCTATCTTACTCCTCAATTCTAAAAATGTGCAAGGTGGCTAATGGGCCCCCTCAAGCTGGAATGCGTGTGACATAGAGACTCAAGATGCCTCTGACCTCTATGGCTGCACAAACACCATGCAGATTCCTGCCTCCCCCCCAAAAAAATATCCTGGGAATTGTAGTTTACAACTCACAGGGCTAGAGTTCTCAGCACACTTAAACTACAGTTCCCAGGATTCTTGGGCTAGGTGTGCTTTAAATGTGCATTAAATGTACAGTGGATGTACAGCCTTGTGCTGCTTGCCCAGTTAGATTATGGCTATGCTGGTAGAAAATTGGTCTCTTTGCTTGTTTTGGGGTCCTGGTAAATGCTCAAGTTTTCCATGTTCTGGATCAGGCCATAACATACAATGAAAGCAGCAAAATTAAGAGTTGTGTGCTGTAACACATTCACCTGTAGTCGTGCAATCAAATTCCCCTAGTATGCGTCATTTCAGTCAGGAACTACGGTGGCACCTCGGGTTACAGATGCTTCAGGTTACAGACACTTCAGGTTACAGACTCCGCTAACCCAGAAATAGTACCTCGGTTTAAGAACTTTCCTTCAGGATGAGAACAGAAATCGTGCGGCGGCGGCGGGAGGCGCCATTAGCTAAAGTGGTACCTCAAGTTAAGAACAGTTTCAGGTTAAGAACGGACCTCCCGAACGAATTAAGTTCTTAACCCAAGGTACCACTGTATAAGAGATGAAACCCGAAAAGTGCTTAAAAGTCTGTCATACAAAGCAAAGAGAAAATGCATTTTCATAGCAACTGAGGAAAAGAAAAATGGAAGTAAGTTTCACCACAAACATTTCCAACCTTTTCATATTTATAAACTGCTTAAATAAAAACAACAATTCCACAGTACTGGGGAACAATAGGAGAGAATGGCAAAACTGTAGGTATTTCCAGAGGGATAGCCATGTTGGTCCTCCCCCCCCCCCCCGGCTGTTGGCATTAAAATAAAACTTGCTTTGTCATTCAAACACAAGTTCCTACCCACAGAAGTGGCTCAGCAGATGGGGGGGAGAGCTGCTATATCAGCTTCCCAGAAGGTGTGTTGCTGTTGCTTATGGGGAGGTAGCAAGGAAGTTGCCATGGTGCAAACACATTGGCAGGGCCATTCCAGGGTTCCTGCTGGTGCCTTTGCACCATGCTAGCCTCCCTGCTGCCTCTCCTCCCTTTAAGCAGCAGTGTTAGGAAGCTAGCATAGCAATTATACCCCACCCCATGAGCCACTTCTGCCTGCCTAATATACATAATTTTTAACACATTATTTCATCCTGCAGATGCTGCAGTAACATTACAGTGCAGCCTTGAGCACCGAAGCACCTTTTTCCTGCTTTGCTCAACAATTTTAAGGCTTAGAGACTTACTTTGGGGGTGACAAAGAAGCTGAAGAATCAGAAAATTACATAAAAATATTGTAGAATTCAAAACAGAGCGAAACATTTATTTTTTTAAAAAATATCCTGTAAGTAGTAGCACCTCCAGGTTTAAGGTTCTCTCTCTCACCCTATCCCAAAGTCAGACCATTTAATTTCATTTTACGGCAAGAATTTACACCCTTTTGCACCATTTTAGCTGAGCTTGCGTACTTTCATTTAGACAGGGACAGCAAAGCCTGTTGGGTTACAGCTCAAGAGGCAGGCCTTCCGATGAGCCTGACACAAGATTTCTGCATCATCAAACCTTTTGCTATCTGTGCTGAGAATGCAGGTTATGCAGCTCGACTTAAAGCTTATGGAAGCCCATTAAGACTCTTTAGCTGTAAGGGAACTCTCATGCTTCAGGGCATATGCTGATTGCCTTCAGGGGTCAGAAAGAATTTTTCCCTCTATAAGAGATCAGTGCAACATTTGCTAATGTATCTAGCTAAGACATTTTGCAATCCTGTAGCTTCAGGCAGACCCAGACCCATCCTGTAAAAAGAGCATATTGGGTTTCCTTGATCAATGAACAATGCTGAATTGGCAACTTGCTTCCCCCCTCTAGAGACTAATAGGTTACAATGCAGCAGAACAGAAGACATTTTCTCGCATGCACGGAACAGATGCCTGGCGATCATTTTAAAGAGCAAACTCCTTTTGTAAATGTTTGCAGCCAACTCTTAAGCAGTTCTACTCAGAAGTAAGTTCTAAGTTCAGGGCTTAGTTCCTAATAAGTATACATAGTGCCAATTGTGTGCAGGCTAAACATGTGTCTGTCATGTTCGCATAGCAAGTTTTTGTGTGTGTATGTCTACACTTAACAGAAAAGAAAGCATGTAAGGAAAGGAGCAAAACCTGCCTCCTTTTCCTCTGCTGTACCTCATTGCACCAACTTTTAGCCTTATTCTACATGCTTGCAACACCACCTCTAGTGTCAGAGCCAAGCTGGTCAAAAACTGCTTAAAAGCAGAGAAATAAGAGAGGAGATGGTTCTAGATTCTGCTCTCCTCCACAACTGTGTAAAGAGTTAGACTCCAACTGCTGCTTTATATCTGCTACATTCCCCACACATCTGGCTTGGTCCTGAGGAAACTTGACATTGTTAATGCCCTGTGTGTACTATAACCTTTAACCCCAGGACTTAAACCTATGACTTTTCTTGTATTAAATGTTAAGAACTGCTGGTACTGTCATAAATACATTCAGGCTATATACTTCCTTAATTCAGCAATGGCAACATCAATATTATTTAGTCAGTCACTGCATTCTCTTGGAGGAGTAGTTGGGTGGGGCTGAAACTGGGTGGATCAAATGCAAACCCTCTCCTCCCCCCACTCTCCCTATCCCACCACCACCCATTAAGTCAAACACCTATCCTCTCTCTCCCATGCTTTCAGGCACAAACACACAGAATATATACACACACTGTTGAGATTTCCATTCCACCTTAAGGAGCAGACATGCAACTGTTGTGTGTCATATGTCTGCTTACATTCCAGCACGGTATGCTGGGAACTTCCGTTGTGTGTACAGCTTTTGCTTTTTTTCCTTTCTCTCTGAGAAGACAAAGAGAGATGAAATGTTTCTTTGTCCTGATTTATGATTAATAAATCCGTAGTTGTAGTATGCTTCAACAAGCCTTACACCTATTCTGTGTGCACAGTTCACTCTGCTGAAATAGTGTGCCCTGGCTTTGAAGCCCGGGTCGCTGATTTACATCTGAGCAGAGGCTGATGGGTCTTTGCAGTGGGACAGCTGGAAGGAGATGACTCAGCTGGGGCTAGCCAGCTGGCCTTGCAACCCTCTGAATGCTTACACACACACACACACACACACACACACACACACACACAAAATGACCCAGTTCACCTATCATCCATTCATTTTCTCTCTCATTCCCCTCCTCTCTTACATGCACCCCTAAGTCAACCTGCCCACACAGTCATTGTTTACTGCCTTCTAGACGGAACTTTCAACACAACCCTACCAAGAACATGTCACACACCTACTCCTAGATCACAAGGTCCCCCAGCACACAACAACATTTAATATCTGAGTTACATTGGCAACAGATGTTTTCTCACATCTTATTTGGAAAGGGCCTCTATGGCCAAGAATATAGTCAGCTTACAACATATTTGCCATCAAGTGATCACAACACATTCCCGGCAGGATTTATTCCAAGAAGTTCATATTACATTAATTACAATGAAACATCATGTTTTATTAAAAACTATCCCGCTGCATATTCTGCTGTGCTCTTTCTCTGTGATTACTTTGCATTTTAGCAACATTAATTGATCTTTTTCAGTAAGAAAAATCTGTACTTCCATGAATGTTGAATTCCAGACAGTGGTTGATCAACTTTTTGGACAGGAGTAAACAAAATATGTAAGATGCACCTTGTAAAGCAAGTAGCAGCCCACAATTTGCATAATTTATTGTAGGTGGCATTCACAGATACGGATTTTGTTTTGAGGAAGAAAGAAAACATGGAAGAAGCAGGAACAGAAAATGCTAAAGCTGGAAAATATGTTTACTAATTTTACATTTTTCAAGTGCTGTGTCCCTTTTCCAACCTTTTCCATGTTTCCACTGGATTAGGAACATATTTTCCCAATAATGTTCTGATAAATATTAAATCCATAAAATTCTGCTATGTATTTTGCTTGGTTGCTGATCTAAAGCTCAGCTTTATGAGCAGTCTGATATTCTTCTGACATGAATTCATCAATCCATATTAAATAAGTTCTTTAAATAGATATACTTACACAAACAGTTGCTCTTCCAACAAAGACAATGAGGGGAAAAATCGACAGACAGACAAAAGAGTTAACCATCCTTATTTTCACACGGCTTTCACCCCCTTTTTGTGAACAAGCTTTTCGTTCTTTCCAATTCCCCCCCTGTTAAGTCAATCTAAATAGTTAGAGAACAGGTTTATGCCTTGCAAATTATTAACTACGTTTTCCATTTTGATTATCCTGATCCAAGAAGTACTATTGCTAGAGAGTTTCCCAATCTGAGCTTTCTCTATGGCATATATTAAGGGACAATGCAGCTGTTTATTTATCAACCTTTATTCTTTTTCATCTGGATTTATCACTAGTTTCAGTCATCTGACTCCTACAGTGGGAGATGTAGCAGGTCCACAGTAAGATGTAAGAGTTGCTTCAAGTCTTCATTTTTCTTTGGGGAGCTAAATGTCCTTGCTGTCTAAGGTCGTAACCCAACCAAAATTAAGCACATATTTTATTAAGTTATTGTTTTTAAGGCTGCAATCCTACAGCCAGCTGATATAATGAAGAAACATTATTTATTAATTATTTCTATTTATAACTCACCCTTCACAAAATGGCCCCAGGGTGGAGCACATACACCATCAAAACAACCATTAAGACATTATTCCAAAATAAAAAGAAATGGGATGAGTGCAGCTCTGCTGGCAGAGAGGCAAATCCAAGTTTAGGATGACAGCTACACCGCCAGGGTGTCCCCCACCACACCCAAATGCCTGAAAAGAACTCTACAAGTATACATGTCCCTCTGCTGGTGGTGAGCATACTGGGGCATTCCAGGGAAGTGGGTATGTCAGGTGTGGTGGCAGATCCACCGGATCCAACTCCCTTCCCAATTTCCTGGTATACCCATAAAATTGGCCAAGAACTCATTAACACCCCTTCCTCCCAAGTCAATGGGAAGAGAAATGAAAAATCCCATTCGCCCTGCCCTGGCTGCAGCAAGTAGGCAGACTGATGGGCATGGTGATTCTTCTCCACCACAGAATCTCTCTCCGTCTTCTCATCTCTGCCCCTCATTTAGGGTTGCTTTGCCCAGCATTCACAGCCTACCTTTCTGTTTAGACTAAACTTTCAAAGCTTCATTGTCATACCTACCAAGGTACCAGGGATGAAGCCCCTTTGAACACAATGGGACTTCGGAGTAGATGCATTGAATGATGCACCAGTGAGGTGATGCATTGATATCCATGGGCAAGACTGAAGCAAAGGAGTTAGCATTGCCTGGGCCAATCCCTATTTATTTTGTTTATTGTATTACACTTATCTTTCTCCAATTGATAGGAAATTTGTGGCAGTTTGTACAGAGGCACAACACACCCAACCCTCCTGTGAAGGAAAAACTGCTGCATAAGACGGACAGGTTTAACAAGTACAGTTAGCAGAGGCATTGCTTATAGGCCATCTAAAGTTTAACAAGTCTCTTCTAAACTGCATTCCAACTGTTGCCCTAGCAATCTCCCCTGCCACTACGGTCTAACATCCAGAGAAATACCAAAGATTCCAGGAGCAGTCAAAATGGCTGACAGTGTTGAGGCCACTGGGACAGAGTGGTAGGAAAGCTCTCTTCCAGGGATGTTTGTCCTCATTGTCTCACTGTGAAGAACGAACCCCCCAAATCAGCTACTGAAGAACTCATATTCCTCAGAATATATTATGAGAAACACTGTCAGAGAATGAAGTAATTCTTCTGTAATGTTACAATTCTTGAAACATCCTGATTCAGGCACCGTCAGAGACAGGACACTGGACCATTATGTCAATCCAGTATGCTATATTTATTTTCTTGTATTAATCCATGCACACACATTCATGTGGAGGTGCTCACTGCCAAACAGTGTTTGCAGTCTTACAAAAGTTTCCATAAATAAGGTAACTTTCTCTAGCTAGAAAGACAGGAAGATGAAAGGAATGTAATAAAGCACAGCTTTATGTAATCTGTCCTTGACAAAGATGAGGTGCACTGAATTTTAATAAAGCCCTGATTCATCAAATCTCAAACAGAATTAAAGTGTGGACTGGATCCTAATAACAACCTGCTTTAAACCCATGAAAGATAAATTAAAGGATGCAAAACTGCTATTGACAAACATTGATTATATGTACTTTGAAGGACTTTGAAGTTGTGCCAGATGCATCTTGTCAGCCTCCTAAGTTTTCTTTTAAATCTCATTGCGTAAGGCTTTTACTTTTTAATTATTTCCCCCTACAAAGTCTTTGATCAAGTGAAATATAGATCATATTTGGGTGATGCCACTTCCTTTGCTTTCTATTAAGATGTGCCCTTGTGCATCACTTCAGTGACTTCTTTTCAAAAATAATATAGTACACACTAAACATAATGTTGTGCTGATACTAATATAGTTAAAAATCCTGCTTCTTGTATGTGTGGGCCAAACTGGTCACACTGCACAGATTTGTCTGTACTAGGTTGGGCAAATGTATCATAAATCAGCCTTATGTTAAGGTGGTCGTTGGGCAGTTGATCAGGGGAAATGTTTGATCCTCAAAAATTATTGAGTGAAACTTCCCTGAGTCATGACTAGGATCTATTTACAATCCCAACATACAGTTCTTGTGACTTTGGTAACTAAATATGCAGAGTACAAAATGATATGTGGGAAATTTGTTGTTGTCGTTTAGTCGTGTCCGACTCTTCGTGACTCCATGGACCAGAGCACGCCAGGCACTCCTGTCTTCCACGGCCTCCCGCAGTTTGGTCAAACTCATGCTGGTAGCTTCGAGAACAGTGCCCAACCATCTCGTCCTCTGTCGTCCCCTTCTCCTTGTGCCCTCAATCTTTCCCAACATCAGGGTCTTTTCCTGGGAGTCTTCTCTTCTCATGAGGTGGCCAAAGTATTGCAGCCTCAGCTTCAGGATCTGTCCTCCCAGTGAGCACTCAGGGCTGATTTCCTTAAGAATGGATAGGTTTGATCTTCTTGCAGTCCGAGTCTCTTCCAGCAGCATAATTCAAAAGCATCAATTCTTTGGCGATCAGCCTTCTTTATGGTCCAGCTCTCACTTCCAAACATCACTACTGGGAAAACAATAGCTTTAACTATATGGACCTTTGTCGGCAAGGTGATGTCTCTGCTTTTTAAGACGCTGTTGAAAGAGGTCATGGAATCATAGAACCACTGAGTTGTAGAGTTGGAAGGAACTACAAGGGTAATCTAGACCAACCCTCTTCAGCATAGGAATCGTTTTGTGAAGCATGGGAGTTGAACTCACAACCCTGTGATTAAGGGTCCCATGCTCTACCAACTGAGCTACCCTGCATAGGTATGACCAGGTACCATTTTACATTTCATATCTGAGAAAGTGAGAGAGAAATCAGTCAGTGACTCCCCCTCCCCCATGGCTGTGACTCACTCCATTTCATGCATGCTAGCTACTGAACTACAGCAGTTCCTACAGAAATGTTGTGAATGTCAATGAGGTTTGGATGACAAAACAGCCAAGGTGCCTTTGAAAAATATATACTAATGCATTTGTAAGATCTGTGTGACACAGAAGATCTTTGCAGCTTATGATTTTGTGTAATGCCTTCAACAAACTTTGATACAACTGTAATAGTAGCAGCAGCAGCGGTGGAAATTATGGAATAATATATACTATTGATTTTGAAGTACATATAGAAATGGCAAAATAGAAGTGTTCAAAAGGTAAGTTACATGAGATGTACAAAGACAGTTTCTATACGAGTATCATAACTGCATAGTTTAGTTGAAGATTAGAGGTGATTTTTAAAATTCTGAATTACTGAATCAAAATTTTGTAGGCATTTACCAAATGAAAGTATCAGCTGAATGGAACAGAATGGATAGAAATTCATGTAAAATATTGGAAGGGTTAAAATATTCAGATTTGAAATGGATGACACTTCCTTTTTACTTTGTCCACATTAATTCTCTACTAGAATTCCCTGGGGGAAAAACTGAAAAGTGAAGAGATATTCCTAAGAGGGTTGCAGTTTGTTAAAGGGTTGGAAATGCAGCTTTTCATAATTTTTTAAAAATGTACTTATTTAGGTGTATTTGGGCCCATGAAATTTGCAGAATGATAAACAAACAAGGATTGTGGTGAGGGTGGGGGAATACAGTGAATTTAACAGCTACAATTTTTTCCTGGTCCCCATTTGGGCTAAACAAACAAAATATTCTATAGTATTACTGCATGTGTTTTGTTGAGACATACTTCCTTTGTTTAGCCCACATGAAATAAGTGCCAGTAGATTCCCAACATGGGGCCATGTTGGGCCTATTGCACCCTGTATGTACATGAAAAATGGCAGAAAGTTGCCTCCAGTTAGTGAAGTCTGTTCCTCAAAAAATCTGTGTTCATTTGACTTTCTGCTCAGTTTCAGCTTCATGAAAGCACGACTCTTTTAAGCCCCCCACATCCTGAATGCCTAATCTTGTGGTTCTCTCATATTAGCATCACTTACTTCCACATCATTGTGGAAATCAATATGACAGTGTGGATGAACCCAGTTAACACTCTCAGAATTGATGCTCAGGATCAGACCTCCATTTCATAACACTTACCCTCAAAGGATTACCCATTCCCATAGAATCAGATGCCAGGGACAGAACTAAAAGAAACATCAATAAAAAAACAGAAAATAAACTGTGAGGGAGCCTAATATAGCACAGACCACTATGAATTAAACAACATCCTAGAAATCTTCACACAATAATTGATTTGCTCATTTGTACTTCTCTCTCTTCTTTAATCTTTCAGCAGGGCTCCTCTCTTCCCTCCTTGCTTTTTAAATATTCTGTGTTCATCTGTTGTCTGCAATATTGTTTCTGATCTCTCCCCATTCTATCAGTCATTTGTACACAGAGACTAGTCCACATGCTCTGGTCTCCTTTTCTAATAACTTAAAAAGACACACAAAAAAACTAATCACCTAGACTGAGCCATTCACATTGTTGTAAGAGTCTCTTTGATTTGTTAAACACCTCTGCATAAACTGTTCCTTTCAGAGTACTTGAATGAAAGGAGGGTAAGAATGTGCCACTGTGTTTGCTTAAGATCTATGGAATCAGCTTAAAAAAGAGAGAGGGAGAGAAATGCTATCACAGGAAATGTCTTCTAAATTTACATTGTCAAAAGCCCACCTGGAACCAAATGGCTGCTGGGATTTAGGAACACCCTTTTTTTTTAGTGTCTGTCGCATTGACAGAACAATGTTGCTCCACATCAAGCTGACAGCCAATTTAGACTTGATCCAGGAGCCATACGTACCCACTTAAAAAGTTTACTGCCTGGCATCAATACTGTCATTTCTATCCTGTCCATGCATTTGAGCCTTTGGAATTAAGGCCCCCTTCACCTTGCAGGTGGCTGAAAGGTAATGATGAGCTGAAATTTATGGTTGGAGGCTAGAGCTTACAGAGAGAATTGCCACATACATTGTAAGCTTTTAAATGTTTAAAGTTATCTGCAATCACCTCAATGTTTACTTCTCTGGCCAAATGGTTAGTTCGATCAGATACCTCTGAATTTCCTAGAGGAAACATAAACACAGAACTTCATGATACCTTGGCACCATGTTTGCTCATGTGAAACACTACAAAACCTCCTCTTTTCAACATCCTATCCTCAGGTGTAATCAATTAAATGTGTGGCAAGGAAAACATTACATGTAGACAGCTGCAGTGTTTGGTTTAGATGGACAGACCAATCTGATCTTGGCAAGGGAGGGGGAATCAAAAGTGGATGAACTGCCAAAACTTGTATTTTTGTCCTTGCAAGGGAAAAAAAATGAAGGAGCATGATTGTTACATCAGTGTTTCTTCCTCTCTTCTTTAAGGACACCCAGGGCCAGTGTACTTTTTGTCTCATTTGGGGTGTTTGTTAGGGGAATGAGAGGGCATTGTATTTGGCATATCCATAGCCTTCTGTGATCTCCCCACCACCACCACCAGTGCCCACTTTTGCCCTTTCTGACATTAAAACACCAATGGGGGGTGAGCACAACAAGATCTCTCTACTATGTGGTCAGACCTCTCTCTGTCCACAGAGGGGTAGATCCCTGGGATGCCTGTCATAATATAGTATTGTGCCCTAATTGATTAATTTCTGATCAAGTAAAAACAAGTCCCCCAATTAATTGGTTGATTATATTTTTTGTATGTAAATATGCTTAAAAACCAATTGTTTTCAAAAACTGGGTAACAAGACACCTTATCAGCAGCAGTATCCTACCTTTTCTCTCACAGAGAAGGAATGCATCCTCTAACATGGTGACTCAGGCTGCAGTCCCAACCCTACTTACCTGAGAGTAAGCCCCATTGAATTCAACAGGACTTACTTCTAAGTAGACATGTTTAGGGTTGCATTGTTAGATGTGACATAGGCATATATAACCCAAGCACATCTCTCTCTCTCTTTCTCCAAAGCTCTTTTACCCTTCTCCAGATTCTTGTTATCTAATAAATTGTTGCTCAAGTTAAATCCAAACTACTGGGCCTGGTGCAATTGGTATCTTGCCTGTCAGAAGGCTGGAGTGTTTGTTTGTTTTTGCAATTATGTGGGGAAGGTCTGTATAAGCATTTTAAACATGGCTAGAGTAACATTTAAGGAGCTCCTTATATTTCTTTAATATGGCTACATTAAAGAAATGGCTATATTATCAGTATATTCCTGGCTCACCTATCGCAGCAGGTTACAACAGGCCATCAGTAGTGGGTTGTTAGTGACTACAAGGCCTGTAGTTGCTGGGGAAGGACAACTTGTGGGCTTCTCAGAAACATCAGGTTAGTTGCTAGGGGAGACCAAATTTGGTGTTCTTATGTCCCTACAGAAAGTTTTGCCATGGTGAATTTCAGAAGACAGCCACCAACATGAAGTATCTTGGTGGCTTCAATTCCTGAGGTAATTATTCCTGGAAGAGGTGCACTGGTGGCCAAAGAGTAGGTGTGGTGGTCAAAGGTGTGTGATAAATGCAATGTATCCTGTGGATCTTACCGCTGCATGCCCAGTTTTGTGTTTGTAGCTATTAATACACTGCACTATTACAAGCCCTAGGCTTAGCTGCCAGAGGTGCTGAATGAAGATCATCATCCCAGCAGTTCTAGTGAGATTACTCAGCTGTGAACAGATAACTCAATACAAAGAAGAGGAAGAAGAAAAAGCTGGGGGGGGGGGAAGAGTAGAAGCCGACAATTTCATACCAGCCCAAACTAGACAAGCCTCTCTCTCTCTTTCTCTCTCTGATGACCAAGGGGAAAGCTTTGATAAACGGTAGGGCAGCTCCTGAAATCCACGTCTCTGAAAGTGGAGGTGGAACGCTGCGGGAAATAATATGAGAGTCCCTGCTGTGGGAGTCAAGGGAGACAGGGGAAATAGTTCAGGTAATAAAAAAAAAATGTTAATATTACAAGAGAGAAATGCATCTGAGTATAATTCCAGACTTTTAACTTCAGTTTTCAAATCTTGGTGAAAGAAAGAGGCAGCCCGCTGCCATCTCAGAATTTTGTCACATTGGGTTTAAGGTATGGAATAAATCAAAACTTTTTTTTTTACCTCCTTCTTTCGAACACCGAACAAAGAAATGCATTAATAATACATGAAAAATGTTCGTTATGGCGGTGTGTATCACCGGGAACACTGTTTTAAAGGAATTAGGAGCAACACTTGAAAAGAATAGGCCTGAGATTTGCTTCTTGTGAGCCACGGGTTGGAAGAGGGGAAGAGGGAATCTCCATACATTCTGATCTATGTCTTTGGCTTCTCAACTGGGAAGAATGGACGTCAAAATCAAAGGACCTCTTTTGAGAGTTAGGGAAAGTGCTATCAAAAGCTAGAGGCCTTCACCTCAACATACAAGTGAAGAGCAGTAGGAGGATAAAAAGATTTCCCGGCTAGCTGGAGATACACTTGGCTATGTAGCTGTGTGCTTTCCCTTGTGTGGATAGGGCCTCTGCTACTGGTGGAGCCCAACCCTTTGTATGCTTACTCAGAAGTAAGCCTCACAAACATCAATGAGACACAATCTCATTCAAGAATTGAAGACACCAAGCTACTTGAGGTTGGCAGCTACCTTTTAGAAAAGCATCCTTGGAGTGCTTGGATGTCATAGAGTGGCCGCCATTTTGAATTTCATTCTGCCTCAGATGCCACAAAGAAGAGGTGCATGTGTAGCATAGATCACTATTCCCTCATACAGGAAAGACAGTAATTACATTCTACTATTACCTGTTTCATCTGGTTATGTACACATATCACACTTTGGACCAAAACTAATAATCATGCCCAAGTACAGCTCA